AGATAAGTATAACAAGATAGAAAGAACAACACGTAACAACTCAGTCTGTATATTTAACCTGAGATCCAGTAAGATTTTCGAATTCCTTGATCCAGTCTTCGACCATGGCATCATCAGAACCCGGCGGCTGATGCTGCTTCGATGACAAGGACTCAAGCCCCTTGACAGTTTCTCTGGTTTGTTCCCTGAGTTTATTAAGAGCCTCTGCAACATGGTTCTCTTTTGCAACCTTCTGCTTTCCTTTCTTCTTGCTCCTCATATCTGGTAAACCCATTCCAAGACCTTGAATCCCACTCGGCAATGACTCGGTCTCTTTACTACCACCATCTTCTTTTTTTCTCACCTCCACTCCTACAACACACCAAAGCTAATCAACATCCCAGTTATCCAACAAAAACATAATAAAAAGCCTAGAATCACTGAACTCAAATTCTCTTGGCAAACTTCAGAGCTAAACCACAGGCATAGTTACAATTAGAGAGATAGAGTAAGAAAAGGAGTAACCTCTGAGTAATATTGAGATCTTTGAAATCATCCAAAGCGCCTGAGAAAGCCACACAGAAAACCCAGAATTCTCAGTTTTAGAGACGAACCCACAAAGAATCTCAGAAGACAGAACGTATTACCAATCCCTATATACACAAAGAATTCGTGAACATGCGAGGAAATCAATTGAAATCAGCTCGTCTAAGTCATCGGTGTGAGTGTCGTTGGCCATTTTCGGGAGCTTCCTCCTCTCACTGTGGAAGAAAAGTAGATGTGGAAGAGGAAGAGGGAAAATATCGCACGACGAGAGGAAGGAATTCCCTAAAGCGGTGTTCGATTTGATGATAAACTTTGATACGCCGACGGACGAAGAGCCACGGTGAAGTTTAACGATCAATCCAACGGCGGACATTGTTTCTCCATATTTTTTATTTATAATTTTTTAAACGAAAATTACTAAAAGGCCTTCCATTTTTTTTAAAGTGTTTCTTTGAAATCGTTTTTACGTAGGCGGTCTTTCTTGTTTTTTTTCTTCAAAAACATTGAGGATAAGCTTAATATTGTTTGGAACCCAAAAAAATTAATATTTAATTTCAGTAAACATGATAATTATCTATTCTATTAAAACAGAAGCACATTTAGTGATTGCATCCAAACACTCCCAAAGTCTTTTTTAAAATATTTTATTTTATTTTTATATTTAATTTTCAAAAATTAGTTATTAATTTAAATATTTTTAGATTTCCTAAAATCTATGTCATCTTTAATTTAAATTTCAAATTATTAGAAATTTAATTAAATTTAGTTACAAAAATTTTCATTCAATTTAATTTAAATTCAAAAAATTCAAAAAAAAAATTATAATTTAATTTTATTACGAAAATTTAAATAATAATATTAATACTTTAGAATTTCTTAAATATATGAAAGATTTAATTTAAAATTTTAAATTTAAATAATATTTTTATAAAAATGCATAGTAAATAAATATTTTATCGTATTTTATAATAAACAATTTGTCTAAAATATCAAATATTTGGGATTAATAAATATTTATATTATACAATAATATGATCGAGCTAATTAGAGTTATATATATATATATATATTTAAGGTCCATGAGTTAATTTATTAAAATATGTACGATATTAAGATGATTTGAGACAATTAAACTAACAGGTTAGCCTGTTTATATATATATATATATATATACATTTTTTTAATAGCACAAAAAGTAAATAAATATCTTATTATATTTTTTCATAATCAATTAGTCCAAATATTCTATATTAGTAAATATTTATAGGGTTATACAATTATAATTATAGTTTTATACGGGTTAGTTTTTTTTTTGACATCATACGGGTTAGTTTGTCAAAACATGTAAGATATTAAAAATGATTTAAGACAACTAAACGGATGCATTAGCAAATTCATAGATATATAGATTGTTTATGTGTAAATCAAAATTCATATAATAACAAAGTTTATAATTAACATTAGATCAATTAGATCAATGTATACTTAATTAACGTATACTCTTATTCTACTATTATACAAATTTTACTGTTTAAAATTAAAATATGATAACAATTTTTTGATTTAAAAAAGTAAATAACAAAAATAAATTATATCTAAACAAAAAAAGATAAATGCAACTTATATTAGAAATAAAAAAATAAAACATTCTCGTGCGGACGCACGGGGTTAAAATGTGGTATATTCATGAGAGTCGTGCGAGAACAATAACAACAAACATATATAGATCACATTAAAATCTTACAAGATATTGATATATCCCCAAAATGAAAGATTAGTTTCTAGGAATATTACTTGTCGTAATTATGCAACAAAAACGTTTGCTTTATGAACTTGTCATATGCATTACATTATATATGCACATACATAATTATCCAACAAAAATTGAATGGCCATTGGCTTTACTGTTTATGAACCTTAGAGGTTCACCTTTTCATTGCATTTTCAGGATGATCTAAAGCGTGTTAGGAGTAGAATGAACACCGAAACCAAATTTTAGAAATAGTTCTACATTACCTTACAAAAATTGGATAATTCAAACTGATTTGCTAGTTCAAAGAGAAGGAACCTAATGTCAATGGCTTTAGAGCATCAGCAATGATAGTACTCCATTAAGGGTATTTAACCAATAAAATAATATTAAAGTTAAGTTAAGTATTCAAACTAAAAATTATTATTTTGTTGTCTCCAATGCAAAGGGATTCTTAAAAAAAGAAATATTGTAATTTAAGTTATTTGGAAGACAAATTTTGCCACGTAGTGATGTTCTTAAAAAAAAGAAAAAATATTTCATTTCTTTGGACCAATAACGATGTGTCATGTATGCCCAAACATCGCTTCTTGCAGACCTTATTTAGGGCATGTACATCAGAGGATTTCATTAAAAGTTCCTTAAGAATATTATAATATTTTTTTATAAGCAATCTTCTAAGGACCAGCTCTAAAAACTCTTCTGCAAGAATCAGCCTTTATATTTTGGACTTCCTTTTCATTATTTTAATTCAAAATATTCGTTAGCAACCCAATTAAAAAATGTGAAGGGCTCTCAATGAACATGGTCTTAGGAATCGCTACTTGGATTTTAATTTCTTTTTCAATTAAATTTGGGCTTAAGTACCCCTAAAATAACGACTAAAGAATCAGCGTTGCAGATGCTATTACATTCTCTTCGCTACCTACGTCTGTTCGGCAATCATAAAAAGAAGCAAAAGTGTATTCTACCTGTAAGGACTTTGTGACATTAGGAAATATGTAGCTGCTTAATTCGTTCACTAGTAACGAAAAATACTTTAAAACTAAAGTTTCTATTATTTTTTGAGGAATCCAGATTTCAAAATCTTGATTGGTTGATAAAATAGTTTTTGACAAACAAAAACTACAACCAATCAAGGCGATTCGCCCATAGATACGTATACAGCAATAAAAGGTTTAAAATTTAGTCTTTTCATAATCAAGACGGTGGATTGTAATGTATTTTAACTTCAAAATCAATCAAAGAGGATTCGTCCACCATTGCGTACTTGCGTGACTGCTTACATGAAAATTGCCTCAAGTTTGGGAGAAATATCGATCAAATAAATAATTAACTTCATTTGAAGTAAAAGAATTACAAAAATAAATGTGTAAAATAATTCTTCTTTGCAAAAAAAGAAAAAAAAAATCCAATCTTTCTTCTAAAAATAAAATGTCTCGCCTTTCACAGGTGCAACGCACGTTACAAGCCAGCCCACGAAAAACAGAGAAGCGCGTGGCTTTCACTTAATCAACGGCGGCGCGTAGTTATCGTTGTCAAAATCAAGAGAGCATTTGGTGGAGACAGGAAGAGACGGCGCGGTGAACCTCATGGAGTAATCACGGTAAGGAAACTCGTCCTCGAAACGACCCGTCTGTTTACCGTCGTCGAAATTCAACGAGTAACTCCACGAATCGTACCGGAAATCAACCTGATCCGGCCGGTTACAACCGACATCTCCGCAACCGCAGAAGTGATTATTGCGGCCAACGCGGCGGATGAAAGTTTTCCACTTGGGCCCAGCCATGATTTCCGACCACTCCCTCATCTTATTCCACCCGGAGATCCACCAACGCTCGTCGGGCTCTAATTTATCGACGGTTCGGATTCGTTGCCACCATACAGATCCTCCGTGACTAGACGGCTGAGATGATCCGAGACATGGGAGGAACCAACATCCTCTCTTCGCGAACATCGCTTCGTGCATATCGTCGGTCGCGTCCATTTCAGAGATCGGAAAAGATTGAAGCCCCATTGGTTTGCGAAAAGTTAAGAGATCGAGAAGATTAAGAGATCAGGGACACAGACGAATACAGATCCTCTGCAACCCTAACCCTAATTTTCTCTCTCTCTCTCTCTCTCTCTCTCTTGCAAGAAATGCCTTTGTCTCTCTCTTGAACGAATCCGTTGTCTTAATGGGAGAGGCTCGGAAATAGTAATAAGTGGCGCAAAGCTGGAATTGCGTAACTGCCAAGCTGGTTTTGACGACTCTTTCACTACGATTTTCTAACATAAACCTAAATTGAACCGGTACATTTTTCCTAATGTTAAAATGGTGTAGCTAGTCTCATACTATATTTAACGTTAACCTCCTTTTTTTTTAACATACTATAACGTCAATTTGTTACGTCGTGTCGGTGCTGTAAAACTATTGTAGCCAGTAACTTTTTTTTATACTCACGTGGCCACGGACAAGGATCTGGCGTTACTCCGTTAAATAATCAGCTGACGTGGGGAAGAATCTTCGATAAATGCAAGCCGGCCATATATATAGTTCCACCGATCATTGATATCGTTCTGTATTGTTCGAATTAGGAAGCGCATCAAGACCTCGGAACAACAACAAAAAGAATTTAAATATGACTGCATAATTATACTATGATTTAAAAATATCATTCGGTAATATACATTACTATTAAAATGAGAAATTTCATACGTCAAAAAGTAACCTTAAAATAAAAAAGTAGTAGTTTAAGACTAATTATAACATACTGTATGTTTAGCCAAAAAAACATTATAACATATTACGGACGCTCTTGGTGAATTATGAAAATTTAGTTTTGTAATCAGTAAACATGAGAAGAATACCCCATGTAATTAATTCTAGGACGTAGATTTCGCTGATCGTTCATGGCTTCGTTGAAATCAACGGCCTTGATCACCATCGCTTCTCGGCGACCGTCCTGCTCCTGAACTGCCCCAAACACAATCTCGTTCTCTCGGTTCTCTTCGAACGACGTCGTATCGTTCGCGTTTCGTTTCTGCTGCAAGTTTTGGTATTGGTCATAGTCTTGGTAAAAAGCCCGGTTTTGGTTGGTTCCTTGCGCTCTAAGGTAGGCCTTATCCGGATTTGTACCTGATCTTGGTTCTAAAGCCGGCGGTCCATCTTCCTCTGGTATAGCAAAGCTCTCTTGTACCGGCCACTGGTTCGGTTCTTGCTGATGGTGGTACTGGAAGTTTTGGGGATTTACGTTTCTTGAACCGGACATCATCTCAGAAACCGAAGAACCGGTTTTCACCACAAGCTTTCCAAGCGAACCGAGAAATCCTTCTTCTTTCTCCGGTTCATGTTGAGGTGGGATTAATGGCTGTCGAACCGGTCTTGGATAACGCTGATATGGTGCCATTGTCATGTTCGGTTTTGCTACATGCCTCATATTATCCTGAAAACATTAAACCAAGACATGATGCTAAGTTGCTCTAATGGTTTTCATTCCAGTTCAGGTTCTGGTTTAACTTGATTCGTGCCAAACAGATTCACTTACACGAGGAGATGAAGAGAACAACGATCGTACTCTACGCACTAATAACGCAAACATATATCCAAAGAACCCAGCAGCAACGAGCAAAGCGGTTCCTGCAAAGATACAAACCGAATTAGCATCGTTTCAAAGCAGAGCACAACCATCAAAACGGTATCATTTCAAGAAAAGAATCAAACGGCTTCGAATATTTCGGACGGTTACCAAGATGGAGATCTGTCTCGGGTTCGTGCCGTTCGTGGTGAGCACAGTCGTGATCGTGAAGCTGAATCTCTCTGATCATTTGATTTCCTCGATCAATGACTAAAAGAGAGCAGCTAGAAGAGACGTATAACAGATCAAAGTCATCGGAGAATCTCATCATCTCCTCTTTAGATCCGCCGCTCCATCTTCCTCCAGCGGCGATGGTTGAGACTCCTGAAATTAATAAATAAATCAATTAGAAAAACACTTGTGCTTCATAATCTCAAAACGCTTATTAATTTGTACAACTTACCGTCGTCGCTGATCTTGCGTATGGCCATATTGTTAGTATCGGCGACGTAGATGTTTCCACTGTCGTCGATGGCTAATCCTCGAGGACGATTCATTTTCGCTTCTTTGAGCTTTCCGTCAACGTGTCCTGTGTAGCCTTCTTGCGAACCAGAGACTAGTTTTGGTTTACCATCTTCAAATGATTCAAAACTCAGAATTAAATTTTTTCTTTTTCTTTTATCAGTTTTGAAGAACAGTAAGAAGGCGAGAAGGCCAGCACAGAATCTGAATCTATCCAACTTCAAACTTAGAATCTATCTAAAAGCAAAAGGTCGGTGCTTTAATGCGGCAAAAGCTTGTTAACTTGACGAACAAGAAACAGCATAAAGAATAAACCTGAAGAACATAGAAACAGAGCATGTATAAAAGCTAAAGAGTCGTGTTGTGGACTAAAGTGCAAAAGTTTTAATCTCGAAAAGGCTTTGGTTTCAGAGAAGAAACTTTGGAATCTAAAATTTAAGAAACTCACTTTTTAATGAACTAAAAAAAAAACAAAAGAAAACGAATCCCCATCTTGAAGCAAAGCATAATTGTACATATATGATGATTCAACCTTTCGATTGGGTCATATTTTGAGGTGGACATAGATCGAATATCCCAGTACTTTTATTTATTTATTAATGTATAATTGTATATGTACCCAGCAAAATCGAGCTTTAGAGTTCTTTTCTCAGCAAATCTATATCAAGAAGAAGATGAACTTACATCTAGAAAGAGGCATGGAGATTTTGTGGATGTTACTGTTGTGAGAATCCAAGACAATAAGCTCTTCTCCATTAGGGGAAACTTCAATTGCATAGGGCTCAATCCCAAGCTTGCTTCCATCAAACACTGTCTCTATGTTATATCCACTTTCATATTTCACCATTGAACGGCTAGAAATACCTGTCACATTTTCTCAGTTTTTTTTTTTTATTTCTACGAAGATTGGAATTTTGAAGTCAAGATCATAATAAATAGAGATGTGGGTCATCTTGCCAGATTTTGTGGTGGTTGTTGTGGTTGTGGATGTTTGGAGAGACCATAACCATTTCCAGAGCATTGATGCTACATTTGTCACAAGTCCACTTACAATCTCTGTTCTCAAAAATAGAGAAAAACAAGAACACTTTTAAGACATTCATTACAGCAAAGATGAAAATTAAACATGTATTAAAAATATGTTTTTTCTGATCAAAAGATATCAGTTTAGGGTAATCAAGAACTTACTGACAGGAGGAGGTTTAGCTGAAACTGAAGACAACCCACAAAATAAAAAGATGAAAATTAGAGACAAAACCACCAAATTTGCATCTTTCCTCATGTTTTTTTTTTTTTTACCAAAGAAAACAGAGTAAGACTGGCAGGTCACAAGTATAATGTGTATCTATGCACTTATATATAAAATGAGCTAAGCCGACAAAAGAAACATAAAGAGACAAGAATCATATGCTGTTGAGTCTTGTCTACTTACTATTCAATCATTTCTCTTTGGATCTTAATCAGTAGGGACAAATCATTACAAAAACAAAAAGCATATCTTACTTATGCCACAAGCAACTCTAACATCTCTACAAAAATACAACAGCAGTAAAAAACCTGAAAAATTTCTCTTATCATAATTTACAAAATTGAAGTTTATTCAAAAAAAGAAAAAAGTATAGTCACACGATATAAACCATACCAACTTCTAAAGTAGAAGCGTGAGGAGTAGAGAGACCGTAGCAAGGTCCTCTCGAGTTTCTCCTTAGAAAATCGTAGCCAAAGTTAATAGCGATCTTCTTCATCACACTTGACCCCGATTTTGCTCTCACATACGAATGTCCCATTATAAAAGCCATCCCTGCCTCACGCGCCTCCGTAAGCTCCGATAACTCCTCCTCCGCAGATCTATCGATCCTCGCACTTTCCGGCAACACAAACCGTACCCTTTTCTTGATTCTCGGCTCAGGATTCCGTTGCTCTACTGCCACCATAATCACCTCCGACGAAGATGGTTCTGGTTTATCAGAACCATCATCTTCATAGAATTGAACACCTTCGAGATTCGAGGATGAAGCCGCGACGACGGTAAGCCTCTCATTGGATCCTGATTCGTTTTCATTGTCAGGGGAGCAGTCGAATGATTTATCAGAACGTATAAACTCTGCGATACTGCAAATGAGGTCTTGCTCAAACTCGACGTCGTCTTTGTGTACGTCACGGTATCCATACCGGGCAATACACCGGTATAGACGGTACTCCTTCGGTCCAACCCTTCCGACCAAAAACCGTTCTTCCGGTTTCACGTGAGGGACAGGGACGGATTTCACGCAGAGGAAGACGACGACTTGGTGGAACGCAGGTAGGTTAGTGATGAAATGAGAGAAGATGGCGGGAATGCCAGAGACGAGCTCTGTGTTGATCACGCCGATTCCACGGACACGGACGATTCCAAGGTTCGAGGAGCCGAAAAGTGTGAGTAGCCAGTTGATTGAGACTTTGTTCTGGACGTCGAACTCGTAGCGCTTGACAGTTCCGTAGTGCCAAACGTACATGATGAGGAGGAAGATGAAGGAGAGTGCGAGTGGAACCCATGCGCCTTCGAGGAATTTGATGAGTGAAGCAGAGAAGTAAAGAGCTTCGATTGTTCCGAAGAAGAAGATGAAGACTAGCGCGTAGAGTGAGCTTTTGCGCCAGCATAAGACGATTACTAGAGACATCAGGCAAGTCGTTACCAGCATAACGGTAATAACGGCCAAACCTGCATACGGATTAGGGAGAGAGGAAAAGATTCAGAACACGAGAGTTTCTTGTATTTATGGCTATGGTTTTTATGGATATACTGTAGTACCTGAGGCGTTGCTTATGTGTTTGGTGTCGCGGAATCCTACGGTCACTGCCAAGCATAATAGCATGAGTGTCCAGTTGATCTCCGGGATGTAAATCTGGCCGTGCATTTTCGAAGATGTGTGCAAGATTTTGACTTTCGGGAAGCAACCTAGAGAAGTGCATTGTTTGATGATCGAGAATGTTCCCGTGATTATCGCCTGGCTTCCAACAACGGCCGCCAAAATAGCAATTGCCAAAACCGGCCATCTTATTTTCTCTGTACACAACAAACAAACAAACAAACTAGTGAAAACTAATGCCAAACAAAACAGTTGCATTTTAGCCTGTTGACAAGTGGATTTACCGGGAACCGAAACATAGAATCCTATCCGGTAATCGCTCTCGAGAACATGGTGCTTAGACAGATAAGCGGCTTGACCCATGTATGCAAGGATTAACGACGGGTAAACAGCGAATGTGAACGCAATCTGCAGCCAGAGTGACAAAAGATAATATGGTAAGTTTCAGAGAAAGCTTATAAGAAACACACAAAAAGATTCAAACTTTATAAATGAAGTCATAAACTTTGCCTGTATTGACAACTGAGTGAAGTGTCCTAGATCAGCAAACATAGCTTCTGAGCCTGAAAAAAAACCGTAAAGGAAAAAAATTCTGAGACAAAAGGCCTGAAACTCGTGAGAAAGAAAAACCTGTTCTCTCTCTTTTTTAAATTACCGGTTATGCATAAAAGGATGCCACCGAGAGACATCCAGCCGCGTTTACGAGTTTTCTTGAGGAACTTGTAGATGTAATAAGGAGACAATGCTTTGTAAACGTGAGGATTCCAATGGAAGATGTTGTATACACCAATGGTGCTTATGCAGAGAAGCCATGCGAGAACAATTGGAGCAAATAAAAAGCCTAAACGATGTGTTCCATAGTGTTGTAGAGAGAACAAGAGTATCAGTATGGCGCAGACCACGGGAACCTCCACATCTGCAGAATTGCGCGGGTTTAGTTGATTCAATTAAGGAGTAGCAAGTGAATCAACAACTATTCATCAATAAGACAAAGAAGGTTACTTCAGATACCAACAACTTATGACCTGAGTGTCTTATCCGAACCAACTAACTTTTTATTTGACCACTTGATCACTTTTCAAAAGGTTTAGCTTTATGACTTTTTTATATTCCTTTTAGTTCTATATCTTTGATTAATCCTAAACCACATTCATTATCTTATGATTATAAAAAGAATGCATCTGCATCAGCCTCAACTTCCACACCCAAATATAGTTTAAACTTATTTTATACATAATTAAGAAGCTTCATGCTGTTCCTACATGGATTCTACCTAACTTGCAATTAACCATTTTGACCGTCAGGACAGAAGAATGGCCAACATGGCTAATCAAAGACGATATCTCGAATTATTTGCCGATTTTAGTATCCGGCTTGAAGCCAGAAATTAGGAAATTGTAGGCTTGAATGCATCTAAAAGCTACCTAATACAACCATTTCTGTTCATAAACTAACTCAAACAGTATGGATTAGACTTATGGACCAGAAGAAACATAAGAGGAAACTACTAGAAACAGCAAAATTTGACATTTTGTGCGATCTAGTGATACTGAAATTTCCATCTTTAACCATCTACACTCCCATCTACTCGAAAAAAAAAAGTAGAGAGCTTACATTGATGTTGCTCCTTTGACATGGATAACTCTAATCCAGAGACTGCTGAGAAAACTGCAAAAGTTATACAAAACCAGCCTCAAAAATCTTGCGAAATCCACACAATCTTCAAATCAAATCTGAGAAAAGTCAATTTTTTTATTTTTTACCAGAGATTGCGGGTGTGAGAACGCCATCACCAATGACCATACAAGTCCCAATCAGAGCAAGAACAAGCAACATGTTCTGAAGAACCTTATGCTTCTCCAGTGTGTTTTTCAGACTCCACCCCGGAGCTTTTAAGTTCCTCGGATTCGCCCCGGAGTTTTTCTTATACTCAGAAAGGTCCTCATCGGCGAGCTGGAAATTGGGCAAAGAGCTGATTCTGGCATGGCGACACAGTAGAGAGTAGAGAGCGAAAGTCCCGCCTTCGCCATTATCGTCAGCACGAAGAACAATAAAGACGTATTTAACGAGTGGGATTAGAGTTAGTGTCCAGAAGATAAGAGACAGAACACCAAAGATCTCTTCGTTTGTCTCTGAATGTTGGATGTCTTCAGCGAAAGTGCTCTTGTAGACATACAGTGGCGAAGTTGCTAAATCTCCATAGACCACACCTAAGCTCTGGTAAGCTAAAGTCAGAACCGTCCACCAAGATTCTTTCTGTACACAAGTAAACCAAAATTTACTCATTTTAGCAACCCAAACAAAAAAAAAAGGATTTTGAAAACGAAATTGAAGTGAATGAAGTTCAGAATTTACCTTGATTTGATTCCTTGGGCTCAAACGCTCGAGATCCATGATGGGTTTTGCTCTTAAATCACATGGATTCCATTTTGGAAAATGAGAAATTCGAGATGGGATTTAGCTCGTGGAGAAGAAGAAAGATGGGGAATTTAATTCGATTGACGTTACAATAATATTTTTCTTTGGATTCTTTGGATTCTTTGGCTATCAAATTTAATGCATTGAAAGTACAAAGGTTTGGCCAAGATCAAGAACCGGAGAGAAGGAGAAAGAGAGAAGAAACATACAAAACATATGAAAGAATCATTAAGATAACTGCCACAAATATAACTGCACATATCATACTCCTCAAGAAAACGGTGGGGCCTTCTTTGTTATGGAAGAATGTGCAAACCTTATGCAAATGGTTTTGTATATCTTTATGAAACTAAATTTTTACTATTTATATATATCTAGGTGACTACGTGTATATACATGTTTGTGTCAAATTTAACATAAACCAGTCCTACGTAACTATATTATAACATTTGACTTTAAAAAACCAAAAAAAACTCGATGCTATAGGAAACTTTTTTTACTCTTTCGATAAGTTTTTTCTCCGTTAATCATTTTGCTAAAAATATGCTTAAATATGTTTAACTTACTCTTGCTGTTAACTTACTCTTTCAATAAGTTATAAACTACGACATGTTTAAACAATGAAATATTAAATGGTTTCAGTAAGAAGACCAAAAAATGGTTTTAGTTATTCAGTAGTGTAGCTGGTTAGACGAGCTATGTTTAAGTTTAACCAATCCATAGTTCAATTTATTGTTATATTTTAGATGAAAGGATTTACTATTACAGCTACCTCCTCTCTTTTAACAGTAGATGTTTAAGAATAAAAAATGTGTTTTACAAACCTGGAAATAAATCTTTGCGGTTTATCCGGTTATACAAACGACCGCTACCAAACCGGTAAAGTTGAGGAAATTATAACCTGAGACCGTCATACGCCGTAAAAATACGAGCGTGTTTGGCCATTGCATATTTGCATCCGTGACTTGATTTGTATGATGTGTTCTTTTTTATAAAAGTTCTATAACATTTTTTATTTGATCTCTATTTTTTTGTTTGAATATTTTGATCTTTTTAAAAATTAAATAGAATAACTAAACAGCTAACATTTAGTTAGAGAATTACGTGTATAAAGTATAACATATAAAATTTTGTGGAAGGGAATGAGTATTGCTTAAGAGTTAAAGATCGTTATCGTCTATGTAAAAGCTAGGGATCAAACATCAAAGTACCACAAAAAATTTAGTGACCCAGAAAAAAGGTCAGAGATTGAAAAATATATGAATATAAAAAAAATTATTAATGGGAGATGGGTGGGGAATGAATAGATTGGTGTGTTCGTCACCTTTTTTTCTTTTTTTTTAATTGTTTGTTTGATAGTACCGAGAGATTCTATTCTATTCTTTGATGGTTTATTTTAGGGTATATTATGTGACCTGTTTGTTCATCCTCTCCAACTCGCAAATCTATAAATTATTCATACATATCCATCAATTATATACAAATTTTTGGAATAGAATTTTATTTTATTTTGATTTGATCAGATTTGAAATCTCTGGACACGTGTGTATGTAGGTGCAAGGATTTTAGTGTGGCACCACCTTCAAGTCTTTTTTATCAAAACCTAACTCTTACCACTTTGAAAGCAACTTATCTTCTTCCTTTTAGAAATAATTGAGAAACGAGTGCTCTAAACTTCACAAAAATACAATATAAAATTTTATAATAAAACAAAATATATAGAACTCTTTTTCAATTTGGGTCCCAAATGATTAATATGCTCACGATCACGATATTTCTTCTTATGTCCGAAAGCATTCATATTAACCAAACAAAAAGGAAATTTGTTGCTTCCTAGAATGGGAAGTGGGAACCTTTGCCATCTTAATAAATGTTTAAGACCAATTTTTTCTAATCTGTTTCATAAGCACCAGCGACTTTAATTATTGGACAGAGAAACGAGAAACGTCATTTAAATTTAATTTTGAGACGACAATTTCTTTTTTTTTTAAAAAGGGGTAATTTTCTTCCCTTATCTTTATTATATAAATAAGTATATAAGTCATATATAAATTGTATTTTCAGTTTTCACAATCTGGATCTGGATGGAAATTGCTATGTTCAAATTTACTAATCTTGTACTTTTCGTATAGTATACCACATGAAGAAGAAAGAAAAAAAGGAAATCTTTAACAAAACAAAAAAGATAAAGGGAAACCAATAAAATACAGTCAATCCTCTTGATTCATTATGCTAATTGTATAATAATCATAGTGGCAAAAGTGGGTTAGAAAGAATTGGATCCCGTCGGATTCTATATTTTAACATCTATAATATTTCAAATATCTGCCACACGTGGTCATACTTACTAGCAGCCACTATCGAATCATAAGTAATTAATTATTCGATGATAAGGTTAACCAACATGGCAACATCGTACAGTATTTGTATATCCATGAAGTCCTAGCTAAAAACTTGGAATAACATTATTGTTTCATAATTACGTTTATGAAACAACTATTAAGACTTGTGGTTCAGCAGTCTCTTCGAATAGATAAAGAGATCTGATTTTTGTTTCCTGATCACTTTCTACACGGTCACGCTTTTTTGGAATTAAACACAAGGTAAAGAGAGAGAGAGAGAAACGAAAATAAGAACGAGAAATGAGAGATGAATACTTGTATAAACATCATAATTTCCGTGACGTGTTTTTGTATTTGTTCTTTAGTATTCCATTTCTTTCTTCTTTCTTCTGCTTTTTAAAATGTCGCTGGAATAAAGAGGAAGACAAAGTCACATGTCTCCTTATTTATTTATTACCCCTTTATATTTGCATCATTCTAGGGATTTCTATGTACACTATCTCCCCACTACCATATTTGTTCATAGAATGTCTGGTACGCGTGCTTTTACAACCTTTTTGTATATAATTAACGTTATATATAATTTTTAATAATATTATTTGTGCTGACAAAAAATAATAAACCAAGCTAAGTGGTACTAAAAAAAATATGAATCGAGTTTTTACCGTTAGGTTCGTAAGAGTGAAAGCAAAATTTGAACACTTTACGTGCTCATTCCACGACTACAAAATATTAATTTACGCTTTCATCTTTTGTTTTCCAATCGTCTTAGTTTCTTACAAACCTTTTTATGTTTTTCATCTTATAAACCTTTCAAAAGTTAGAATTTTAAACAAGATTATTATACAAACTATTGCTTCTTTAAACTTTTTTTTGTCAACCTTTAAACTTCTTTTGTGTTTGTTTTTCAGGTATGTTTTGCCATTTTGGTGTCTAACCAAAGCTTTAATAGACATACTCACAGAATAACAAAACCAAAAAAATGGTTCAAGTCAACATTTTCACAAAAATAAAGGGAAATAAAATAAAATAAGAGAGACGTTACAAAAAAAAAAATGAATTAAATTCGAATTATATATATTTTGTATACATTGGTTTACATAACGGGCCGACATATGGCTATCGGGCCGATAGGGCTCAACAACTACGTTATGCCGATCAATGTTTTAGGAGGCAAAACGTGTTGCTGTTTAGAAAGAAAAACAGCATTAACAAACGAGTTCTCTAGTATGAGCTATTTCCGTAAATACTCTCATTTTCCCACCGTATTTCCGAAAAACTACCCTCCCTATTTCCATGGTCATTCTCTCAGCTTTCCCGCGAGAAATCCTCTCCTTCTTCCATAACCATCAGAACAAAATGAAATTGAAAAAAAAAAATTCACGACGCAGCCTAAGTGTCCTACCCTCTCCGTATCTCTCTCTCTCCATCAATTTCTCTCTCAATATCTCTTAATGCGGAATCCGATTAACACCGGAATCCGCCATGGAAGATGAATAAGATTCGGTCTCTCCGCTGCCTCCTCCCGGAGACTATAACCTCCGCCGCCTTAAATCGAGGATCTGACGCCGGATACGCTAGCCAGGTCCTTCTATGGCGGCATCAGATCCTGGACCCAGACAGCAACATCGTTACATATTGGAACCACGTCTTTCTCGTGACCTCGATTCTCGCGCTCTTCCTCGATCCTATCTATTTCTACGTCCCTTACGTTGGTGGTCCGGCGTGCCTCTCCGTCGACATTGGCCTCGCCGCCACAGTCACCTTCTTCCGCACGGTCGCCGATCTCTTCCACCTCTTGCACATCGTCATGAAATTCAGAACCGCGTTCGTCGCGAGGAGTTCTCGTGTTTTTGGTCGAGGTGAGCTCGTCATGGATCCCAGAGAGATCGCTATGAGATACCTGAAGTCTGATTTCCTCATCGATGTGGCCGCTATGCTTCCTCTTCCCCAGGTTTGCACGCTACTAATTTCCTTAATCGTAGCTTCAAAATTGGTAATTTAGAGTTTAAACACGACATTTGTGTTTTGGTATATGAAGAGTGATGTTTATGAGCTAAATTCGAATTAGATTCTGGGATTTTTTGACCATCGTTTGAGTGAAGAATTTGTCCTACTAAATACATATGTGTGATGGGTTGTGAAGATTAATCCGTGTTCATAGAGGAACTTATCAACTTTTCCAGAGTAAATTAGATTGAATATGATAGCAAAAATGTTGATGATGGTCTAGCTAAGATTAAAGGAGAGAGATTTACATTCTTTTTACAATCATCAGAGTCTCATGCTTGTTCTGACTAACTTTTGATCTCAGCTTGTTATTTGGCTAGTAATTCCAGCCGCCACAAACGGGACTGCTAATCATGCCAATAGCACTCTCGCCCTTATCGTTCTCGTTCAATACATTCCAAGATCATTCATCATATTCCCTCTCAACCAAAGGATTATAAAAACAACCGGGTTCATCGCCAAGACTGCTTGGGCAGGAGCTGCTTATAACCTCCTTCTCTACATTCTCGCTAGTCACGTAAGTTTTCTCTGTCTCTCTTGTGTGTGTCTCTCCAGATTTCTTCAGTTTAAGTTACTAAGAATCTCCATCTATGGTTAGGTGTTAGGAGCAATGTGGTATCTATCATCAATTGGGCGGCAGTTCTCGTGCTGGTCCAACGTATGCAAGAGAGATAACGCCTTGAGAGTTTTGGATTGTCTTCCTAGCTTCTTAGACTGCAAGAGTCTGGAGCAACCTGAGCGCCAATATTGGCAGAACGTTACTCAGGTTCTTTCTCATTGCGATGCTACAAGCAGCACTACCAATTTCAAGTTTGGGATGTTTGCTGAAGCCTTTACCACTCAAGTTGCTACTACAGATTTCGTTTCCAAGTACTTATATTGTCTTTGGTGGGGTTTAAGAAATCTAAGGTACGACAACCTTTTATCAAACAAATTTCTGTATTCTAAGTTAGATTGTGATCCTATGGTTCTAAATTAGTGGTTACGTTTCACAGTTCTTATGGCCAGAATATAACCACAAGCGTATATCTTGGCGAGACTCTGTTCTGTATTACAATCTGTATTTTTGGGTTGATTCTCTTCACACTCCTCATTGGTAACATGCAAGTAAGATACAAAGCTTATTCATGAATCTAAAAAATTTCAGTACAGAGACATTTTCTTCCCCCTACTAATCTTGATTTTCAACTTGGTGTAAAAGACATCTTTGCAATCGATGTCTGTAAGAGTTGAAGAATGGAGAGTTAAGCGACGAGACACTGAAGAATGGATGAGACATCGTCAACTACCTCCAGAGCTTCAAGAACGAGTCCGTAGATTCGTTCAATACAAATGGCTTGCAACACGAGGCGTCGATGAAGAATCAATCCTCCAATCTTTACCTACAGACTTACGCCGTGAAATCCAGCGCCATCTCTGTCTCGCCCTTGTCCGCCGGGTACACACATTTAACTCTGTCCTCACAAAGACAAAAAGAACAGTTACAGATTCGATTGTTTTTCATTTCAGAAAATCACTCGGTTTTGCTTAGTGCAGGTCCCGTTCTTCTCTCAAATGGATGATCAACTTCTTGACGCTATATGCGGATGCCTAGTCTCGTCTCTAAGCACGGCCGGTACGTATATATTCCGTGAAGGCGATCCGGTGAATGAGATGCTATTTGTGATCCGAGGACAAATAGAAAGCTCAACGACAAATGGAGGAAGATCTGGTTTCTTCAACTCCACTACATTAAGACCAGGCGATTTCTGCGGCGAAGAACTTCTTACATGGGCCTTAATGCCAAACTCTACACTCAATCTCCCATCTTCAACACGAAGCGTCCGTGCCCTCTCTGAAGTCGAAGCCTTTGCCTTAAGCGCAGAGGACCTCAAGTTCGTCGCTCATCAGTTTAAACGTCTTCAAAGCAAAAAGCTGCAACACGCTTTCAGGTACACTATACATATGATTCTTGTGCATGTGCTAATGGGGTATATGAAGGGGTCCTGATTCCGAACAGAGATAAATCTAATTTCATACTTTTGATTTTTTTTCAGGTACTATTCACATCAGTGGAGAGCATGGGGAGCGTGTTTCGTTCAATCGGCATGGAGAAGATACAAGAGAAGAAAGCTCGCGAAAGAGCTCAGCCTTCACGAGAGTAGCGGATACTATTACAGGGATGAAACAGGTTACAACGAAGAAGACGAAGAAACTAGAGAATATTACTATGGAAGCGACGGTGATGATTTCGAAGGTGAGAGATTATCAGTGGACAACACTAACAACAACCAAAACCTGGGAGCAACAATCTTGGCATCTAAATTCGCAGCAAACACTAGAAAAGGCACAAATCAGAAGGCTTCAAGTAGTAGTACTGGTAAGAAAGATGGATCTTCAAGCAGTTTGAAAATGCCTCAACTATTCAAACCAGACGAGCCTGATTTCTCTATAGATAAAGAGGATGTTTAGAAGATAAAAGTGTGACACGTTTGGTTTTAGATGGTAAATAGTGCTAGGAAATCCTATAAATGTTTCAACTTCTAATACTTTTTTTTCCGTTTCGAATTGAGGATGTTAGATATAGGAAAAGAGTGTAGAGTAATTGTTCTTATTCTGTTTTGATGTTATTTTGTATGTTTATTTTTTTTCTCATATCAAATACATTTTTCGAATACAAACAATGAGATAACTCGAAAGAACAATAATGTGAGTTTCTTCGGATTGAACAGCGAAGAACACACTCAATGATAGCAACATTGTGAGATTGATCAAACTCAGAGAAAAAATAAGAAAAGATCTAATAAAAGCACACCACTAAATCTGAATGCAATGGAAAAGCTTGAAAATCTATAGTTAACTAAAACCAAACTCAAAAACTAGAATTCCGGACCTCCGGTATTACATTATATCCTCTATTCTTGTACTATTATAGTACTTGGCCAACTAAGACAGACATTTTGAGTGATTAAAATTTGGTCGAGGTTCGGTTAACCATTCTTCAATCTCTCTGTTCATCACTGGACAGTTTCCTATTTGTCTCTTTACTGTTGCATAGCTCTTCAAGAAGCGAATTTAAATTCTTCCAAGACGAACCAGTCCCTGGAGCCAAAGCTTTTTTCGCCATTTCTGCATACTCTTTCACATTCTTCCTCGCAGTCTTTCCCATTTCTTCTTCCATCAATATTTTAACCTAAATAGCCCCAAATAACGATAAAATGTTAAACAAATGAAACCTAAAAACAAGTAGACTTCTTTTCTTGTTAAATTGTTGGTTAAAAAGCACAACATTTGGTTGACGATATTTAGATACCATACCTTTCGACTGAGTTCTTCTCTTGTCACGAGCCCTTTGACACTTCCATCTTCTGTCTCGATTCTTAGTCCGATCTTAAGCTCCTCCACAACCAACCTTGCATTGAGCGGCTGCTCGGCCATCATTGGCCAAGCAAGCAGTGGAATCCCGGCACAAATACTTTCTTGCGCCGAGTTCCATCCACAATGGCTCAAAAACCCTTTCACACTTTCATGCGACAGTATCTCCCATTGGTCCACCCAATCTCTCACAATCATCCCACGCTCTCTCCCTCTCTTTTCCAACCCTAACTCTCCCTTGATCACTTCTTCCACGTCTTTTCTAGTGACCCACAAGAAGTTTACCTTCATTAAACAATCAAAACCACGTGAATGAACATATTACTGTTCCTAGCTAGTCTACCTATGCATTAATGAGTATCATATTTTACATTGTAACAAAACAAAAAAATTACATGCATGGACGAGAATCTCAATTGTAATATATTGTAATGAGTTATGATCACGGCAAACTAAGATTAGCACATAACCACACATAATTTTTTTTTAAAAAATACTACTGTTTTTTAGAACCATTTTTTACGATTTTTGTTATTTTAAGATTTTTTCCCAGTAGTCTATATTCTTTTTTTGGCATTGTTTGATTTACGTACCTTGGAATCCAGCAACCCAAATACTATTTCCTTGAGCTGCTCGTTAGATATCTCCGCCTGCGTTCCAAACGCCACATACAAAACTGGACGTCCTTCCACTCGCTTCCGGTCTAACCAATGAATCCAACTCGGTTTATCACTGTCCGGTTTAGGAGTATCTACTAAACACAAAGGCCCAACACACCACGGCTTGGGCTCATCTTTAGCACGCATCCCGAAGTCAACGAACGTTGACTCTAGCTCGTAAAAGCTGTTCACTATAACTCCATGACTTTTCTTCGTGGACACAGTTTGGTCCATGAATAGCTCGAAATCTGGACCTGATTGATCCGGATCGGTGAAAATCGATGGGAAATCGCATTTCTTAACCAAGATCCATGGAAAATCCGGTACAGTAACCGGTTCGGTATCAGATTTAACAATTTCCGGTTTAGTAAAGAGTTGGTGTACCAAAACAGAGGAGAAGAGAGCCGGTGCGTAAGAGTTCATGCCGAAGAAGGCAAGTCTCGGGATCTCGAATCTCGCGGCGGATTCCGATGTCCACCATAGGAATCTATCGGAGACCATAAACGAAACTTTTGGAAGATCCTGAAGCGTTTCTTCGAAGAAAGGCTGGAGGTATTTAGTTGCGCGCGTGAAGGGCACGTAGAACGACATTGATGGGAGCTTGTCGGTGCTCTCAACGCCGGGAGGTATTCCGGTGATGTTTTCCGGGAAAGGGAGGGAGATTATATTGATAGATGATGATGTGATTGTGACGTCGGAGAGGAAGTTTGAGACGAAAGGTTGGTTTTTTGGGGTGGTGAAGACGGTGACGGAAATGCTTGGTCCTTCACCGTCATCGGAGCCGGATATGACACGGCGGTGACGGAGGATGAGGCGGGCGAATTGGAGGAGAGGGATGGTGTGGCCCTTTGACATGTAAGGGAAGAGAACCACATGATGATCAGGTGATGACGATGAAGCTGCCATGTTTTTGTTTTTCTTAATTACAACATTGTTTTCACTTCATTTTCACAAGACTTTATTTATAGGTCGAGTTTTCACTTCATTTTGTAAAAGAGTTTGACTGTCATAATTGTGTTTCCAAAATGTAGTTATTGTTTTTTTGACTTGATGGTTCAAAAGAAGTAAATTTGACTTGATAGTGTGGCCCTTCATATATATATATATATGGTGCCAGTATGGCAGTAAGCAATGCTAAAATACGTTACATGCCAATACGTTAAATGCAGTCAGACATTTTTTTCCTATCATTAAACATGTCTCTAGTATAAGCAAGTTATTACAGCTTTTTGGACATGTGGTCAGAACTTCAGATTCTCACGTAAGTGAAGTCCATGTTGATAAAAAAAAGGTGATAATGATAAGGTGCTTCTAGAAACTGCTAAAATTTAAAATAGAGGAACACATCGAAGAAACGAAAATCTACTTTGAAAAAACTATTTCAATATTTGAAATGAAGTTTAATACTTTTTCATATGTACATTTCAGTAACTACAAATTGGTAAATTACTAAAACAAAACCATAAGGAGATTGAAATGGGCCTAAATACTCCAGAGCTGATTTTTTATTGGGCCTTTTCTCAGCATACTATAATTAGACCACAAAAACATGGACAGCTAATTAGTGAATTTAACCCAACGTGTCTGTAAAGTGTAAGCAAGCCAACGACTCCATCTCGGGCTGCTTGATTTCTGCCGTTGTTCGATGGAAATAAGAAAGCGGAAGAACGCCGACGGTGATGGTGACGGTGGCTCGTCAGCTAACGGCGAAGATGATCGGAATTCGTTTAACCTTTCTTCGAAATCAGCTCGAAATCGTTCTCCGAGTCGGATATTCTTGTTATGCCTCGCGTTTCGTGTGGTAAATGCTTTGTTGATTCAGACTTATTTCAACCCCGACGAACATTGGCAATCCCTTGAAGTAGCTCATCGTACCGTGTTCGGGTAATGTTTTCAAATGCTAAGTTAGATTATTCTTCGTGTTATTAGTTTTGTAATTAAATCTGCCTGCTTAGTTTGATGAGCATTGTTATTATATTTTTCACATAGTAGAAGTGAGAATTGTGAAGAAATCAAGCGTCAGCGACTTTCAGCTAGGATTGCCATTTTAAGATTGTTTCTTGATTGATTATAATGACACAGTTATGGTTATTTGACATGGGAGTGGAAGAGAGGGATAAGAAGCTATTTGCATCCAATGGTATTCGCATTCTTGTATAAAGTTCTCGAAGTTACGGGCCTTGATACTCCCTACGTTATGGTCAGTAGGATTCTTCGTCTTCATTTTTTTTTTCAGAAAAATCCTATTAGTTTGTGGATTGAATTATAAATAGAGTGTTGTTACATTTGAGTGATGCGATATTTTATTTTTGTTTAATCTAATACGAAGCAGACCTGGTAACATTGATTTTGAATATACGTTTCTCCAAAATCCGATTCAATTGAAACTCCCAATTTGTTAAGACGTAGTAGTGGAATTGTCTCTGACTCTTCGTTTACTTGTGTTTTAGTAGTTTTAGCTCTTACAGTGTTCAGATAAAGGTGGATAGAATGGTTTATCTGTTTTTTTCGTTCGGAAAAAAAGAGAAAAAAGAAAATGGTTTATGTGTTACAACCCTTTCCTTCCTTTGCAGAGAAAAGCTCCACGTCTGATGCAATCCGTGTTTTCAGCTCTTGGTGACCTCTATTTGTATAAACTCTCAGATGCTCTATATGGAGAAAATGTTGCCAGTTGGTCTGTATCCTTTCTATGCAGCTTACTAAGTGAACTGCTTAATTTTCATGAGCCGTATGGCAATGTAATTGCGACCAATGAAAATTACAAGATTAGTCTAGCTAGTAAAACATAAAGATCACCTACAAAAGACCATTACATTATATTGATAGTACCAGAAGTGAGTTAGCTAGTAAAACAGCAAGGATTGGTCAATGGAACCAGAAGTGAGTTAGATTCCTAGCTTCGGTCCTATTTTAAAGAAAGACCGAGATAAGTCTGTTAGTGATTGCCATGAAGATGTCCTGAATAACCGATTCCCTCTTCTCATTGAATTTGTTTTTCTGTTTTCCTGTTGTTGTTTCTGAAACCTAGTCTTTCTTAATTTGTATTTTCCATTTTATTCCGGATTGCTTTCCTTAACGTTTTGGTAGTTATTTTGTCAAATGGCAAACTGGTTCATGTTCTTCTGTTTAAACCGCACTTTTTCAAACTGTTTGGAGACTGTTCTTACCATCATGGGGCTGTACTACTGGCCTTCTATTAGAGATGCTTCAAAGGACTATCCCGTGAATCGGAAGTGGGGTTTGGTCATAGCAGCACTGGCATGTGCCATAAGACCAACAAGTGCAATCATATGGTTATTTGTTGGGATGCTTGAGCTATTTTTGACGCCTAATAAACTCAACTTCATCATTCTAGAGGTGATCCCGATTGGGTGAGTTTTAACTCTGTGGCTGTCCTCTTGAATGTTTCATTTTATTGTTTCCTTTTGAAGATTTCGTTGCGCTTACTTGCTTCTGGTGTTAGGTCTTTGGTCCTCGGTTTCACATGTTTGTTAGACCGTGTGATGTACGGCTCATGGGTCATCGTGCCTCTGAATTTTCTTAAGTTCAATTTCCTTTCATCCGGTGGAGACTATTATGGAACTCACCCATGGCACTGGTACTTCTCCCAGGGATTTCTTGTCATGCTTTTGACTTTCACACCATTCTCCATTTATGGAGTTATCAAGTCTAAGAATCAGAAGCTCTCAGCTCTTATTCTATGGGTTTTAGCTGTATACAGCATACTCGGCCACAAGGAATTCAGGTAATATGGATGCAGAGTGAACCCTTTACATTTTCGTCCCTTTTAGAAAACCTCAAGAAACATCTTTTCATCATGAATTATGTTTTCCGTGTCCTCTACTTAGAATATGAATGATAGGTTTGTGCTGCCTGTGCTACCCATAGCCTTGATATTCTCTGGATATGCATTTGCTCAAATGGAGGCATCTGATTCATCATCATCATCAATCACCAAAAAGAAGAAAGTCCCTCGAAAGAACCATATTATCAAGTGGTCTCCTAAACTACGACTTTCAGTCGGGTTTTTGCTTGCGACCAATATCCCAATGGCATTATATATGAGTTTATACCATCAGGTCAATCACCTGAAGTGCTCTCTGTAGTTTCTAAGTTTACACAATCTCTCTTTATTTGTGCTAAAAGGCAATGTTGTTGTTTCCAACAGAGAGGAACCGAGGATGCGATGAACTACTTATCTGAAGAAGCATACAAAGGGAGAGTAAAGAGCATTCTCTTTCTCATGCCATGCCATTCTACTCCCTATTATTCCACTCTCCATAGTAATATTCCAATGCAGTTTCTCGACTGCACGCCGAGGTAACGTACCACGCCCCGAGTCACAGTTCTTGCTTCTTTGTTATTCTTAAAGGTTATTCTTCTTCTTCTTCTTCTTAAACAGTGAAGAGAAAGGAAAACTTGATGAGTCAGATCAATTCTTAATGGACCCTTTAAGTTTTGCATCAGAGTTAGCTAGAAACTGGTCCGAGCCACCTAGTCACATTGTATTGTTTGCATCAGAAGCAACGAAACTCGGAGATTTCATGATCCAACATTCTTATAAAGAGGCAAGTTAGAAGCAAGAAGACACTTTTTTTCCCCAACTCTGACGTCATTTCCCCTCTTTTTTTCTTTTTGCATTTTGATGGATTACAATTTGTTTTTGCTGGCGATGAAACAGGTGAAAAGGTTTTTCCACGCGCATTTTAAAGTTGATCGAGATCTTCAATCCTCAGTGGTCGTCTATACTACTGGCAGTAGTCTACTGCTATACAAGACTGACTAACTAGGTTTCTATATCTTAACTTCGTGTCGTTTGTTTAGCATTTTAATGTATTTCGATTCTCAAAAAACGCCGTGATGTTCTAGTGACTTTTGTATGAACGACGACACAATGATATAATGGTTTTTTATTTTCTGGACGTCGATTAATTTTGTTTCCTGTGCTTTTGCTTCATTTTAAGTGGGCCGTTTGTATACTTTGAACCCCTTATTTTCTTGGGCCTTAGTAAACTAATGTGCCACGCGATTTGCACGTGCGCACTGAACTGATTTATCACTTGATCTCTTTAACACTTCAGGTTAGATATATTTTGTATCACAACCAAACCTAAATCCTATCCTTAATCCATAGTCCATAATTTTCCGATGGAGATACTTCCGATTTCGGCGGAGAGCTTCAAGGTTGGGTTCATCGGAGCTGGAAAGATGGCGGAGAGTATAGCTAGGGGTGTGGTTGCCTCTGGTATGCTTCCTCCGCATCGTATCTCAACGGCCGTTCACTCGAATCTCAATCGCCGTCAAGTCTTCGAATCCTTTGGCGTCAATGTCTTCTCGAGTAGCGAAGAAGTAAGTCTTTCGTTCGTCTTCACCGTTCCTTATTGATCGGTAGTCTTAGAGAGAGCGAAAGATTTTCGTCGGAGTAAATCATGAAATGTAGTGGTACGTTGTTGTTGTAGTACCAGGGAGCCAGTTGCCTGCTGGAGTGAAAACTAATCGAAACTGACGATCTTCAAAATGACAGGTCGTTAAAGAAAGCGATGTTGTGATATTCTCTGTGAAACCCCAAGTTGGTATATTTCTACCTCTCACATTCCTGCTCTGTTGAAACACAAACTTATGTGATCTCTACATCAGTTGAATTTAGTGTTTACCTAAAGCTTGTACCTGTCATATGCAGTTAAGAAGGCAGTCACGGAATTAAGAACGAAGCTCTCCAAGGATAAGCTTCTGGTTTCGGTTGCAGCTGGAATTAAGTTGAAAGATCTACAGGTTTGCATCTTTGTAGAGAAAAAGGGGTATACTTTGTCAGATATATGTTTATATGTTGCAAGAATAAGCTGCTTATTATCTTCTTTTTTTTTCAAAGTGTCAATGAATCTGTCATTATCCATGGTGTTGCAGTGTCAGTGTTTGTATCAAATAAGAGTACTATATGGTTGAAATGCTGAAAGATCTCATTTTGTCTTATGTTAGGAATGGTCTGGTCAAGATCGATTCATAAGGGTGATGCCTAATACACCAGCCGCAGTTGGTGAGGCTGCTTCAGGTAGTTTCTCAGAGTCCATATATGTGCTATTTCTCAATTGTTTGTGATTGCTTTTCTCTTTTGGACATATGAAATGCTTACATATGCTGCAAAATGTCGTGTGTAAAATAGTGATGAGCCTAGGAACAGCGGCAACAGAAGAAGATGGAGCACTCGTCGCTAAGTTGTTTGGCTCGGTGGGGAAGATTTTAAGAGCTGATGAGAAAATGTTTGATGCTGTCACTGGTCTCAGGTACATAACGGTTTCTGATTGCGCAAAGTTGTTCAAGTCACTTATCAAGTAATGATGTACCAAAATTTTCAATCTTTTACAGTGGAAGTGGACCAGCATACATATTCTTAGCCATTGAAGCTTTGGCTGATGGAGGAGTAGCTGCTGGTTTACCTAGAGAACTCGCACTGGGTTTAGCTTCACAAACCGTCAGTGAACCGACCTCTCACAACCAGCTTAAATCTTCTTCTTTTTTGGTGGTATTGAATAACGGAAACTAGAAAGAAAAGCCTGAGCTTTTAGTTTTTCTCTCTCTTTCTCTGATAGGTTCTTGGAGCTGCAACAATGGTGAGCAAAACGGGGAAGCATCCAGGTGTGTTGAAAGATGATGTCACTTCACCTGGCGGCACTACAATAGCCGGAGTTCATGAACTGGAGAAAGGTTCTTTCCGTGCAACACTTATGAATGCTGTTGTTGCTGCAGCTAATCGAAGCCGCGAGCTCTCACAGAGCTAGATTATACATTATGTAGTTGCGCTATTGCTTCACCTCACGGATTCGTCAAAATAAAGGGTGTTGTTATATTGCTTGCCTACACTACGATGGTAGATGTGAAAATTATTTATCTCCACTCTGTATTGGTTCTGAACACAGGTTTTTTTTTTTAATGCATTCTTAGATCTAATAAAAGTCAAATTTCAGCATAATGTGGGCATCAATGTCAGCTCCAAAAGAATTCGCATTATATAAGAAAGCAAATTATCTGATTTGCTTCAAACCAACTAATACTATGAGTCGAGGATTAATCTCAAGGAAGAAGCATAAACGACAAGTCAACAATGATGTGAAGAATGGAGACTGAATCACCAAAGAATTTGACCAATTTGCATTAAACCAAAAGATTCAGACTCATCTTACCAAATCTTGGTATAGTTATATACACATAAGAAAAGAAAAGAGAAACAAAAGCACTGGTGAATACTGAAGAAAAGAAAAGAGAACACACCGAAAGAAAAATAACCAGAAAGAAATCAAGATTTTTTTTTTAATAAACGGTCTTCACTCTCTTTATCGATCCATAATTTGCCAATTTGGTAGATCATGCCCGGAGAATACCATGTAACCGTATGATCCGTAGCAACGATTTTTTCAAAAGAAAAAAAAAAATTCAAAATGAAGGAGATAAGGTTTATAACTGAGATGAAGATGATGAACCTGCAGTAACCAAACCCTCCCGAACAGTCACTGGCACAACATTGGTAACACGAAGGACGGCTTGTGCGCTTAGAGCCGACAGCTTTGACTGGCAGAAGATTTCCCAAGTAATTGGCTCTGCCTCTGGGATTTGCTCTTCCTCTAGCGTTGATGATGATGATGTCTCAGGTTTGATGACAGGATGAGCTTTTTCATACACGGTCTGAAGTTCAAGTAGGACGGTCCGTGCAGCCTCACGGGATTCAGGGAGCTGATCGCTAAGCTGAGACGCGGCTGCTTGAACTAACTTGTCAATCCCGTATTCTTTAATACCTTCAACGCCCTGGAATATGTATATTTTAGCGCAAGGAGTTGTTGGCATTGTTAAATAAGACGAGATGCGTTTCTGAGAGAGACACATCTGGAAAGAACAGAAGTTGAACTTGTATTACCAGTCGGGGAACACTTCGGGAAAAGCACAATGATGCTTTTGCACGGATCCGAGGATTCCTGTTCTTGAGACAAGGTTGCAGCTTTGGTAACAGCAAAGTTGGGGAAACATATTTGGTCATTGATGTTAAAGCTTTCTCTGCTGCCTCGCAGACGAACCTTTTGTCTTGGGAAGACTTGAGGAGGAGTTGAGTTAGCTGAAAGCATAGTAAATGAAACGATGTAAGAACAAGTAAAATTCAATCAACGAAACACAGAGAAAGAGTAAAAATATAGATAAAAGAGTTACCAGAGAATCCAACAGATCTGTTATATGGTTGTTATAAGCACTGAAGATGTCTGCAGATGTCATGCATGCGGTTTTACATACCGCGCTTCTTGGATTTTTCAGTGATTTCACGACGAGTGGGATCACTTTGTCTCTGTTGATATCATGACACTTGTATTTTTCAATCAACTTTAAGAGATAATAAAGTCATAGACAACAAGCGAAGAGAACAGGGCTTACAGCATATGCAGCATTGCTTCCTTGTGGAATATCGAAAGCCGACGAACATTATTAAGAGCATCACAAACTGCTACCCAATCCTTGGAGTCAAGACCAGGTAGAACCGACTGAAGTAATGAGACCAAACAAATTCATCTTGCGTTATCATAATATTTCCAATCTCCAAACAGATGGATATAACAGTTATGGATCTATGATTGTACTGATGCTAATGGGATTTAATGAAAAAGATACCTTCAGAACTTCATCAGCATCGTCAACATTATCCAGGTTCTCGGATTCAATATATTCAACTTCCACGGTAGCTTTCTCTGCCTCGGGTTTCTCTGATTCTACAACGCTAGGATCACTGGGAACCAAAGAGGCAGAGCTTGGTAATGGTCTATCTTCAGATTTTCCATTCATTTTTCCAGCACAAGGCTTGGTTAAGCTTGCTTTACATTCACTCATCTTCTCAGTTACTGGAAGACTATTCAAATCTTTTAAAGTATTACTGGCCATGCGTGAAGTTACCTGCGTCAAGACAGAAATAAATCACCATCGGAAACAAAATACAGACAGTTACAAGAATAGCATGGAAACGGTAAAGATTCAATGGAAATTACACTGCAATAAGAAAATCTATGGTCAAAACAATGAACAAATTCTGGAAATTACTTCCATAGCAGCCTAGAGGATACTGAATTATCGTAATACTTTCACACTAAGCCTGAAGTGAGACACTCAAATCCGTTTCTAACTCATCACATTTGGAAATTACGCACAGATCTCGATGATTTCAAGCTTGAATCAGCCAAGAAACTCCACCAGAAAACCCCACTGAAGATTAAGAAAATTCTTAACTGGTAAATGCCATTAATGGACCAGGAAAAGAAGTAGAAAATCTGAGTAACTCTACTAGTCAACTTCACAGACTGTTTGCTACGATCAAAGCGGACCAATTCAGCAGCAGAAATCGAGCACCGCATAGATCTACATTTCAAACTCAAATTTCGAGCAATTTAACAATAACAACAAAAACACGATCTCACTCAAGAACTCTGAGAGGATCTAAATTTGTTTCCAAACAAGTCTTCGCGGCTGGTGATATTGAATCGGATTCAAAAAAAATTCACAGAGATCAAAACCACATGGAATATACGCATATGAATACATATACCAGTTCAAATTTGCATTACGCGTTTACAGAAAAAAAAAATGGAGATAGAGAAATTTACCGGCGAATCAAGAGGTGGCAAAACGTAAACCTCTGAGTAGAAAAACTGAAGTCGGATTAGCGAAAATCTATGGACTCGAAAATCGCCGACCTCAAAAATCTAAATAAGGAAATGAAATTTGAAATGCGAGAGAAAATGGAGAGAACGAAAGAGAAAACTAAGAGAGAGAGGCTTTCTTTTGTTGGAGACGAAAATATTAACCGGCGATGCACTTTCACGAGTCGTACTCGCATGGTGTGGCTCGAGACGACCTCGTATTCGTATGGTGTGAACTGAAAACGGTATCGTATGTGAATTTAAGTGGGACCTATGTGCACGAGATTTTTTTTTTTGTCGGGTTATAGTTACCATATGCAAATTGCCTCGCGGTTGAAATTAATGTTTTTTTCTTTCTTGTTCACATTATTTCCAAGATATCCTCTGACCAAAATATATTATTTCCAATTAAAACTCTTTTCTCATTTTGGTTAATTCTATTCTATGTTTATCAAAATAAAGTTGTTTGATTTGATTTTGATATGACCCTCCAGCGCCAAAAACATCCTCATCAACTAGGGCTGGAACGGAGCCGGATATCCGGACTTTTCAAAGTATCCGGATCCGGCTCCGGCTCCAGATTTGACAGATAATCAATTTTATTATCCGAATCCGGATCCAAAAACTCCGGATATCCGGAAACCGAATATCCGGTTTGAACCGAAGATTTACGGATATCCGACCGGATATCCGGTTTCATTGATTTAAAAAAAAAACTTCAATTTTTAAAATTATAATAAGATAATATATATAATTAAAATGTATCATTATAGCAAAAATTACAAATACCAAAAATTTAAAAGCATTCAAGTAGCATTCAAATAACACAAAGTTTAAAAATTTACATAGCAAAAGAGAAAATAGTAATAGAGAAGTTAATTTATCTTCATATCCTTGTGTTATCTATTTTCATGGTCTTCTCTCACAATCTGGAATAGAAAATTATCATGCAATATAAATTTCAATCATGTGTAAAAGAGTTAAACCAAAAACAATTTTCAAACATAATTAAAACAAAAAATTAAATGCATATCCAAAAATTTCAAAATTTTCAAAATCTTAATAAACGGATAACGGATAACGGATATCCGAGTTTAAAATTTTCTATTATCCGGATCCGTATCCGAAATAACCGAATACTTAATTTCACTATCCGGATCCGGATCCGAACTACACGAATATCCGATTTTTACGGATCGGATAGGATCGGATAACGGATACCGGATAATAATTCCAGCCCTATCATCAACTGTCGACTGTCGTTTGTGAATCTTGCATAATCTTTTAGAAATGTGTTTTTTTCTCGGCAATCTTTGTTATTCGGCAATCTTTTACAAATATTTTTTTTTTATCATAAATGTCGATAACAATGACTTTAAATGTCTACATTTTCTGGATACACGGATATATGGTAGGTCTAACAGCTTTAAATCCATATCGTACTTCACTATATAAGAATTAAATTCAAATCTGGTCAGATCCGTATGATAACTAACTTGACTCATTTGTAAGATTGAGTTTTGCTCACTAGTGAAAAATAGTGCGGTTTTAAGATTAAGTTTGGTAAAAAGGGTTTATAGCAAAGTTTCAACTATAAAATTTTGATTGAAAATCCATAAATGTTTCTTTTTTGCTAAAGTAAATCCATAATTTTTATTATATGCATCATTTGATAATGGCGAAATAACTTTGCGATTACTATTATGTTAATATTGTCATGAATTTATATGTTGTTATCAAATTATACAATGACGGAAAAATCATATGCATCTACTCAACATTCTACAGATCTAATGATAAGAAACAAGCATCATCCCAGTCGTGTTAAAAAAAAAATCAGTTTGAGCATACCCTTATGTAGTAGTAAACAAAAAGAAGGCACATGTGATAATACAATGTGGGGAAGGGCGTATTTAAAAAAGGGAAAAAATAATAAGTTGGCTGTCACCATATCTAACCACTGTTTGATCAAATTACAAATTGAATGATTAGCATCACACCCGATAACCACTATATTTATATTACAGTAGTTTTAAATGATGCCCATAATATTGATTGATATAGTTGTCGAGAAAATAAATATTAGTACAAATATGGACCCACGTTCCACAACATTACATATGTTGTTGTAATGTTGTACATTTGTTAGACTACCGTCGGTGTGTGCCTAACCAGTCGTAGAGTGAATTCGGTTCATTTTCATAAACCAAACGTAATCCAATACCTAAACCAGCCCACAGTCAATTGGAGTCTTTTTGTCTTTTTGAGTTCCACCGATTTCGGGTTCGACTCAAAGATCAAATATAATATACGCATCATCATAGCTAGGCTCAACATAAATGTAATAATAATATTAACGTTACATTTCTTGTTGGTCTTTTACAATTTTTCGAAAGGACAACGGGAGATATCATATCATAGATGATTTATTTATTTAATAGTAAGCTTTGCCCTTTGCATACAAAAGACTTGAGAGTTGAAAAAGCTTATCTGTACTGAGGAGCAAGTTCACCGTCCTTGACGATGTAATTCTGGGCAGGGAAGTCTTCTCCTTTAAAGTACCTCTCCAACATGTCTTTTGTCCCAGCCGCATATCGTAGCTGATTTTTGTTTCAAACAAAAAAACAAACAAAACCAATGTATCTCAATTACAGATTTGACACGGACTATAGTTCCAAAATGTTGACGTTAGATTAAAAGCTCAAGACTATTGCAGATTAGTAGTGACCAAAACGACATGAGCATCTTTGGACTACATCATTACACATATATTTTCAAAGCGATTCTTATGTATGGTGGTCCACAAGGGAAACAAATATTACCTGAGCATCAATGGTGGTGCCGGAGATGTGAGGGGTCATTGCTTGGTTAGGCATGTAACGCCATGGATGGTCCTTAGGAGCTGGCTGTGGGTCCCACACGTCTCCGCTGTACCCTCCAATGTGTCCACTCTCGACCGCCTCCACCACCGCTTGCCTGTCCATGATGGCTCCTCTTGCGTTGTTCACTATCAAAACGCCACTCTTCATTTTCCCTATCATCTCTCTGTTGAACATTCCTCTGTTTAAAACAAGAACAAGAACAAGAACCCACTGGTCAAATCTCCGACCAAGAAAAAACTCTTTTCTGGTGTTTGTGATATTAGCGTCCTACTACCTTGTCTTCTCCGTGAGAGGAGTGTTGACAACTACGACGTCGCATTTAGGGAGCATTTCATTGAGATTCTCAACGTACTTAGCACCAATCTCTTTCTCCAGCTCTGGTTCCATCTGAAGCCTGTCATGGTACAATAAGTTACACCCGAAGGGTTTCAATCTCTGTAGCAAAAGCCTTCCGATTCTTCCAGCTCCAACGGTTCCTACTGTCTTCCCTTCTAGATCATAAGCCCTATAGGCAATGCCAGCAACGTTCCACTCTCCATTGATGACCTGATTGTACCCTGGTAAGAAGTTTCGCATGAGAATCAGGATTCTCATCAGCTCATCTTCTGCTACCGAGACAACGTTGCTTCCAGTGACTTCAGCCACAGTCAGGCCAGCAGCTGCAGCCGCCTGCAGATCGATATGATCGGAGCCAATACCAGCCGTGAGGAGAAGCTGCAGGTTCTTGGCTTTCTTGATTCTTTCAGCAGTCACATAAGCCGGGTGAAAAGGGGTGGATATTAAGACGTGAAGGTCCGGGATATGTTTCTCAAGTTCTGCCAATTTATAAAGAATAGCAGCATCAGAGGAACCATACACTATAAAACAAAAAGAATCAAAATTTTTGATAATCTTCAAATTTTAATTGTCTAGATTGGATGCGTACTCACCACAGTCTGGGCCTTCTTTGTCATCGGTGACAATGTACTGATGACCTTGTGATTCTAGCCAGTTGCGGATTCCTAAAGCATTCTCCACGCAGCCAAGGAAGTTAGGATTCTTGGAAGCGTATTCGTTGGCCTTGTAGAAGACCCCAACAATCTTTTTGCTATCACCAGAAGAAGCCTGTTCTCATAAGCCAGTTCAGAATCTAATTAACATATAGTTTATAATATACACATTTCAAAGCAGATGGATACATATATAGACAGGAAGAAAAACTCCAAGCATTTTACGTCAGCATAACCACTCAATTAAATATATAAAGCCCAAACGTTTATAAGCTCGTTAAGAGGCCCAAAATACTAGAGAGCCAGATTCAAACATCCTGTCGTTTGATAATTTCAGAAAAGGAAACCGTGTAGTCTTTGCTTCCAAAATGGAAAATTTAGCTGGCTAATCAGAACGACGGTAGTACTTTCCTAATTTTAGTTACACGTTTCAGTCATGCAGAGTCTGATCACAAACACAATGGGTTCTTCACTACTTCTTCTTCAAAACCAAAATTGTGTATCTCTCAATTTTAGTGAAAATGAAACAATAACGCGAAAGATTTAAAAAACCTCCATCACGCATACACAGAATCGGAACCATAACTCACCGTAAAAGAGGCGTATTCAATAAAAAAAAAAGAGCATAAACCAGCTAAATCACCACACAAAACTCGGAGAATACTGCAACATAAAGTACGATTGAGCTTGATTTCTACAGAAATTACTATATGACCAACTTATAAGCTAATTAACACCAGAAATCGTGAAAAACAAGGAGAGCAATCGAAGGAGAGATCGAAGAGTTCTTACATGTAACTGACGTGCGAAGTAGCCCGAAGAAGAAGAGGAAACACAGGCTCTGATCGCTGCTCTGGTGGCTCGTCGCAGCGCCATCTTCTGAGTAGATCGGCTCTCAAAGTTAAGTGGAGATTATTATCAATTTCGTTGCTTCGTCTAATTGGAGAGCATTTTATACTCGACGAAAGTTCACGGCCCGGAACCAAGTCATCCTCTTCTCCAGACCAGCTATAATGTGCCACGTGGAATATAAGAGATATCCGACGGCTCCAGAGGCATTATTGGTATTGTAATTGATTATATGTTTTGGATAAGCGTATAGCATCGCATTATTAATTAATGAATAAAAAAAATTTTTGTTTATAAATTTAAGATTCGAAACTGTAAAGCTCAATATAGGCCCACATATAGGCCCGATGATGATGTTTGATTGTTTTTTCACAAACGACGTCGTAGTAAGTCGCCGTTAAGATTCTCGTCGGCGAGCTTCAAAACTCTTTTCTCAGTTGGTCGTGTTTAAGGGAAACGATGCGTCGTCACAAGCGGACGCCATGAGAGCTTGCAGGAGTCTCTGGAGAACTTTGCAGATTTAGATGAACTCCGATCCTTCTGCTGATGATGATAAGGATTTGGAATAGCTATACGGGAAAATACAGATTCTTTCGCTCGAATTGCCGCTCTTTCTCGACAATCAAACGACCCCAAATCCCGGGAAGCGAAGAGACTAGCGTCTTGATCTCAGAACGCAGATTCGATACAGATTTAGCTCCCAACAAGACTCGGGTTTACGTCTCTCTCTTTCACACTCTCTTTCGGCTTTATGTAAGCTGCGGGAGGCTCTACGGAGCAGCAAGGACGCTCTCTGCGATGTGCACCTTCGGTGTTGTTCCGGATTTGCGTCTCTGGAATAGTTTAATTCACCATTTCAACGTCCATTGTTTGGTACCTCACCAGGTATCGTTGATTTACAGCAAGATGATAGCTTGTGGGGTTGCTCCCGATGTTTTTGCTCTCAATGTGTTGATTCATTCTTTGTGCAGAGTGGGTCAACTGAGATTCTCAGTTAGTTTACTTAGGAATAGAGTAATCAGCGTTGATACCGTTACTTATAACACTGTGATTTGGGGTTTATGCGAACATGGTTTGGCCGACGAGGCTTATCGGTTTCTCTCTGAAATGGTGAAGAAAGGTATATTGCCTGATACGGTCAGCTACAATACTCTGATTAATGGGTTTTGTAAAGTTGGAAACTTTGCGAGAGCCAAGGCATTAGTGGACGAAATTGCGGAACTAGACCTCATCACTCACACTATACTCATAAGCTCTTACTTTAGTCTCCACGCCATCGAAGAAGCCTACAAGGGTATGGTTATGAGCGGGTTTGATCCGGATGTTGTTACTTTTAGTTCGATTATTAACCGATTGTGCAAAGACGGAAAAGTGATGGAAGCGGGATTGCTACTGAGAGAAATGGAGGAGATGGGTGTATATCCGAACCATGTAACTTATACTACTCTTGTTGATTCGTTGTTTAAAGCAGAAAGTTACCGAGATGCTTTGGCACTTTACAGCCAAATGGTTGTGCGTGGGATTCCGGTAGATTTAGTTGTATATACTGTTTTGATGGATGGTCTGTTTAAGGCCGGAGAACGTAGGGAGGCTGAGAAAACATTTAAGATGCTTTTGGAAGATAACCAAGTTCCAAATGCGGTTACCTATACGGCTTTGGTAGATGGCTTGTGCAAAGCGGGGAATTTAAGCAGTGCAGAATTTATCATAAGGCAGATGCTAGAGAAAAGTGTTCTTCCGAATGTTGTCACCTACTCTAGTATGATCAATGGCTATGTAAAGAAAGGGATGCTAGAAGAAGCTATTAGTCTTATGAGAAAAATGGAGGACCAGAACGTTGTGCCGAATAGTTTTACTTATGGTACAGTAATTGATGGCTTGTTTAAGGCAGGGGAACAAGAAGTAGCTTTCCAAATGAGTAAGGAAATGAGGCTCACTGGGTTGGAGGAGAATAACTACATACTTGATGCTCTGGTGAATCATTTGAAGAGAACTTGTAAGATTGAGGAACTTAAGGGATTAGTCAGTGACATGGTATCCAAAGGAGTGACACTGGATCGTATTAACTACACATCTTTAATTGATGTGTTCTTCAAAGGAGGAGACGAAGAAGCTGCTCTTGCTTGGGCTGAAGAAATGCAAGAGAAAGGGATGCCATGGGATGTTGTTTCTTACAATGTCTTAATTAACGGGCTGTTAAAGTTTGGCAAAGTCGGAGCAGACTGGGCCTACAAAGGAATGAGAGAGAAGGGCATAGAACCAGATATTGCTACATTTAACATAATGATGAATGCACAACGAAAGCAAGGGAATCTCGAAGGTATCCTTGAGCTGTGGGATAAGATGAAGAGTTGTGGAATAAAACCGAGTCTGATGAGTTGCAACATTGTGCTTGAAATGCTATATGAAAGCGGTAAGATGGAGGGAGCAATTGACGTATTGAATCAAATGATGTTTATGGAGATCCATCCTAACTTAAAGACATACCAAATTTTTCTCGACGCATCTTCAAAGCATAAAAGAGCTGATGCTATCTTCGAAACGCACGAGAAACTCCTGGGTTATGGAATCAAACTCAGTAGGCAAGTGTACAATACTCTTATTGCGACTCTGTGCAAACTAGGTATGACGAAAAAGGCAGTTATGGTTATGGAGGATATGAAAGAGAGAGGCTTTATTCCTGATACTGTGACGTTCAATGCCCTTATGCACGGATATTTTGTGGGCAGTCATGTAAGAAAAGCTCTTTCGACATATTCTATGATGTTGGACGCAGGAATATCCCCAAATGTTGCAACCTACAATACTATCATAAGAGGTCTCTGTGATGCAGGGCTGTTAGAAGAAGTAGAGAAATGGCTGAATGAGATGAAGAGTAGAGGTATGCGCCTTGACGATTTTACGTACAATGCGTTAATTTGTGGTCAAGCTAAGATGGGGAATAAGAAAGAAAGTATGACGATATACTGTGAGATGATCGCGGATGGGTTGGTACCTAAAACTGGCACTTATAATGTGCTTATTAGTGAATTTGCTCAAGTTGGGAAGATGCTTCAGGCAAGAGAGCTAATGAAGGAGATGCGTAAGAGAGGAGTGAGCCCCAACACTTCGACTTATTGTACAATGATATCTGGTTTGTGTAAACTTTGCACCCATCCAGAAGTTGAGTGGAATAGAAAAGCAATGTACTTGGCAGAGGCAAAAGAGTTGTTGAAAGAGATGGTCGAAGAAAAGGGATATATTCCGTGTAATCAAACTATTTACTGGATAAGTGCAGCTTTTTCTAAACCTGGAATGAAGGTTGATGCTGAAAGATTCTTAAAGGAGTGTTACAAGAAAAAGAATGCTCGTTCTTCACATTCGTGAACCGGCTAATTCTGTTTTATCCTTGTAATCATAGTGTCGCTCCAAGATTGGTTTTAAGTGAATAAAACAATCATTTTAATTGAAGGAAGAGAGAGATCTTTTAAATAGGCATGTATTTTAGTAAAAAAGCTTCGCTGTGAAATTTATAAAATGAGTTTGATCTATATAAAGAATTTTTTTTATTTTTTTATTAAATTGTAAAAAATGAGTTAATATGTATATGAAATTATTTTATAAGCGGATAAAGCAAATAAACTGTTTATTTAACCGGTTGACATTAAACTAATATATTATTGAATCTAATACACAAAATATTATAATATTATAATTATCAAATCTAATTTGCATTGCTTAATAATTGAGTTTTATAATCTGTTCACAAACTATTAAAAATCAGTTTTATCTTCTTTAACTATGTATATAAATAAATATAATATTCGTTAAATTTAAATTTAATATAAAATTAATTAAAATACAATAAACTATATGTAGTTTTAAAAAACAAATTATAATATTTTGTAAATTAAATATACCACTTTTTAAAAAATTAATATTTTGAATTGCGAAATTTTTTTGTGGATATTAAAAAATTAGAATCATAATCCGTTCATATCAAACTAACACATTTACTTAACATGTTTGTACTAGATTAAAATATAAAACTAATTATGATATGCACCGTTTAATAACTCTCACTTCATTACAAATTTTTTAAAATTAAAAATCAATTTTCTCATATCAAATTTTTGGTAAAAATAACTAAAAAAAAATATTTTTGTATATAATTAAGTAAATATAACAATTTATAAATTATAGTAAAAAGTATTCACCATTTTTTATATCATAATTTTTAGTCTTTATTTTTATATTATTTAATTGAAATTTTTTTATTTTCTCGTTTTGAAATTAAATATATTTTATGATACCATTTGAAACAAAAAAATATATAAAATTATCATATATTTGAATACAGAAATTAAATAATAAATATATTCTATTAAATGAGAAATAAAGACTTTTCATATTTCTTTTATTAGATTTAAAAGATAACTATACGTTTTACTGTTTTAATTATTCTTTGTTAGTTGTAATAATATATTATGTAATATTTTATAAAATAAAAGTTATTTTTTAAAATATCTATTTTAATAATAATATAGAGATTGTGAAACTTTTTCGTTGTCATTTTATGTCCTCTACTACACTTAAAACCACAAGCAGTTGGTTATTCCAAACTCTAAACGGCACAAATCAGCGTCTCAGCGAGGAGGGCATCGGAATCTTACCTGGATCGCGATTGGGGTTTTGGGTTTAGGAGGGATATACTTTTAGGGTGAGTTATCAAAGGAGACAACAAGAGAGGGGCTTATTTTGAAATTTAAAAGTAGAAGGGTTTAAAACGCAAAATAAAAACAACTCAGGGATTATATTGTTATTTCGCCAAACACTATAACGATACATAAAGAGCTCTGTTCGAATCTTTATAATAACCGAGAGCTCTCTCGTAGCGGAAGAAGAAAGAGGAAAAGAAACGTTCATTCGAGAGGAAGCTTTCAGGTGTCGTTGAGGGGAAGCTTTCAGGTGTCGTTGAGGGGAAGCTTTCAGGTGTCGTTGAGGGGATTCTAGGGTTAGCGCAGCAAAATCTGCTCCCGTCGTCTCTGTTCGCTAATTAAACAAGTCCACTTTGGTATCTCTTCTCTTTGATCTTGAACAGTAAGCTTTCTTGAACCATCTTGATTCCGACTCTCCATATACTAGAATTTCAGTTAGTATCTTCGTTTTCACTTTTCGCTCCTTCTTGATTGAATGTCGCAGAGTTAGAGTTTCTTGTAGTTAGAGGAGTTTGAGTACGACTTGATCGAATTCGTGTACTGTTCTTATAATCAGTCATGAAATTAAGTACTTTTGGCTGTTTCTCAGGATGGGAGACGGTCTTTGTTAGATCTTTGTCTTTGTTAGATTGTTTTCTCTGTTAGATCTTTGTTATATGTTCCCACAAATCTGTAGAGAACATGGAAACTAGCCTTAAGTTTGTTAATCGCGCACAGAGATAGCTAGCTTCGAGGGAATATTTATAATATCGTTTCCAAATATGAACCCAAGTAGAGATTATTTAGCTAGCGAAGCTCTGTAGCTGTTTCCTTTCTGATCAGGATGGGAGATGAAACTGAGAATTTATTTTGTAGTTTCAGCTTTTGGTGGTGTAGAATTTTCTGTACTGTGAACTTCGGTACATTCTTGATTACCTTAAAACCTGTAATTGTATAAGGTGTGAAATATGGGAATACATGAGATTAAAAGTGAAAATGTCTATTTTTCCTTTTTGATACACGCTCTAATGATTTCTCCGTATCTATGCAAACAGTTCTGTACATAAGACTCTGTTAAATTGATTAACAACTTTCAGGTGAAATGGCTGAGCCGCAACCCCAGAACCCAAACCTTCTTATGAGATGGGGCAACGACATGGTTATACTACTGAAACCCGTCTTCTGCTCTGGGCTCGCGACTTTTGGGATATCAAGTATCTGCTGTTCAACCAAGTTTAGACGTCTTCGAGTGCCGATGCAAGTGTCTCTCATGTTCGGAATGATTATGTACAGCTCAGCGACCGCTATTTATTGCTTCTCTACATGGCACATGCCACCCCGTGTGTTGAATGCCAACCGGCCCAATGGAGCACTACAAGCTGTACAGCAATTCCTAATACTCATATTCCTATCTTCGGTTTGCAGTATTACGCTCTATGAACACGACTACCTAATGGCCTTGGGTGTGGCAACCATGATTCTGCAAGGAGAGTTCTTCTTGCGTCTACTGGGGTGTAGAATCAGTAGGCGAGCTATTTGTAGTGGGTTACTCGCAGTGGCAGGAATGGGTTTCACGAGGTCCATACCCTGGCTGGTACAATCGTGAGCAGTGTTGCTTTCATACTGGCCATTAGCATTCTGTGTATTGGTTAAAGGGACTCTCTCTGTATTGTTTGGTTTAAGAGAAATAAGAAGAAGAATTCAGAAAAACGAGATTTTCATTTCTCTGTTTCTAAACGATTGATAACAAAACAATAACATTTTTTAATCTCCAAATAGATAGATATAACAGTTATGGACCTATATGGGTTGTACTGATGCTAAATGGGATTGAAAGTAATGTAAACAGGTGCACAGACGACATACAAAAATAAAAAATACATTCAGAACGTCATATGCATCGTCAATTATAATCCAAGTTGTCGGAGTCAACTTCCACGGTAGCATTCTGTACCTCGGGTTTCTCAGTTTCTACAACGCTAAGATCACTGGGAACCAAAGAGGCAGCCTTTGGTAATGGTCTATCTTCAGAATTGCCATTCATTTGATCTCAAGTACAGGCTTGGTTTAGCTTTTCTTTACATTCACTCATCTTCTCAGTTACCTGCGTGAAGATAGAAATAAATCCCCATCGGAAAAAAGATACGAACTTGTAAGAAAAGCAAGGAACGGTAGCCCTAGTTATTCAACGCAAGATTAAATGCAATTACACTGAGAAAATTCTATGATAAAAACAATGAACACTTTCCGCCGAGTTTTTTTTTGGATCCTTCTCCTCAGATTTGAACTGCGACTGATGATCGGTGATTGTCGATCTGCGGCGGAAATTGCGCCGCGAGTCGAGGGATGCTTCGTGGTGGTCGGTAATTCGATCTAAGCGGCTGAGGCGGTGGGTCCTCCTTCCCACCCTTTCGGATGGAAGATCTCTGCTTGAGGTTAATGGTGATTGGAGTTCGTTTATTGAGTCTGTAGCGGTGTCGAGGTCTAGATTCGAAATCTTACCGTCGGCGAAATCTTCCTGGAGCGGGTTCAGGTAACCGCTGAGTCCGATTTCGCCACAGGAGTCGGTTCTCCAGTTTGTCATGAACGGAATCGGCATAAACGCCGGTTGTTCGAGTAGCAGAGCTCCGGGAAGGTCCCTTGTACACTTTTAGATCTTCGTCGGATTAGTGCTCGGTTCGCATTTATCGATTACCGGTTTTTACTCTTTTTTTTATTTTAGTCAACCGTAACCAATAACCAATGCGCGGTTTGGAGAAAATCAATATAATAATATTACTTTTGGAAAAAATATTACATAACGTTTAATATACATTGATGATTACGGAGATACAGAACCGTGATATTAAACTAGAACATGTAAATGGTGGATGAAAATTGCAAAAAAAAAATTTATGTGTGCAACAATATAAGTATTATGGTAGAAGATTCTAGATTTTAACTTCTTTTTTTCTGTCGAGATTCTAGTTTTTAACTTTTGTAGAAAAATGGCAAACCTATGGAGAATCTAGTTCCCTAAAAAGTAAAAACTAAGGAATCAATATTTACCAAAAAATATATTAAAATTTGTTTATTTGAAAACCAAAATCTATTTTTTATTTTATTTTAAAACAATCCAAGCCTTTTTCTTCGGAATGGGAAACCGCATAGAAAACCTTCCTATATTCCCGAATCTATGAGGAATAGGCAAGGTCCTATCTATATATATATATATATATATGGAGAGCTGATCAAACAAAGAAACGACTAAAAAAAAAAAAAAACTTAGAGAAGCAGATAACATCGATATCATATCATGAAAGCTGATGAAACAATGATAATCAAAGGAGTGAATTGTCGGAAAACGCGGAGGATATGCTACGGAATGGCCATACCGTCGTCTCTGGGTGGTTTAACGGCAACGCTCGTTCAACTCTGGTTCTTGCCTGATGGGGAAGACAAGTTTATGGTCGGATTCTTCGCACCATTGTTCTTGATTTTAAGTCTTTTGGTCGTGAGGTCGTTATGCGTTCCAGTTCCGAAAATTACGCACGAGACTCGCCGAATGGGAGAAGAAAACTGGTGGGCAATCACCATCTCGTCTATGTTCGGTATGTTCTTTCAGTCGGACATGATCCATTCGGTACAAACTAGTATTTACTTCTTTGGGGTAATCATGGGAATCTTGGCGGTCAATCAACTCGATCGGCCGGCTCCAGATATCTCTATCCATCGGGTTCTCTTCACTGTTGCCTTGTCTTGTTTGAGTGGCTTTTTAGGTTACCATTCTTGTCTCGCTATCTTCGTCGCCTTGGGATGTCTCACTATACTTGTTCACTACTTATTTCCTCCCTCTGACGACTTTATTCCTTCTCCTTCGAATTCTCGTCGTCGTGATCTCCATGTGTAGTGAGGGACCTCTGATTTTCACTAAGTTAGACCTTGAGCTTTTTGATTTTTTTAGTTTTTTTTTTCTTGTTTTGGTGTACTTTCTACTAATTGATTTGATTGATTTATAATTTGGTATTGTTCATAAATCGTACCATTATCACCACCATTAAACTACTTCATATCGAACTAAATAAAAAAACTTGTTCTCCCTCTCTCGATCCACAAGCTTCTTTTGGTTCGACCTCAGATGAAAGAGCTCAACGAGTTGAAAACATTTTAGCTCCAGATTTGGAGCACTCAGATTTGGAGCACTCAGATTTATGGGCTCTTCCTGATTTTCTTACCGTAAGAAAAGAATTTTCTTATATATATATTTAGAAAATATCTTTGAGAAGCTTGAATGATTCAAGACTCGGTGATGAAGGTATATCTTTGTGGCGTTGTGCCGTGCTTATAGCGTATTGAATTTGATGCGTTTAGCCTTAGACCCCCATATAATGACATGTTTTGGGGCCTCCAATTTTCATAATTCATTCTTATAGTATAATGGCCAAAATATAGTTGAGTAAAGTCTCTTCTTCACTTGAATTCAAACCAGGTTATTGTTGAAAATAAGTATTTTCTAATCAGCTTTACTGTTGTATATACAAAGGATTCAATTTTATCTCCCAAACCACTTAGACTCTTTTTTTTTAGTTTATGAAATTTGGTTACAGTTCATAGAGAAAAGAAAACACTCTTTCTTCTTTTAACGATTTAGATTTTATTTATGATAAATCATCTAAAATTACGGCTTTCCCTTCTTGAAAAAAGTATAAGTTGTTGTGGACAGGACTTAACTGAAATTTAATTTGAAGTAAACAGTACTAAGATCAAATCTAAACAAAATAACCCAGTATAATCATCAAAGAAAACTTGATAGTTTCAGTAATTTTTTTTATGATTAGTAGAGAAACATCGAAATATATAATATAAGAACAATACTGGGTTCTGAGAAACTATAAGCATAACAACTTTATCATCACGAAAACAAGAAATATTTCTTTCAACTAAGATAAATCTATCATACAAAGTCTTATCATCTTACACCGAAATGTATTCTAACCCAAAAGTAGAGATCGACTACTGTTCTTGTTCCAGGTAGAGGTAGCGTAGTAATATGATTACAAAAGTAAAAAGCACCACTGTTTGTTCACTAACGTTTTCCCTAAAATCATGTAGGGCATACGCACAACCTATTATTGAATCTTTAATCTTGAAAGGAAATTTCAACTCACGCTCGTCGACAGAAGGGAGTTGCATCTTTCGGTTTCGGTTTTTGACGCTGAAGTTTTAACCGGCGGAATAAAGCCGTAACCGGCGGTGACATTTCCGATGTGAGCGGGGATTTCCAATGCTTCGCAGGTCTCAGCCCGATCTTCTTCTTCTCCGTTACAAGATTTTACAAGGAAGAACACAAGTAGCAGGAAAAGAAGATTCCTAATCATCATGATTTTGTTCCGAAAGATCCAAGAAGGGATTACGCGCGTCTCTTGACTGAACTTTGTTATTAACCGACTTAAAGCAATAATAATAATTTAAAAAAAAAACATCCTTTAGGTACTGAGACTCCTCCGACGCTTCCAGAATAGATGAGAGTAACTTTCAATTTTCTTCATTCAAGAAAAATAAAATCGACTCATGGTGAGTGCTTATTCTGAAAATAAGTCTCTCCATTCTCGAGTTCTTCTTCTAATGATTTCTACTCTTTGACTGCAGTTTATTCTGATGGAGAAGTTTGCAATTCTTCTCTTTATCCTCCTGGTGACGATCCTATATATAGATACTGAGTATGCCGTTTTAACAGTCGACAAGTGAGCTGCTGCTCATAACCTGTAACTGTCTTGAGCTCCAGCTAGCTGTTGTAGGAGAAGACGGGAGGATAATTGTCGGAATCCGCTTGCTTTCTTCCACATAAGGAAAGTCTGTCATGTAATGAAGACCACGGCTTTCGTGTCTGGCTAATGCGCTGCTCACAACAAGCTTAGCACAACAAAACAAATTTCTCATCTCACAAGCTTCAAGAGCTACCACTGTCTGTTCCCATCCATGTTCGAACAAAAACGTTTCCCATTTCGCCTCTAGCTCTGCAATTTTCCTCTCGGCTGTATTGAGCCGAGTGGTCGATCTGACAATACCAACATACTTCCACATCACTGCCTGTAGCTCTCTTCTCACCTCTTTAGTCAAAGCTAGAATCTTCGATATTACTTCGTCTCCTAGCGATCTAACTGTTGCAACAACTGGCCTTGTCCATTTCTCTGATGCGCTTAGATCAAGTCTTGTGCGTTTCATGAGCTCAGTCGAAGGATGAACAGCCCGTCTCGCGAAAACCAGAGCTTCTAATAGCGAGTTACTAGCGAGCCGGTTTGCTCCGTGAAGACCGGTACACGCTACTTCACCTGCTACAAACAATCCAAGGACATTCGTTTCGCCTTGTAAACCAGCACGAACTCCTCCACACATGTAATGAGCTGCAGGCACAACCGGGATAGGCTGACGGGTAATATCCAAACCGTTTTTAAGACATTCGGAAGCTATGTTCGGGAAATGGGCAAGAATCTTTTCTCTCGGCTTATGGCTTATGTCAAGTAACACATACTTTTCATTCCGTTTCTTGAGCTGATCATCGATGCTTCTTGCAACCACATCTCTTGGAGCAAGCTCAGCTCGGTCATCGTAAACCGGCATGAACCGCTCCATTCCTAGATTGTAGAGGATGCCACCGTCGCCTCTCACGGCCTCAGTGATGAGGAACGCGTTTTCTCTAGCGGTTTTTGGTTTGATGGGAAGACCTTCATCGGCTAAAGCAGTTGGATGAAACTGCACAAATCTACCAAAGACATACAAACACAAACATAAGTTTCATTGTCAACAAGTATCCTCAAGACTTTTTTTTTCGGTGTTTACTTACTCCATATTTGAAATCACAGCTTGAGCTCGATGAGCCATAGCCATGCCATCTCCAGTAGCCACCTATACAAAAAGCATAAAGATTGAAATCCATATGTGAACAAGTGGTAGTTTCGAAGAATATTTTCAAGTGTCACTTTTGGATTACTCCCACAAAACACCAAGTTGTTATGTTGCTCCTGCTCATTCTTTCTTCTCATACAATTGGCAATATGAAACTTCCATAGAGTTTTGTAACTAAGAGAATCTTAAGACAGTGTTACCAGAGGATTTGTGGTTGATGGGTAGATATGTCCAGCTCCACCCGAAGCAAGCAATGTCACCTTCGATAGAAAACGTACTACCTGAAGAACATAGAGTTTTTTTTACATTACAATCTAAGCTACAAGGTGAATAATCAAACCTACAAAAACCAGACTCTTTTGTACCTCATTTGTTTTGATATTCAAAGTGTCAACACCATGACAAGCTGTGTTCAAACCATCCTGTTGAGATAAAAAAAAAAGATGGATCTGATAAGCCAATTAGTCAGAGGCAATTTGTTTTTCAAAGGTCGAAGGTGGAACCTGAGAAGTGAGCAGATCGATTGCAAAATGGTGTTTGAAGACAGATATGTTTGGATCATTGAGTACGGCTTCAAGTAAAGCTCTCTCAATCTCTCTTCCTGTCATATCAGCTGCATGAACGATCCTATGATGCGAGTGACCACCTTCTCTTGCCAAATGCAAGTTCCCATCCTCGCCGTGATCAAATGATGCTCCCATTGCAATCAGCTCGCGTATCCTTTCAGGCCCTTCTGTACACACAACCTGAAAAAGGACATTCAAACTGGTAAACTCCTTTATTCAGTTCGCCATAGAGAAACTTGATTAACGAGACATATCCCATTATCCCCAATGCCCCAACTCCTTCTGCCTAAACGTCCTTTTGATTTGTTCGCTGTCTAGCTAATAGACTCAACAACTATAGCTAAGCTATTGACACAGCTACATCCACTACAAACCGCCTAGGCTAATTACAATGCTTATGCAGTGGACTAACACAAACACTTATCAAACAGTTTTCAGGCAATGAAGCACATAAGAATGCAGCATTTTAAGCCAACCTATCAACAAGTTTCTCCTCCTTTGTGGATATATAATAGATAATCAGTAACGGGGACTTACTCTTACAGTTTCTTCATCACAAAGATGAGCACCGGCGACCATTGTGTCGTGCATATGACTTTCTACAGAATCCAAAGGGCATAAGACTGCACTAACACCACCTTGAGCATAGTTTGTGTTACTCTCGTGAGGCTCATCTTTTGTGATCACTGCAACTGTGCCTTGCTTTGCAACTTCTAAAGCATAACGCAGACCCGCCACTCCACTACCAATCACAGTGAAATCATAATACTTTGTTGAAGACGATACCGAAACTGCCCTGATACTTGTACAAAGCTTCGAGCTCTCATCAATGGCGGAAACACCGCGAGAGTAACAACCACATCTCTCAGCCTTTAGAGCCTTAGATACACCACTCGACCTACGTACACGAAGATTAGAGCAAGTTTGAGTCCAGCATAAGAAGCTATATGTCTAATTACGGACAAAGCTGTGCATGAGAACACATAGATGAGGAATCCAGGAATGCCAGTGACAAAATTTGAGATTTTTAAGTTTAAACAAAGTGATACCAAGAGAGCTCTTTGAATGGATTTGCCCTGAAAGAAAAACCAGAACTCCATGAGTCTTGACGGTAACCTTGTCCTCTGTAAAGCTGCCCGGCAAGATAGAAATCATGAATGTTTCCAGCAGAAACATTAGCCGCCATTTCCGACCCTTATAGCTCCTACCAAATCATGAAGATTGTTGTCATAAGAAAATATATGTTTCTCAAACAAAACACCAGAGAACCCTGATTCTCAAAATCCAAAAATATGTTTGAAAAGCGATGAGAATTGAGGACAATGTGTTTGTCGAATCCAATCGAAACAATATAATAAAGGAACAGAGAGATAGATTACACAAAATATCGGAATCCTCTGAAAACTAAATAATGAAACACGGAGATCTTACGGAATCACGGGAAGCGCTCTGATCTAAGCAGGTGACGAAGGAGCCAAGTGTGGGTAAAATTGAAATCTGGGAATTCAAGAAGGACGTGACTAAGACTGAAAAAAAAAAAAGACACGACTTTTTCGCAAAAGAAACAGATCAGTTTACGACGCAAGAGCGGCGAAACGGAAATGAGAAGTTTTCCCTCTCGCGAAGAAGAAGAAGAAGAAAAGAAGAAGAAACGATTTTGGTTTGAGAAAAATGAAACAGACCACGAAAACAAAACACAAAAGTTCGCAGAGGTTTCTGGTCCTTGAAATTCGCGCCTTCCTTATGAGCCGCCCCCACCGGTCGTCTTTTCTTATTCTTCTATATTTTCTTTCATTGGCTTTTTTCTAATGAATTAAGACCAATCAAAACATTCTTTTTAAAATAATTTACAATAATGCATCGATAGATCGATTTACTCAAGTTCATCTCGTTAGAATATTTATTAGTTTTCGAAAATAAGTTTTCTATAAAAAATCCGGATATAAATTTTCAGGAATCAAAGATCCATGATTTTACATTAAAGCTAGTGAAGGGAAATAAATTTAAAAACAAAATATTCCAACAACTTGTATATAGCTTTAACATATGTGTGTTGTTGATGCATGCACCAAGCATGACCTTGTAAGTTGTAATTAGAATCATGGAAAAAGTACATTCACTTTTCCATGAGTGGTGGCCAATGAAATCTCCAATGGCCATATATTAAAATATTATAAATTCTGGAAAAAAAAAAAGACTTATTTGGAGTCTTCTTTGAGTGTACTATTGAATATTGATGGCTTCTGAATTTTCCCATCGGACAAATTCGAAAATTAAAAGACCAAATGCAAGTAAGAAAAGGTTGTGACATTTGAATGGCTATCATAATTCCCCCTCTTGTTTTTTTCTTACAAAACATTCTTCTTTTATTATTAGATCGAGTACAACAGTTTTTTTTGTTAAATGGAAATTATATAAGAAAATCAAGCTCCCCCGGTGAAGCCCATTTTCAAGTTGGCCTCAGTAATAACTTTAGAATTAACATGGACATGGGCTCGCCTTCTCATGGGCCCAATACGTTTTTTTGTCATCAGGCCCAATACGTTTATGGTTACGAAATTTTAACCACCGGGTATGGATATTAATTTTTTTAACTAACCTTAACCTTAACATTAATTATATGTATTGTCGTCATGTTTATTACAGTTATTGTTATATACGGTTAGTATGATTATAAGTACATGTTTTTGTTATCTGAGATTATATTGAAAACATCCTAAAAAGTAGGATGTTTATTATTATAGCCACCGATAAGACTATGTGATCGATTTATAAGATCGCGTTCTGTGTGATTCTTTCATGCGTGTTTGGCTTATGTTTAAATCTTGCGATCTTCTCGTTATTCTCTCATCGAGATTTTATCAGATATGGTTTTGTAATTTCATAGTCCGTTTGACATAGTTTTGTATGAAAATTATGAATATCCTTTCCTACTGTAATTTTTCCTTGAACCAAATATATAAATTTGTCAACTAATCCGTTCAAGAATTAAATATTCTCATACTTGATCTATGCCGCCTGGTATATCATTCATCTAGATCAATGATTAGCCACCAAGTTTTCACACAATTTCGACAACGATATATCATATATTATTGATGGTAAACTTTCTAATTTTATTAAAGTAATAATATGTGGTTTAAGGCTACCATAGTTAAGTATATGTAACGATCATTCAATTCGTAGCATCACCACATCTTGTGAATCACATATTCCCTGGCAATGGAAAAAATGGCGAGCAATGGGTGTGTCCACCGAATTCCTTAATAAATAAAGAGAACATAGGTAGTTATTACAATGAAATGTTGCAGAGACTTATTACCCCTCTTATTGACTCAGGTCACTCAGCTAGTCAGCTCCCAGCGTTATGAGTAATATACATGTCTACAAATTTAAATGTGCCAGCTCTATATCCTTGCCTCTTTTTTCTTTATGTAAGAAAAAAAAAAAAGATTGTCGTCATAATAATTTTTTTTTTAAATTTTCATCGCAGGTTAAATTACTTCTGTGTGATAACGGTATTTTATTATAGATATATAATGTATATATATATATATGCAATGTTAAAACTTATGACGATTACTGAAATAGTCCTTGAACATAAGAAAAATTATTTTTTATAAAACCGTAAATTCGTAAATAAATAAAAATTAACAAAACAAGATGTGAACAACTATTTTTTTTAAATTCTGAAAATGTTTTCAAAAGAGTACTGGTACTTAAGATAAGACTTTGCTTACAACGCATATGGGAAATTTTGAAATGTGCATCGCACATGCTACTTAGCAAACAAAAAATAACATATACTCTAACAGAACATAAACATAATTATAGATATATGGTGGGGCACAAAGATCAAAATATTTTAATGATAAGAGAGGGAGCTTCTATTCTCTCTTTCTTTCTTACAAAAACACTGTTTTTTATTTCGCGAAAAATCCTAATCCCGAGAGAGTCAAACCATCTTCTAATTAAATATCTCCCTTAACCTAGTTCCTAACTCTCATGCTACTTACTTTTATATAATAGTACAAAAATATTACTAGTAATTAATTATAAACTGTATATAATCAGCTGTACTGAGTAGTCTAATCCACGATTCCCGGACGCTGGTCTTTCTTTTTGACATCACCCGGACGCTGGTCCAAGGGTATCACTGTACAAAGTAAAAATTAATCTACTGTATTAGGCATTTCATTTTATCATCAGTTTCCTCTTTTTTTTTTATATATATATTTTGATGAATAACTTTTGACATTGATGATAACCGGTTACTATCTAATTATCTATCTCACATTTTAATCAGTTGCATCAATGATAACCGGGGTTTGTTAGTATAACAAAAGAGGATTAGATAGTAACGGGTTATCATCAATGATATCCGGGGTTTGTTATATTCCCAAACTCTTTTTGGGTTTCATGAGTTTAAGATTTCCATCGTCATGGGTTATGTTTTGATGATATATAGTGTAAGTGTAACCAGAGTCGTGTTTACCATGTAGTGAAAAAAGTTTTCGTTTCAGCCCCCAAAATATGTTAATTTTTCAGGGTTTCCATTTTCTTAAGATGTGGTTAAGTGGTTTATGGTTGGCATGAAATCTTTTTTTTATATAAGATGTTTTCTTATTTTTGTTTATAAGAGAGAAAAAAGGAATAGATATAGGAAATATATTAAGATTACATTCTCCCAATAATTTTAGGAAATTGATTAAGATTTGTTTAGATTATCGGCTTTATAACATCCTAAAATAAGACCAAAACCCTAAAGCCCAAGAGAAAAAAAAAATTCATAGATTGCTTATCAGATATTGTTGACGATTCCAGTTTCAGTTGCCTTGGCTGAAAGAAGTTTTTCAAAGTTGAAGTTGATAAAGTCTTAGTTGCGATCAACTATGTCACAAGAAAGATTGAATGACCTATCTATCATATCTATAGAAAGAAAACTAGTTAAAGACCTCGATTATAAGAGTTTGGTGAAAAAGTTTATTGAAAAAGAAGGAAGAAAGATTATGTCTTAATTAGTTTTTTTAGATTAAAATTTTATTTTTGAATATTTTATATGATTTTAAAATTATATTATATTTTTTTTAGAAAACCTTTTTTTTAAAATGAAAAATGTCCTATTTTTTTAGTTTACCTTAAGTCTCTATAAACCTTCGCACGGCACCTAATGTAAGGATATACTAGTTTTTCATGTTTTCGGTCGAATATAACCCATCACTATCTATATCCCAACCCAAAAAAAACCACTTATGAGTAATTTCAATTAACCAATTCCAAGAATATATATAAACACTAGCCTGACACATGAAACTTCGATGCCGAAAGAGCTATGATTAAGATCAAAGACGAATCTTTTTTTAACAAAACACGTGATTTTTGCGTCCCCCAAGACCATATTAGGCGGTCCATGTTTTCATACTTTTGGAAATCTTGATTAAGCTATTAAACTAATTCGTATCAGTAATTACCAGCTTGCATCTCAGAAGTCCATTATCAGTTATAATTATCACCACATGCCAGACACAATCAATACATTATCTAATAAGGCTACAATCATAAATATACTTATAACTATATATCATTACTATTATTTAAACTCTACAAATAATTATTCCACTAGGTTCTGAACTCGTAGTACTATTTAATAACTCCATCAACGAACTACTCACAGAATCTCTTTATTTCTCTCTTTCTACGGTCTCTCTCGTCTTATCTTCCAAAGCAACAAAAAGAATGAGAAAGAAAGTAACTAGTAGTGGAGACGAAGTAAACAATGAGTACAAGAAAGGTTTGTGGACAGTAGAAGAAGACAAGATCCTCATGGATTATGTCAAAGCTCATGGCAAAGGCCACTGGAATCGTATAGCCAAAAAGACTGGTCTCTTTTTCTCTCTCTCTTTTCCTCAACCTTTTATTTTTTGTTCGTTAGGTCGGGGTAAAACTGGCACTACATATGGGTTTCTTTTATGTAAGGTTTAAAGTTAGGGTTCGTTTATGATGTTGGAAGTTACCTTTGAAGTCTTAAATTAATTAAGTTGATGGTTGTTGATTATCTTTGTAGCACATACCGTCATATCGCAAAAGTCTAAGTGTGATTATAAATGTTTTTCGGTAGAAAACATTGATAGTAAGAAGCCAACTCTATTTGATCATCTCGTTAATTAGTTGTTAAATTTGGAATATTGTTGTCTCCATATCTTTTACTTAATGTTCATGGGTTAACTTATGGGTTGCTTGTTTCTCTTTGTATGAATTAAGTTCCTCATGAATAAACAAATTGTGTACATAAGTTAGGTTTAAAGAGATGTGGAAAGAGCTGTAGATTGAGGTGGATGAATTATCTCAGTCCAAACGTGAAAAGAGGCAATTTCACTGAGCAAGAAGAAGATCTTATCATTAGGCTCCACAAGTTACTTGGTAATAGGTATGGCTCCATTACATTACTTGAATTTATTGTTACATACTCAATGAATTACTAGCTATTTCCATCCCCATTCGTCACTATAAATACTCATAAATATTCGTGATTTTCTTCTCAAACTTGCATGGTATTATTTATTATTCTTTAGATTTCAATAATTCATTTTCTAGAAATATGATTAAAATTAATATATGCGCATTTAATTAGGTGGTCTTTGATTGCTAAAAGAGTACCGGGTCGGACGGATAATCAAGTGAAGAATTATTGGAACACGCATCTTAGTAAGAAACTCGGAATTAAAGATCCACTAACCAAGCCGAGCAATGGTGATATTGTTTATCAGATCAATCTCACAAATCCTACTGAGAAATCAGATGAAACAAAAATCTCGAATATTAACGACAATAATATTCTCAGAGATGAAATTCAAGAAGATCGTCAAGGAAGTAACTATTTGAGCTCGCTTTGGGTTCATGAGGATGAGTTTGAGCTTAGCACACTCACCAACATGATGGATTTTATAGATGGGCATTGTTTTTGATGTTTCTTTCTTCTTCTTTTGTGTATTTTAGATTTGGTTTTCTTTTCGTCTTGTTATCTTCAAAGCTGATCAAACACTAATACATCAACAGTCTTAGACTAAAAGTTGTTGATGTGGTAGTGTATGATTGGCTTAGTCTTTTTATTAGGTGAACTTAATTTCTTGGGTTATGTATATCCTTAAAAACCTATGCATCCATAAATGCTATATTTGTTTCTTCCTAAGCAAAATATTTGGATTTTCTGGTGTGAAATGCTCATATAAACCTATTAACTTTTCAGTTCAACCTATGAGCTAAATTTGTTGTCCATTATTTGATAAATTAATTTAAGAAAACATGTAACAATCCTATTTTGTTTCCCGAAATGTTGAAGTTAGTTAAATTTATACTAATGTACTAAATGAGAAATTAGACACGATCCGTGATTGCCCTGGCGACCTAATTAAACTGAAGAAAATTAAACAGTAGTCAGAAAATATATAATGGGTCAATTTTTTTTTTTTTTTTTGAAAATATAATGGGTCAAAATTTACATTCACACTTCCCTAAAAAATTCTATAAATTCTTATGACAAAGCTGTCCCCCTCTTAATAGTTTGATTTATGTTCTTTGTCTTTGATTTTAATATGTTCTTTGAAAGCTTGTCCCCCACCCTTCATTGATCTTAATTATATACAGTTATTTAAATAACAATATACGTCGACAAAAAAAAAAACAATATACATATAATCTAGGTCGAGGGTTTTTAATGATCTACAAGGGGACACATCGTTCATGTATAACGGAAATGAAAAGGTGATGAAAGCCGTGAAGGTTCCCAGGTTTTTCTAGATCGATCTTAATGTAATTAAGATGGTAGCCATATATCTCCATCTATTAGACAACGGTTTAAAAAAAATTAATTCGTGATTTTGTAATTTTTTTTACGTAAATTCACAGAAAAAGCATAAATATATATTTTTTCCTTTCGAAAGTTTGTAATATAATCATTTGTTCGTTGAGTGAACATCTTATTCTGCTTATTTAATCATTTTACGATTTTATTCCACCGTATTATAGAAACAAAATCAAAACGATAAACCAGTTTCCACAACAACAAAAACGATAGAACAACACAAAAAAAACACAAATATAATTTTTTATATCTCATTCATGATATTCCTCTTTTTTATTTTTTTAGGTCGGATACATAATGAAAAAGAAAAGGAAGCTCTCAGTTCAACCGCTCAAGTAAAGGTGCATTACAATTTAAAGTAGCAATTATTAAGATGGGAGATCAAGAGTAATAAACATGATGAAGGTGATGATGATGATGATGATGATGATGATGATGTATTGGTTCAAATAGGATGAGCAGGAGAGAGGCCAAATTGGAGTCCCCAAAGCTCAAAAGCTCCCTTAACAAAGTCATAGTAACCTCCCTTCAAAGCTAGCGTTCCTTTCACAACCCCTTCTCTCACAAATGGATATGTCAATAGGTTTGCTAGTGACACATTCACTGCCTCCTGCAATAATTATATTTATTAGAAAACATAAGCGATAAAAATGATGACATTTTTGAATAATAAAACAACTGAAAGGCAATAGACATATATACCCTTTCACATCGTCCACATTGGTCTTCAAATGCTGAACTTTCATTTTCAGCCAAAACCTTTGACTTTGCTGGCAAGCAGATTTTTACCCAGTCTTCTATAAAATCACTGCAATTTAAGTAAACATATCACCATGAACGCCAAAAAAAAATTGATTGACATTTTTTCTTAGTTTGAAAAATTAGCTAATTTAAACAGAAAAGTTTATATAGCAGAAGAAATCATATAATTATGAAATTAACTAAAAAAGGAAACATTTATTACGTGGAGTTGTTTCCGTCAAGAGGAAATGACATAAGCCCCTTGATGCCACCACATGCACTGTGACCTATCACCACAATGTTCTCCACCTACATTCGTAACTTTCGATAACCATCAATCTATACATGTACATATTTATACAGTATTACACATTCATTTGATGTTATATCAGTATATATATACGCGCACATCATATTAACTGAAACAGATCGGCCCAATAAGACCCATATACTCAACCCTCGTCTTCGGCCGGGCCCATTACGTATCGCCATAGCTGGCCCTTTTGCACTCCCCCCATTTTACATTTTTTTCCCTTCTCATATTACTAAGTTCTTATAACTTGTAAGATCAAACTAAAAGAACATTGTACATCATGTGGACTAAGCAATTTTCAGAAAATCACAAAACAATCTAGAGAGAGAGAGAGAGACCTTAAGGTGCAAGACAGCGTATTCAATGGCGGCTCCAACTCCTCCATATTTGACCTGCAATTATTTAAAAAAGCCGAATTAAAGCCATGTCACGACTTCATATAAGTCAAAGTCAAACAATCCGTTCTGGGTAGAATGTTCTAGAATAATTAGACGTAAACATTGTATAAATATGAAGTGCTAATTAATTACCTTGTCAAAAGGAGGAACCATATTAGCGATGTTACGAACCATGAAGGCATCTCCAGGATGGAAGTTTAGCACGTGTGATGGGCACACACGTGAGTCCGAACAAGCAAACACCATGTACTGCACCATTCATAATTCATGATGATATTCGAGTGAGTGAGTGAACATGCATATATGAATTATATAATCTTACATACACGTATATCACTAACTATATTCTATTTTTTCTTCTTTTTTCTTATACCTTTGGGCTTTGACCTTTGGCGAGCTCACCGTACAAATCAGGATTCGTACTGCAGAGAATTAAGTTTTGAATTATGAACTGGTAATATGTCGTATGTGTTACTAAAACGAAAGTATTGATAAGAAGAGAGAATGATTTGTTAATTACTCGTATTTCTCCTTCTTGAATGTGATGAAGCCTTGCTTAATTCGTTCGACGGGATCAAAATATTTGCTGTTCGACGACGAGACTGTCTGAAGCTCCGCCGTGAGCTTCTCCACCTTGGCCGCAGCCACCGTCTTCAGCTCATCCTTCTCACTGCCCGTACATTATATTACACAGAATAATATTATGAAACTATACAATAACTCCCTTCCCTATCTTCCTTTTTGATTAAAACCATTACTTTTAAATTAGTCATATAAGCCTCCCATTTTACAAAGTCTTCTAAGTTATATCCGTTTTCAATATCCACTTACATGATAAGCTTCTTGAGAGCTTCGATTGCGTCTTCATATGATTCGTTTCCCATGCCTTCTCTTGGTTCTCCCTGCTAATCATTGACCCAAAACAAACTATATATAAGAAAATTCTCTAACCAGGAAAAGAAAGTAACTCTCTTATACCTAAAAGTATTTTTTTTGGTCACCTAAAAAGTAATTAAATCAGAGAGAAAATGAGAAAGAAAATAAAATAATTAAGTAATTTAGATACATGCTTAATATAGGATTTGTATCTCTGTTATATATAAAGAAAAGAAACACTTTCTATTTGGGTGATGATTCAAATACCACATTTAAATTAAATTGTAAGATGATGTGTCAAAACTACAAAATTGTTTAATTTTATCTCCACATTATTACTACAAACATTTATTCTTGATGACAACAACAAATATCATTTATTTTAAAATTTAGTTTATAAAGATATCATTCCATATATAAATAAAACATGTATATTCAAATTTTAAAATATATTAAAATTTACTATTTGTAGTCAAATTCTATAACTATTTAAATCATTTGATATTTAATTTCAAAATATATACATTTATAGATTATATATCCTTTAAACTTCGGATTTAGCTCACTTTCTACAGTTTCGAAGTCATTAGATTTAATATTGTAAAAAGTAAAAATTGTTCAAACAATTGTGGCATTACCTGGTAAAGAATTAACCCATAACTTAAATTGGAAACAGTACATACGGGATCTCATTGTATTAAGTATAAACTATCAAATAATTAAATATAGAGCACGTACAAGACACAGTAGTTCATTTATATATAGAGTATAATTTAATAATATTGATCTAAGTATATTTTTGGGTCGAGTATCGGAAATATGATTAGGCGCTAAATTGGCGTTAGATTGGTGTAGGGTGAATGTGTATAGTAACGCCATTACAAATTTAGTAGAATAGGATAGTTCTACAGACATTATCCATTACATAATTAGCAAATAACAAATAATAACACGTGTTCAAAATTGAATGGTTAAGAGCTTGAGAGGTTGAGATTTGATGGACAGAGAGTGGGAATGTGGCTTTTCCATAGCAATGAATAGATCTGCTTTAGTTCTTTTCCATTGGTTCGCTATAAAGATTATTAGTTTTTGTTTTTGACAAATAAAAAAAAAGATTATGAGTCTGTTTTTTAAATCTCTCGTATTCTCGTCACTCGGACATCACGTTAAAGATAAAAACAAAGCACGGATTGTTTAATATATCAAGAAAAAAGGAAAGAAATGGAAACACGAGTATGTTCCAACAATTTTGGAAGTTTGGGGAAATTACTTTACACGTACATTCACACTAACCTCTGTCTTACGTGATTGACCAACTAAATAGCAAGCATGTGTATAAACATTAATAAGAAGGATCCTTTAGTGTTCTTGTGACCAGTTTAATTAAAAGCCTAATATCGTAGAGGTCAAATTCGAAATCCAAATCATAAGCTCAAAGCACCATGAAAAAATATATCATGAAATGCTACATATATCTACTCTATGTTACCTTTATTCATATAGTAAAGAAACATATACTCAACAGTCAACACATATGCGATGCATCTGTGTGGGAATGTGTGTGTGTGTGTGTGAGAGAGAGAGAGAGAGATGTATGTATTGTATATACTATACCCAATTGGTGGTGATTACTGATGCAGATACGAAAACGGGCTCCGTTGCGGACAAACGGAACGGGAAGAGGAAGAGTACAGGCAATGAAGGAGGACGAAGAGAAGGGTATTTATAATACAAAGTATTACGAACAGTAAAAATAGTAAGTAATGTATGAAGAGTAAATATTTAAATAATGTGTGGATGTATTTGAGAGATTGGCTGTTTCAAAGAAGGGAGATGGCCTTTTGGGGTCTCATGGATAATGAAAGCGAAAGGTGAGGTGAATAGAAGAAATTTGTCTTTCTTTTCTCATTTTCTGGCGGTGGATGAGAAAATTGTAATTTTTTAATATTCAATCCTTTCCCATTTTGATAGGTGATTGTCCAGTCTTTGATGTTATGGCGATAATGGTAAAATGTCGAAGGTACGTATAAGGTTTTGATCCCAAAACATGGAATTAAAACTGTGGGATGTGCTTAGTTACATCCAATTATTTCTCTTACTAACTAAAAATAACAAAACGGTGTGTTAACCATAATCCACAGTACATGACTCAAATGTTGTTGCTTCAGCTAGTTTAAACGAAACTATTTTAATATTACCATTAGTTTGAGTTTGAGTTACCGCACTAATGTTTTATATAAAGGCTATTATAAAAAAAAAAATAATGGTTCCAAAAACCTAGGGAAATTATTGATCGATAGTTGAATTTTCTCCTCGGATAGAGAGAGACGAGAAACAAATATATAAACCAAAAGAAAAAGAAAACAAGTGGTGTGGAGATGAGGAAGGGATTGATGGGTGTGGCCGTATGGGATATATAGAGGATAAGATCATATCACCAAAATAAGAGGCTCCACTTACATATATTTCATTTTTTTACTAAGCTTATCCAAATAATGCGCTTATAACTATTTTACCTGTTTGTGGCTTTTGAAGCAGAGGAAAGAGCCGTCTCTGATTCTGATGAGCCATTTAGAGAAACTGAAACCGAAAAACGGACCAAGTTTACACAGCATGGAAAATGTAGAGCTTGTTTATAAAAAAAAGTTATACATATGAAAACAGAACACCTCATGTACAGATTGTTTACAACCATGAATTTATGTTATCAAGCATAAGTAAAGGAAGAGATTGTATAATTACAAGAAGAGTGCTAAACTAAAGCCAGATAAGGAAAAAAAAAAAGGGAAAAGAAGCTAATCTCATCTAGTAGAGACTAATTGTTTATCCATGCAAAATTTCCCCGTATTTTTGTCTTGGGTGATAAATCGATTGGATGCTTGACAAGCTTCTACATCCTCTAGGAATGGGAGAGAGGAGAAATGGAGAATGTGCAAATCATAGAGTTTTGTTATGCTACTTATATATCTGTTGTGTGGGAATATGAGGAAACTATGTCGACATTTTCATGTGACATGTCAACATTATTTACTTGAAAAAGAACGCAGGCGCAAAAGCTTGTCTTTTATTACTTGCTTCGTTGCAGACTTGCAGGGAAAACGAACATAAAGAGTTTTGTCAAAACATCATTCTACTGTTTGTATCAACGAGCTAGCATATATCAGTTCAGTAATCTGTGAAGCACCAAAAAAGAGAAATTATGTTGAGATATTGAAATGAGACGAAGAACATCTACAAGCATAAAAGCATTCTTATCATAGCTTACAATAGCTTAGCACTCTTCTGAAATCTTTGATATATTCATCTAAAGGGAAATATTTTTCCATAACCCTATTCCTTGTTTCTAGACACCTCCTCAGAAAATATGCAGATAACTCACAAGTTACTCTTAACAACACTAGCATCTTCCTCAACAAATTAAAGCTGCAAGAAAAAAAAATCATGAACATAACACAGGTATCATCCAGCATTCAACTTTACAACATAGCACAAAGAGATAAACGTTCAAAAACACCAATATGCAGGGTATTTCTAAGTTGGGACATATCAAACCCTTATTAAAACATTTGAGCACCGAAAGAGTTATCCATATTAAAATGTTCTGAAGTGTGGGTACCTCGGTTAACAAGAAATCACTAGCAGAGCATCCAGTGTATGCTAAAAGATGTATCCATGTATCAGAGTACCATCCCAGTGGTTATGGATCATGGGCAATTGCACAATCTAGACATGAAGACATTGACCTTAATTAACCAAACTGAATTATGCAAACACTGAATCTTTCCCAGTTAAGTACGTAGCCACAAGAATATGCTTAATTCACAAGAGAATCAGGCATCACAAGTCACAACTATAGCCTATATCAGAATCTCCTTGTTATGTTTTACATAGGGTGGGGAAAAACAAAAAAGCGTATGAGAAACAAGCTGTCGACCGACGATTTACGTGGGACCCGCTTGTGGCCGTATATGTAACCTCGATTTCCTCGAAAGTCTTACACGTGGCATAAACATTCCAATAGGAAAAAGGGTACATTTGGATATAATAGCACCAAAAAGTTTTACATCGCCAAAAACGAAAACAATTAATGAAACAAGGAACAATTTGTAAATTAACGACTTCACTAATGACGGAATCTGCTTATTCCGGCGAAAACGCCGATCAAATTTTGCCTGTAAGGTAAATAAGTCTTTCTTCGCTTATCCACTTCCCCGATGTTCGTAGGCTTATACGACGCCGTTTTATTTTTTCCTTTCACTGCCAGCGATCCGTTTCCGCTTGACGAAATCGAAGACCCGTCTCCGCCACTGTGGCTTCTTCTCAGAAGATCTTTAAAACGACACCGTTTCGATTCGCTCGAGGTCGTTACGGCTCCGTCGCTGTGGCTTCTCCTCAGAAGATCCTTGAAACGACACCGTCTTGGTGCGCTTGATGATTTATTCTTTGAGCTATCGCCTCTCGCCGGAGATCTTATCGGACTCCAGAAACAGTGATACTTGCTCGAGGTAGGGTTTTCGGAATCGTCAGACTCCGAGGATGAATTCGATTGCGACGGCGAAGATAGAGATGGATCAATGTTCCATCCACCGTATAACAGATTCTTCGAGGTGACTCGATTGGCTGCCACGTCATCGTCTTCTTCCTCCTCTGGTGAGTGCTCGAAAGTTTTCGTCGTCGTTGGGAAATGGAAGAAGCTCTCTTCACGTAACGGCAATGTTTCGAACTCGAATTCAGCTTCTTCGTCGCCGTCAACTTTGACGGAAGAATAACTCTGGGAGTCACGGACAACTCTAACGGCTGCTTCGACGATGCCAACGTCACCGGAGGCATAGAAACTGAAGCTGGGGCTAAACGACACCGTAGGAGAAAATTCCTGCATTGTTATCTGTAATAAAAATTCTGCCTTCTTGTCTCTGTTCATACACTTGGACTTGGACTTGCTCTGTCTGTGTGTATATATACACATGTATGCGAATGTGCCAGCGTATGTGTGTGCGTATGATATATTGGTTTACTTGAGCATCAAGAGGAGGCGGCTTTGACAAGGAAACGTATTTCTTTGTCTTTGTTTAAGAACGTAATTCTTTGTCTTTGTTTAAGAACGTACTGTATTTCTTTGTCTTTGTTTAAGAACGTATTTCTTTGTCTTTGTTTAAGGATAATAAATCGTTTTAGTATACAAATATAATCATCGCGTTTTTCTTATGAATTGCCGCGTCAAGGCTGACGACTTATTTAATTATTGTTTACTAGAGAGAAAATGCGTTTGCGGTTGTTTATTTGTTTCTTACTGCTTCTTTATCCTTATCTGCTTCTTTATCCTTATCTGCTTGTTCCATACTCGTTAAGTCGCCATATTTGTTTTGTTCAATCCGCCTGTAAAATTCATGTTTTACTATTACCATGCAAACCCATAATTTTTGTGTACATGTTAGAAAAAGTTAGAGACCCTATCCGTATTCTGAATAAGATACACTAGTTTTATCAATTTTTGTTGCCTTGAACGGATTCCAAATCACAACTAGTATGTAAATATACCAAATTGTATATGATTTTTCATGGACCCTCCATATTATTATCTGTTATGTTATGCATTCTTGTGTTGACCAAGTTGGGCATAGAAACACAAGCATTTATTTAGTCCACTTGTTAATATTCATCTCTTCAAACAACATCATTATTGAACATTATATTGGCATGTTCTCGAACGCACATATTTTTTTTTTTATGTATTGAGAACTTTAATTTTGCTAGAACAAAAAAAACTGCTTTACACCGTTGCTTAATTTGCGACTTAGCTGTTTTTTTACGAAGAATGCAGTTTTGACAAGCAATGACAATGCAATGTTTTAGACAATTTAAATTGAATGTAATCAAACAAGACAAACAAGCAATGGGAGACGACATAGCATGAATGTTTCAAGATATAATCAGTGGCAACCACTAATTAATTGGCTGGATCAAGTGTAAGTATGATATTGGTGATCGGAAATTTGATATATTGGATATCAAGCGGTAGAATTTGGAGGATATAATTCGAACATCAACCGAATCAGTGGTTGAACCTTAAGCTACAACACTAATTAACGTGTTTTGAACACTCTTAAACGCGGAAAAAACACTCGTAACAAAGTCATACAGTGCACTAAAATCCAATTAACAACACATCTAATAACGCCAAAAAAGAAAAACAGATCTTAGTTTTATCTTTGATTGTTTAGATTCGATGATTTGTTAGAAAAAAAAGAAAGAAAAAGATTAGAGGATTCCCATCGCGTTTATGTACGCTAAAGCATATAGTATTAAATTAAACTATATTTATTAATTGTATAAAATGTAAGTATATGATTATTTGAACAATATTCCAGATCTTGTTGTCCATGTTATATAGTTTTCTAATCACTTTTTTCTAGTCACTTTTCTAATCACATGCTGAGAAAGACAATAAGAAATTGTAATCAACTTTTGTTCTTTTCAACTGATAAGAAAGTTTTATTTTGTCAACATCATTTGTGTGTTGTGTAATAAAGTTATATAATTTATTAATTTGACTTAAGTATAAATATTTTTCTAATTGGCATGTTTGCGAATATATTTTTCTCAGTTTTCACCTAAAGAATATTTTCATTTGTAACATAAATGAAATAATTCTTGCGAAGCAATTTCCACCCAATCAAGTAGCGGAGTTGACCCCAGCAACACCTCTTCTTGTGAAGCAATCATCTCTTCGCCAGCCCGATAAGTTCGAGTCTTTTTCTCTTAATTTAGAATATCGGTACGATATTTTAAGTGATATACACAGAACCGGAAACGGAAGTTCGGTTAACTCCTTGGTTATCTTAGCAAGGTCAATATTTCAGTTTCCACGACTAATATAAACCAAAAGTTTCTGTTAAGTAACAAATTACGCCTGGCCCGGTTCGATAAAATTTTCTCTGATATTTTGTTCAAAAACTTTAATACTTTACGGATACAAACAAAATGATATTTTAATTATTTTCAATCCAAGTACAAAAAAGCACATCTTGAATCGTATCCAGAAATGACATATTATTGTTAACTGCATAATATTAAAATGATTGTCTTCAAATTCAAAAATACAAGTATCATGCTATTTGTAAATTTATGGTACCGTTATTCACGTATAACTTTCATGAATTTTAGGTAGAATAGATTCATAAAGTATGAAATATATAGTTAGTAACAATTCAGCCATTTTTAAAAAATTAAGAATAAAACATAGGATACACAAAATCGTGTCCGGGTGGATCGAGTTGGTTCATGTGAAATAAGTCGAATTTCACTAATTTTGCGAATTGGCAAATTTGATCCAAAACCGGTACACAATCGAACCAATATAATCGGTTTTTGATATTTACACGGTTCAACCGTTTCTCGTAGCTCCTCTCGAGATTCTTTCTGCTAAGCGAAAACCAGACGACAGAAAAGCTACACAATAGGAGGAGAGAACTCGACAACGAAGAAGAGAAAAGCGAGATTTCTAACCTATCTCGTGCTTCGAATTCAAACAATTTATTCTCCTCTGCGGATCGATCGCAAATTATCAAGCTCCGCCGCCGCCTCCGCCGCAATTGACGGCGGTGTCTACGTCGCTTTCGTTTGTGCGTGATAGGAGGACCAGCAGCAGGAGCAGTCAGCTTAAGTAACGCCTCCTTTGATTTGACTTGAGGTCAGCGTTGTTTCTTCCCTCAGATTTGTTTTTTTTTTTCTTTTGTCATTTCGAATTCGTTTCGGTAATGGTAGATTATCAGAAGGTTTTCACTTTTCAGATTTCTTTTCTATTTATAATTTCTTCGTAGTTTATTTTTTCATGATTCGGGGGTTTTGTTTTATCATTTTCTCAAATCTGGTTGAGAGATATGGTGATGATGAATTGTGTGGTGTAGAAAATATTGTGTAGGAAATCTGAATGCGCGTCAATATTTGTAGATATCTGGAAATTAGTGGGTAGATCGAATTTGATTACCATCGAGAACGAATGTTGAAACCATGACTGTAGTATAATTGCTTTCCATTGATTTTTTAGTTGTTTGTTCGAATTGCATTCTCGTTTTATTCTAGAACTTGAACAGCTCTCTTGCTTCTTAGTTGTTTGTTCGAATTGGCCAGTGAACATTCTGCTTGATGCTTCTGTCCCAAAAGGAGATGTTTTCTGAGCTATAGGGTTTCGAATTTCGGATTCAGCTTTGTTATCAATATGAATGACACGAAATCCGGACTGGAATTTCTCTTTTGCGCAGATAGATATTTTGGTGATATGGCCTTGGTGATATCTCCGCATTTGCTCTGCCTTGAAGAATTGTAAAATGCTGGCGAATTGGAAGAAACCACACACAGATTGATGCTCTCGTCAGTCGACCTCTGTTCTTGTAAATTTCTCTGAAACTTACGGGGTCAAAGGTGTATAGCATATGCTTTTTAAGAAGATAAAAAATATTAATTATGGATTCGGGTTCAGAGAAAAAATTTCCTCTCAATGCAAAAGACTACAAGTTATGTGAAGAAATCGGAGATGGTGTCAGTGCGACTGTGCACAGAGCTTTGTGCATACCGCTTAATGAGGTCGTTGCTATTAAGGTTCTTGATCTGGAAAAGTGCAACAACGATCTGGTACGCACTCTAATTTATTCTTATTCTAAACTATGAAAGAGGCTTGCTTATTCTGTGGTCTTACTTATCGAAGACAAAAGTGTCGACACCTAATGAACCTCTCAAAAATGTAGTTGCATGTTTCGACTTTTTATTTTCTTTTATTTTTATGTTAAAGTGTCACGAGCTTAAGCTAGATGTAAAGAATTAGTTGCAGTTGTGAACACCATGGAATTATTGTCCCTGTTAATCGGGTTTGAATAGGAACTGAATTGCTTGTAGGATGGGATTCGGAGAGAGGTGCAAACAATGAGTCTGATCAACCATCCAAATGTGTTACAAGCTCATTGTTCATTTACCGCTGGGCACCAGCTATGGGTTGTGATGCCTTACATGGCTGGAGGATCCTGTCTCCATATAATAAAGTCTTCTTATCCAGATGGATTCGAGGAACCTGTTATCGCTACTTTACTCCGTGAGACTCTGAAAGCTCTTGTATATCTTCATGCTCATGGGCATATCCATAGGGATGTGAAGGTATATGGTTGCATAGATTTCCCTTTAATATAGTACTTTCCTCAATTTTCTATGGATGAAGGTCGTTTTGGTTTATTGCCCTCCTCTGTTGAGTGGTGAGGATGTGTTATCGTTCATATCAAAACTATGTCTTCCTTTGCAGGCTGGAAACATTTTATTGGATTCCAATGGTGCCGTTAAGCTAGCAGACTTTGGAGTATCAGCTTGCATGTTTGATACTGGAGACAGACAACGTTCCAGAAATACATTCGTTGGGACTCCATGCTGGTACTTTTTTTTTTCAACTCTAGTAATGCCATGCTCTGTGGATACATCTTAGACAGAATTTCTGAATCATGCTTGTTTCTTCACAGGATGGCTCCTGAAGTCATGCAGCAACTACATGGATATGATTTTAAGTAAGTTGATACTCTGTAAACATTTGTGCTACTTCCCCACCAGATTACTCAGGGGTATTACTATTGTCTACATTTCCCTTCACAGAGCAGATGTATGGTCATTTGGAATAACGGCACTTGAACTGGCACATGGTCATGCCCCATTTTCCAAGTATCCGCCAATGAAAGTAAAGTTGTGCTGATGCTATTTAATTTGTATTGATCTTCACTGCTCTCTGGTACTCAGTTTGTATATTTTCTTTTTCTGGTAATCATCACCGGTAGGTTTTGCTGATGACCTTACAAAATGCACCTCCTGGACTTGACTACGAGAGAGACAAAAGATTCTCAAAGGTGCGTGAGTGGGCACAATATTTTTGTATCATTTTAGCTTCTTGTGTTTTCTTTTCACCTTTGTTAATTTGCCTTAACAGGCCTTCAAGGAAATGGTGGGTACATGCCTAGTGAAGGACCCAAAGAAGCGTCCAACTTCAGAAAAGCTTTTAAAGCACCCTTTCTTCAGACATGCACGTCCACCTGATTACCTTGTTCGAACGATTCTAAATGGTCTTCCTCCACTAGGTGAACGATATAGAACGATAAAGGTCTCTGGTTCATCCCTTAAACTTATTTTGCCTCTTGCTGGGAAGGAAAATGCTGGAAAAGCTTGATTGATATGTGAATTCTTTCTTTCAGTCAAAGGAAGCTGATCTTCTTATGCAAAACAAATCTGAATACGAAGCGCACTTATCACAGGCAAGGATAAAGAAAGAAATATTTCATCTTTCTGTTGACAATATTCTGTAAAATCTCTTTATGCTGCTGAGAGATGCAAACATCTTCTGGTAGTCAAGTTTGATTGCGTGTTATTATTTTTACATCTATACTCAGACTTTCTGTTCCTCTGCAGCAAGAATACATTAGGGGAATAAGCGCTTGGAATTTCAATCTTGAGGACCTAAAGAATCAGGCTGCCCTTGTAAGTTACCACCTTTCTAGCATAATTAATTATACAAGGCAGGGAACTAATTTTGCTGGCCTTGTAGATATCAGATGATGATAGTTCACACGCTGAAGAGCCTGATTTCAACAGAAAGCAATGTGAAAGACAGGATGAATCTGCTCTTTCCCCTGAAAGGGCTAGCAGCTCAGCAACAGCTCCCAGTCAAGATGTAATTAATATATGAATGAATTCTCTATACTCACTCTAGTGTGCTTTTGGGAACCGAAATATAGGTTTTTTTTTAATTTCGATCTTCTTCTGCACGATGTCAACTCAACATGTCTTTCTTTGTATTCCTCTTCTTTTCAGGACGAACTGAACGACATTCATGATTTAGAGAGTTCGTTCGCCTCGTTTCCAATCAAACCTCTTCAAGCGCTCAAGTACATCTTAATTCTCTATATAATCTAGCTCGTATAGATCCGGTTTTTATCCAGTTAAACTTTAAACGCTCGAGACACATGATATTTTCATTGAGTAGTATAGCGGTTTGATCAACGTATTCCATAAGTATCCCATTGCTTAGTATTGCAGAGCTACAACGTTTCTGAATTTTGAACAAGATATTGAACTTTATCCTACCTGTGGTATGATGCAGAGGCTGCTTTGATATTGGCGAGGACGAGGATAATGCAACTACTGATTGGAAAGATGCAAACCTAATGAGTTCTGGACAACAGCCTTTAACAAAGGCTTCTATTGTATCTCTGCCCCACACCACGAAAGAAGAGGACACTGCAGCGCAGAATACTTCTTTACCACGTCATGTCATTTCTGAACAAAAAAAATATTCAAGCGGTTCAATTATACCAGAGAGTACTTTCTCTCCGAAAAGACTCTCATCCGAAGCTGACAGGTTAGCATTCTCAAAACTTTTTTTTAGTGTTTAAACCTATCTTGACATGCTTCATTGACTTTGAAGCTCTTATTTATTGAATGATGAGTTAATGTTGAATGTGACGTGACTTGCTTCTGCAGGGAGTTTCAACAGCGTAGATATCAGACAGAGCGGAGCTACAGCGGATCATTATATCGCACCAAGAGAGATACTGGTAATTAACCTCCCATCCCACCCATTAGTGTACATGGAATGCTTGTAGAGACTTTAATTCGAATACAATTTATGCAGTGGAGGAGACGTCAGAAGCCCCACATGTGGAGCACAAGGGACGGTTTAAGGTCACATCAGCAGATCTGAGTCCTAAGGTACAACAAGTATATGTTTATCCTTGTTCGATGAAACTATTATGGTCTAAGCAGAATGGTAGAAACATGAAAGAAAATGTGTGGAATAGTTCCCTTGTCTTTATGAAAACTGAAGATGTTTTTGGGTTTTTGGTAAAATTAGGGATCTACAAACTCTACATTCACACCGTTTGGTGGTGGTTCAAGTAGCCCGAGCTCCCTAAATGCTAATACCACCTCAATCCTCCCATCAATTCAGTCGATCTTGCAGCAAAACGCCATGCAACGGGTAAGTTTTTAAAACCATATGGAAAATTACTTTTACAGTCGTTAGTTAAATACTTTTCTCTTGGCAGGAGGAGATTTTGAGACTAATCAAATACGTGGAGCAAACCTCTGGTACTATAATCATCTTCATCAATAGATTGATTTTCTCTCGGATCTTATATTTCCTTTTTATTGAAGAATTCAACATAAATATTCTTTGTCTTTGCCTCATTTCATAGTCAAGCAACCTGGATCACCCGAGACAAGCGTCGATGAGCTATTGCAGGTAAAAGAAGAAGAGAAAAGAAAAACATTTTAAAATAATCATATTCAAATATTCATCAACCGGAATTTGATATCATTTTTATGTAGGCGCCTGCTGCAACGCCGAGAGAGAGAGAACTTCAGTCCCAAGTTATGCTACTACAACAAAGGTACATACATATACGATTACTAACAATGAAATTAAAATTGAAATCTCTGAAGGTGATTCTATGTGCAAATTAACGTGACCGAAACCAAAACGCGTCTTATTGTTACTTAACATCAACATTTGAATCACCTGTTTTCTTTTTATCTTTGATGTTAAAGCTTTTGGAGCTTAACAGAAGAACTAAAGAAACAGAAGCAGAGAAACGGGCAGGTTTGTTTTTCCTCACATTTTCTATTTAGAATCCCTCGTTGACTTAAATTTTATAATATGAGATCATGAGTTAACTTCATCCACTTTTTGAGATAGAATCTTATCACGTTTACACACTAATGAATTAGCGTTAATTACTACAAACTTACAAAGACAGCTCTTTACACTTTCATGTTTACATGGCGCTTATTGGAAATCCTTTTCTTATTCTCTGCAGTTGGAGAATCAGTTAAACGCACTAACACACAGAAACGATTGAGTCTCGTGAGTCATCGAAACAAAAAAACACAAGCTCAGGGATGAAGCTGGGGATCTCGAGTAAAAACCCCAAATTTCCTTTCAAGTCAAAGAAGAAAGAGAGATTTGTGTGTTTATATATATTTTTATTGGGTGTAATTTATTTGACAGTTTATTATTTTCTGTGACAACAAACTACTACAATGTTTGCCTCCGTTTTGTGGGTTTTCCCAGTCATTTGGCCACCTATGTCTGGTTTATGATGTGTTTATATTACAGCGTTTGTATTATTATTTTCTTTTTCTTTTATTTTGTTAATGAAAACAAAATACTGTTTTTTGTTTTTATGCATCGTCAAGAAAATGTAATTGTGGGGATAACTAAGGGCCATTCTCTACAAAAGTTTTTAACACATCTAACATTTTTTTTTTCAGATCTCAAAACATCTTTTATAACGTTGAATTACCAAACTAATAAAAACAAATTACCACAACTCCTCACTAATTATTTTTTAACCCAGAAGAAAACATAAAACATCTTGTTGTATTACCAAAGGCGATTCTCGATCACAGCCGCTACTATTTCCTTCAACGTCTCCTACAAAAAGAAAAAAGAAACACAGAATCTCTAAGCTTGTTGCAGAGACTTATTCTTAGAATCAATTAAATGTTAACAAGAAATTGTAAAGTACCGAAGAATGATCTTTGAGACCAAGTGAGAGAACCAGAGGCTTCGAGGGAACATAAGAACTGGAGAAATAAAAAGGGATTGCATCACTTTGCTGTGTTTCAAGTTAATCAGACAATAGAAAAAGAATGGAGGAGAAGGGAGGCATTATTCAAGGAATCGAAGTTGAGAGAGACCTTATGTGGTCAATGAGTCTTCGAGCAGTTGCTATCAGCATTGGCTTCAAGAAACATAGTGGGCAAAATCTACTGTAAGATTTTTGTAGGTTTGAACTATATAAACGTGCTAACAATATGATAAGATTTTTACCTCATCTCGCTTTCCGAATATCACTGAGACACTATATGTTGGTTCAACAGACATCCCTTCTTCCTTCCTGTCAACAAAGAAACACCCGATTTACATATAAAACAAATGTTCAATACCGATACTAGACTAAACAAATCAAGAAAACTCGATTTCATTCCTCAAGAATATCTTAAATGCATGAACAAAGACCACCAGTTAAAAGCATAAACCGACAGATTAATCGCCAAAGTGAGAGACTGCACAAATCAAGAACACACACTATTTCATTCTTCGAGACAACCTTAGAAGCATGAATATCTTAAATGTATGAACAAAGACCACCAGTTGGCGCATAAACCGGTAGATGTATAAGCAAAATGAGAGACTGAACAAATCAAGAACACTCGGTTTCATTACTCGAGAAGACGCATACACAACAATAAGTTTTATCACGGACCATCTAGTGTGCAGTATAGTTCAACAAAGAACATAATTTGAGTCATAACTCAGATCATCAGATGTTGTAGATTTATCGATAAAGATTAATTAATTCACGAACTCTCAAGTTCCCTCCTCAGGAAATCGTAGAAGAAAGAACAAGAAACAATTTTTTATCAGAGACCTTGCGTGCAATATAGTTCCCATGGCTCCAATCTGTGTTGCTATGACCTGAAACAAAGTAATGTTGAGGTTCAGAAAAACAACTATGACTTTGAAAACATCAAAGGATATAAGCTCTTACACACAAAAACACTCACAAGGATATGATCTTCATAGCTGCAGATCACAATCTCTGTCTTGTTTCCCTTTTAAACAACAAACACTGGAAATTACTCAATTATCTTGACAAATGACAACAGTAAAATGCTTAGACCACTTGAATTGACGTACAATAACAGAATCAATTCTGTAAGAGATATTGAGCCTCATGAATCCAGAGATTCACAATCAAAGTAACATGTAACATATTATTTGACCAAATAAAAACTAATCTTCACATAAGAATCGAGAAAACTCCCATGGAAAAAGATTCGATTAGATTTTCAAATTACCTTACTTTCTAATGAAAACTTTTTATGGCGAACAGGAAAACTAGTGTCCAAGTTTTCCATTATCAGTCTTTTAACTGTCTCTCTCTCTCTCTTACGCTTCTTCTTCTTCGTTTTCTTCCTGCGAGAATCTCTCCGTCTTTTGCCTCCCAGCTCCGACGAGAAGAGAGGTTGAAACTCGTTCGTTTCTGCTCAAAACAGCATCGTTTGGAAAAAATCTAAAATTAGTAAGCCCAAGTAATTAAGCCCATTAACATTTGATAAACAAGCCCATCAATAAATTCCTTTTTTCAGTCATTAGTTTTTTGACTTTTGAGTAAACGAATTCGCGGCGACGACTTTCCTCGCATTAACGAAATAACGAGTATTATCTTCCCACGTGAAAAACAAAATATGACCAGTCCAACAAAATATTAATAATAAAGTAGGAAACGAAATCTACGACTTTACATTACAAACGCATTTCTCATATGTGTAACTACATGAAACGACACAGATCACAGACCACAAGAATTAAAGAAATATGGTCTTTCTCTTGAGTCTTGACAAACTGGACGGAAACAAACCGGGTGGCTCGTCGATTAAAAACCACGGAGTGAGTTTGTAATTTCATAACGTACCAACCAGAAGCTTCCACGTAAGCACTTTATTTAACAGGCCGGTTATTTTAGAGACGCACACTCAACTAACCATCTCAGTTTGTGTAAAACAAAGGGAAGTACGGTTGAGAAAATAGAAATCCCGTGCGTGCCTACTCGTCATTCAACACGTGTTCGTCAGAATATCCGGCGCTTTTCCTGTCAGCTGAGCCATTCAAGCCGAGCCGTTTAACCCAATCTCGATTGCCACATTATTTAGGTTTATTTCAAAACCAGGTTGTGCCACATTATTTAGGTTCAATGATTAAAATAAAAGAGTATATATTTTCATTTCTACAAAATTACAGATAACTAGGGTTTATTTTAATAGACGAATATCATATTTTTTGGGTCGAAAAGTTCATTACCAGTGTCACGGTTAAAACCATAATCTCATTAGTATACGATTTGTGCGTTTAATCTATTTACTTATGTAACACAGAAAATATATTTTTAGGTAAATCATATTTGTACATACATTACTGTGTTAAACTGATGTGACAATGTAATGCGATAATGTTTGACCAGTATCTAAATTATTGTAACTTCGTGGTCAGAGCATATAAAAGTTGGCTTAAAAGCATAAGTGCTAATTTTGACCACTTCTCGCATCTTCGTTTTTTTCACACTCGTTGATTAGGAATTTCAAGATAATCAACCGATTCTTGGTACGTATTTTATGATTATTATATGCTTAGATGGTGATTAGTATAATCATATAAACCATCATATTTATATACATATATATAGTTCCATACGATATCATATTGTGTGTAAACTTTATATTTTCTCAGATGATATATACTCATCACTACTGTCAATGGTTCTTAAAATTTATTTACTATGTCATCAAACACCGATTAATTTCCTTATAATAAGTGACACTTATCGTGAATTAGCTTTAATTATTTCATGAGCAATAGATTTTGCCTTTTTCCTTTTTTGCCTTACGAGACCTTCTAAGCAAGAGCAATAGATTAGACCTTTTTAGTATTTAGTTAAAAGAAATAGTAATCCATAAAGTAATAAGAGTTGGTGGCAAAGTGTTGTACGATTAATTTACTTAGAAAAAGAAGAGTCATACGGTTTAAATTTAAAACATGAGAATTTTGCAGGATTTGGATATTTTATACAAAAAAGGTATTTGTATTTTTCACGTTTTTTTCATTAGTTTGTTTTTAACAGTACCTCATAGACATCAAGTAACAAGAGTTGGTGAAAATGTGATGCACCATTAATTCACTTGCGTAACAAGAGTCACAAACAAAATCCGTCTACGTCCCACAAGTATACATAACTTATAACTAGCTAGTAATATAAAAATATATATAAACTTACAATCACCCCAAAAAAAACCCTATAACCAGGAAAATAATAGGTCAATGATGATAAATGAATAATTTTTTCTTTGTTTACTATTTAAACAAGAAAACGTTTTGGCATCATAATAATATCAGCAGTTTACAGAGATTATAACATTTTTTTGACACGTTATTATTGTCCCATAGTTTACTAACATGTAGTTAACTCTTCGTCTTGTTCCGAGTAGCTGCCATATAATCAACTAGTTTGACCGTATTGATCAGTTTAGACAGATATCAAGTAGATGCAATATAATAACCAGTCATGTAAATAAGGCCGGTCAATTTTAATTTAAAGCCACTACCACGAAACTAATTTAATTTATTATAACGGTGTTTTTACTGAACTTTTTTTATTGTAACGTATTTGACCTGTTTATAATAATAATGTGATATAAATGACAAACAAGACAATATTTTTTTTGTCAACTTCGATTACCATTTCCCATTATAGTTAGTATCATTTTAATTTGCACACGTTGTAAAACTATAAAACATAATTTAGTTCTTGATTTTGACCCCATGAATACTCGTTCACTGTACATATCTCAAGTTTGGTAACTACAATATGTAAATATGATCTTTATCTAAGTGTAACTCAGTCCATAACTTTTAGACTTTGTTTTGATATGTTTTTTTAATCAAGCTAACGACAGTACTTAACATATACTATAAGTTACTTCGTCTACTCTATTACAAACGTGGTATACACTTTTTATCCCATCATAGATGACCTTTTACATCTTTTTGTTATATAATTAATAAGTGGAACTAAAGTATCTATTGAACACTTATAAATAATTTAATAAAACCAAAATACCTAATAATTTTTATAAAAAAATAGTTTATTATTAGTGTGCAATAAAACATATGAATACATTAAAAAAAAAACAAATGAAAACATACATGTAGATACTACGACATTGTTATATTGTATATAAAAATAGGAAACCAATCTAGTAAAGAGCTATAAATTTACAATTGGCAATTTGGCATGGTGAAGTTTTTTGTTATTCCAAGTCTTTATTAATGGTTGTTTTCTTCAAAGAAAAAAAAAATTTAATTAATGGGAAAATATAAGTATAGATGGGTCGTATATATAGAAGGAAGCAGTCGATGAAGCTGAAGCCGAGCCGATAAAGCTGCTTTTAATACACTTGTCCTTTCTTCGAAAGATCAGAGAGACTCTTTTGGCATATCTCGTGTGATGGCCTCTGCTCTTTCTCCCTCTATATATTTCGTCTTCCTCCTTTCTCTATCCTCTGTGCAACTCTCTCTCTCTATACCTTCTCTGAACTTTAGAGCCAACGAAGTCAGACACTGAACAAATAAGATTTTTTTAAATCTTACTTAATTGGTTCATTTGTTGTTTTCGTACTCCGAAAACTATGAGGGTTCTACGTGCGACGGAGAAATTCTCGGCGGAGGTTAAGGAGTTCATGTGCGCAGCTGTGCAGAGGAGGAGAGACGACGACGGATTCCGAGGCTCGAGAGGTGGTAAATCGAGAAATGCGATGGATCTGGATTCCGACGCCGGGAACAGATTGGTTTGCGTTACCGGCGGCGTTTCATACCTTGGTCGTGCCATTGTTAAGCGGCTCCTTGTTCATGGTTACTCCGTCAGAATCGTCGTCGATTGTCCAGGTAAATTTGATTACGCTCTGTTTCATCATCATCGGAACTTGGGAATCGCTCTTTCAATTGTTTGGTAGGTTGGGTTTAAGGACTAATTAATGACTTTTCAATCTTTCCTAATACTACTAGTTTTAGCGATTTTGATCAACGGGTAAATCGTATAATTAGTGCTTGGATTCTGGAGTTACAAATCCGAGTTTGATTTTTTGCCTTTTTTTGGTAAATAGCAAAGTCTGTTTTGGACGTGATTCGAAATTATTCAAGTAGAAAATGATATTTTCAAATAATAAGTCATTGATATTTGTAAAGTTTTTGAGGCTTTGAGTTGATTTTTTTTGTTGTTGATGAAAATGCAGAGGACAAAGAGAAAGTGAGCGAGATGGAAGCTGACGCTGAAACGGCGTCGTTTAGCAACAGGATTACATCAGTAGTTTCTCGATTAACAGAGACCGAGAGTTTAGTTCAAGCATTTGATGGTTGCGCAGGCGTTTTCCACACCGCTGCATTTGTGGATCCAGCTGGAATCTCTGGATATTCGGTATGTCTAATTTCAATTTCATCATCCTCTACACAATGTTGTAACCTTATGCACATAAATTAGCACCATTCTTTATACGTATGCTTGCATTCGTACGTGTACAAATACATTAAATGAGATGTGTAAATATACTCATGCATACGTACGAAGACACCACGTGGAATGTACAAAACCAATTACATTCCAATTTAACCTCATCGAAGCATCTCCTTTCTCCTTCAAATAAAAATAAAAATAAAAATAAAAAATCTCACGGCATGCTATTTATTGAGTTTTATTCACAAAAATAAAAGAGTGAGTATTGCATATAGACACGGAAGGATTACTGTATTTTCTGCGTGATTCAAATAACTTTGTTCGTTTATTGAAATGTCGTACGTCTCAGGTGTGAAATATGAGAATGTGTCAAAGGGGAATATATTAATTGCTTTACAATTTTATCCTTATCCTCGTTTCTGTTTCTAGAACACTTTTTAAGTGGCTCTGCTTTTTGTTAATAAAGTGGTTATGAGTTGAGGTTGGTACTTAGCCAAGTACCTTAGTTTCTGAATGTTTGTTGAGTATGGTACATATTTTCAACTATAAATTCAATGCCCCTCAGTTTCTTTTTGTTTTTTTTATAAAAAAACTTTGATATTTTTGCTTTTAAAAACTCAGATTTTGCATATCTTTTTGTCTCCTTGCCTTGGTTCCGTTTTCAATTTTTTCTTGAAAACAAATATTCAACATCGACATAATGACATTGAAATAGAGTTGATAGCTCTTCACAACCAAAATAAATTAAATTGAGTAGACAGCTCTTGCATTCTGAAATCTCAGCACTTCCTTTTTGAATAGATTGAAAAGATGCCATTTTATCTGAGATTTGAGTGATTTTTTTTTTTTTTGCTGTTGACATTTTGACAATATTTAACCCCAGCCACCTGATTCGGAAGAGAGTTATTATAAATAGTTAATTTTGCATTATGAAACTTCTACACTCTAGGTTGATAGTTGTGGGTTCCTACACTTGTTGGAGAGGTATCTCGGAACTCCATTAGACACATTCTCTACCTACTGATAAGGACAGCTATCTAGAAAAAGGTTTTGTCTAAGTTTTGATTACGATTTGATTGGTACCAATACCTTATCTACGGCAACTACAATTAATTGAAACGTGGACGAACTAAAAACATTCATTCAATAAATATAGCATACATGTCATCATCAGATCAATAACACAAAACCAAAACTGGACCTACTAATTTTTGTAAAACTACTACTAAGGAGTTGCATTTTTGTTCTAACAAAGTGTATATGTATACAACTTAACGATCTTCATATACTAATGTTTTGGCAGAAATCAATGGCGGAATTAGAAACAAAAGTGAGCGAGAATGTAATAGAAGCATGTACAAGAACAGGGTCGGTGAGAAAATGCGTCTTCACATCATCTCTTTTAGCCTGCGCTTGGCAAGACGATTACGTTTACAATTTTGATCACTCTGTTATCAACGAAGAAAGCTGGAGCGATGAACAGCTCTGCATTAATAATAAGGTAAAAGAAAATCACAAAATTTTCATCTGTTTATATATGATCTATATATATATGATTGTGCTCTTGAAGGATCCACCATAATTAATAATATCATTTTCAAACTAATTCCACAGCTTTGGTATGCACTTGGAAAACTGAGAGCAGAGAAAGCTGCGTGGAGAATCGCAGATTCGAAAGGACTAAAGCTTGCCACAATATGTCCTGCTCTTATAAATGGTCCTGACTTCTTCCACTGTAACTCCACTTCAACCTTGGCTTATCTCAAAGGTAAATCAAAAACGTACCCTTATAAATAGTTATAAATGAGTATGAATCCAAAATTGAGTAAACCGTCCAAGAATAATGTTATTATTATATATAGCTGCAAAACAAATAGTAGTACGTAGTTCACGGGTGGTCCATTTCAATAGAGAGACAAAGACAGCTAATAAGTTTTGACTTTTTGTCTTTTGGTTTATTTTTTTGTTATTCGCAGGAGCAAAAGAGATGTATATCAACGGATTATTAGCGACAATGGATGTGAACAGGTTGGCTAAAGCTCACGTATGTCTATGGGAAGGTTTGGGTAACAAAACTGCGTTTGGTAGATACATTTGTTTTGACACCATTCTCTCAAAAGATGGTGCCGAAAAGCTTGCTAAAGATATCGGTGTCCAAATTGAAAAGATTTGCGGTAGCAGCAGTGATTCAGACGCAAACGCAGAAGCAGAAGCTTCTCCTCATAGTTTACAAATTTCAGATAAAAAGCTTTTAGATCTTATGTCAAGAACTCTACGAAGTTGCTATCATGAAAGTTAGCTAGAGTCGACAAAACTAATTAAAAGGAGCAGTTTTAAGCAAAGTGATGTAATGTTTGCTCCTATTCTTTTCTTCTTTTTTTTTCAATATATCATGCTTTATTATCTTATTTTATGTTATCTTCTTTATAATCATTGTTTAGAGAATCATTGTTATTGTACGAATGTGGTTTTTGTTTTGTGTGTGGAGGAGGTTGTTGTAAAGGGCGGTGGTAGAGTTGGTATTCGTTAAAAAATCATATATCATTGAAAAATAAATACATTTTTCCCAATTTTTGGTAGCTTATAAAGCCAATTTCAACATTACGTAAATTTGGTTCTAGCCGGTGCAAAATAACAATCATTTTTGCCTTTGCCATTTTTGCCATTCTGCATGCATATATCTTTCTTTGACTTGTGTGATTCATCGAAAAATAAACTCTCACTCTCTCTCTCTCTCTATATATATATATATATATGTTTAATTTTTCTAATAAATCAACATTTTAATGATGTAAAACGTTCATCCAACACGCAACCGGTTCATTCACAACAAGCAATCTGTTAGAACCAGGACGTACAGTATATTACACGTGTCATGATATCATTAGTGGTAATTAGAGGGTGAAAAATAGCAGAACGAATGATTTAAGTGAAGAAGAGACTGATGTGTGCGTAGCCAGGCGGCGAAGTGACTTTGCCGTTTTTTTTTTTGGTTTTTCATTTTCTATAAAGAGAAGAGCATCTCAGTTGCCGACGTGGCGACCTCATAATCGAATGCACGTGCAAAGTGTTTTGTAGACAAAGTCACTCCAAAGGCGCAGCAGCACCAGAGAGGTAAAGGCGTGAACGACGCTGATATTTTTCAATGTTATAAAAGGCACGGAAAACCATAAATTTTATATTAAAATGCTTCAAATTCATAACAAATATAGCAGCACTTAACATATAGTGAAATCAAAATAAATTGTTAATGGTTTTAGACTTTCAGTAAATTTCCATTACTCTTATTTCTACTGGCAACATAAAATCTCTTAAAGTTTTTTGTTGAAGAAACATCAAGGTACAAAAAAGTTTATGCTGCTAATCAAAAACTTTGAAGTTGTGTAAATATTACTCGCATCAACTCTGCAATAACTTCACTCTTAAATGCATCACAGTAACGCAGAAACTTAAATATTACTCGTAGTATCATTTTTTCATGGTTCATGGCACTGTTAACATTAAACAGTTGTACTTGCATCCATCATTGAACGCAAGTGCATACTCTAAGATAGTGCACACTTTAAGATACTCTTGGCATCACTTTTAAATTCACTACATTTTCGAGTATAAAATAATTGGAAAAATATATCTATTACTCCCTCCGTTTTATAATAAGTGTCATTCTGACATATTTCACACAGATTAAGAAATTAATAAAATATACAAATATACATCTAATTAATATACTTTTATAACATTTAATTACAAAGACTATTATCTTTAAATGAGGAATTAAAAAGGAAATAAAAGTAAAAAATTACATTGAAAATGCAGAATAACACTCTTTTTGAAATAAAAAATAAAATTTAAAACGACATTTATTATGAAACGGATGAAGTATTTAGATATTAATTTGTTCTATTTATTTAGTGTTAAAATTTAAAAACTTATAAATGCATGGAAAGCAACACAAATCGGGCCGAGTTCCCATGATATGATTCTCTCTGTCTTCGGGACTCATCAAACACCAAGCTCCGATACTTCCTATAAATTCGTACCAAAATTTGTTCTTACTTTTGTGAAACTATGTGAAAATATCGGCTAGCTTTGATAAAATAAAAAAAAAAATCTATGCTTTTGGTTATTTTTTATAGCACTTTGCTGTCTTCATTAATAACCCTTTTTGTTGATTTTATACAAAATTTTAAAAATGTCTAAAAACAATAAGTTTGAACATGCACTCAAACAGAAGTATCGACCTGTAACTAGTCTATAGTACGTCCTGCCACTACAGTTTAACAAAATGGTAGTTCAAATTTCATTAATCCTCATGCTGTCGAGCCTCGAGGCCAAAATCTATTCAAATAAGCATATTCATCAGCTCTTTATTACGGTAATCGTGTGGCGAATAATTTCACATACCTATATTCATCAGCTCTTTATTCTCCTTAAGGGTTCCTACTCACTCCTCAATAAATCTCCTCTTGATCAATAATCATCTTCAATCAGACGAAAAATTCAAAATTATGCTTAAAATTATTAGCTTCTACAGACCTATAAATATATGCATAAATATACATTGTACACGTACGTAACGTTGAATTACAATACTATACATATATACCTATATATATTGTAAACATGATTAATGCGCAAACACGAATATCCTTGTCATCAGTATGCTATAAACTATGATTGAAAAATTATAAATAGTCATGATCTCGTCATCTATGATCTATCCTATTATTGAAAAAACACTTTGTCACGCTCAGATATTATCATATAATATTATAACTACTGAAAAATGAGTACATTATATATACATATAGATATATGCGCAAACCTCAATCACTATTTAGCCTAGGGAAATCTATATTAATGTTTAATGTCAAAACATTGACATATTTTATTGGGCAAGTTATTTTGGGTTTTACCAAAAAAGAGAGAGTTATTTTGGGTTGTTTGGGCAGGCTTGTAGATCGTTATTGTGGAACGGACAAGTCATTTATGTTCTATTTCACAAAAACAAATTCTATTTGATTATCATTATCGTGAATCACAGAATCTTTGAACATATCGCACATTTTTAGGCTTTCAATTGATAGTATCTTATCGTGAAATGAATAATCAAAGCTAATAAAAATAATTTACTACTCCACTAAATAAGTTTTGGTTAGCTTAAGCCTAAATTTCTAAACGAATATTCATATCGTAGATGCAAACTATTCTTCCACTTGGTTATTACAAAAAATTATTTCTCTAATTCGGTTTAGACAAAAATCTGGATTATACCATTCCTACCAAAGTTGATAAAAAAACGTAATGGTAGTAGATAAACTTATATAACTTTTTTTGGTCGAAACTTATACTAAAAGCAATTATACAAGCTTATATATATGTACATATAGCTCCTTATGTGGTCGTATATGGTGAAAAAAATTATGCTTTCAAAAAGAGCTCTGTACACGTGTATATGCGCATAGGCTTGTGAAAGAGAGATTAAATATTGATATATCGTCGTCTAGAGAAAGAGACAGAGAGATAATCTGTCTATAATACAAGTATATAAGTGGAGCATTTGCTAGATCAAACCATCTCTCTTCATCTTCTCCTTATTCTTTTTTTTTTCTTGGTCATCCTCTCCTTATTCTTCTTCTCCTTCTTTTTTTCCTTTTTTTTTTGGTTTTTAATCTCCTTCTACGTATTTCCTTTATCATATCCATCAAACTATCTTTAAGATTATTATAATACACAACACAACACAACACATCAGATGAAAATGTATTTCTGTTGATCCTTATATTTATGCGTAGATAATTATATATATCACCCGAAAGAAAGCAAGATAAGGAATCCTCCAAGGTAATCCACCATTAACAATCTCAACATTTCTCTCATGACTAAGGTTAATTGGGTGGGCTCCAGTTTCTCCCCTCACCACTTAGTTATGAACCCACTCCTAATTACCTATATATATAGTGTTCATCGTTCATAATTTATATCTCGAATAGCTTTTTTTTTTGCTAATCCTGATTATATGATTAATTAGATGGACTTCTTGGTTGCATGTGTGCTATTTCATAATTGATTTTACTGTTCTTCTTATGAAAATTTTCAAAAATGACAAAATTTAGCTTCTAATAATGGTATTAACCATTTACATAATATATACATATTTATGGCCTGTGTGTATACATCAGTATATACCTATATATAGTGTATGAACTAATGAACATGCAACTTACATTTCTTCAATTTTTACCCACCATTTTGCACTTTTACCTTATACAAGTGAAAAGGGACAATAGCTAGTACTAGGTCCCACTCCGATAAAAAAGGAGGAAAGATTAAAATGGTTTGATGTTTTACATCTCTTTTTTAGTTTTTTCTTTTATTCGCTAAACTCGTAACAAAAATGATGTTTAAAAACATTTGATTACAATTTTCACTTTCGTAGAGATGAAGCAGAATTCAACATTTGCACGAGTCAAAAGCAAATTCGTTCATTGTATAAAGCAACATCTTCATGGCTATACCCCATAAATAAATACTCCCCAATATTTTATACATATCTCCCAAACACATGTTATCGTTTTACTTTTACTGAGGGAGTTCCTAATAGACTTTCTAGGGCTATTATTTTAAAGGGCTATTGATGATCTATTATACATTTCTGGCATTTATATCATAGGTTAAGAAGTTAAGTTGGAGGACTAAACTAAATGCACAATACACTCAATCTATTTAATATTGCTTTCTAAATTTTATATTTTATTAGGGCCACGTAATTGGGCCATAAGAAGACCCGGCAATCCACGTGAAAAGAGAATCCTTCCCACTTACCATCCCACGTTATCACATTAATCTTTTATATTTTCTAGTTATTCATTATAATACTATTAGTTACCATCAATTTTTGCTGGTACAACAATCTCCATCTTTTTGTGTGTGGCATAAACTAGTTTCAGATGACAAATATTTTTTTTAATTCTTAATTGTAAATTATATTACTATCTCTATAATAGAACGTAAAAGATGCTACAATCAATAAAACTTTTTGATCCGAGTGTAAAATTAAAAGTTAAACAGATAAATCGTCTAATATAAACATAATGAGATGAGATTCCTACCAGGCTACCACAAAATCAGAAAACAAAAATCACTAATTTATTACATATCCCTAGAAGAACTCCTTATTAGTTAAGCATTAATTCAAAAACCTTTTCTTGAATTTCCGATAGTAAAAAACTAAAAACATATAAAAATAATAATTTGAATCCGTTCTCCCACGCGCTCCTTGAACCAGTCATTAGACCAGACGGTCCAACCCGTACATCTTGTTCTTTCTTATATAAGATGTTGGACTCAAGTATGACAGTAGCAATCGAAATCTATGAGACAAAAAGGGAATCGAAATTAAGAAAAAAAATTCTAAAAGATGTTCTTATCGTGGTCTGCACGCGCTTAATGAGAGCGTGTGAGAGTAGTGGATCTAAACCTGAACTGTCTTAAAGTCATTAAGTGAAAGTGCATGGAAAATCTCGAGTTGTTGTTTCCTACACCTCTCTGTTTTCTTCATTGTTTACTATTTCCTATACGTATCAACTTGTAAGCAAAAACTTTTTCAAACTTTGATCCATAAATCCATACATATATATATTAATATATATATATGCGTATTGATCTATCGCAATATATATATATATGTAGAGTGACGAAAGCTCACACACTTTGTTTCTTATCTATTTTTATTTTGGCCACAGTAGGATTTTGTTTTGATGGAGGAGAACCCGCATCGAGTTTCACGTAGAAACATTGGCGGGACCCACTTTCAAAACGACGCCGTCGACGAAGAAAACCGTCGCCAACGGCAATACAACCACCAAACTCACGTCGACGAAGTCAAATGCTCAAGCAAGAGATGCCGGTCGTGGGCTGCGGCGGCGATTGCTGACTGTGTAGCACTTTGTTGCTGTCCATGTGCGATCATAAACCTTCTTACCCTCACTTTAGTCAAAGTCCCGTGGATGATCGGACGGCGATGTCTCGGCGGCGGCGGCCGGAATACGAAGAAGAAGAAGCGGAGGTTACTTCACCGGAGGAGACAACGCCGCGGGAAAATTAACGGCGAAGATGAGTTTCACGATCATAGTAATCATCACCGCCGGTTTGAGACGGCCGATAATGATGAGAAATGCGGCGGTGGTGGAGGATGTTGCGGCGGCGGAGATTATGATGATCACCGGTTTGTGGTGGAGAGAGATGGGAGTTTAACGAAAGAGGAGGATGAGGAGAAAACGACGTCGTTAAGAGGAGATGATGAGTCGAGAATAAGTGCAAGAGTTGAAGCGGAGAGAGTGTGGTTAGAGTTGTATCAGATTGGTCATCTTGGATTTGGTAGAGTCTCCTTCACTGGGATTCAATGATTGATCAATAATTTCTAACTAGGAGTTTTTTTTTTAGTTAATATTCAGATTTTTTTTTTCGGAAAATATATAATGTGAATTTTTCTACTCGATGTCATGTGTTCTTCTGTGTAGATTTATTAGTTAGCGAACAAATTGGCAATACTTAGATTTCACTAAAAATTGTTCGGCTGCGCATGTAATACAGTGAAGTGGCCGTATCATTGCTCGTATTCAAATTTGGTAGTATATATACAATATACACTCATAACTTATAAGTACTACTAGTAGACAATAAATAGTTGGCAAAATTTGTCCGAATAAAATACTATAAAAGTTATAAATGATTAGGAATTTAGGAGTTAGGAGTTTGCACATTTTTAAAGAGTCATATGGTTCAGTCTTTCGATCCATAAAATAACACGACATAGATGTAATAAAATAAAAGCCTCTTTTCTCGATTAAAGAAAAGCAAGTATCCTAGAAAACGGTAATAATATTAAAAGCTATAAAAAAACTTAATAATTCGGATTTATTTATGGGCCTTGTTATAAATAATTTCATATGTTTGGGCTAAAAATGAGGCCCACTAACGAGAATTTTTGGTTCTACTACTTTGACGTGGCTGCTCGTAACCGACCGTGTGTATTTTAGTAGGCTCTCAGAATTATTGTACGATCGTGTCTAATTTGCGCCGCCCGCGCACAATACCTCTTCCATTCTCAGAGGACTTGATCTTTCCTGCTTGAGAAAGCTTTCAGTTCCTTCCCTCTCCCCCGCCTTCTTCCTTTCGAAAACAACAGAGTCGACGATTTCAGGAAATCAGTGAAGAAAATGGATAGCGAGCCAACTCGAGTGATGGTGGCCGTGAACGAGTCGACGATCAAAGGCTATCCACACGCATCGATAAGCAGCAAAAAGGCATTCGAGTGGACATTGAAGAAGATCGTTCGGTCCAATACATCTGGCTTCAAGATTCTCTTGCTTCACGCACAAGTTCAGGACGAAGACGGTGATTTCTCTATTTCATATCATCTATTTCCCATTCTCCATACTTTTACTTTCGTGTCTCTGCATAATGTCGATAGTAGGTTTCACTAATGATGCACGATTCATGTTTAGGGTTTGAGTAGATCACTATTAGACTAAATTCGTTATTTTAGCTTTTTGTAAATGCGTTTTGGGTTTTCAATCGACGTTTCAGAAGAATTGTGTTTGTGATTCTGCTCTGTTTAAGCTACTGTGTTTATCACCACTAGGCACAAGCGGTGCGTGGTTTGCTCGAATAATCTCCGTTTGGGGATTTAAATAGCTCTCATTTGTTGTGTTTTCTTTGAAGATTTGATATAGCTTTTATTGGTTATTTTAAAGAATCTGTATCCAGTTCTGTCACATTCACGAGCGATGTTTGTCTAGAATGGAATAAAGTAGACATCTGGACTCCAGAGTTATGTTTATTATAATCACCAACCTTAATCCTTAAAGTCTAGTAAATCAGTTTGTAAACCTAAGTTTTTGCTAAGAAATATCAGAAGAGAGGCTTACTTCATGTCATGTAATATAGCAAGTTTCTGGTTAGAAGATGGCATAGAAAAAAGCTGATCTTACTTGTTTTGATAATGAAATGGGAATCAGGTTTTGATGACATGGACAGCATATATGCTTCCCCTGATGATTTCCGACAATTGAGGGAGCGTAACAAGGCAAAAGGACTTCACCTACTTGAGTTTTTCGTTAACAAATGTCATGAGATTGGGGTACTGTTTTAAGTCATTGATTGACCATTATCTGTCTTTATGTCCCTCGCTTGTATCATAATCTCATAAGCCTACAGTAACTTTTAGTGGCTATGAGTCAAGTGAGTTATTGAACTTGTAGGTTGGGTGCGAGGCTTGGATCAGGAAAGGCGATCCTACAGAAGTGATATGCCATGAAGTGAGGCGGGTCAGGCCAGATTTTCTGGTTGTGGGAAGTCGTGGTCTCGGTCCATTCCAAAAGTACGTTCAATTCTCACACACGCCTCAAGTAGAATTATTGCTTTATACTTCATACCCGTATTCTGTTTTGGCATTGCTTTACCACCCCGAACCATGGTTTTGACTTGACATGCCAGTCGAGTGATTGAAAAGTTTCTACTGACGTCGTCATTATGTAGTACCCACCCATTTTCAAATGCCTTATGGGTTTGAATACAATACAGATCAAGGATGAGCTATCTTATTAGGCTTCCTGTGAATTGTTTGATGCATATGATTACACCTCATGGACTTCAAATAGCTTCAGAGTTGCAATTTAGTTTAGGAGGTGTGATCCTATGCGACACACTGCCTATACGTGAATGGACTAATGTATGTTTGACATAAGCTGAGGAGTTGCAGTTTACATTATGTATATCTATTATACTATAGCTTGAGGTTGAAATCACAGTAGTCTATCTATGTAAAGAAAAATAACGTTGTGTTGCATTCTTGTTACTATTGGACAGGGTGTTTGTTGGAACTGTGAGTGAATTTTGTGTGAAGCATGCAGAATGCCCAGTCATCACAATCAAACGCAGTGCTGAAGAAAGTCCACAAGATCCAGCTGATGACTAAACTCCAAAAGCAGTCACACAGACCATGTGTGTGATTTGCAGTACAGAAAAAGAAATAAACAAAACTCTTTCGATTGGTCTAGTAAGTGCGTCTGTAGTTGTGGTAGATACTCAGATGATTCACACATCATATTTATAATTGTGTGCGCAATGCCTTAGTCTTCATTCCCCAAAACATCAAAACAAAAGTTCCATTATTCGTTGTGTAATCCATCAACTCTTCTAGACCTTTCATATATCCAATGTGTTCTATATTATTATCCATATGAGATTCACTTTTGCATTCTTCTGAAATCGAAAAGCCAACTAGAAACCAACAAAACCAAAATCTGGACTGAAACACACAATTCGAAGCGTAAGGCTAAAACCAACGGAGGGTCGTGGATCCAAGTGATCAGTCAGCATAAACGGAATCAAACTTTGACATAATAACGAGAAGGCAAAAGTAAAAACTATCATAAATCCATTAAACGGGTAAAAGAGTAGAGGTGAGTTTTATGGACTACACGCACATAAGGACATAAACATCAACGGACAGTTGAAAACATCAGACACAATACTGGTTTCTTCTTCATTCTCTCTTCTCCACAATCACTAATGGTCTCTTTCAAGTGCAAAAAGTGTTCCAGCAGCTTCATCATGCCTAATCATTATCAAAATGAAGGTTTAATCAATATTCATAAATCATATTTGAGCAACAGGAATAAAACACATAAATGAATATACTATGGTCGCCAGATTTTGCATATGGAAATGAGCATACAATCTAAATCCCCCCCCACGGGTGTTATTTACGAGCAACGATTACTTTCAGAAGAGTATTCCTTTCAATTTTCTACTTAGTTATACAAAATGGGGTATTCAGTTAATTACCTTGCTAGCGATGTTGTTGGAGAGCCAATCAAGGCCTTCATAGAGACCTTCCCCAGATGTGGCACATGTGCTTTGAATGTACCTGTTAAAGGAAACAACATAAACGGTACATTCCACCACACTGTGCGATCAATCTAACCATATTAAGGACTACATCGTAGAAAGAAGATAATTTTACCAATGGCGTTGGCGAAGAGAGTGAAGGCCAAGCTTGTCGGTTATTTCTGCAGCATTCATTGCGTTGGGAAGATCTTGTTTGTTTGCAAACACAAGAAGGACAGCATCCCTCAGTTCATCCTGCAAACAGTGTTTAAATCAGATGATGAAAAAGGTGTTTCTTGCTTACTGTGATACGAGAAAATATCAGAAAACTTACCTCATTCAACATGCGATGTAACTCATCCCTTGCCTCCACAACTCGGTCTCTGTCGTTGCTATCAACCACGAATATAAGACCTTGAGTGTTCTGGAAGTAGTGCCTCCACAGGGGACGAATCTGTTTTTCAAGGAATTGGCATTCTAAATGTCAAATAGCAGGAAAAATAAGAATACAAATACAATCCACGTGCATGTAGAAATTTAATCAGGTAAAACGAAAGATCACAGTATTAGTCACGACACTATACTATGATGATCTAAGCAAGAATCAAATTGTGCACCTTGTCCTGACCCCCTACATCCCAAACAGTGAAGCTGATGTTCTTGTACTCAACAGTCTCCACATTGAATCCTGGAAACAAAAGCCTTTTCAACATCAAACTTGAGAAGCGAAGCTTCCATTAACAGAAAACCGGAAGGAGCAGGAGAGAATTACATAAAACCCACAGAGACATACAAGTAAGAAACACAAAAGAGCAAGATCAAAGACTCTGGTTCGAGGAATCCTTAAAACTTACCGATGGTTGGGATGGTGGTGACAATTTCGCCAAGCTTCAGCTTGTACAAGATAGTGGTCTTACCAGCAGCATCAAGACCTACCATCAGAATCCGCATTTCTTTCTTGGCAAAAAGCCGGCTGAACAACTTCGTGAAGTTAAGTCCCATTTTCCTTTAGCTAGCCCTAGATCCAAAGCCAACCACAAGATCAAAAGACAATAAAGAAAAGCTCTATTTACCTGAAGACCAACAGATAAATCATTGATAAACACGATCAGGTCCAAACGATCTCATCACATAATTCCAACAAATTCTTATCGGTTGAAATAGTATCGATAATCAGATCCTCGGATAAATCACAGTGACCAATATTCTAGAAGAACCAGTTATTCTAAATTGGTGTAAAAATATCTCGAGGAGTGGATCTTACTTGCACGATATTATATTCAAAGCAAAATGAAAACAATGAATTCAACGTAGGAATCGACGACTAAAACTTTGTATACTAAAATCAAAGAGAAGAAATCTGACGATCAATCTCTTGATACTTTAAGAAGGATAAAGATCAAAATACACAGAGAGGGTGATACAGAAATTGAATCGAGGAGGAAATTGATTTTACCTTACAAAGATCAAAACCGAGAAAATCAATATACGAAGAGATGTTGAGAAAGGATGATACAGAACATGAATCGAGGAAAAACAAGTTTACCTTTCGAAGAAGCTCCAACGAAGGATCTGTTGTAAAGCAAGCCGCGAGTTTCGAAGAGAAAATGACTCCCTCTCTCTCTCTCTTTCTCTTCTCGTAAGAGCTCTAATAATAGAAATATTTTATCAATATGGTAATATTTGTTGTTATTATTGAATTTATCACCCCAGTAAAATTACATAATTAAAAAGTTGTCATTGCAACTTTGTCCCTATAATATAGCAATATTTCAAATAATGTAGAATTACAAAAATCTAGTCAATCCTTGCTTACTCTCCACACAAATCACTCTTCCTGGCTAGCCATGGCCGTCCGTAACTGCTTCCTCCAAGCTCCACCGCTCTCTCGCTTTTTACTAACGGTTTTCTCTACCCGCGCTACAAATCTCTCCGCCGGTTATGGTCGGCTCAAAGGCACCGTCATGTTCTCCTCCGCCGTGAACCGGATCGGGCCTTTGACATCTCCGGTACGGGCTGAAGTAAAGCGCCTCTCGCGCAAGGACGATGAAGTAGCTTCGGGTAACTTATCTACACACTGCTTTATATCTTATAGTAGTTTTTTTTGCTAGTCTCTTGTGCTGGTGTGCTTGCAATGCGTTTTTGGTTAATTTATTTTCCTACCATTTGATTGATTGTAGCTTGTTTGGAATATTCTTGATAATAGTTTCTGATCTTCAATTCGAGACGCCTTTGAAGATTGTTGAGTATCCGGATCCTATACTACGGGCTAAGAACAAGAGGATTGGTGTTTTTGACGAGAATTTGAAGAACTTGGTCGATGCTATGTTTCATGTTATGTACAAGTAAGTATCTAACTAGCACCCATGAGTTGTTTCTTTTGAGTAGTTTTCAATGGTTTTAGGAATAAAATGATGTTAGTAACTTAGTACTTAATAACACAAACACACTGTGATCGATATTGGACAGAACGGATGGCGTGGGGCTGTCAGCACCACAAGTAGGTCTGAATGTTCAACTGATGGTGTTTAATCCCGCTGGGGAGCGTGGTGAAGGAGAAGAAATCGTTCTTGTGAATCCGAAAATCAATAAGTATTCTGACAAATTAGTACCATTTAGCGAAGGATGCCTCTCCTTCCCTGGGATCTATGCTGATGTTGTTGTATGTTCAACCTTTCTCTCGCACTTGAATCACTTTTTCACCAGATTTTGTCTTTTAATTCTCCGCTTAACCATATTCCCCATCATTTTCTTGGATATCCATTTTTCATGTGTTTTGTTTTGCTTTTTCAGCGACCACAATCTGTCAAGATTGATGCAAGGGACATTACTGGTGCAAGATTTTCAATCAGTCTATCTCGTTTACCTGCACGGATCTTTCAGCACGAATACGACCATCTGGAGGTTCTTTCTTTCTCCACTTTGATTTTGATATCTTTGCTTTATTGAACAGCAAAAGACAAAACAAAAAAAATACATTTACAAGTGGAAGAAACCAGAGAGAAAACTGATATATTTCTATTATTCGACACCGAAAAGTGTTCTCATTTCCTCATTAACTCATGAGTATCACTTGCAAGCTTTCGTTTTGGTCTGATGGAATGATTTTTTTTCAATTATAGGGAGTTCTCTTCTTTGACAAAATGACGGATCAAGTTCTTGACAGCATTCGTGAAGAGCTAGAGGTGAGTGAAACTGTAGCAAGACAGAGTCTAAAGCTATCAATAACCAGTAGTTAAATTTCGTCGATAAATCCACCCTTTGTTCATAGTGACTTTTGGTGACCATCTTTGACATAAGTAGTCCATTGTCTGAACTTGTTTGTTATCTTAATTCTACAGTATTCCTGACAAGTTTTGTACCGCAGGCCCTAGAAAAGAAGTATGAAGAAAAAACTGGATTGCCAAGCCCTGAAAGAGTACAAGAACGACGAAAAAGGAAAGCAGGTGTTGGTTTTGGCAAGCGTTGATGAAACATTCCCACTCAAATTTCATCTTCGTGTAGGACATGGGTAAATCTGTTATTCTGATTTATTTTTTACTCTTCTTTCTCAGTGCTTTTTGTCCTGAACTTTTTTCTTCCTATTTTCCACTGCAGGATTTAACTATGGTATAAGAAGCAGACAATGACAAGAAGCATGTTTGCCTTTCTAAACCAAGAGGTGTGATGCAAATCTCCCAAACATGATGTACGGTTGAGACACAGATCATATATTTCAGAATATTTTTTGCCAGAGTAATGTATCAATTCAGATCGTCTATATAATGTTGGCCTTTTAGCTTAAACTTTGGAACAGCGTTTTGAATGTTCCTGCCGACTACGTTCTACCATGTGCGTGGTTTATTCTTTGTTACCAAGTAAAATGCATTACTTGTTTACTTGTGTTGGAATTTTTGATAAAGACCACTTTTATATAATATTTAGCTCTCATTTTGTATATTTTCTCTACATCTCTCAGGTGCTTGTTTCATGGAGTATTATACTGCTTATGATTTGTTCTGTGATAACTGATCCAAAAGTCATAATAGTTAGATTGTTGCCTCAAGATGAACTCCTTCAAAATCCAATTAAAGAAGAAAAAAAGCTATGGGTTGGGACTTGGGACCTCTTGTTTTGATTTATGGCAAATTCAATAACTCCAAGTAGTCTATAACAGAATGCAATGCATTAACGTGGAGTATGTTACATGTTGTTTGCAGTTGATTTATACAATCTAGTATTAGATAAAATTAAAGGGAATCAATCCTTAATTATTCGTATTATCCTATATTAACATTTTACATAATTTCTTGCTCTAATATCAGCAAGCGTCATTGTAAGACTTACTTGCAGCTCCTGGTGACTTTTGTGTTTTCAAACATTGAATTGGCGGAAGAGTCTTGGTTTTTAGCTCACCGTGTGCTTCCCAGCAGAAAGGATCACGTAAACTTGCCTTTTCAGTGGCCGGCTTAAGCTCTATGGTGGACAGTGAGATCCCTGTGCATGGCAAGCTCTCACTGCAGGCAAAGCGTACAGGTTCTTTTGTGTAGGTACCTTTAATGTTTATGTAGTTTATGTTTGATACAGCGACTGCTGAAGTATCATTGTGGCATCCTCCACCATCGCAGTAATATTGATCTATGATAATTGGATTGGCTACTTCGCTAACTTGAATATTTGAAAACATAATCTGTTTCACAGACCCTGACCCTCCCTGCCAGTTAACATATAACAAAAAAGTTGTCAGAAACGTTGAATTGTTATCGCATGCTACTCTCAGTTGTCTTTTCCTCTGTTTTGTTTATGCAAATATATGTGTAGGGGTCAATTACCTGCCAGGATTTGATTCGTACACCGTTGGTAGTTTCATGCATCGTGACATCACGGACAGTGATGTTTGAAACACACGCCTTTGTTTTCTCTTTGCCTAGTCCTCCGATGCTAATTCCATGGCCAGGCCCACAATCCACATCGTGTATGTAGATATTCGAGCATCCAGTTTGAATTGATATACAGTCATCTCCTGCACAAAAGCAAGAAATTATCATTTCTTAATCCTGGCAAGTTTCATCAAGAAGTATAGCCTGGAAAGTTATGATAGATAATCTGACTTCTAGTGTCTTATTTAAGAAAGATTTGACTTGTAATGTCTTAAATTTAAACAAAATGGATATGTTTGAATGTTGTGGTTTACCACAAGCCAGCGTGCTGCGGTAGATAACAGCATCTTGAGAGTTTTGTAGGTGGATGCCATCTGTGTTCGGGGAATCTCCAGGGGATGAGGTTGTGAAATCAGACACTTGAATGCTTATGCAGTTATCAAACTTGAGGTGGGTTTGAGGACTGTTCTGTATGGTTATTCCATTGACCGTTACACCGTTACTCCCATAGAATCTCAAGGCCTACATGTCACCCACCCTTGGTTATTAATCAAGTTTCAAAGTTGATTTTAATAGGCATCTCCATTCATAAGACAAATCGAATGAAACTTACTGTTGGTTTAGTTCTTGGCATTTTCGTAGACAGTTGGTCCTTCATCTTTCACAAAAAAAAAAAAGTACAAGAAGTAGAGGTTATTGCAAGCTAGATTTTCCAATTTTTTTTTAGCTAAAGAAATTGAATTTACCATGTCGTTCCTAGTTATTGACTCTGACTCATCTACTGGATCATAGTCAGGGGACTTGTTCCACCATACGGATCCTCGTCCATCTATAATCCCTTTTCCTTTGATAGTGATTCCTTTAAGTGATTTGAACTCTATCCATTGCAAGAGTCCTGATCCCCAGGCACTTGAACTCGTTGGAGCTATGATCTTTCCTTCTAACTGCACCATGTCCAAATACAATATAACTAACGATACTCCAATAACAGTTTTTTTTTTTTTTTTGTTTTGTTATTTTTCTCTCCTTGAGAATTCACCTGAAAAACAATGTTCTCTTTACATTCTTTTCCGAGGAAGGAAACAGGACCGACAAGAAACGTAGAACCAGATGGAACTAACAATGTCGACCCTTCCACCTTACAAGCTTCCTTCCAAGCATCTTCAAAAGCCTGCGATTTTCACGGTACATTAATTGATCATCAAATTTTTTTTTTTTTTTTTTTTTTGGGACCGTATGATTCCATTATATATCAGTAAAACAGATATCTACGCTGCTAATCCATATTAGAAATGCTTAATCACCTTTGTGTCATCACTTGTCCCGTCACCTTTTGCGCCATAGTCAAGCACATTGATTGTTCCAGAACTTTCTCCTTCGGCGATAGACCTGCGGTTCCCTTTCCAGTATACACTCTGCCTAGCGTCACAAGTCCTGAACCTTGAAGAGAATAAGGATATTAAAAGGAGAAATTTCAGGGCAAGACATTTCAAGGTTACTCTATACATCTTTAATTAATATCGGAAACGAACTTGTTTCTAGGAAGACTTTGTTTAGATATGGAATGAAGAGGAAGTGGTGCGAAGCTCATATTTATAAGTAGAGAAAAACACTGTTACGCATATGAGTTATGGATCCATGATACAGTTAAACAGTTGGATATGGACAAAAAGCCTTGGAACTCTTTTCCTCTTCAAGCATGTTCCACATTTTATATTTTTCCCCCCTATTCAAGCATGTTCCACTAATTTGCTATATTTAATTTAATTGGCAAATGAATAAAAGTTGAGGGGGCTTACTTGCTTGATCAGTTTGTTCTATTGACCGCATCATAACGCTTTAGTTGCGATTTGCCTTTGATTAATTTTTTCTCGAATATCATCATACAACAACAACATATTTAGCTAAGCCATTGTTCAAAAAAAAAAAAAAACAACATATTTAGTTACGATTTAGCATTAATTAATTTGTTCTTGAATAGGTGTGTTACTTAGAATTTGTTTTGGTCGCTACTGACATGAACATTTTGTTCGACGTTTCATTAATAAATGAATGTGTTACAGATGTTGAGGTTTGTGTTAGTCACTAGAAACAACTGATCACTTTCGTTTATAACATAATGGGGGCAGTCAGATACTTAACCGCGCTCTTGGTAAAATTCGGTTTAATGAAAACCAAAATCCATTTATCAGGCAATGGGGAAGGCTAGCTTTTCGAAGAGTCAAGAAAAGTTGCCGTACAATTACAGGTATGTCACGTAATCCTCATCATAAGATAATCTTTTTTAATTTTTTGTTCCTTAAATTAAGCACCGTAATTTGGGTTAGATCTATGGTGTCACTGAATCTTCTAAACGCTAATTGAATTTTATTAATCCTTTATCTTCTACCCATGAATTTTCAAAGATCCATTAGTTGCATGACAATATATAGGATGGTCGAGACGGGTTTCTGTTATAGTTATAGAGAGAATAGACCAACATATAGGGATTTGATGGCTTAACCATGGATTATGGAATATAGTAATTTCAATGTATGAAATTGAACTCGTGATGAAGATACACTTTGCATGCAGCCCCAGGTGGAAAGATACAGGCTGCTATTAGAGAATGTAGACTAGCACGTTGCTACGTGTATGTATCCCATGCGTTGACGTTGACAAAGTCTGTTGAATTATTCTAGTTGATTTCATGATCTTGAGAAGCCTATTGGTCACCAATTTTTTTCTACTTTAATTCTCATTTTTATTTGAAGTTCTGTTACTAGTTTATTAATTTTCTTGCGTTGGCAGTTGAAAGTGTGATTACAATAGTTTTTTTTTTTTAAAGATATTTCAAATGATTCTATGCCAAGTAACTGATTTTTTTTTTTGGATAGGAAATCACGGAAGTGGTCAGTGGTCACAACTCGTAAGTCACATGAACAATATTTTCTAGCACTCGGTAGAATTTTGTGTATGCAACAACTCGCGTTAGACGTAATATTTGAAAATTGCATCATTATGTAATCTTAACCCGTCATTTAATGTGATGTTTATTACGTTTACATATACATGTGTAAAATGTAATTTCGTGTAATCTATAGTTTTGCATTAGGCGTGTATAATATAAATTATTTACAATAATGTTTTTATCCTTGTCACTTTTATACTTACATGCACGGATTTGGACGCAACGCTGAGAATAACGCCAATTTGTGTGATGGTTTTGTCCAATATCGTGTACGATATCCACTACTCTCTTGTCGCAACCATTTATATAAAAGTTGACAAAAAAAATGGATAAATAAAAGTTGACAATTCCTATCATAATCAAATTGTTGTCACGCCTCCAGTATTCAACGATTCGACAATACAGTAACCCAATTATTGTTCAACCACTATTTTTATTTTCAACAAAAGTAAAAAAGCCCAATTACTTATTATTGTTCCCAATATTTAAGCCCGTATCATAGTTAGCCCAATTTATGTGTGTGATCAACGGTCGAGTATAACACGACACCGTTCCAAATATTGTCGCAATGTCGCTTTATGCTGACTTGGCGATTTCGTAATCCAGATTTCCTTTACTCTGACAAAACAACATTACAATGAACAAATACCGAAAAAGTGAGGAGCGAGAATCAATGTACGCCATGCTTCACTATACGTTTCCTACACCTGTGAAGCGTAACCGTCCGATTATTCCCTGGCATCTAATATAACTTTTTCTTACCCACATCTAACCGTCTATAAGAGAAGCTTACCATACACCCAACTGCAGGAAAGAAATTCATCACACATTAAAAGCAGTCAACACAAATGACGTGAGTCTTAGTTATTCCAACCAAAACACGCCACGTGTACGGGCACTCTTCCTTGAGCGCGGACGTCAAAACTAACTATCAACTAAAACTTGGGAACTACCTATTGGGGTCCGCTTTCTCTGCCATTAGAAAGAAAAAAAAACAACCAAAATACAGAGAGAAAACTCAGAATCACAACACAGAGAGAGAGGCTTGCTATTATCTGCAAAAGGGAAGAGTTTTTCTAGGGTTTCCAGTTGCTGCCGACATAAGATGGTGGAGTGAAATTGCGGCGGAGACATTCAGGTATGACGGCTCCACGACGGAGTCGCAAGTTTCCTATTTTGTTTTGTTCACTTATTAGGCTTCACGCCGAGTGATTCTGGAACGAAACTTTTACTTTAACGGATAAGTGTTTCTTCTCGTGAGGGCCGCTAAAGTTTGCCTATATTTCCTGCCTAAATCCATATTAACTGGATCGGAACTAAATGTAGCTTTTTTTTTTGGTAGTTCTTAGATCTTCTTCACTATTTCTGTGCTTTGTTCATTTTGTTTCAATTTTTGGTGGTAGAAAAGAGATTCAACTAAAACCTATGTCGTTTGTGTTTTGACATCAACAGATTGACGAACTGAATTGAAGCTGGTGAAAATGGCTTCTGTGGGAACATTACCTTCTTCTATGACTACAAAACAGAACAATGCTTCCATATGCGCTGACAAACTACCTGAAGGGATTAATGAGATGAAGATAAAAGATGACAAGGTTTGCAGAACTCAGATTCAGATGAAATGATGAAATATAAGCTTGAACAGACTTTGCTTCTTTGTTTTGCTACTAATGTTTGTTGACTTCTATCTGGTTTGCTGGTTGCTTAACTCTTTTAGGAAATGGAAGCAGCTGTGGTTGATGGGAATGGAACTGAAACAGGTCACATTATCGTTACAACTATTGGTGGTAAAAACGGCCAGCCTAAACAGGTGAGCTTGTTTAAGATTATGTTTCGAGGAATATCCATCTTTTCTTTGTTAATACGAAGTTAATAGAAAGATCATTTGTATACATTAGTGGCACAATGACTAAGACTTACAGATTAAACGTGATAATTTACGATTGCTGCAGTGTCTACTGTGTTATAAAATCTCTTCTAACTCTTTCTGTTTCCCTTTCAGACCATAAGTTACATGGCAGAGCGCATCGTTGGACAAGGTTCATTTGGAATTGTTTTTCAGGTGGTGTTTTGATTCTGTGCCCTGAATAACGTACTTTACTAATTAAATGTCTGGTGCATCGACCTAACGTAGATCATTTTTTATATATCTTGTTGCTTGTATGTATGCAGGCCAAGTGTTTGGAAACGGGGGAAACTGTTGCGATCAAGAAAGTTTTGCAAGACAAAAGATACAAGAATCGCGAGCTACAGACGATGCGTCTTCTCGATCACCCTAATGTTGTGTCCCTCAAGCACTGCTTTTTCTCAACGACCGAAAAAGATGAATTGTATCTCAATTTGGTACTTGAATACGTTCCTGAGACCGTATATCGTGTCTCAAAGCACTACAGTCGGGCAAATCAGAGGATGCCCATGATATATGTTAAACTCTATACATACCAGGTAGGTTTTCTTTGAGCCCGTGAGAAACAGTTGAAATATTATGGTTGAAATATTGTTGCACTGATTATCCTAACTTTTTCGCTGCCTTCCTTTTTGGGATGCAGATTTGCAGAGCTTTGGCTTACATTCATGGAGGAGTAGGAGTCTGCCACAGAGACATAAAACCACAAAATCTTCTGGTTCGTGTCCTAAGTTGAGATGTTGGTTAAACTTTTTATGGTCTACATGCAGCTGCTTAATTAATCATGTGCTTCTCGTAGGTTAATCCTCATACACATCAGGTCAAGCTCTGTGACTTTGGAAGCGCGAAAGTTCTGGTATAGCATCTATTATAAATAAAGGATATGTTGATTTTGTTTTCATATGAATAAGTTGGCACATCATTTGGAACTATGCACTCTTACTAGTCCTTACCGTTGTTGTTCAAAGAGTTGTGTAAACTGAACTTAACCAATTTTGATTTTCCACTATGTAACAGGTCAAAGGCGAACCAAACATCTCATATATTTGCTCTCGTTACTATCGAGCACCTGAACTTATATTTGGAGCCACGGAATATACAACAGCTATTGACATATGGTCTGCAGGCTGTGTTCTTGCTGAATTGCTCCTTGGACAGGTAGTTTGACTGTCCAATTTTTTTTTCCACCATTTATCCTTTTGTAAATCATCAAGTGATGTCTCAAGTTGTGTTTTACCAATCTTTTGCTGGTACAACTTTTGTGTAGCCTCTATTTCCAGGTGAGAGTGGAGTGGACCAGCTAGTTGAGATTATTAAGGTACTTCAACTTGGTTTAAACCTAAACACGAGTACAATACCCATAATCTTTGTATTGAGCATGGACTGGGATCATGAATATGTGGAATGATGATTGCCATTACCTATTATTGGTTGTTTACAGGTTCTTGGAACACCAACTCGTGAGGAAATCAAATGTATGAATCCAAACTACACTGAGTTTAAATTCCCTCAAATAAAGGCTCATCCTTGGCACAAAGTAAGCAAACATCTCCATCAGTTTCTCAACATTTTCCATATTTATTTTCGTTTCTCACCACTGATTGTAAAAACTGTTGTTGGTTCCTAAGATATTCCATAAGCGTACACCTCCAGAAGCTGTAGACCTCGTCTCAAGGCTTCTCCAATATTCTCCAAACCTCAGATCAACCGCTGTAAGTCCATGAAATCTTTACAACTTCACAATCATATAACAATACTACATTCGATATCCGTTTGGTTGATTCAAACTATTCAAAAACTTGTGATTTAAGATGGAGGCTATAGTTCACCCGTTCTTTGATGAGCTTCGTGATCCCAATACACGTCTACCTAATGGTCGTCCCTTGCCTCCTCTCTTCAACTATAAACCACAAGGTTTGTCTCCCCCAAATATAGATTATCCTTTTGCACTTGTTTTCTAATTTTACCTAAACAGAGATTAAAAGTGTGTATATTGTTTTTTGTTTGTTAAAATGTAGAGCTTAAAGGAGCAAGCTTGGAGTTGTTGTCCAAGCTTATACCTGACCACGCTCGTAAACAATGTTCCTTCCTTGGTCTCTAGATGACTAAATCTCCACGTAAAAAGATGTGTGTATGTACACATAGATATGCTGATCGATTAAGTAATGGAGTTTAGCTTCTCAGGATTATATAATTATTGTTAGCCTCCATCTATTTATGTATTTCTGTCGTTTATTGTCTTGCCACGGATGATAGACATTTTTTATTAGTAAAAGCTTTGTACTTTTATATATGAATTGATGATTAATGTAATGTATGTAACGGTCTTTGACTCGCTGCAGTTTTGCGGAATGACTAAATTATTGTCCTTTTGATCGTCACCTGTCATACCTTTGGCATGCATAGCTCTATGCATGATATTTAGGCTTAGAGCTATGCATGCATACCTTAAACTTTGATCTATGTTTAAGTTAAAGTTTAACCAATTATAGTTCCTCTAAAAAGTAAGTGTATCTCATTTACCCACGAATTTAAAGCTCTTATGGACTAAACAAATTAATCGATAATCAAAAAAAAAAAATTAATCAGTTTCGAGAATTGCTTTTTAAGCCATAGCTAAACAAATGTTTCATGTTAATTGATTTGGATCAGTTTCATTAATTACAAATGTTTTTGAGTTGACCAAAATAGGATTTAATTGTGGAAGTAGTAATAATAACCATAGGGCCTAAATCGCAATATTCAGAAAGTCGCAACAACTTTTTCAGTGCTTCTCGAGTAGACGAACGACGAGACACAGACGGCACTCTCATCGACGGCAACCAGAACCTTTGCCGGCGGTGGGAGCGCTTCGGCTTCTTCTCTAGTTCATAGTCGAATTTCTCTGGGTATTACTCTCATTCTCGTTCACGATCTTTTTAGGCTCCTTTAGTTGAGCTCGTTTGTTTTTAGCCGATTTGCTCGGTCTCTCGACTCGGGTGAGAGTTCGAGATGACGGCGATCTCTCCATCTCTGGCTCTATCGTTCTTCAAAAACCATTTAAGCTCTTATAAAACCCACTGAAAATCGAACAGAATTTCGTAGAATCTGCCATGCTCCTCACAAATTTTGATCCTTGAAACACTTTTGTTTGCTTCCGTACTGCCGTTTGAGTATTTGTGGCCATGCCTTAAGCATCTCACGGAAATTCCGCCATTAGTGTCACGGATGATTTTTATTGGGTTTTGTTTTTGTTACTGATTGATCTCCAAAATTCGATCTTTAAAAGAAGTTTTTGATACTTAGCAGTTGCATTAACCAATATTTTGATGATAATTTGGCAGGTTTACTCTGTGCGCACACCGGACCGGAGATCTTATTTGATCCTCAATTACAAGTCTTTGATCCCATCACCATACTACAACAATGGTACACTCCGATGAATTTGTATACCTGTTCGAGAAGCATATTGTTTCTGTACTCTCATTACCCTTTTTCTACTTTGTAAATTAATGTCTATGAAGGCCCAAGATTCTGCTGACTGGGATGCTGATGACGATTTGGATTTGGAGATCGATAACTTTCAGTCATCTCCACCGTCATCTCCGGTGATCACATCCCTCACATCTTCAGACGAGACTTTTGCTATGTTGGTTGACATGGGATTCTCTGTTGAGATGATTGCTAGAGCAATCGAGGAAAACGGTGAGGCTTTTCCCTCTTGTTTGTATTCCTATCTGAATACATGTTTATTTGGTTAACTGATAATGTGGTATCAATAAATTTTGCAGGACCAAATGCAGAGACTTCGGTGATTATTGATACTATCTCCAACTACTCTGTGAGTTTTTAATGTTTGGATCCTTTGTGTTGCTTGTAATTTTCATGTGCAATAGTTTTAGATAGTGCATTTTCTCACTCCCTCTTATAATTCTTCTTTGTGAAGAAACACTGTGAAGCTAGTTCTTCCAAGTCCAAGACTATTGATCATTTCCTTGCGATGGGATTTGATGAGGAAAAGGTCATCAAAGCCATACACGAACATGGTAGTTGCAAATCTTTCTCCTTTTGGGTAAGAATTAGAACTCTGTGACTTAATTTGACATTTTTGTTTTATATCTCGCAGGAGAAGAAAATACGGAACAAATAGCCGATTCACTCGTCTCTTGTGCGGTCGTCTCTTGTGCGGTAAGTGATGATGCAAAGATACAATGATATCATGCATCCTTGCATTAGGAATATATCTAAAATTTTCGTTGGTGGTTTGTAGGCAGAGGAATTGCCTAAAGTAAAAGAAGAAGATGACATTGACTGGTCAGATAGTGATAATGAGATAAATTACTCCGATTTTTTGAGCTCAGATGATGAGGTATGTTAGTTTTATGCTTGTAATAATGTGTATTTCATATCACACCAATCAAATGTATGTGTATCTTAGTGTTATTTGCATATGTGTAGATTATATGCATTTTATTAATCTATTTCAAACCATGACAGAAACATCTAGACTCCTCCCTTGGAAACAGCAGTCAAGTGCTCGATTTGGTGAAAATGGGTTACTCGAAGTTGGAAGCTTCCCTAGCTTTGGAGAGATGTGGTAAGCTTTCCTTGAATCATTACCAATAGGCATTAGCAAAACTTTTACTTCATTTTTCTTATAGGTGAAGTGGCGTAAACCATGGTTAAATTAAACCATACTTTTAGTTATTGTTACCTATTTGATCGAGGGTGAAATATCAGCCTTTAGTTCTGTGATGTAGGACTAAGATATGTGTGCGCTAAGCATTGGGATTGTGTTAAAGTAATTGATATAGTTGTTAGATGTTATTATATCTAACATATGTTGTCGCCTAACCGAAACTTATCTAGGAGAGAATGTGAGCACCGCAGATCTGGTAGATTTCATTTGTGCTGCTCAGATTGCTCGAGAAGCTCCTGAGTTTCACGCTGACCCTGAAGAACGAAAGGTATGGTTATAACCTCTATAAAATCTGTCTTAAATTTAATTTGTTTCAAATGCTTTGTACTGATTTTGTGGGAAATTGTTAATTTGTTATCTAGTTAAACATTTTAGTGCATGACACCTATATTTTGTGTATGCAGCCAAGACATGACGTCAAGAAAAGGAGGATAGAGCCAAAAAGAGAGCCTAGGTTATCTACTGATGCTGACGAGCCAGTTCGTCTACCAAATCCAATGATAGGATTTGGGCTCCCAAATGAGCCAGGACTCATCACACATCGAACGCTCCCAGACTTAGCTCGAGGTCCACCATATTTCTACTACGAGAATGTTGCTCTTGCACCTAAAGGCGTTTGGGAGACCATCTCAAGACATTTGTATGACGTCGCACCGGAGTTTATGGACTCAAAATACCTATGCGCTGCAGCCAGAAAGAGAGGATACGTACATAATCTCCCTATCAGCAACAGGTTTCAGATTCAGCCTCCTCCAAAATACACAGTTCAGGAAGCGTTTCCACTAACCAAGAAATGGTGGCCAAAATGGGACGAAAGGACCAAGCTGAACTGTATACTGACTGTTACAGCCAGTGCTCAGTTGACTAATAGGGTCCGTAATGCCCTTGAGGCTCATAGTGGGGAACCGTCAGAGGCTACAAAAAGATATGTCATGAAGGAGTGCAAAACGTGGAATCTTGTATGGGTGGGAAAAAACAAAGCCGCACCACTCGAGCCTGATGAAATGGAGACTCTTCTGGGATTTCCAAAAAACCATACACGAGGTGGTGGTATGAGCAGGACTGAGCGTTATAAGTCACTGGGCAATTCTTTCCAGGTTATTTCACACCTAATCATACATTGCCATTATAACGTTTTGAGTTTATGGAACAAGTTGCTTATTATGTTTGTTTTATCTTGCGGTTTTGACTGGTTTTGGCTGTGGTTTGTGTTTTATATAACTTGTTGTAGGTAGATACAGTCGCATATCATCTTTCGGTCCTGAAACCTTTGTTTCCAAATGGAATCAACGTTCTCTCTTTGTTCACGGGAATCGGTGGTGCAGAAGTAGCGCTTCACCGTCTACAAATCCCAATGAAGACAGTGGTTTCCGTTGAGATCTCAGCAGAGAACAGAAACATCCTCAAGGATTTCTGGGAGCAAACTAACCAGACAGGTGTCTTAATTGAGTTTGCTGATGTCCAAGAACTAACAACCTCCAGAATTGTAGAGCTGATGAAGAGGTTTGGTGGGTTTGATCTCGTGATCGGAGGTAGTCCTTGCAACAACCTCGCTGGCGGGAACAGAGTGACCAGAAGTGGTCTTCACGGTGAACAGTCCGTCTTGTTCTATGAGTATTGTCGAATCCTTGAGGTGGTGCGTGAGACAACAGCGAGAATGAGGAGATCGTGATGATTTTGGGATAAAGACAAGCTGAACTCTTATATTACTTTGTGTGTTATTCTTATATCTTTGTCTGAGGACAGGTGCTGAATATGTAGCAGTGGTCGCACAGTATCAAAAAAAAAAATTGTAGTTGGGACATTAGTTTTAGGTGGTGGATTTTGAAGATAAGCGTCTGTCTGTTATGAACTGTTGCATCGGTGTTTAATAAAACGCCGGCGTTTTAAGTCTAGATAGCTGAGAAAAGGCCCATAATTCTAGATAACTGAGAAAAGGCCCATATCCGAAACAAAATATATATAAAAAAAAACCGATACGTATATTGTGGTCTTTAATTGCACATGTTTAACTGCAAGCAAGTTAATACATTTCTCACCAATGTCTCCGCTCGGCCTGGACGTTCGGATATCCATTCGGATTCGGTTCGGATAATTCGGTTTTTTGGATTTTCGGTTTTTAGATTAAAACCCATTCGGATATTTTTGGAATTTTGGTTCGGGTTCGGTTATATTCGATCGGGTTCGGTTCGGGTTCAGATATCCAAAAAATAATAAAATTAAATAAAAATAATTAAATTTAAATAAAATTAGTTAAATTCAAATAAAATTTGGCAAAATTTTAAAAATATAACTAAAAACTTAGTATGTTTAAATTATTTTGGATTTTTCATCATTTTCAGAATAAAAATAATTCATATTTTGGATTTATAATTGTAATTTTAGGTTATTAAATCTAATTGTAGTTAGTATTTTGGGTATATAATTGTATTTCGGATATTTCGGATATCCATTTGGATTTTCGGTTCGGTTTGGTTCGGTTTCGGTTTTTTGAATTTAGAAATTTAAAAACCGTTCGGATATTTTATCAATTTCGATTCGGGTTCGGTTTCTCTTTTTCAGGTCGGGTTCGGATAAATTATTCGGGTTCGGATAATATGCCCAGGCCTACCGCCGTACTCTTTTATAAATTTATGCTAATTATTATTTTTAAACACAAATATTATAGACAAGACTAAGCGATATAATATTATATTCAAAATTTAGGTTGTGATCAATCTTGAAATTTCAAATGATTCAGCAAAAACTCTAAACTCTAAACTCTAAAAGCTATACTCCATTTGTTCTACTTTATTTAATCGCTAGTGTATAGGTAAAGCTCATTTTATCCTCATGCTTCCATTTTCTCGAAAATTGGTAAGTAGTAAAAATAGAAATCTGCGAACTAGGCCAGGGTATTTTTATGTGGTCTTTGTATGATGGATGAATATTCGTCTAATTTTTTAGAAAGCGATCAAGCTAGTGGCCTTGTTTATAGCCTATTCTGGACTATTTTCGTCCAGTAATCTCTGGGTTCAGTTAGAAAAAGTATATAGTTTTGATTTGAAGAAGAAATAAAAGCTATCTCTGGGTTTCGAAACAACAACCTTCGACCGTTTTTTTTAATCTAATTTCAAGCATACAATTATACAAAACAGATTCGCAAGGCATTCCAATTAAATAGACTACTAAAGTGATTAGATAGATTTCACTAATGTATGGAATCAATAAACCAAATAAAGTAAGATAACATAATAACGAGTCTTTTTGATTTAATAATATAAACAAAATAGGTTTATCTCCACAGAACAAAACATCCTAATTCTCTTCTTGAGGTGTGTGATGTTCAAAGTACATAAGCGGCTTCGCTCCACACACCATCGCAAAATGAATAATTTAACCGAAAGGGGTTCATTAATATAAACTATATATATAAAACCCCGATCTGGCCAAAAAACCAATAAGTTAGTTTACCTCTGTTTCATCATCATCATAGTCTCGTGAAAGCTGCGCGGCGGTGAAGAAGTCGACGGTGGACCTCTGTTGAACCTCTCAGGACTACGGCTTCTCTCTCTTCCCCATCCCGAGCCACCACTGTTTCAAACACCAAAACCGGTTTTAAGTTTATATGAAGAGAAGGCAAAAAATTAAAGAAGTTCTGAGATCCCAATTATATTTTCATTTACCTGTCACGCGAAGAAGACCAGCTTCCTCTACCGCCAGAATCACCACCACGACCACCGTAGCCCGAACCACCACGACCACCATAACCAGAGTCACCACGACCACCATAACCAGAGTCACCATAGCCACCACCTCCTCCACGGCCGCCACCACCAGAAGGTGTACCCCAGCGGCGGAATTTGTTCATCCCACTACCACCGCGTGTAGCCATCTCGCGGACCTGTGAAGGGACTTTCTGGTTTGCACCTTCCAAGATCTTGATCAGATCTGAAGCATGTTTTGCATCCTGGTCCCCGAAGAAGGTGTAAGCTAAACCGGTTGCTCCAGCTCTTCCGGTTCTTCCGATTCTATGGACATAATCCTCCACTCCATTTGGGAAATCATAGTTCACCACCACCCTGTGAATCACCACGATTCTCCATTAGTATCATTTCTTTCCAACTTTCTTATGAATCCAAATATTTTCGAACTAGGATTCAAGTATTCATTACCTGACGTCCTTAACATCAAGTCCACGAGCAGCTACATCGGTTGCAACAAGAACAGGAGTCCTGCCACTTCTAAATTGACTCAGTACATCGTCTCTCTCTGCCTGAGACTTGTCTCCATGAATAGCAGCGGCTCCAAACGTGCGGGTCAGGTTCCTTGCGAGAGTATCACACATCCTTTTCGTCGAGCAGAAAATTATAATCTTGGAACCTGGTTCCTGAGACCGCAGTATCTGCTCTAGCCTTCTTTGTTTCTCCATCGGTGCTATCACTTCAATAGTCTGTATCACAATAACCAAATGACAATTGTGTGTTTTAACAGTATCAAAGCAAGGATAAGTATTGAAGTCGATTCGAATCCAAACCTGAGTAATGGACTTGTTGGCCACAAGCTCGTCGACGTTACCAATGTTGACCTGGGCAGGGTTGTTAAGCAGATCATCTGCGATTCTCCTGACCTCTTTTGGCCATGTCGCCGTGTACATGAGGGTCTGACGCTTAGTGGGAACCTCATTCACAATTTTCCTGATCTGAGGCTCGAACCCCATGTCCAGCATCCTGTCTGCCTCGTCTAGCACAAGATAAGATACTTGATGTAGAGTGATTCTCCTCATTTCAAGGATATCATTCAAACGCCCGGGAGTGGCAACAATAATATCTACACCTCTCTCGATTTCCTTCAGCTGAGGACCCTTTGGTGCTCCACCATACAAACACTACAAAGAAACATCGGGGAAAAGACTCAATAAGACACTTCTCAAGTAGCAAGTTCAGTGTTGTTATAGATTCAAGGAGTTTGACTTACGGCACACGAAATTCTTGATGACTTCCCAAATTTCACAGCTTCAGCTTGGATTTGTGTGGCCAACTCCCTAGTAGGTGACAGTACCAAGATCGTTGGCCCCATTCGTGAATCATTGCGGACACGCTGGAGATGCATAAAGCCTGGAATCAAGTAACCAAGAGTTTTTCCAGAGCCTGTTTTAGCGATGGCAACTATGTCTCTGTTTTGCATCGCAATTGGCCATGACTGAGCTTGGATTGGAGTTGGACCTGAGAATCCTGCACTGTATACCTACGAAAACAAAAACACAAGATGCCTTATGAGAAGAGGAACACAAAGGTTCTTTACGGCTTATGGAGCCAGAAGAAGCATCATCCTCCCATTTGCAGGTAACAAAATATAGCTATTGAAACCTGCAGCAGGAGGACAAATCTACTTCTGTCTAAACCCAAAATAATCACAATCAAAAGGTTCTGCCACGAGCTTTGGGTGAATCTGAAAGCCCTTACCAAAAATTTGGTCCACCAAAAAGGGCACTCCAAATAATTTGCAAGGACCCCAAAGAAGTGGCACAGCGTACGACATTAGCTCCTCCAAGAGCAAATATCGCACCTGGGACAAAAGATAGTGCACATGGCATAAAATTGTGACTCTACTAAGTGTAGACCCGCCAGTAATTGCTATAATCTAAATCTCTCATAAGAAAATTATGGCTGGCTCCATAAATCACTAAATCAAACCAAAAAAACTCGAAATAGTCTAGCTCAGTAGCAGAGCAGTATGGAATAGAACTCCGTCCCTCCCCCCTCTCCCCAAAAAGAAAATAGAAACGGTTATAATAGCAGATATAATCTGGAACTTTAGACAAAATAGCTCCCTTCCCCAAACCGAAAACAGTGTTTTGATTGAAAACCCTGATGTGACATAGTAAGAAAGATGATTTCATACCTCCCGCAGAAGCTCCGGGGGGAAACCAGTGGCTTCAAAAGACATTAACGGTGGTGGTACTTGGCCTCCCTAGCGAAAATGAAAAATAAAATACAAGGGTCAGTAGGATATAGAAATCACTGGTTTAGGCATGCGACTATATCTGTGAACCACCTCGGAGGAGACACAAAAATAAAGATTTCCAAGAGAGAGACATAAATACTTAACAGTGACAGTAATTTCATGACGGCGGCAATAGGCCTCTGGAGACAATTCGTTTCCAGCAGCTGAAGAAGGAGGCCCTCTGGCAGATGATCCACCAGATGCAGCATTCATTGGTCCACTTCTGCTTGCCTGTCCCAAATGAAAGACAATTTTAAGTTACAGGGAGACAAAGAAGGATAATATTAATTGGTGGTTATGAAAATTTATAGAGCATAAACGGTAGAAAACTAACGACAAGCACCATGAATCACTGGTATTACATAGGTTAGTACCTCAGTAAACCTTGATCCAGAGTCAGACTTAGGTCCGTCACTGCCCCTGCTGTACTCTTCCTCCTCCTTTACAGGACTGCAGACACGGGAGTATCCAGAAGAAGCTTGCTGACTTCGAACCGGAGAGCTAACCGGAGGAGCTGAACAAGCTGGTCTCTCGTACTGGGTAACATTGGTCTCTGGGTTCCAAAAGTACAAATACCCAGTTCTACTATCCACAAGACCTTTCCATGGCTTAGGGAGATTTGGATCCTCAGGTGCGTAACGTATTGTAGGAGCAGTAGCAGTAGCAGCCATCACCAAAGTCCTGGAAGACGAACATATCAAAGCGATTTTAGCTTCAGTTAAAATGTAACTTTGCAACTCACATCACTATCAGAAAAGGAAAGAAAAATAAACAAACCCTAACAACACGACAATGAACTTTTTAGACAGTAAATGGAATAGCACCACAGATTCGGAGACAACTCGAACGAAAACCCTAACATGCAGAAGAACAGATTCGACCAGACAACGAAACAAGGACAAACAGAGACAATCTGCGCCAGAAACTGCGAAAACGATAAAATGCAGTTAAAATCCCCAACTACCCGAAAATGTTACAAAAAAATCGGACCCAGTGAGAGATATCGGGATTCAACACGACGAAAAAAAAAGAATCTACAAAGCAAGTTCCGAAAACACTTACTGGATTTCACTGTCGAGAGAGAGTATGTTGCAGATTAGCCAATGAAAAATCACAGACCTTTGATATACTCTCACTCTCTAGACTCTAGAAATCTACGAAGGCGTAGAGAAGAGAACAAATGCGTGCCTGTTGGTTCTCCAACAACTAATTTACCTTTTTAAGAAAAAATATCTTAGCGGGCTTAATATTATCTTGGTTGAACCTAATAATAGGCCCGTATAATTAGCTACTTTATTAACTTTTGTTTGAAGGAACAAAACGGGTATTGATCAATTAATCAAGTGACGATGCTAACGAATGGATTTGAAAGCAACAAAGGAAACAAAACAACCTCAGCTTCTCCTTATTAATTGGTCTGGTCGTGAATGCAATATTGATGTTTTTTTTGGCATGTAGAGTCTGAAAAAACTGTTATGGGTATTGGATGGTTACTTTATTGATGAAATAGGAATAATTTTGGTACGGAGCAAAAGTTTATCAAGGACTTTCAATCTTGTTAAGAAGTGGGGTTATCTCATGCTTGGATAATCTTGGATTTGAAAAGAACATATTTGGGAGTAATTCAAAAATTCTATTGCAAGCGTTGAAATATCCAATTTAAATGCCTCGATTACAATCACACACGAGTTAAAGTCCTTGGTACAAGAAGAATAAGTTTCAAGGATCTTTTGTTTTTACTTTTAAAGAGACAAGCTAATCTTTGTGTGTATACAATTGCTATAAGGAAAGCTTCTTTAACTGATTTTACTTTACTACTCGTTGGTTTGTGCCAAGTGTTAGAGAATGAGAAACCTATTGTATGTTCTCAACTTTAAACAATCCATTAACGATTGAGGATTAATAATTAACTAAAATACATCTTTTTAAATATAACCAATCAATTACTTATATTACAAAATCCAAGGGATACGAGAAACACGAACAACTGGTGAATCATGAACATGAGGCCAAAGAGACGAAAATCTTCTATGCTATTCATTGAGTTTTCTCATTCACCACCATGAGATTCCTCCAAAGGTATCTTCCGCTAGCCATATCAACGAACATCCACAACCCATTCTCCATCTTGCTTTTGAGATTAAGTCCTTGTTTATCTTTATCCTTGGCTTCCACCGGTGAGTCGTCTGAGTTAAGTTCCGGCGAAGAATTCGCCGTCATCCACGCGAAATATCCGGCGAGTGCAACTGAGAAAAACACTAGTACGAACCTCAACGGACACATTTGTTCCTGATGGGAAAAGGGAAAAGAAGACGAAGGAGGAGGAAGAAGAAATCGGATTGGATTTGATCCTGGAAAGTCTGGTATTCGAAGAAGCAGAGTTAGCAAACAGAAGTTGAGGTATTTATAGGTTGTGCTTTGCGTTCTACACCGTCTCCATCTCTCTTCAAGAAAAGGAAACGCGTTTCTATATATTCCCTTTTCCTTTTGTTAGAACTCTATTTAAATATGGAAATATGATTCGCTTTATACGTATCTGTACATCTAGAAGCTAATATTTATATTTTTTTAAAAAATGAAAAAGTGAAATTTTGGTTTTATCAGTAACAAATTGAAATTTCAATATTTGTATTACAATAATCAAAAACCACAACAATTGTGACGTATCTAACGTATGATAACTTGACATTAAATATCCGACTTTTTATGGAAAAAAGAAGCTGGTGTTTAGTTGGACAAATTAAACTAAGACAGACATTGGAGTCTCGCGAACGTTAAGTAGCCGGTGTGACCTCTCGCCTCGCTACAGGGCCTAGCCATAACGACTGAAGTAGCATTTGAAGAGCTGTCAAGTGAAACGGCGCCGTCTTCTTTTGAACGGTGTTTTCTTTTGCAAGGTCTCAATCCTCCATTGTAATCGTCGTGACTCTCACCAATCATATTCCCAGTATCCACTTTCACTTCCTTCACTTCGTATGTTCTGAGAAGCACCTCGAACGTCCTTATTTCTGCAAAACTCAACACATCACACGCAAAAAAAACCCTGTATCAGATTGATTGAAACTCGCAAGAAACCAAGTTAGTATATGCTTATGACTTTCCAAGGCAAAAGAATGTCGAACTAGTTATCAAAGCAACCCAAAAGATGTGTGACTATTGATTGAATGTCGATGATATATATCAGGAAAAAGAGTAGACCAGAGATGGGAACTTAAGTGTAATCTATTCGGATAAACTTACCTATGAAATCTGATCTGAGGACTTCACAAGTCCGTTGTACTTGCTCGATGCAAGGTGAGAAAGAGCAGAGGACTCCATCCTCCTTTAACATCTTTGCTGCAGAAGGAACCGCGAGCCAAGGCTGTGGAAGGTCTAGAAACACTGAATCAGCCAAGCCTGATAGCTTCTCAGGGAACCCTTGTCCTTGAATGTCCCTAACCTCGACGGTCACTAAATTGCTGATACCCGTCTTCTCAAAATCTTCCCTGTTGCAAAGTATTAATGTAAAAGAAAAGATGCATAAAGAACAGAACTTTAATAAGAAAAAATCACAGCGAGGATACAGCTAAACATTGCGCAAGTTTCTACCTTGCAGAGGCAGCACGTTGCTCGTGAAAATCAAATGAATACACATGTCCAGTTGGAGCCACAGCTCGAGCAAATGAAGTCGAAAGCGAACCACTTCCCGTGCCTGACTCAAGAACTATACAGCCAGGCACAACTTCAAGATACATTACCACAAAGCTGATATCCGCAATGTAAAGAATCTGAGTCCTGTGGCTTAAAACCAGTGTCCATAGCTCGGGAGTGGGAGCCAACAGGTATACAAATTTACCCTTGTTGCTGAAAACTTTCGTCCCTAACGGCTTCCCGATCCAATCCGAGTGTTTATACACTCCAAAACGGTTCTGAAGCACATCGCCTTCGCTTACTACAACTGGTTTCATAACATCGTGTCTTTCGTAAACGATAACTAAGTCGCCATCTTCAATATATCTTTTGAAAGACACGGCTTTCTTTGACTCGGTTGGTAACATCTTGAGATTTGGAAATCACTTGTAGAATGCGACACAGCTTCTTTTCTGAAAATTCAAAGTCTCAGGTTAATTACAAAACAACAACACACTTTTTCTAAACAATGGATTCTCAAAAATCTAATCTAATTATCAATCCAAAGCTACGCAAAATTAAAAAGTAAACCACATTGATAATTAATCAGTTAGATAGAAGAGAAACATTAAGATCAAAGAAGAAAACTAGCTTCAGCAGTTAGTCGACTCTAAGCATAGGAATGAGCCGTAAAAAAAAAGTCCAATTCACGTTCCAAAAACCCCAAATTTCAACAAAGAGCAGAAATTTCTGACACAAGGGGTAAATATAAACTGGAACTTGTTCCAAAAAAATATATAAACAGGAAACAAACACAATAACCAGACAAAGCGACAGCTTTAATACGTAAGGAAGCAGAAAAAATAACACAACGATAGCGAAAACGACATAGAAATACTCACCAAGGAAAATCAAGCAGAGAAAGCTTAGAACTTGAGCTGACAATGGATTTGTGAGAACAAATCTGACCTGGCTAGAGAAATATTTTTGTAGGGTTTTCGCTTTCCTTTTTCAAATCAAAACTGGATATTGGAGCCGGTCCGGTCTGGGTTTATAACTTGTATGGGCCTATAGTTCGTTTTAATTTGGGCTCACTGAAATAATCTATGCGGTTCTCTTTTCTTTCTCTTTTTGCCGGAATCGTCTTTGAAGTTCTGGGCACGCTTGAGCAAAAAAACTTACCGAAGCTTTCGTATTCAGTGATCGAAGTTGAAAGAAAGAGAGCGGAGCCTCGGATGCTGAATAAGCTCACACGCGGCGGCTTGATGTACCGTGCCGGCGTCACCATGTTATCTTCGTCTACTTCTTCCTCTGCTGGTTTATCGCCTTCGTTCGTTTCTCCTCGGAATTCATGGAAGTCTCCGGGATTCCTCAGTTCCGGTACGTTCTCTGGTGGCGCTTCGAGGAATCGCGTCTCTTTTCCGGTTCAGTTTCATCGCGCTTCATCTGTTCGATGCTTTGCCTCTTCCGGCGGTTCTGATAGAATTCAGGTTCAGAACCCCATCGTTGAAATGGATGGTGAGATTCTTCGCTCAGCTATTGTTCTTTTGACCCACTAAATTTCAGCTGGTTGTGTATAAATTTATCAGTACCTAGTATTATAGATTAGCTTAGTAGCTGGGATGATATCTACAGTTTCATTTGCTTATGTTCCTTGCTAACGGAGAATGACTTAATTAGTTTAAATGTTGTGGAAATTCAGGCGATGAAATGACGAGGGTGATATGGAGTATGATAAAGGATAAAGTAAGGATGTGATTATCATCAAGTCCACACCATTTGATATTATTTCTTACAGAGCTCACACGTTGTTTTTTTTTTTGCAGCTTATTTTTCCTTATCTGGATTTGGACATTAAATACTTCGACTTGGGAATTCTGAATCGCGATGCTACTGATGACAAAGTTACTGTTGAAAGTGCAGAAGCAGCACTTAAGTAAGTGCTACTGATTCTTTGTAATTTCTTTGTTTTAGATTCTTTTGGTACTGTTTTGGGAATTTGTAACATTTTATGGCCTGAATTCAAAAAGTTAGTTTAGCAGACTCTTTTACCAACATATCATTGCCTTTTTTGTGGCCTAAATTCGATATTACTCTTTCTCTATTGTGAAATTAAGCTGATTTAGTGCTTAAACCTTTATTGTCTGCAGGTACAACGTTGCTATCAAATGTGCCACTATAACTCCTGGTTTGTGATGTCCTCTCATTTGCAATACAACATGCTGCCTTGTTCGCTTCAGAGGGAGCATTTTTTATCTTCCCTATGATATTTTTTTTTTGCAGATGAGGGTAGAGTGAAGGAGTTTGGACTCAAATCGATGTGGAGGAGTCCTAATGGAACAATCAGAAACATTTTAGATGGTCCGTTTCTATTTTACCGGAGAACAGAGCATGTTTTCAGAATAGATATTTCTTAGTTAAATTGCTTTGCAACTTTTTATTCATTAGTTTGCAGGTTCTTTGGACGTTTTCAATTTTATTTAACATGATGTTCAATATTTTCTAGGAACTGTTTTCCGTGAACCTATCATGTGCAGCAATATCCCTCGGCTTGTTCCTGGTAAATTATCTTGCCTTGTTATCAATGTGTGTTCCGATCTGTATTTAAATACCACATGAGGACTCCAATCTCTTTGCCTTTACAGGTTGGAGTAAACCTATATGTATTGGTAGGCATGCCTTTGGTGACCAGTATCGTGCCACTGATACAGTAATTAAAGGGCCAGGAAAGTTGAAAATGGTTTTTGGTAAGGTCATACTAACTAGATTTTATCAAATAATAGAGATTCTTCAATCATGTATTGCAGATTGTAAGTGTATATATTTCATTGTCAAAATAAATAGTCCCAGAAGATGGGAATTCACCTGTGGAACTAGATGTACATGATTTCAAAGGACCAGGTGTGGCTCTTGCTATGTATAACGTAGATGAGGTTTGTCCCTTTCATTAACTGGTTTTAGTGTTCTTCACTCTAAATTGTGAAGATTGTTTTATTTTGTAATAACCGTGCTGTGGTTTGTGACATGCCAGTCAATTCGAGCTTTTGCTGAGTCATCTATGGCGATGGCACTTGCTAAGAAATGGCCACTCTACTTGAGCACCAAGAACACAATTCTCAAGAAATATGATGGCAGGTTTGTTTTTATTTTCTTAGAGATTTTCAAGTTCCGATTTTGCGTAAGTGAGCTGCTCTAAATTTTGGTGGAACAATACAGGTTCAAGGATATATTTCAAGAAGTTTATGAGACGAATTGGAAGCAAAAGTTTGAAGAGCACTCAATATGGTTAATATATATTTTCTCATATCTACTTAAAATATGCTTTATGCTTCCTCTTTCTTTTCATACTTGGTAAAGGTAACATGTAAGTGGCATTGTTGTTTTAGGTATGAACATCGGTTAATCGATGACATGGTGGCTTACGCAGTAAAAAGTGAAGGTGGATATGTCTGGGCTTGCAAAAATTACGACGGTGATGTTCAAAGCGATCTTCTTGCCCAAGGTATAAATTCAAAACCCCAATTCTTGAAATGTTATTTGTGTATTGATTAAGCCAATAGCATACGTAACACTTCTTGTTTACTTCTTCTAATGTAGGGTTTGGCTCGTTAGGCCTCATGACCTCCGTTTTGGTTTGTATCGTAAACCAAAAGCCAATAGTTAGTTTTCTTTGCAAATTAAAGTCTTTTACATAATATGTTTTTGTTCAGTTGTCCTCTGATGGGAAAACACTGGAGTCGGAGGCGGCTCATGGAACCGTAACTCGGCATTTCCGACTGCATCAAAAGGGTCAAGAAACCAGTACAAACAGCATCGCCTCTATATTTGCATGGACACGAGGCTTAGAACACAGGTCTCTAGCTTATTTCACGCATTGCTTTTATTGTCTGCTTTGGGATTATAGCAAGATGACCTAACAGAGTTCTGCGTTTCTTAATGCATTTTCCTATCCACTTGCACGTTCTTGTGACATGTAATCTACTTTCTCTTGGTCATCATTTTGATGGACTCTTCCCTTTTTGCTTCTCTAGGGCGAAACTCGATAAGAACGAAAAATTGCTGGATTTCGTCAAGAAGCTCGAGTCGTCGTGTGTAAACACTGTTGAGACAGGGAAAATGACCAAGGATCTTGCCCTTTTAGTACACGGTCCCAAGTAAGTATCATTTCCTTTTGCTCACTAGAAGCAGCCTTTCCATTACAATCTGGTCGTTTGCATGAAATACGAAAGAGCTTAAAATTTCTTGATTAATCAAACCAATCAACCCGAACTGGAACCCATAATGAACTTGAATCAAAACTGAACCGGAAAAGCTGAAGAATTTGCTGGAAAGTCTTCAAATTAAGCTTGCGTTACTGGTCAGATTTTTTGTTCCTGATGGTTTGATACTTTTGACTGCAGGGTGAGTAGGGATTCGTACTTGAACACTGAAGAGTTCATTGATTCAGTAGCCTCCAATCTCCGGTCACAGCTCAATTAGTGTCTACTGTTGTCTGACAATTTCCGCGAACAATACAAAAATAAAGCGCGCCATAATTTCATATTAAACCACACAAAATAATATTGGCGGGTCGATGAGACTCTTTGGAAAAACACGATTTTGTTTTTTGTTTTTAAGAATCGAGTGCAATATATATTTAATCGTTCTTATCAAACATGTATTTCATTTTATACATACAAAAATTGAATTTCCCAGGGTTAGAATTATAAGAAAGAATAAGAATTTGGACCTTTGATAATTAAACTAACGGCATATTCGAAGAACAAATCACCTTCGTCACTAAAAGAGATCATAGGCGCCGGTTTAATTGTTGCGAAGATTGTAACAGAATCGTACCGGACCGGGATCGCTAAAACCCTTCTCTTTTGTTTTGGTTTTTTGTTGTCGTTGTCGGCTCAGTCTCACCGGTGCGTTAAACCTTCGCTTAAGCACTTTCCGTTCTCCCTCTCCTCCGCATCGCTCTCTGTGTATGTGTAATGTCATCGATTGTGAGTCGAGCTAGGTCAACTTCTCTTCCGAATTTCCTCGCATGGCGTGCTTTGGGCTTTCGCACCATCTGCTCCGGCCGCCTGGGCTTCGCGCCGTCTGATCCAGGCTTGCCGGCCACCGCAGGAACCAAAATTTTGGAATCTTTTAAAGAGGAATTCGAAGTCGGATCTCGCGTCGTCACTCTCGAGACGGGGAAAATCGCCCGCTTTGCCAATGGTTCCGTTGTGCTCGGCATGGACCAGACCAAAGTTCTCTCTACCGTTACTTGTGCTAAGACCAACGAGCCTCGGGATTTCTTGCCTCTCACCGTATGTTACGAATTCTTTTCACCATTTCCATTTCGTTTCCGATTTTTTGAAGCTATTGTGGTTGTATGTATATGTGGAATCATTTGAACTAATCTATGATCTATGAGGAATTAGAAATGGTATAGAAATGTTTGGTACCTTTATGTTGTAAGTATTTGTAGAATTCTCTGAGGAATCTGTGATCTTCCCACAAGAGATTGTCTTTTCATTTCTATAGCTTTCTACTGTAATGGGTTCACTCAGATATGGTGTTTTGTTTAAACTGATGTTTATGAAATACTTGTTGGAAACTCGTTTGTGATATACTCTCAGGTTGACTATCAAGAGAAGCAATACGCGCAAGGCTTGATTCCAAATTCGTATATGCGAAGAGAAGGTGCACCAAAAGAGCGGGAGCTGTTATGTGGCCGGCTCATTGATAGGCCAATTAGACCGTTGTTTCCTTCAGGGTTTTACCATGAGGTTCAGGTATGAATTTTTTCCAATTCGCTAGGAAATATATCTATGTAGAAGTATTTTTTGGTATCTTTATCTGCAAATGTTGTCATGTGCAGATAATGGCAAGTGTACTATCGTCAGATGGCAAGCAAGATCCAGATATACTGGCAGCTAACGCATCATCGGCTGCGCTCATGCTATCGGATGTTCCATGGGGAGGGCCCATTGGAGTCATTCGATTAGGAAGGATAGGTGGCCAAATTGTTGTCAATCCAACTATGGATGAGGTAAAAGGCTGTATATATAACACCACAAAATTTATAAGTCGTAGCTTCCTTCTCATTTGTTGTAGTTTTTTGTGTGGTCAAACTGTAGCTTAGCTCAAGTGATCTCAATTTGATATACGCTTGCACAAGGGACAAGACTATGATGATTGATGTTCAAGCCCGTGAAATCTCAGAGAAAGATCTAGCAGCGGCTCTGAGGCTAGCTCATCCAGAGGTGTGTTTGACAACTTTATTGGATTTTCTAGTGCAATGTAATATTTGATATAGTCTAATTTCTTTGTGTACACAGGCTGTTAAGTACATCGATCCCCAAATAAGATTGGCTGAAAAAGCTGGGAAACAAAAGAAGGAGTACAAATTGTCCATGCTTTCTGAGAAAACTTTAGAAAAAGTGACTGACTTGGCTGCAACGCGTATTGAATCCGTCTTTACTGATCCTTCATACGGCAAGGTGCGTGCTGACTTTTTTTCTGCCTAAAAAAATATGAATTTCACTTGGCCTAATAATATTATGCATACAGTTTGAACGTGGAGAGGCTCTAGATAACATTGGAAAAGATGTGAAAAAAGTATTTGAAGAAGAGGGCGATCAAGAAAGCTTGAGCATCCTTCCAAAGGCTGTTGATACAGTGAGAAAGAAGGTAACCTTTGTAAATTAACATTTGGAAATATGCTCTTGTTCACCTTTGCTTTTCTTTTTTTTTGGCTCATCCTGTTCTGGAAACGTGACATAGAACTTAGTACTTGAATCATTATATTAGATATGTTTCATTATGGAATTGCATATCAAATCACTTCTCTGTCCTATAGAAACCAGCATCTGCTATGTTTTTTGGAAATAGATTGTCGTTTCGTTGATAGTTGAGATGCTCTTTTTCACTTTGAGATGCATTAAGACTTGTTGATCTTAGACTTTCAGCGATGGCATAAAAAGTCACAAGTAATGTGTAATGGGCTTTTGCATTTGTCCTTTTGTTCGCTGTCTTACTACTTTGTCCCTTAAACTGAAATGTCAGGTAGTCCGTTCAAGGATGATATCAGATGGATTTCGAGTCGACGGGAGACATCTTGATGAAGTTAGGCCCATCTATTGCGAATCGCATTACCTACCTGGATTGCATGGGTCAGCACTTTTCTCACGTGGAGATACACAGGTTCGTGCTGAAACTTCAGTTGCAGAGTGTATGGTATAATTTTTATACCATGACTCATAAATGAGTTGCTTTGCTCTTACGAAGCTTAGTTTCACCTTTTTGGTCGCTTCAAAAGTGGTATACCAGAAGTGTAGGAGACAAGCTAAATATTTCAATGCATTTGAGAAGTCCTTTAATATGTTTCGTACATGTGTTAAAGGTGCTTTGTACTGTCACACTTGGAGCCCCAGGAGATGCACAAAGCCTGGATTCTGTTGTTGGCCCCCCGAAAAAGAGATTTATGCTTCACTACAGCTTTCCTCCGTATTGTACAAATGAAGTCGGAAAACGAGGAGGCCTTAACAGGCGTGAAGTTGGTCATGGTATATCTTGTGGTTTCTTTTCTCACATTGCGTGTCATAATCCTTGGTAACTTTTTCCAAAAAAAGTATTGCTGATGTACATTGTACCATTGATTTTCTTTATCTGGTCGGGGATATCAACTTTCTTTATAGCTTATAATGGAACAATCGGTGCATCTCTGTGGTCTCGTTTTTAGAGTTTATGTTTTAGACATGTTGGTGTTTTTCTGTTATCTAAAATCAATTTTCTGTGCTTGATTCTTTTTAATATTTTTGTAGGAACACTTGCTGAGAAGGCATTGCTAGCTGTCTTGCCCCCTGAAGAGGCTTTTCCTTATACTGTTCGTATAAATTCAGAAGTGATGTCCTCAGATGGCTCCACGTCTATGGCAAGCGTTTGTGGAGGTGATTACCTCATTCACCCACAAGTTTTTTTGTTTCTTGCAACGTCTTAAGTTCATAATGAAAAGATATGTGTCTCAGGTAGTATGGCTTTGATGGATGCCGGAATTCCTCTTAGAGCTCATGTTGCAGGTGTCTCCGTTGGTCTTGTCACTGACGTTGATCCATCAAGTGGAGAAATTAAAGATTACCGTATAGTAACCGATATATTGGTGGGTTTCTTCATGTTTCTTCTGTGATTAAAGACTACCGTATAGTAACCGACGTTGAGCTCATGCTGCTTTTTCTTTCCTCTTGTTTATTGTGTGATTGATCTGTGAAGCAGGTTAGTATTTTAATGATAGGCGAATGTATCACATCCAGTCCTAAGAACTATTCTTACTTTAGCATTTCCTTGCGTGCTTCTTATTGATCATTTAACATTTGTCTCCAGACCCATAAGTATTATTAAGTTGCTGAATGGATTACATTGCTTTCACAGGGTTTGGAAGACCATCTCGGAGATATGGATTTCAAGATTGCCGGCACACGAAATGGTGTGACAGCAATTCAATTGGATATCAAGCCAGCTGGAATACCGTTAGATATTGTTTGTGAATCATTAGAAAATGCACGTGAAGCCCGCCTTCAGATTCTTGACCACATGGAGAGAGACATTAATTCCCCACGAGACCAAGATGGGGCTTATTCCCCTCGTCTAGGTTACTTTCCCACTTGTTTTTTTTTTTTTGCTAACTTTAGGTAATAAAACTTCCCTTGTTCAAACTGAAATTATGTTAGTCTTGCAGCAACTTTGAAGTACACCAATGATGCACTTCGTAGCTTGATCGGACCTATGGGTGCCCTCAAGAGGAAAATTGAAGAGGAAACAGGTAATTTCTTGACTTGGACTTTAACCGTCAAACTTTCTTTCGTTTGACCTTCTAACGATATGGAATTAAAGATTTCATTTTGAAGTTAAAGTGACAGATGCTATAAAGAAAGTACTCTTTTGAAATGAAATTTATAAGCTTATGAATGATATCCACTTGGTTTTATATAGTTTGATTTAAAGCTTTTCTTCTGATAAATAAGTTTCTGTTATTTAGGTGCAAGATTGTCTATTGATGATGGAACATTAACTATTGTTGCCAAGAATCAGGCTGTGATGGAAAAGGCTCAAGAAAAGGTATCCTATCAGTCAACTCAGCTTGTAATTGAATTTAACAGAGGATGTTGCAGAGATTTGATTTAAATATTGTCCTTAGGTTGACTTCATCATTGGTCGTGAAATAGTTGTTGGTGGTGTGTATAAAGGCACGGTGACCTCTATAAAAGAGTACGGCGCATTTGTTGAGTTCAATGGTGGCCAACAAGGCCTATTACATATGTCTGAGTTATCTCATGAACCGGTAAGCTTTCCCATAAAGTATGGTTTTCTCTGTGTTCTTCTTGAAGATTGACAGTCTCAGAGTTTTTTTATATCTTTTCATTATTCTAGTCAATTTTTAGTTTTAACCTACTATTATCTTATGCAACCTTCCAGGTCTCCAAGGTTTCAGATGTATTACATATTGGCAAGTACATTACTATGATGTGCATTGACACTGATGTCCGCGGTAACATTAAATTATCACTCAAAGCACTGTTACCCAAACCCGAACGGAAACCAGTATGTAATCCTGAAAAAAACACGGTGGTGGAAGAGTCGTCTACAGTGTCCATAGAAACGTCTAGTGTTGGAGAGACAGTTGCAAGCATGCCCAGTGTTGTAGAGACACCTCAGAAATCTAAATTAGCAGTTCCTGCAGTTGTCATCCGTACTGCTGTGGAATGTGATGAGGCAGAGAAATCTTCTCCTGTGGACAAGAACACCAAACCCAAACGTGCTACGACACAGAAACCAGACCGGAAACTCAAATCTACTGCCTCTAAACAGACTGCGATGCAGAAGGAAAAGGTGGTGCTCGAATCCACTGCTCCAGAAGAAACTCTGGCTATCTGTGGCGAGACACTGAAGCAAGACGAGAAATTCGAATCCACTTCTGCTGACCTAGTATCATCTTCAAAAACTAAGAAATCTTCTAGGAAGGAGAAACAAGCAGAGAACGAAAGTGAAGAGAGTGCATCGATTAGTCCCCGGACACTGAAAATAGGAACAGAAATGATGGCCAAAGTCCACCAGGTTCGAACCCGTGGATTGGTTCTTGATTTAGGTGGTGGAATCCGCGGGATGTACAAATTCGAGGTATTTTTTTAGACCTTCCACTTTTGACTCCCTTCTCCCATATACTTGAATACTTACATTATCGTATCGTTTGCTTACTACTACTACTATACACGAGTACAGGGCGATGAAGAGACAGAGTTTGATATTGGAGACGCATTGAAGGTGAAATGTACAAGTTTTACTTCAAAAGGAATCCCTGTGATGGCTTTGGTTGACGACGAGGAGGTTTAATATGGTAAGCTATCTTTTCTCTTGAGAAGTTTTTGATACGTTGAGGAGAGTACTACAGAAGAAAGAAGGAGAAGGAAAGCGCGTGAAGAAGTGAGTGGCGCGTGAAAAATATAGTTGGCCTTGGTTCGGTTTAGTTGTAATACCCGGTGATTTTGGCGTGCCGTTTGTTTCTCTTAATTGATAAACCGTTATGGTGACGTATGATGATGAGTTAGGAAGTTATGATAGGTGCGTAACGTGAGTTTCATACTCTTTGTCCCATTTATGCAAAAATACAAAAGTACGAAACTATGAAGCTAAAGCTAAAAATATCAAGAAGAAATTGATGTTAAAGATAGATTGATGTAAGCCACAACATCGGCACGATATTTTGTTGAGTTAGCCAACAAAAATTTAAGGTTTATTATCAATTCGGATTTCGAAGTTTTTGGTTCAATACTATTTCGAGCAAAAATGTCAATCTGATTTAAACTTAGTGTTCATCATCGGCCGGCCGTGTCTAATGGAGCCATCTCCACGCAACACAAAAACGTCGTCGTTTTCACACTCCACAATCCCGGTGGATTCCAGCGGCAGAGCAACTGTTTTCCGGCCATTCTCTCTCTCCTCGCCTCATTCACGCGCCTTTCACCTGGCGTGGCTCTCACTCTTCTCCTGCTTCTTCTCCACCTTCTCTATCCCTCCTCTCGTCCCCGTCATCTCCTCCGACCTCCGCTTCTCTGATTCCACCGTATCCGCCGCCGGGATCGCGTCCTTCGCCGGCTCTATCTTCTCCCGTCTCGCCATGGGTCCACTCTGTGATCTCACCGGACCACGGACTTCCTCGGCGATCCTCTCTTTCCTCACCGCTCCCGCCATCCTCTCCACCGCACTAGTCTCCTCTCCGACTTCATTCATCCTCGTCCGTTTCTTCGTCGGCTTCTCGCTCGCCAATTTCGTCGCTAATCAGTACTGGATGTCCTCCATGTTCTCCGGTAACGTCGTTGGTCTCGCTAACGGCGTCTCAGCTGGTTGGGCTAACGTCGGCGCCGGTATCTCTCAGCTCCTTATGCCTCTTCTCTACTCTGCCATCGCCGGATTCCTCCCACCCGCCATCGCCTGGCGATTCTGTTTCGTCTTTCCCGCCGTTTTCCAAGTGTTAACCGCCGTCCTCGTCCTCCTCTACGGCCAAGATACTCCCGGCGGTAATAGGAATCAAAATAAAATCAGAAATCCGAAAGAAGAACATTCCGATTTTCTCGAAATCCTTTTCGAAGGTCTTGGAAATTACAGAGCATGGATCATAGCTCTACTCTACGGATACTCGTTCGGTGTGGAGCTCACGACGGACAACATGATCGCCGGATATTTCTACGAGCGATTCGGCGTGAATCTCGAGGCGGCGGGAACTATCGCGGCGAGTTTCGCGATATCGAACATTGCGTCGCGACCGGCGGGAGGGATGGTTTCCGACGCGTTGGGGAAGAAATTCGGAATGAGAGGGAGGCTCTGGGGACTCTGGGTCGTGCAATCGACGGCTGGGTTGTTGTGCGTGTTACTCGGACGAGTCAACTCGCTATGGGTCTCAATCGCCGTCATGTGGGTCTTCTCTGTATTCGTTCAGGCTGCTTCTGGTCTCGTATTTGGCGTCGTTCCTTTCGTCTCCACCAGGTTTTATATTTTCGGTTTTCTGGTTTTTTTATCGGTTTGGCTTTATTGGTTTAACTGTTACCATTTCGGTTCAGCTCAAGAAATTGGTTTTATTTTTTATTGTTTTTATGGTGACAGATCTCTAGGAGTAGTGGCGGGAATGACGGGAAGCGGTGGCACTGTAGGTGCGGTGGTAACGCAGCTTTTGCTGTTTTCCGGAGATGGTGTTCGAAAGCAGAGAAGCATTTCACTTATGGGTTTAATGACTTTTGTTGTTTCTCTGTCTGTTACGCTTATATATTTTCCACGCTGGGGTGGGATATGTTGTGGTTCTTCAGAATCCGATGAATCTTCCCAGCCACTCCTTGTAGAAGACGACGACGACGACGATGAAGTGATTACTGGTAGACTACGTCCCGTTTGTTGATTCCGCATTTGAAGTACTAGGCGTTTGGCCAAATCAAAAGCGTATCGAAGTCAAATTCAAATTAAGACTTATCAAAGGTTTTACCACGTTCAAAAGCTTTCCTATAATTAGATGTAAGAAAGTTAATTTTTGTAAACTTATCCCATTATCCCTATAAATTGAAAATTTGAAAGTAGTCAACAGAAACTCACAATATTTTCTTTGAGTATTTCATATATTTAAACGCTTGCAATTGTAGAAGATTTTATACATGTAGTTGAATTTCTATTTGTTGTAACCAAGTTTATAGATATTGTAGCCGAATTTATATAATTTTAACTTTTAAGTGTGGTTTAGATATGCAAGAACTTAGTTTATGCATGTTGTAGTAGGATGCAATATATTATATATACATGCTATAATTGAATTAATTTATGCTGTATTGTAGATGTTATACTTGATACATGTTGTACTTGTGGTCGAATGACTACTCCTCTTTGTTACATATAAGTTTAAACATGATGTGATTGAATTTAAACACGAATTAATTACATAGGTTTATATATGCTATAAGAAAAGTTACGTTGTATATGTTGATGTTGTAGCCAAATTTTTACAAAAATATGTAGTCTGATTTATACATGTTGTAGCTAGGTTTTACGTGTGACACCTGGTAATTATCATTACATCGACGATATAAATAGCCAAATTTTCTGAATTTAGAGGTTCAGTTTTTCAGTTTTTTGTATTCATTCGTATTTATTATAAAAAATTAGTCTATAGAGGAATACATGCATCCCACAGAAGCGAATACAAACTCGTGTACGGATAAATAAAGACAAACACAATACCATAAAACTTACTAATCGTTTTTTTTTTCTTTCTGAATTTTATTTAAACTTATTATTTATGGGAAAAGGGAAATAAAGTACTTTATTAATTTGGAGGGTAGCAACTGAACCGGGCTTCAATTTTCACGTTGAAGTGTAGGCTTTACGATATCAAACAGGCCCACCTCACCAGCTCTACTCATTCACTCACTCACCTGTGTCTCTTTCTCACTCTCCAAGTCTCCTCCTGCTGAAAGGTCATCTTCTTCCACGTGATTTGTCTTCGCGATCACAAGTTTTTCGCTGTTGCTCTCCCTTGCTATCGACGCCATCTTCCTTGGAGTTCGCTTCAATCAACCGGTATGTGCCACTGTTTTTACTGCGAAATTTGAAGAAGATTCTCCCATGTTCGATCTGATTCGGCTCCAGAGATCAAGAGTTGAATTGTCTCGAAAAAGCTTGAGTTTAACCAAATACGAGCGAGCGAGAGAAAGAAAGAGAACGGGGGAGAGATTTGACGCTGCGTATACCGTCCGATTGACTATGTGAATCCTGTTTTTCGGAGTCGAATGGCGGGAAAATCTGCTTGAGCGCGATTTTACTGGGATCTAAATGAAGAGGAAGGCGTCGCAGCACAAGTTGCTGAACAGATGGAAGAGGAAAGTATTCGCCACGTTGATTTTTGCTTTCTGCTTGGGGAGTTTCGCATTTATCCAAGCTCGTTACAGTGGAATCACTGCGTCGCTGAAGCCTCGTCTCGATCAGAAACCACAGATTGCCTTCCTGTTCATTGCGCGGAACCGACTCCCCCTCGAGTCTGTCTGGGACGCATTCTTTATGGTATACACTTCTCCTTCTCTAATTGGGTTCAGAAACTATAGATTCGATTCTGGTCTTTGAAGATCAGATTACTCCACTGTCAGATGTGAAATCAATAGCTTCAGAGAACTGGCTAGCTAAGTCGTAGATTTTGGGGATCAAATTAACTGATTTCCCTAAGAATTGGGCATTTCGTCTTCTGTGTTTGATAACATTGACACTAAATTTAGATTACCGTCATTAGAGTTGCAAACATTTGGACGTTTTCTCGGTTGGAATGTGTCTTCGTAGCAATAAATTAGTGACGATGACCGCTTTTACTGATTTCCTATTAAAAACTGTTCAAAGCCATGTTGAAACACTGAGCTTGGTCCATAATAATATGCCCTTTGCAGGGTGAGGATGGAAAGTTCTCAATATTTGTTCACTCTAGACCTGGATTCATTCTTAGCGAGGCTACAACCCGATCTAAGTTCTTCTTGGATCGGCAAGTTAATGACAGTATACAGGTTCCTGCTATGAGAATGTATCAATTTACCAAATCATGAATTTTTCATTACCTGCATTTTCTTAAAGTCGTCTGATTTCACTTGCTAATTCCAGGTGGACTGGGGAGAAGCCACCATGATTGAAGCAGAACGTATATTACTCAGACATGCACTTAGAGATCCATTTAATCACCGCTTTGTTTTTCTTTCTGATAGGTGAGACTGATTTTGTAAATACCTTGTCCTATATGGATTGCAGTTAATAAATTGCCTAACTAAATTTCAGTTGTTTTGGTGTCTTCTCAGCTGCATACCTCTGTACAGTTTCAGCTACACGTATAACTACATCATGTCAACACCAACTAGTTTCGTTGATAGGTCAGTGCTGCCTATCTTTCAGATAGTACCTAAATACAGAATTTCATACTTTAGCTTAGTCAGTGAAAGGAAAGAAAGATATATGTTGGAAGTTTCAACAAATGAAAATTTTTGATTGCAGCTTTGCAGATACAAAAGATAGCCGTTATAATCCTAGAATGAGTCCCATAATTCCTGTTCATCACTGGAGAAAAGGATCACAGGTGAAGTTCCGATAATTACTAACATTATATGGATTCTCATTCTGAACATGTGCAGTTTTGCTGACGTGCTCTTTGCTTTTTTTCTTTATGCTATTAATTTCTCGTAGTGGGTCGTCCTGAATAGAAAACACGCAGAAATTGTGGTGAATGATACTATCGTCTTACCTATGTTTCAGCAGCATTGCAGGGTAAGTTTTTGAAAATTTCACTTAATTAGCAAACTTGGTAATACTGTACGAGTGGTCCTCTAATATGATACTTGTAAAGAGGGATATTTTATCAATATTCAAAAGAAAAAAGGTTTAGCTGGCAATGGCAATTTAGAACCACCGATTTTATAATTGGGTGTTATCGTGAGAGTTGCTTTGTTAGTGGTGTGGTCACTGTCTATTCACTCATAAACTTCTATTTGGATATGATCTTACAGAGGAAATCACTTCCAGAGTTTTGGCGAGATCGTCCTGTAGTAAGTTGCTTTTCCCTGGTCACATAATTAAATACCACGCCATATTAGCAGTTCAACCATTTCCTCCACGCAAGTCGGGTTTGATCATTGACTAGGCCCCTGTGAGGTAAACTATTCTAGTCTTGTTCTTTAGCCAGCTGAAGGTTGGAAGGAACACAACTGTATACCTGATGAGCACTACGTTCAGACATTGCTATCTGTAAGATTAATTTTTGATCCAACCATATGCAGAGTTGTTTAGAACAGAATTATGCAATTAATCAAATTTGGTAATGCATCTTAAATTTCAGCAAAAGGGTGTTGATAGCGAACTCACACGACGGTCACTGACACACTCAGCTTGGGACCTTTCATCCTCTAAAAGTAACGAACGTCGTGGATGGCATCCTATGACTTACAAGTTTTCCGATGCTACTCCTCATCTTATTAAGTCCATTAAGGTACACATCCTATCACTTGTCGGACCAAAAGAAAAATGTGGGATTCAGATAAGTGGGCCATTTGGATTTTGGGTATTTCGGTTTTGTGAAAATTTAATTTGGTATGACCAATTCTTTTCCAGTACAATATGTATGATCTATGGTACAGACTTAAGACAGAAATAGGAATCTCTAACCAACCACATTGATTCATAGGGTATCGACAATATCAACTACGAGACCGAATACCGGCGAGAATGGTGTAGCAGTAATGGGAAACCGTCACCGTGCTTCCTCTTCGCCAGGAAGTTCACTCGTCCCGCTGCTCTCCGCCTCCTTCGTGAGGTTAGCTTTTCTTTCACAAGTTACAATAGTCTCTGAAACATAAGAAATAACATTACAGCATTTGATGAACTCATTATTGGTTTCTTTCTTCATGTGCTCCTTTGGCAGTCTATCTTGTTGAGGGATAAAGAGCAAGACAGTTAAATAGAATCAATCAGCATTCAAAAGCATATAGTATACTGTACGTAAGAGTTATTATGTTTGGTGTTTTGTGATTTGTAATAGTATCGTATCGAAATTACACGTACAAACTTTACCATATGGTGAATGGATGAATAAATAAAGCCACCGGCGTTGATAAAGATGGGCGGTAGAGAAAGAGCTCAGCAGGGGTGACCTGAGAACACATGAAAAGAGAGATTGTAATCATGACATGGCATCATTACAGCCGTTGATTGCGCATGTGTTCTCATGTCTACCCTGTCGAGTTCCACTACCTTTAAGATATTTTTCGCTCTTTTAAACCAGTGATAAGGATTTTTATAATTTGAGTTTCGATTTCCTCTAAAACTGCTGGGAACTTTATATACACACATTATGAAGGGATTGGGTAGTACACAATAATATCATAACAATTGTACTACAAAGCGCCAATCTTTTGTTACATTTATTTACGTTTTGTATAGTACATATAAAACAAGAGACTTGTGTACTGAAAAAGTTTATCAAAGAAGAGAAAAGAAAATCAACATTGTACTTCTCTGAAACTGGAAGTACGACGGCAGAGTTTTGTACGAGCATTTTTTCCGAAGATTTTAGTACTACTAAATCATTTCAATCGTAGTCCCTGTATTCTAAATTTAGATAAAAGTGACCTCACAACTACAAAAAGTGGGAAAAAGTAACGAAAGCACATATAATTATAATGACTTGCGTTAAGACTGGGCGATATTGACGAAGAGGCGAATGCAGTAGTTTTTAGTCCCACATCGTAACTATACAGTCAAGACAACGAGAACTCGACATACATAATATGGAGAGAGCCTATGACTGAGAACTCACGGAGCCGTGCGATAAGCACAATAGCGAACTATTCTTTCGCCTTTTACTAAAGAATACCGTGCGCTTGTCGTACTAATCGGCATACGCCTATTTTTGGAGGGTTGTCTCTTCTAGAGATCAACTCTATCAATTAACTAGCTCGAAATTTTTGTTCTGTTACTACCCGGAATTCCTATTACAAGAAGACATATAAATGGACAGCGTTTAAGTTCAAGGCTTAAAGCTACACGAAGCTTCACATTTAAACCAACCAAAAAAACCTAAACGAATCTTTAGCTGAGTAAAAGTGTTAGTTTATTAGTCCCACATCGGAAGAGTATTTGCAAAACAAAGTCAAAGTTTTGCTTTAAAAAGGAACACCAACCTCTAAACAATTCATACCTTTCTCGGCCTTTTGGCTAAGATCAAGTGTAGTATCTGTTCTTATCAGTTTAATATCTGATATGTGGATCATCGATTCACACGATATTAACTCAATTTATTAAGGGTGTGAGCCATCAAAATAGCTTGCTATTTGTGCTCACGTTTGTCGCTCATGCGTTGCACTATTGCAAGGGCTTGGCATAACCCACCAATCACAGTTTAAAAACGGTTTCTAATCAACATTGTTATGATTCAATCTATGTGTTTATGACAATTTCACTCTTACTCGCCATTGTAGTAAAGTCTCTGGTCGTTTCTTCTTTTGTTTCCACATGGAGTTGTGTCTGATGAAGCCACCGTTAATTTGGAGACGAAGTAGATAATAATGGACCTATTAAAATCGCCAGGCCCAATGGGCATTACATAAAAATGCTGACCGATATAAAATGGCGTCGTTTGTAACATTAATACTGCGTCGTTTGTAATACTCAACAAATGGCGTCGTTTAGATACCCGCGAAACCCACAAAACTCTGACTAGAGTATTCGTTCTCTCTTGCTCTCTCGCCTCTCTCTTTCTCGGAAAATTCTCGGTGCTACACTGTTTGTTCATCTGGACGATGTCGTTGACGGAGCTAGACGACGGACTAGTTCGCAGGATGGCCATCGGAGCAGTCTTCTCTGATTTCGTACGAACTATTTTTTTCTCTTTTCTTTTCGTGTTCCTACGATTTCTAATAACCCTGATTAACTTATCCAAACTCCAGTTTCTGAGATTAATCCGTCGAATTTCATTGTTGGATTTCCAGGGAGGGAAGATACGTTCGATGGGTTTCCATAGGACTGATGATCTACTGGTAACATCCAGCGAGGATGATTCACTTCGCCTCTTCGATATCGCCAACGCTAAGTCAGTTTCTTCCTCCCTTTTAGGTTTTCCTCATAAAGAAACTAATCTACTTAGGGAAATTTCTGGATTATTATGAGATGGATATGATTTCATAGATTAGTTGAATTTCCTTGGATGCAACAATTTGTATGTAGAAGACTGTGACTGTTCAATTTCAATCTGATAGTTTGTTCCGGTGTTTGTTATGACGTAGACAGCTCAAGATTACATACCATAAGAAGCATGGTACCGATCGTGTGTGCTTTACCCATCATCCCAGCTCTCTTATTTGCTCTTCTCTATACAATTTGGAGTCCACTGGAGGTGAGTCGTTCTTTTCTCTTGCTTGAGGTTGGATAATTAATAATGTTGGATAAAACTCACTTGAATACTTTTTCTTGTACCAGAATCCTTGAGATATCTCTCAATGTATGATAATCGGATCCTTCGCTACTTTAAAGGGCACAAAGACAGGTATCATATAACCTCTGAATTTGGTGACCTGCTTATACTAGTACTGTGTACATTGATGGAAAATATTCTTCTGCTGCAGGGTTGTATCGCTTTGTATGTCGCCTATAAATGATAGCTTCATGTCTGGTTCTCTCGACAAAAGTGTCAGACTCTGGGATCTTCGTGTAAATGCCTGCCAGGTTGGTTTCCAGTTTCTCAAAGTGTGAGAATTCCATATGGAATAAGTCTGAATATGGTAGAATTTTTGGAACAGAGTTTGCTCGATTTAGGCTCTCTTAAAAGCCTTGTAAATGCTTTTATGCTTACCCTTTTAGTCTATAGGGAATTCTACATCTACGTGGTAGACCTGCAGTAGCGTATGACCAACAAGGATTGGTGTTTGCAATTGCAATGGAAGGAGGTGCTGTTAAATTATTTGATTCCCGGTGTTATGACAAGGTTAGCTACTTAGTGTGATTCACACAGCCTTACACATGAATGCTCTTTGTAGCTCTAACTTGTAAACCCATCTGATCTCTTCTTTAGGGTCCCTTTGATACATTTCTGGTGGGTGGGGATACTGCTGAGGTTAACGATATAAAGTTCAGCAGTGATGGAAAATCCATGCTCCTAACAACCACAAATAACAATATTTACGTTCTCGATGCATATCATGGAGAGAAGGTAATCATATTTTGTATCTTTCTCTTGAAGAAGACAGAACATTAGGTTGGGTTGGTAATAATTGTTATGATTTTTTTTTTTTTTTTGCAGAAATGTGGATTTAGTCTGGAGCCGCCTTCACAGGGTACATCCATAGAAGCCACCTTCACACCAGATGGCAAGTACGTTCTTTCAGGTAATACGGACATCATACACCTCTCCGAATAATGCAAGATCATCTTTTTATCATGACTCATTTACACAACATCCAAATCTAACAAGCTTAACTCCAAATTATGAAACTACTCAACCAAAATAGATAAACTTAAGAGCTCACAGTTAGTGTTTTTATATATTCGATGACAGGTTCAGGAGATGGAACCTTGCATGCGTGGAACGTTGAGAACCCATCTGAGGTAAATGCGGAACAACCAAACACCACTAAGATTTGTACATACACCAGTTGGACAACGATTCACTTTACAAAGATGATGAATTATTCAGAAAGTTGTAGCTACTGTTTTTTCCTTATGATTGGCACAGTATCTGAATTTTGTCTGATAAAAGCAGGTGGCGAGGTGGGAGAACAACATAGGAGTAGTGTCGTGTCTGAAATGGGCACCTCGTAGGGCAATGTTCGTTGCTGCCTCGACGGTTCTCACTTTCTGGATCCCCAACGACGGTGAGACACCTGCCCCCGCCGATCCTCCTGCCGACTAACAAGTAACAACGCAAACAAACAACCATGATTTGAATCAAACGGACTTTAGACAACATTATTAGATGCGGACGCATTCCAACCTCCTCCTTAGTGACGACCGCATTGTTTCCATTTCGCATTGTTTCCATTTTATGCACTTGTGTATTATGGTTTTGATTTTGACAATTAAAATTATATTGAAGCAGGAGTAATTTATTTCAGAAAACATATTGACGATCTCTTAGATTTTTGTTTTTGTTTTCGTCGGATCTCTTAGATTTATGATTTATGTTACAATATCCTCAATATATATATTACTTTTTTTTTGCTTTTTTTCAAGAATGCGCATACTTATATTATTGACGCGGGAAAAAAGGGTAGAAAGACAGAAATTGGTTGAATGCGCCGAGCAAAATTATTGACATACAATTAAATACTGTTATTTTCAACCAAAATGCATTTTATTTAGAGGTTGACAATGAACTTTATACTCGATGAATTTCGGTTCGGTTCGGTTCACTTCAGGTTCTTCCCACTTTGTTTTGGAGACAATGAAACAATTGGGCCTTGAAACCCGGAATAAACAAGATGAGGAGTCAACTGGCCCTGAGAAGCCCATTATATAGTCGTCTTGCACCCGACCTAATTATTTGGTTTTGCCTAAAACCCTAATTCTTTCTTTTCCGTTCTCCACTCCATCTCTCCCTCCTCTTTTGTGGCGTTTCACCATGCCGAAGCATTACAGGCCAGCGGTGAGTGTTTCTATTGGATTGAAGCTGTATTGTTCTGATAGTTCGTTGATTTAGAGCTATTTTGAACCAGTTTCGTTTTCCTGTCTTTTCTTGAGAATCTTGTTAGCTGATTGTTTTTCTTAAAATATTTTGTTGCTGTTCTTCTTTTGCAGGGAAAAAAGAAGGAAGGAAATGCCGCTAGGTATATGACCAGGTCGCAAGCACTCAAATCTCTTCAAGTTAACTTAAGTCTATTCAGGTTCACTCTCTTACTCAAATCTCCTTATATTTTGGCATTGGTAGCTCTTGTGTTAATGTTTCTGTTAACAATTTAACTAGGGGTTTTATTAATAAGTTGCTTATATGTTTCAATAATTCACTTAATTTATCATCAATCTGTATATTGGATAAAAAACACATTCAACATGTATCCCAGATATTATATTTTTCAATAGGTGACTTATCTGTTATCTTGTTTTTTGGTTTTGTTTCGATACATTTTCATGACTGCTCAATTGTACCTACCGATTTGGGCATTTCAGGAGACTATGTATTGTCAAAGGAGTATTTCCGCGAGAACCGAAGAAGAAGGTGAAGGGAAACCATCACACTTACTACCATGTGAAGGACATTTCTTTCCTTCAGCATGAGCCACTTCTTGAGAAGTTCAGAGAAATAAGAACATACCAAAAGAAGGTATTAAAAGCCAAGGCCAAGAAAAACGAGGAGCTTGCACGTCTTCTGCTTACTCGCCAACCCACTTACAAGCTAGATAGATTGATCCGTGAAAGGTTTGCTGCAGAAAAATTGAATCTATAGTTGTGTCTGCACATCCACTAGTTTAGACAATTCACACCCAATTCTGTTTGTGTTCTGATCATCATAGGTATCCCACATTCATTGATGCGCTACGCGACTTGGATGACTGTCTTACGATGGTTCATCTTTTTGCGGTGTTACCTGCTTCAGACAGGGAAAATCTTGAAGTTAAACGAGTTCACAACTGTAGAAGGTCAGAATCTTATATGTTCACTTATACGTCCCTTGTCTCTTTACTTATCGGCAGCTTCCCTTAGTCTCATATCCATAAGCTTACCTTTTGTGAATCAGATTGAGCCATGAATGGCAAGCTTACATTTCTCGTACTCATGCATTACGAAAAGTGTTTGTGTCTGTCAAGGGTATATATTATCAGGTATTGTGTTATTCTATCTATCTTGAAAGTTTATTATGGAATTTGTCGATTACTTCCTCATTGGTGAAAATTTCCTGATTATCTTAATAGGCTGAACTAGAAGGTCAAAAGATCACTTGGTTGACCCCTCATGCAATACAACAAGTCTTTACGAATGATGTTGACTTTAGTGTCCTGCTAACCTTCTTAGAGTTTTATGAGGTGAGAACTCCTAATATCTTTTTCCCCTGTCATTTGGGAACTTATAAATTCATTATTTAGGATGAACTGATTGAGTCTAAATTGAAGTGTGGACTTATGCTGACAAAAATTATTCATCTTTTGATGCAGACGCTTCTTGCCTTTATAAACTTTAAGCTTTACCATTCTCTGAATGTGAAGTATCCGCCAATCCTTGATTCTCGGTTGGAGGCTTTGGCAGCAGGTATGTTGTCCGCTTTCAGTCAGCTATGATTTTCCTTATAATGTGGGATCTGTTTCTTTGATTAACATTTGGATATGTCTTCAATGTTGCAGATCTCTATGCTTTGTCGAGATACATAGATGCTAGCTCCAGAGGCATGACTGTGGAACCTAAAAGTGATGCTTCATCTAGCTCACAGTCAAACGACCGTGAAGAGTCTGAACTGAGACTTGCACAACTTCAGCACCAGCTGCCTTCGAGTGAGCCTGGGGCATTGATGCATATCGTTGCAGATAACAATAAAGAGGTTGAAGAGGATGAAGAAACAAGAGTGTGCAAGTCACTCTTCAAGGATCTGAAGTTTTTCTTAAGCCGTGAGGTATGGGGGTCAAAAACGACTACATGAAAACAATTTTAAAAATAGAGTAGGCACCTAAGAATGGTGTTTAATCCTAACCAGTGACTGAGAAGATAATCAAAATATTTCATGACTGGGGCTTGGCTCTTTTTTAAGAAAATCGTATTCTTATTTAGGTTCCAAGAGAGTCCCTTCTTTTTGTACTTCCTGCTTTTGGTGGGATGGTGTCTTGGGAAGGAGAAGGTGCACCTTTCAAGGAGGATGATGAGAGTATCACACATCACGTAAGCCGCTTAGCTTGTTGTTTAACATTGTCTCCCAAAAGTGTAGATAGAGAGATCTCAATAACACCCATTCTATTTTGTAGATCATTGATAAGCCAAGCGCGGGTCATATGTATCTGTCAAGGGAATATGTTCAACCACAGTGGATCTATGACTGCGTGAATGCTCGCATTATCTTGCCAACTGAAAAGTATATGGTCGGAAGGTAACACATTCATAACCGTTGCGTATTTCCTCTTAACTACCATTTTTGCTCATATTTCTCAGCTGTTTATACATTCGTTGTGTGCTCTTTATTACAAGCAGCATTCCACCGCCGCACTTGTCACCATTTGTGGACAATGAAGCAGAAGGATATGTTCCTGATTATGCTGAAACTATTAAGAGGCTACAAGCAGCAGCCAGAAACGATGTTCTTCCGTTGCCAGGTGTTGGGAAAGAGGATCTTGAAGATCCTCAAAACTTACTATACGCTGGTGTTATGAGCCGTGCTGAGGAAGCTGAAGCTGCTAGAAACAAGAAGAAGGTTTGATTTCTATCTAGATATATGAATAATATGACTCAAGCCTGCTAAAGTTTTGTATGTGTTGATAAATTTGAGTTATGTGGGCTATCTTACGTTAGATGGCGGAGCTGGAGAAGCAGTACCATGAGGAACTGAAGATGGAACTGAGGGGAAGTGCAGTTGATGTAGCGCCTGTGGTGGAAGAAGTAGGCGAGGGTGAAGAATCAGTTCCTGATGCAGCTAATACGCAAACTGCTCAAGATACCTCTGATATGCCCACACTGCTGATGTCCCGTAAGAAGAGGAAGCTCTACGAAGCCATGAAGGTATGATTTACGTTGACCACTCATTGTTTTGGTTGATCATTTCATGAATCCTGGGGTTTAAAAGCTGCAGAATCATAACTGTTTCTTTGGTGAAAATTTCTGCAGAAAGGACAGAAAAAGAAGAGTGAAGCTGTTGAAGCACTCGAGCAGCGCAAGAAAAGACTGAATGCTGGTCAACAATAACTTGATTGTTTTTGTTTACATTTCTATTTTGCTCAGGCTATTTCTTAAGTTATGTATCATTAGTCGTTCGCTTCATGTACTGCCAAATTTTAAAAAGTTTTGTTTTTGGTTATTATTATTATACGTCAAACTTCATAAATTTCGATAGCAAGCAGGATCATCTCTCTCGAAAGTTTCATAGCCAGTTGAATTTTTAATCTCTACTTTCATTTTGTATAAATAAGTTTTTTCGTGAAGACAAAAACGCATTATAACATAGAAATTTAAAGAACATTGTATTCCACTTTTTTAGTATTGTATCCTTTTTTATTTTCTGATCCATGAGTGCACCCTACGAAATAATCTTATCCACTCACATAAATTCTAATCACAGATTTCTCTTTTCTCTAGTTGGAAACGTTCTTACAAATTTAGCGTAATTTATAATTGATTTCTATTTCTAAAGTGTTTTGGTCAGCAAGAATAACTTTTTTTGGGCTAAATGTGTCAACCAGATTAACTGATAACAAGTTATAACTCTTCACTGAATATTTTTCGTTGGATATATAATTATTTAAAGAGTGTTATATACTTATATGTATGAATTCTATACTTGTAACTGAAGAAAATTGAAGCACTTTTCTCTTAAACATATTCGGGGCGGGGACCAATGGGAAAAGAAACTTGATCATATTCTCAACGGAAAGGAGTAGAAAGATGTAAAACATTAAAATAAAACATGTCTTCTACTAATATGGAAAATTTGTTTATTTAGATAAACAAAATACTATAAACACATTATCAAAAAGAAATATATTATAAGCACCACCCAAAAAGCGACAAACATTCAAACTCGTTTCAATTTCATGTATGTGTCACTTGGTCAATAATTTACAAATTGTTAAAAACACATAAATGCGTATGATGTGTAAGTTTATGTAGATGAAAGATGATTGAGTTGCATTCCTTTTGCATTTAAGAATAAAGTTGACATAATTATTACAGATTATGTAATTTGTGCGTTCAAAACAAGAAAAATACACACATTCACATCAACAATGTCTATATTGTCAATGCTAACACCCAGCTCAAAGATAGTAGTTAATTTAATTCTAATAACTTGAAAGAATCACACTTATAAATACGATAATATAAAATGGCCCAATAGAAACAAAAATAAGATTTTGAAGAGAAAAAATACTAACATTGTCATTGCCTAAATAATTTAATTTCTTGGGATCAATGACACTGGATAATGCAGATAAGCTTACCTTGCTTCTACACGAGGAAAGCTAAAGATCCATATCTTCAGGAATCAACATTGGATAGATCATGCAATCAAGAACAAAATATTCAATCAGATACCTACTTTCCCTTCTGGTGTTTAAGTTCTTCTAGAAATAAACTCAATATCTCTACAGGATAAACAAAAAAAACAACTAAAGAAAAATGTACTGTCTAAAAAAAAGCTTTAGGTGAGTTTGCTTCAACATGAAACAATGGATGCCCAAAAAAAAAAGCCTAACGTTGCTTGTTAAAGCAACCAGATACTAATCAACATTTTCTATGTTATTTTTCTTTCTATTATATTTACTTCACCAATCACCACCATACCTTCCCTCACTCTTCTTCCAAGTTAAGTTAATAAACAAAATTACAGAGAGGAAGAAGAGTGGTGCAAAATGGAGGAGTTCGTGGTTGAGAGTCTTCTTAGCGGTAACAGAGAGGCTCAAATAGAAGCAGCTATAGAGCTGAGTAATCTAAGCAAGAGGCAAAGACAAAAAATGGCAGAAAGAGAAATCATCATTCCTTTACTCTCAATGTTACAATATCAAGACTGCATCACAACAGAAGTCGCTCTATCTGCATTGCTCAGCCTTGCATTTGGCAGTGAAAGGTTTGTGTTTCTATCTCTATGTTAAACCAATACATTAAGCGGTAGTAACAGAGGAAAATAATCAATCGTCTCTGAACTTACAGGAACAAAGTAAGAATTGTGAAATCTGGCGCAGTACCAATGTTGCTAGAGATACTCCAGTCAGAAACGAAGATGGTAATAGTTGAACTGGCCATGGCGTTTCTCCTGATCCTCTCTTCCTGTAACAAAAACAAGGTCAAGATAGCGTCGACCAGGTTGGTTCAGATTCTAGTTGGGCTAATTGGGCTCGAAACGCTAACGACTCAGGCCAAGCTTGATGGCATAGCAACACTACACAATCTATCGACACTCCATCAGATTGTTCCACTCGTCATAGCTTGTGGAGCACCGTATGCTTTGCTTCAAGTCATGAACTTTTGCGATAAATCCTCTGAATTGGCTGAAAAGGCGGCATCTTTGCTGGAGAACATAATCTCTGAATCACCAGAATCGATTTGCAGCATCAGTGGAGCGATTGGGGTTCTGGTGGAAGCCATTGAAGAAGGGTCAGCACAGTGTAAAGAGCACGCCGTAGGAATATTGCTCGGTGTGTGCAACTTGGACAGAGAGACGAACAGAGGAATGATACTGAGAGAAGGAGTGATGCCCGGATTGCTTCAAGTGAGCGTAGATGGGACAAGGAGGGCTAAAGAAATGGCTAGAGAGCTGCTGCTTCTGTTGAGGGAGTGCTGTTCTGGGTATGTCATCAAAAACAAACAGAGAAAGATTGAGATTGTTGAGAAAATTATGCGGGAGATTGATCAAGAAGGCGAGCGAATACCAGGAACCATGTTGAAGTTGGTAGAAGAGATGATTTCCAAACTCAGCACATAGTCTTGTGCTTCGATTTCCAGGCCTTGTATAAATCATTTACTGTTTTCCCAGAAACAAAGTCTTCTTCTTGTAGGAATCATTAGCCATATAAGTATATGGAGTCTCCTCCGAATCTCGATTCCAGAACACAGGAAAACATTGCCTTAATCCTTTGTACTACAGTACTGGGAGATGAAGATTAACCAGAAAAGGAAAAATAAGTAAATGTGAAGAGAATTTGTAATATTATTATTTCACAAATGATTTAGTCTTCCTACTAAGGCCCAAGACAGTTTTTAAGCCCAAAATACGAACTTCAATATATGTAGTTTCCAAGTTATTAAGAAAAAATATTGGCTTCTACAGGAGATATCTAATCTTAAAAGACGCATGAGCATCGTTGGCAGTGATTTGGTTAATTACTTAAAAACACTGATCAAGAGCAATTGCTTTGTCGATGAGGATTTATGTATGCATCATGCATGTTGCATTGGACACGATGACACGATGCAGTTGGTATCTACTCATTCGTTTTGCCTTTAATTTTACTTTTAGATTTTTTCTTACTTTTAATTTATCAGTTTATGTCTTTTACGATACTATCTTTCTTTTAATTAAAAAAAAAAGGAGGCATTTTCCAGCCCCCCACCATTCCCTGCATAGTTGAATGGGTGTAATTTGATTCCGTCGACTTAATGACATACAGTTACTTGCTAGTCTAATGTTTATTCGATATTCTCCTCCTACGTACGTAATGTAGCGTAAATCAAAAGCCGATTCAAACCAGATTGGTACTGAAGAGCTCTAATATGATCGCAAAATGGAACTTATAAAATATGGTGGGTGCGTGAAAGCTGTAATTGAATATAGTTTCCTCTTATTTACTGTTGGAATGGAATATAACGTCACCAAAAGGAAAGGAACAGTATTGTTTTTGCTAGAGGAGAACAACACAGATATATGATTGGTGGATAATCTAATAATCCATCGTCACATTACAGATGAACTGATGTTTTTTTTTTATAAATCTACTTCTCCTTTTTCCCATATTTACTGTATAATAATATTTGACTGTTTACCAAATACATTTTGTCCTTATTTTACCGACCATTGAAAAAATACACAACTAAATAAGTAAATATCAGTAATCAAACTTTACATGATTTGGTGACATAATACCAGTCAAATTTCATGCTTGTGGTTACCATTACCGACAGAAAATCGAAAATGTATGTTAATTTATCAGAATCAAACTGATAGTAATTATCTTTTTAATCCATTGAAATTTTTAAACTCAAACACTTATCAACTGGTTGAAAATATAATTAGCACAACTTTGGATTTAATATATCTTTTACTATTTAGTATTGTATATTGTTATTGTTTATATCGTTCTCCAGATATTTTACTATATTTTCTCTAAAATTATTTTGTGTTATTGCGTTTTCAATATCTACGAAATACAGAGATTATCTAGGAGAAAAATACATAAATAGCGAGTTAACACAATAATCAGGAAAAGTGAAAACAATTAGCAAATGCACACGCGGCAGTATCAGAGCCTACGCAGAGAGACTACAAATGCGCACATGCCTTCTTCTTCTTCTTCTTCAAGCTCCCCACTCAAACCCAAATTTCTGAGAATCAGAGCCATAATCGAACAATCAAGGTCAGCATTTTCTAATGCATCAACAGTCTCTATCTCTCTCTCTCTAGCTCTGTATCACTCTAGATCTCTCTGTCTTCATTCCCTCTCTCTCCGTCGTTGCAGTTCGGTGATGAGTGTTGAAATTTCAGCCGATCACCAAAGCTTTTTTTTTACTACGTTGCAACCTTTGAGATTCTCCAGTAGCTGAATCTAAACCCTCATCAATCATTTCTTATGGTCCCTTCATTTCTCTGTTCCTTCTCGATTTCCCCACTTATTTTGCGGATTTGATTCCGATTTTTTTTTCTGTTCGTGTTCCCAGTTTTACATTCGTTTGTTACAAATCATGAGTAGCTTGATTAAAATTTTAGTGTTATATATAAATAATTGGTTTATGCATGTAGCTGGAGTGGAGGAAAGGGAAAGGGAACCCATTCGTGAGGGGAATAAGATCGAGGTTAATAAGGCCAAAATCGATGCCTTTGAATGTAGTCAATGATCGTGATGGATCCTCCCGTATTATTTTGACCGACCCAGGCGGATCATCTGCTGAGGTTTGACTCTTTCCTCACTTTCTTTTCTTACAATTTTGCCCTAAAATTTGATTTTTTTTTTTTTTTGGTCTCCTGAATGTCTCTGTAAGAGAAGGAATTTTGATCATAGCATCTAATGAAAGAAGAATTAACATAAGAACTAGTGTTAATCAGAGAAGCTTGATGGTGACCTCTCAGTGATTAGTACTGACTAGTACTTTGAGCTTCTATATTGAGTTTTTTAACAGTTTTGCTAGTGTCAGTCAAAAGCCAGTTGTTATGGTTAGAGAAAACTCTCTCAGAGGTTTTTACTTTTTTTTTTTTACTTTTTCTGCTGGAAATGGTTCAGGTGCTTCTGTATGGAGGACAAGTGGTTTCTTGGAAGAATGAAAGAAGAGAGCAGTTGCTTTATATGAGCAGCAAGGTAAACTGTAAAACAAATCATCTAGACTATTACTCGGATTGGATCCACCAAATATCAATCTTGGCATTCTTTTTTTTTGCCTTCTTATGTTATCTATAAACTTTGGTATGTTGATAGAGATGAATTGATGAATCCATTCTTTCTTCTTAGCCAGATTTCTTCTCCAGCATGTATCAGATCATCTGTAATTTGTGCTTTTAGAGTAGAGATATGAGTTGATGAACACGGCACTAGCTTTCAATAACCCTTTTTTCTGTAATCACTATGTTTCATTTAGGCGCAATTGAAGCCACCTAAGGCGATCAGGGGAGGGTTACCTGTCTGTTTTCCACAGGTTAGGCAATCTGAAATTATTTAAAGACACTGTCTTTTCGTTCCGCCATCAACCATACTTAATCGTACTTGCAGTTTGGAAATTTGGGTGCTCTTGAGCGGCATGGATTTGCCCGGAACAGATTCTGGTCATTTGATAACGATCCTTCACCTCTGCCTCCAGCTAACCAGCAATCAACTGTCGATTTAATATTGAAACCTACTGAAGATGATTTGAAGACATGGCCTCACAGGTGTGTACAGTTGCTAGTTCTGTTAGTTCACTTCATTGTCATCATCTCTTGGCTTAATATACAATTCGCTGTTTGGTGCATAGTATTTGATTTGGTTTGTTGTATTTTGTTACAGCTTTGAACTTCGTGTTCGCATATCTATCAGTCCTGGCAAACTTACTATAATCCCGCGTGTGAGGAACACCGACCTGAAGGCATTCTCCTTTATGTTTGCACTTCGTAACTACTTATATGTATCCGACATAAGGTATATCGCTTTTCATCTGTGTTGTTTTTGTGAGCTTAATTACTTCAAGCATCATCCTGATCAAATCTATTGTTGTTGTCTTGAGTAGCTTCGTACTCTCTCGCAATTCGAAGTTTCCTCAAGAAGATGCATAGTAAATAGACTCTTTAAAAACTCTTTTGTCTAAGTAACATCACATTGGCATCAAATTTGCAGTGAAGTTCGGGTTGAAGGCTTGGAAACACTTGATTATCTAGACAACATGATGCGTAGAGAAAGATTCACCGAGCAGGCAGATGCAATAACCTTTGACGGTGAGGTAGGTGATTAATTCCTTTGTTTTCAGACCAAACTAGTAAACAAACAGAATCTCAACGTACTTTTTTCTTTCCTTGCAGATTGATAGAGTGTACTTGAACGCGCCGACAAAGATTGCAATCATAGATCATGAGAGAAAGAGAACTATCGAGTTGCGCAAGGAAGGCATGCCGAATGCAGGTGCATATAGAGACTTCTTTGACGCGGTGTGATTCAAATAAGCCAAAAAATGATGTGAACTTTGTTTCTTATGAAATCTTTGGTATGAGCAGTTGTGTGGAACCCTTGGGGCAAGAAGGCAAAGAGTATTGCTGATATGGGGGATGAGGATTACACAACAATGCTTTGTGTAGATTCTGGTGCTATAGAAACCCCAATTCTGTTGAGACCATGTGAAGAGTGGAAAGGCAGGCAAGAACTCTCTATCGTCTCATCAAGCTACTGCAGTGGTCAGCTCGATCCACGTAAGGTTCTTTACGGGGATCATTGATATCATCATAACATATATATTTATAGATAAAAAAAACCATACTTGGATTGGAAACATCACTAGTTTTATATTTATAATCGTCTTCGTGGAGAAAGCGATGATGCTCAAGCAAATCTGATAATGATTTGGTTGGAGCTATTGCTCTTTTCAAGTTTCTGACTGACACACAGAGAGATTGGCAAATGTAGTATTTGTGTAACGTTGCCTTGTGTGTGACGGTCGATAATACATCGGTCTTAATATACTGAACCGTCTTCTTCATGGAACAGTGTGTATTCTTCATCGAAACGTTTTACATAAGTCACTAGAGGTTCTTATTCCTCCTTGCTGCTCTTGTCTGTAATTGTAAAGGTCACTCTTGTATTGCCATCGGGTCAGGTTAACTGAAACTATGTTATTCTGGTCATGTTAACCGGAAATGTTACTCTGGTTTTATTCCTCTTCTTCGTCATTCGGATTTTCAGGCTAATGACAATGTTTTTTCTGATTTTTTTCTTTCGGAAGTACTAATTGGCAGCACCTTTACAGTCACCTTGTATTGATGATACCCCAAAAAAAAAAATACTTGTATAGATACCCGAGAACCGTAAAAAAGAGCCCGTGGATTCTGAATCATCATAAAGCCCAAACAAATTGTTAGTTCCGTCAAAAAAATAATTCGCCGTTGCCGGGGATCGAACCCGGGTCACCCGCGTGACAGGCGGGAATACTTACCACTATACTACAACGACATCTGTTAAGAGAATTATGTATAATGGATTTAGACGTTCGCCTGTTTCTACACCGTAAAGAACAAGTATAATTTCACAAGCTAGGTTTTTAATCCACTAATTACGAGAAATAATAGAAAGAGAAAATTTGTTAGTCGGAAACTTTCCACTCTTCATCAAGAAACATTTAAGAATATTATTTTAACTTATTCATCAATCAAACCTTTAAGTAACTTCTAGGGTAAAACAAGAATTTATAAAGATAGATTAAGATAACAAGATGTAACTACTTAATAGTCATATTTTTCCTCCGACAAAAGACATTACTTTATCAAGCTAATTGTGAAGTTACATAATCCTTATGAAGATATAAATAGTCAGGTGGTCAATTTTTGCTTACCGATATGACCATTAAATAGTTACATCGTTTTATCTTAACCCATCTCTTATTTCTTACGTCAAATGTACCACATATTATTATTATGAAGTCATCTATTCTATAAAAGTAAAAACTTCTATTTATTTACAGACCACATAATTTTTCTCAATCCATCTTTTCACAAAATATATTTATTTATTTATTTGTTATATCATCTTTTCTCAAACAATTTTTTTAAGAGTTATAAATACCAGTTTACTTTTGAAAAGACAGTATTTTCTTCTTATTTATTTTTTGTCGTTTTGTTTCCTTGATAGAAAAGAATAAATGTAATGATTGAATTGTATCCATAAATGGATACGTACATAGATCGTTTTTTCTGCGCAGTTGGGAAATCGTGTCCAAGGTTTTGTTGGTTTCATTTTATGCAACTCCATGTGAATACTATTTACTGTTTTAGTTTAATAAATTGTCATTTTATTATACATATTAAAATTCATGGTCCATTCTTGTAATTAATTTGTCTTTGTTTAACTGTAACAAGTGGAAACAACATTATTACACATACAAAATTAACGGTTAAATAGTAACATTTTGGCTTGGTGATCAAGGTAGCTTGGCCCTACAAAAACCACTTAGTTTACGAATTTCTTTGAAGCCCAAATTGCGAAGCTCATTCACTGTTTCGAAGCTGCACAGAAGCTTACAAATTTCAGGTTCGTTATCCGAACCAAACGCTAGTGAAGCTTACAAATAAGATGGAGTATCCGAGCCTGAGGTTTGCTGATTGTGTTCTTGAGGAGCTTTCCTCGAAGCTTAGGTTCGGAAGTAAACGTACCTCTCATTAAGTCCCACTTTCCCGCTCATCGTCACGCGTATATACTTCCTCTCTCCAAAGTCTCGCTCTTTCTCTCTGCTCTTCACTCCATTTTACTTAGCTTAGTGGAGAAAGCCCTTTCTCTCTCTGTCTTTCTTTTTCTCGCTCTCTCTCAATCAATCGTTCTTTGTCTTGGTATTCATGGAAAGGTAAGCGAAGATCTGTTTAAGCCAGATTTTGTTTATATAATCTCACTCAGACTCTACGCTGATTTCGATGACTCAACAACACGATTGTGCTATTCTATTGTTTGCCGGGGGAAAAAAAAGACATGAAGGTCTCATGTTTTTTTGGTATGAAGGAAAAAAAAAGGTCCCATCTTTGTTCCAAACTCTCGAAAAGATTGAACTTTTCTTTTATCTGGGTTATGATTAGTGCAAAATTTCAGCACTTCTTATTCTTCTACTTTGGGCACTCACTACTACTATATTTTTCTCTGTTCTCAGGCTAGTATTATTTTTACTGATTCGTGAAAGCTCTGTTTTGTTTCCGACAAGACATATATATAAGACCGTAATAATCGGGGTAGATTATAAACATGTTTCTAAATCTTCTTCAAACAAGTAGAGATGTTAATAACTTTAAATGGCTTTGCTCTTGTCACTAAAACTATGAAAACTCTACACAGGGCTTGGATTGTGGATGTTCCATGGATCGCGAGCAATGTAAAGAATGCGTCTGCGTCTTCAGCTCTGCAGATTGAAGATTGTGAAGCTCATATAAACTGTCCTAAATGCTGTTACCACATCGACAACAAAAATGTAAAGACCTATTTTACAACATCTGTAATGAATGTAACCGTATGGTTGTGTCTAGTGTGAATACTGAGTTCGTTTTATCAGGTACTGACTCCATGGCCAGGCCTTCCTAAAGGTGTGAAGTTTGAGCCAACTGATGAGGAAGTCATCGAGCATTTGGAAGCCAAGTGTGGGATTGATGGCTTGAAACCACATGTTTTTATCCAAGACTTTATCTGTTCATCAGTGAATGATATCAATTACACTCACCCTAAAAACCTTCCAGGTAATATTATTTATGAAAATTCCCCCATTAATTTGAATATTTGATATTAGTTTAGTAAGTCTTTTGTTTGCAGGTGTGTCTAAGGATGGAAGTAGTTCCTTCTTCTTTAACAAGACGGAGCAGGCATATCCAAAGGGGCAGAGAAAGAGGAGACGGATCACACCGTCTGGTCAAAAGGATGAAACGGTTCGTTGGCGCAAGACTGGTAAAACCAAACCGGTCAAGCTCAATGGAGTCCAGAGAGGCTCCAAGAAGTTCATGGTGCTGTACAAGAGCGCGAAGAAGGGATTAAAACAGGAGAAATATAACTGGGTTATGCACCAGTACCACTTGGGAACAGAAGAAGAGGAGATTGGAGAATATGTTGTTTCTAAGATCATGTATCAGAAACAAACGAAATTCGAGAAAACTACCACTTCTACACCACCAAAATTACCTACGATTTCTGTTTCTGAGGATGGAATAGCTTATGATGATGATACTGAGATGGTTCTTGATGCACTTGTTCAGGTTAGTTCCTTTCTTTGCAAGTATCGTTAGCGTTTTTCGTGCATTGTAGTTTATTTTTTTTTTTTAATGGTAAAATCAGGGACTGGAGAACATTCCAGAAGCTTCTTTTAGTTCGACCTCAGAAGAAAGAACTCAACGAGTTGAAGCTCAATTGTCCTTTATGGAGAAGAAACCTAATTACTGGGATTTTGGCATATGGTCTGAAAACAATTTAGTGCCAGATTTGGAGGACGCAGATTTAGGGACTCTCCCTGATTTCCTTACCGTGAGAAGTTTAAGAAAATTCTTCTATATATTTAGAAAATATCCTTCAGAATTCTTGAAACTCAGATACAATTTTGTGGATTTTTGCAGTTTGCTTCGGAGGACAGTTTATTGAATTGGCTAGATTGATTTGAAACGCCAAAAATAAGGGTTCCATAATGACGTTTTTGTTAGATAAACGAGGAGAAAATACAGAGAAAGAGACACATAAAGCATAGGCGAATCAAAGCATGAATGTAACGTGAGTGATATGTCGCCAGAGACGGCTGTTTCTGTCATCGAAAACACCAGGCATTTTGTTATTTTCTCGGATTCCCTTGAAAAACACTTCAATATTCCTCATTGGTATCCTTTTTTGTTGTTATAATCATATGATATTCTTCTCAATTTTTTGAGCCACGGTTGTTGTTGTTGTCTACTGTAGCAGTGTTTATGTTAGTTTCAGATTTGAAGAATGCATATTTAAGGACTATAGTTTTTTTTTTTTTACGATAAATACCCTCCAATTTTTATAATATAAAAACGTGAAGTTTCTCAACTTGAATCTCTCAGTTTTAAAATACTCTACATGTTGTAAGTTTCTCAATTTCAATCTCTCAATTTAATTGTAAACACAATTTTAGGTGTGAACACAAATTATCTTAATATTTAATAAAAAAATTTCAGCTAGAAAGTTTAAAAGCGTAGATATTTTAAAGTTTTTCATCTCTGTTTTTTCTTTAATTTTTATTATTTTTGAATATAACAATAGTAGTTATTAAATTGTTTTAGTTAAAAATATATTAAATTTTTCAAAAGATTATTATCGATATATAAAATTAAAAAATAATTCATCTATACTATTAAAAGACAAGCAGTTGATGGAGATGAAAAGCTCATTGATTTGATTTGATTGAAATGTATTTGTAGCCAAAATAAGCAAATAATACCTATCAACATTAATTGCTCTGTTTATGTCCTTGGTGACATCAAGCAGATTTTTTCATCTTCTTTTGCAAAACTATATAATTTCCCAGAAAAAAAATAAAGAAAGTATGAATAATGATTACAAGAGTTTGGAAACCCTAATACCCTATACGAACCTATGCTCTATTCCTGAATCTTTTTGACAAAATAACCACACAAAACGATTCTACTAGGACATCGTATTCGACCTGATTTGAACAGTTCAGCTTAGCCATCAATATTATAGCATTTCCATTGAAAGTATCTTAATGAATATCTCAATCTTAAAATTTATTAAAAATTAAAAAATTAATTTATAAAAAAAAATCGGTTCTCAATTGAGAACTTTTAAATATTTTTTTGAGAATTCCTCTCATTGGACACATGTCAGAGTATAAATGGTTCATGTTCTTTTTTTATAAATCATATTTCCAACACTTTAAAATAAAAATAAATAATTTAAATGTTATTTTTTTTGTAATTTTATAAATTGTAGAATGTATCTATTAATATCCATTATGATAATTAATTTTATATTAAAATAATTTTAATTGATATTAGTTTAAGTTATATAATATAAATTAATAATATTTTAATTATTATAACTAAATACAATTAATAATGAAAATAAATTATAAATAATATAATTAGAAAGTTACATTATAATGAATATTTTTCTAATGTAAAATAATATTGAACATAATTTTTAAATAAATTAATTAAATAGAAAATTATATAAAAATAATCATATTGTATAAATAAAATACTTTAATTAACTTTATAAATACAAACGTAAAATGTAATTTTAATATATGAAATAAACATAGAATAACTTAACAAAGAATAAAATTTAAAATACATAACTAATATCATAAATATAAATAAAATATAACAAATAAAATTAACATAAGCTTATATTTTTGTAAAATAAAGTTAATATTACAAGGCAATGACAAATCAATCTAACATAGAAATTTTGATAAGGTAATAACTAAAACATATACACACTTTTATAAATAATTTTATAAACACTTATAAATATTTTATAGATCTTTATATCTATTTTATAAATGTCTTATAAATTTTTATGAGTATCTCTCTTATAAGTAATTTTAAAAATCCTTATAAGTATCTTATTAACATTTATAGTTATATCAATTTTACTAGTATAGATAATATAAATAAATATAATAAATTACTATAATTAAATATATTTAAAATGTAATTTAATATGTTCTACAACACAAAAATTTAAAATTTAAGATAATATTTGACCTAAATTTTTAATATTATCTACACTAAAATATAAAATTTTATAAAATTAATAATATTATATAGATGAGATTTTATAGTGGGAATCTCACTAATGGAGATAAAAATTTGTGTTGAAGTTTAAAAAATTTCTTCTCAAAATATTATTATTATATTTTTGAAATATCCTTAGTGAAATCAGTGGAGATGTTCTTATGGGCTTGGAATATGCTACAAGGAGGCCCAATATAATATATAAAAAAAACACAGGATTGTCGGTCTCTTTGGAAATTCCCAGAGGAGTTGGGAAACCTTTCCTCTATTCCGGAATCTATTAGGAATAGGCAAGTTCAGATATATATGTGTATATAAATGGCGCGCATGAGTAGAAAACAAAAAAAAAACTTTAAGAAAAGCAGATAACATCGATATCATATCATGAAAGCTGATGAAACAATGATAATCAAAGGAGTGAATTGTCGGAAAACGCGGAGGATATGCTACGGAATGGCCATACCGTCGTCTCTGGGTGGTTTAACGGCAACGCTCGTTCAACTCTGGTTCTTGCCTGATGGGGAAGACAAGTTAATGGTCGGATTCTTCGCACCATTGTTCTTGATTTTAGGTCTTTTGGTCGTGAGGTCGTTATGCGTTCCAGTTCCGAAAATTACGCACGAGACTCGCCGAATGGGAGAAGAAAACTGGTGGGCAATCACCATCTCGTCTATGTTCGGTATGTTCTTTCAGTCGGACATGATCCATTCGGTACAAACTAGTATTTACTTCTTTGGGGTAATCATGGGAATCTTGGCGGTCAATCAACTCGATCGGCCGGCTCCAGATATCTCTATCCATCGGGTTCTCTTCACTGTTGCCTTGTCTTGTTTGAGTGGCTTTTTAGGTTACCATTCTTGTCTCGCTATCTTCGTCGCCTTGGGATGTCTCACTATACTTGTTCACTACTTAATTCCTCCCTCTGACGACTTTATTCCTTCTCCTTCGAATTCTCGTCGTCGTGATCTCCATGTGTAGTGAGGGACCTCTGATTTTCACTAAGTTAGACCTTCAGCTTTTTGATTTTTTTAGTTTTTTTTTTCTTGTTTTGGTGTACTTTCTACTAATTGATTTGATTGATTTATAATTTGGTATTGTTCATAAATCGTACCATTATCACCACCTTTTAACTACTTCATCTCGAACTAAATCGAAACTTTGTTCTCTTTAATTGGCCCTCTCGATCCGTTAAATAAATCATGACAAAAATACAAGCTAAGTACGTGCATAGACTCATTTTGTCACTCAGTATGTGAAAAAAACAAAGAGATTATCATAAAAAAACAAAAGTATAAAAAACAAAGATGTTTTAGATATGTTGAATTGGATTTATGTCTAATAGTCTAGAATAAGTGTATTCAACTATAACTAAAAATTTCAATTTCTCAAAATAAATCTCAAAGAAAAAAAAAATTATATTCACAAAGCCTGTAGGCGAGTGTTTCCATTTTCATGGGGCACGGCCCTGTGCCTAACGACTAACAAAAGACTGATAAAGAACAAATACACTTAATCAGCCACCTTCTCTTATGCAGTTTCCAGGTAATAAGTATTTGTAACTCTCAGCCTTTTCGATGAGATGAGCTGGGAGATGAACTGCGGAATAAGACCGAGGGATAGGACCTAACTTTCCGATAATCTCCCTGAATGTATACTCTTCCGGAAGCATATCGAACAGATCAGTTCCTCTACATATCAGATCTTGGATTCTCTTCGGGTTCAGATAATGAGAGAACCTAACCCTGTCGTTGTGGCTGTATGCTTTCATCTTGAATACAAACTCGCTGATGTGCCTGAAACAGAAACTGCAATGCCAACCAGAATCTGCTAAAAGAGTGTTGCCTTGTCGGAAATGAGCGTATCTTGTTTTCCCTGGCTTGTACTGATGAATCGAAGCTCTCCAGCTTTTGTTGTCGACGAAATACTCGAACGAGTACAAGTAGTTTTTCAACTGAAGATGCAGAATCGGTGGGTATCCATCGCACCATCTAAGCAGATTGATGGTATGAGCGCTTGGAATCTCATCAACGTCAGACATTATCAAAAGATCGTCTTCTTCAATACCCGCGAGTCTTATCAGCTGATCCAGTGCGATCCTCTGGTACGCTTCTTCCACAAACGGGTTTTCACCTTTCTTGAATCTTCCTCCGATGTTCCCATAAGTCAGCCTCGGCTCAACGAACTTGAACCGGCCCCGGTTTCCAGCGAAAACCAATGGTTTAGGCAGACCGGTGAAAGTCGAGTTCGATTCAAGAACCACAAACTGTGTTATGTAAGGATACAGCTCTTTCCAACGGATGGTGAGCATATCGACCTCGTTGCTGAACAACACAGCATCAAAAACCCTTCTTGGAGACTCTCTGTGTTTCCAGCCGTGAAGACTGCAGAGCGTTTCCATGGAAGCGTTCTCGTGGTAGTAATGAGGAAGCGTTTGAAACGGCTTCGGTGGCGATTCCCAAAGCGGTCTCAAGAAATATGTGAGCTTCTGACCGTGAAGATACACTCCAAAGATGAAAATCGGCACAATGGTGAAGAAGAAGATATATGTCTTGAAATCGAGTCCCCTTAGAACACATCTAACCCTTGACAAGGCCTTGCCTGCTCGAGAACCGTCCTGCAAACAACAACCACAGAAAAAAAAAACTCAGAAGGTTTCAAGCAATAATCAGAGAACTAAGAATCAATATAATATCCACAACACTTTATAATGTCCCTCCCTCCCTTCAGAATCGAAAATTCTCTAAAAGAACACGAAGTTAGAATCCAATTCGAGATAACAATAGCACAATCCTTTCTATAAGCACACACACAAAAAAAAAAAACAAAATCAAACCCTATAACAATTAATGCCAAATTTTCCACAGCTCCAAAACAAAATCTAAGTTTTAGAAGACGAAGAATTACATTAAACATTCGCTTGAAAATTTTCAAATGTTTTAGACAACGAAAAACAATCCAGAAATCATCCTCTCGATTCTTAAAACCCGACAATTGTATAAGATTGAGAAGTAATCTATAATCAGAATCGGAAAAGGAAAACCGCATTACCACCAATTCTCTCATTCCAATTCCAGAAGAAAAATTGGTATCGGAATCACGATTCGCTTAATGCCAACGAACAAAAAAACCAAATCCGATTCATAACGAAATCGATAAGGAATTACAGCAAAGTTGCGGAAACCCGACAGAGATTAGGACTCGAAACTCACCTGTCCACAAACATCTTCGCAGATATCGTCCGTCTTCTTCGAACTATAGTATCCATCGGACATGATTTTACGCAGAAGAAAACGATAAAATTTTGCCTAAGAAGAATATCGAACCCCGAAAATCGAAGCCCGACAAATCAAAAATTCTCAGAAACTCGAACAATAAAAACCAACAAAATAATTTTAAGAAGAAAAAACAGAGAAGTCGAGTATAAATATCCGGGAAAAAAATAGAAAAAAAAAACTCTCTTATAATCTAATCCTTCTCGTCTTAGGAAAACTGTAACGCCAATTATAGCCGTTTGATGCTTTTGGTTTATATACATTCCTGATACTGCTGGATTTAATCTCTTAATTTTATTAACTTTAATTAAAGGAACAAAATTAATAGCTTTAACGAGGCTCTAATTTTTTAAGTTGACAAAAAAACAAGATATAGGACAAATATTATTAAAGGACAAGAGGAATAACTTCATCCCTCGGATTTTACTATAAGCGGGTCTGGACGTCGATCCTACGGTCAGAATCATTTGTGCCATGATGTAATGAAGTTAATTTGCCAATACATAATTTGACAAATTAAAAATTTAAATACGTATCAGAAAATAGTTCAGCAAATTCAACTTTGAATATTAACTTTAAATCTGAAAACAGTAAGAAAATTAAACTTTACAAATTGAATTCAGCCATTTTTGGTAATGCCGGATAATTGGTGATTATTGAAGTGTTTATAGGGTTATACGAGGAAATAAATCTCATTCCTATCCAAAATAATTTATTATTGTAAACCTTTTAACATGTTTTTATCTGTGTTAATAAATAAATAAATAAGAATAAAGAAATTGATGCTATAGTCAATATATACAATAGTACTCAATACCAATGTAATTATTGAGGTGATATGTTTGGACATTAATTATTTTCTTGGGTAAGTTTTCCTATTTTCACGCGTTTTTCAATAACATCAGAAAATCAACATTTGACTTCCATTCTTTATACTCTACTATGATAGAAAATATCAAAATCAACATTTATTCAAAGTTTAATTTTAGTTTTAATATAAAAAGTTTAATTTTCTTACTGTTTTCAGATTTAAAGTTAATATTCAAAGTTTAATTCGCTGATAGAAAATCAACATTTGACTTCCATTCTTTATACTCTACTATGATAGAAAATATCAAAAAAAAAAACTATTTTTTCAAAAAAAAAAAATCAAAATACCTGTTTCTGATCATTATATATAATATATATGCTACTAGATATATATCGGAAAACAATTATTCGTTTGATTTTTGTATTGATGATAATTTCTAGTATCATATAACTTGGTATATATCCAAAATACAAATATTTGTTTGAATTCGGTCTTTATCAATTTCTATGGGCGCGTCAATGCACGCCAATTTTCTTGTAATTACCATCAATTTTATTAATTAATTAATAAGCAAGCTCAAGTTGCAACACTCGACCGGAATCGGTCATTATGGTAACCCAAAGCTTTGGAGTTGGGTTCGTGAGTATCACGAAATGATATGTTCTTGTCCACCATACTGTTCGACAAGTATGATAACCTATTATTCGATTGTTTTTTTTTTTTTGTTTCTTCAAACATTATATGATTGTTTAACATTTCAAATAACTCGAAGTAAATTTTATTTTTACTTTTGCAACTGCGTACATATATGGACTTGTGTGTATATCTTACCTCTTGACTTTACAGTTCCCTCTCCTTATAACCATCGAAAAATATATAAAGTTAATTATGCTACTCTATTCTGAACGATTTCGAAATCTAAACATTGGAATGAGATGACTGAGCATTGAAATTTGATTATATCTTTTCGACAGTTGACTATAATTAATACTACGTGTTATGGTTTATTTCCTGTTTCTTTCAACTTTCAACCCCAAAACTAGTCAACCAAAATAAATTAAAAGCGTGATGATATAAATATCGAGGAATAAGCAAGAAGAATATTATAGGAAACTTCTCAACAAATACCGTACTTATTACTCCAGTGATACAGTATTAAGGGACCTTGGATCCAACAACTCTAGACCTAGACTCGAATAGAGATGTTTGTTGACCCAACAGGTTATATTAGATATCCAAACCTCTTCATAGTTATACGTATCTATATATACATTTATTTTCATATCTATCGACCACAGTTTACAAAACACGCGTTCACGTAGAGTAGAACTTGGTTATCAGTTTTTTTTTATACGATCACACCCACCAGTTTTGTAGTAACATGTTTTGTCCCTTTAGGCTTTTTTCAAAACTTTTGTCCTTTGTGGTTTACTTATTAGTATTATAACTCTTACTGAGTTAGAGCCAATTGGTTGGGAAATCATTCAAATCTGTAATATTATTTTTTTTTGTTAATTTCCTAACATGTTTTGAATAATAAGATAAAGATGCGGTGAGAAAGATGTTGTCATCTCTAGTTTCCTGTTGGGTTAAGTATATTGGTCTTGGACTACTCGGTTCAGAAAATTTTGATCTAATTGGAATGGTTCAGTTTAATCTTGTTCTGTGTGAGAGCCAGGAAAATTAAAAAAATCTTAACTGTTTTGAAATTTGAGCGAAACTCGGTTTACTTGGTTCGACTAAACAAAACACAAAACCATTCTGTTAATGTCGATTCGAATAATTAAGTTCATGGCCGATGTAATTCATGCATAAATGTCCAGCCTTCGTCATGAAAACTCTTCCATATTTTTATAAGGCCCAATAATCCATTCAAATAAGGCCCATCGAGTTTTGTTCCTTTTTTATTCTTTACTCTTCTGGTCAACTATCAGTGATCAGTGATCACTGAACACTGAACAGATATCGGGACGTGACGTGTCAATGTCATCCGAACGCGGATTCAGCGGGACCCACAGGTGTGAAGATAAGTTTAAAAATTCAGCTATAAAAATACGCAAGACAAAGAGCCTCAAGAAAAAACCGCCTATAAATGGAAATTCAAACTGGCAAGGATAGGGTCGTGTTGGAGCATCGCTCGTTCGCGAGAATCGGATTTCTGGGAAACCCTAGCGATGTTTACTTCGGGCGTACGATATCCTTTACCATCGGCAATTTCTGGGCCTCGGCTAAGCTCGAGCCATCCGATCAACTCTTGATTAAGCCTCACCCATTCCATGATCTTGTCCATTTCGACTCCCTTGACAATCTCGTACGTGCTTTCTCTTCTTTTTTTTTTTATTCTACTCGACGTTGGATTTTAGCCTAATTGATTTTGAAATGTAGGTTAACTGCGATTTCGGAGTGTGGGATTTGAATTTTTTGTTTGTTTTTTATTAATTTCATTTAAAACTACTAGCTTCAATAGATTGTCAGATACTTGTGATTTAGGTAGCTTTTTTTTTTGTTTTCTTGATTTGGTACCGATTTAATAAGGACCCGGAACCAGCCATGGATTTCATTTCGTCGTTAGAGTTCTTGAGGTTGTTTGGTTTGTTAAGCATCATTTGTGCTTTGCTGCTAAAGTGCTAAGAAGCTATGAACTTATGCTCTGTTCTGTAAATGCTATGTGTGGTCCTATATTTGGAATATAACAAAACAACTGATATAGTTAAGATTTCTTCAAACTCTTTCCTTGTAGGCTAATCGATTGCAAAATGAAGGGTACTACGGAGGAGTAAGGTTGCTGATGTCGATTTGCAAAGTATTCCGCAACTATTGCAAAGATAATGGCATACAACTTCATGAAAAAAACTTCACTCTGTCTTATGATACTAATATCCCAAGACAGGTTTTTTACAATCCTTTCTTATTTTCGTTTGCGGTAAATTTTGAATTTTAGGGCTTGAAATAAGTAAAAACTGAGGCCATTAGATCTATCTTTTACGTGGTTTTCAGACAGGGCTTTCGGGTTCTAGTGCAATTGTATCGGCTGCTCTTAGCTGCCTTCTCGACTTCTACAATGTCAGGCATTTGATACGAATAGAAGTTCGACCTAACCTTATTCTTAATGCCGAGAAAGAACTTGGTATCATTGCAGGTCTTCAAGACCGTGTTGCGCAAGTCTATGGTGGTGGCCTTGTTCACATGGTGAGTTGATCTTTGCACCTCTATTTTTAAATAATAATCCCTATTTCCATTATTTCATCGGTTTTCTCCTGTTTGTGTTTTCTTTGCTCTGCAGGAGTTTAGTAAAGATCATATGGATAGAGTTGGATATGGGATTTACACTGTAATGGATATCAATCTTCTTCCTCCTCTGCATCTCATCTATGCTGAGAATCCTAGTGACTCTGGGAAGGTTAGAGAGAGAGAGAGAGAGAGAGCTATTCAAGACGGTTTTACTGACATTTAATTTTAGTGATTTCCTTCTGAGCGTTGGTTATGTTTGATGGCAGGTACATAGCTCGGTTCGTAGAAGGTGGTTAGATGGTGATGAGTTTATAATATCATCTATGTCGGAAATCGCAAAATTAGCAGAAGAAGGTCGAACTGCATTGCTAAAAAAAGATTACTCCAAACTCAAGGACCTCATCAACCGCAATTTCGATCTTCGAAGGTAATGATAAACCGAAGAAATCAAAACAAAACAGAACGTAAACACAATTCAACATTCCTTTTTTTTTCCCCCTCTAGGAGTATGTTTGGAGATGAATGTTTGGGAGCTATGAACATAGAAATGGTGGAAGTGGCTCGTAAGATCGGAGCAGCTGCAAAGTTCACTGGAAGCGGAGGAGCTGTGGTGGTTTTCTGCCCAGACGGGCCACCTCAGGTCAAACTTCTCGAAGAAGAATGCCGGAAATCTGGATTTTTACTTGAGCCAGTCAAGCTTGTGCCTACGCTCCTCAACAATTCTGATCTTAAGACTTTATCAAAGCCCTGATTTTTATTACAGAAGTAGAGCTCTTATAGGCTAAGAAAAGAACTTTAGTTCTTGAAGGATCTTGATATCGATCATCAATGTCTGAACTTAAGCTAGTCATCATGTAATAAAAGTTACTCTTCTCTTGTTTGATTGTCCGACTAAATTATGAACTATGAAGAGAAAAATTGGTATGATGGTTCAACCGAATACTAAACCGAATAATTGACTCAACTGAAAAAGTCAATCGAGTCAAACAATTAAGTGAGGACGACGTGCCGTCTTAGAGATTAGGGAGAAAACACCGTGTCGTTTTCAATTCATCACTCAACATCTTCTTCATCATCTCCGCTGTGGATGGCACTGCGATAATCGCCGGAGGTGGATTTCAATCTTTTGCCCGCCTCCAAAATTCTCCTTGCTAATGGCGAAGTCTCTACACTTCACAAGACTAATGTCTTCTTCAGCAAGAATGGCTATGACTTCTCACTTCTTCTTCTCAGTCAAACCGAGAAACATCCATAAACCCTACTTCTCTTCTTCTCTTTTCCTTTCCACCACATCTACGCCGTACCCACTTCAATACGACATGATCATCAATCGCCCTACACAGTCTTCTCTCTCCCAGACCCGTCGTCGACCCGCCCGAGCCATCAAATCCGGTTCGCCTGACCCAGAAGAGCCGGACTTCGATTCGTGGGTCGATAATAAACTGTCTTTGGAGCGTGAAAAGGGTCGACCCGGTTCTGGAGATCCGGAAATGGACAAGGCTAAGAGGAAATACTACAGTAAGAGGAGGAAGAGGCTATACGGGTCCGATTCTGAGGACGAGAGCCGAAAATCAGATGATGGATTCGTGGAATTGAAACCTGAAGTCGTGGAATTTGATAGGTTGCATCAGAGAGAGGAGGAGTTGTATTTCTATGATACTTTTGCGTATCCATGGGAGAAAGATAAGCATTATAAGATGGTGTATCAGCTGGAGAAGAAGTATTTCCCCGAGCAATGCTTAGATAAGGCGTTTCTTCAACCCGGAGAAACTTCCAAGGCTGATGATTCCGGGAAAGTTAGAGGGAAGAAGAAAATAGCTCTTGGTGGAAAGAAAAACGAGGTTAAACGAATTATTGGTACGGAGAATTGTGATGAGGATGACGATGCCGATGAGAAGTTGGTGTTTTTTGATGAAGCCAAGGAGAAGCAGAAGAAACCAGAGGAGGATGTTATTGTGAAGAAAGTGGAACAGTTCTTCAAGGGTGTGACGAAATCCGCCAATGAGAAAGCTGTGGCTAGTGGCGGCGATGGAGAACCTTTCCTTGTGACGAGAAACGGTGAACTTCCTCCTAGATGGGATGGTCCTAACGGTACAGTCGTTTTGGTGAACAAACCCAAAGGTGAGAAGCAATTTGTGTAATCTCTCTGGTCTCTGTCTCTCTCACTTTCTTTTGCCTTATGAAATGTGATTTGGTTTGATATTGTTCTTCAGGATGGACTTCCTTCACCGTCTGTGGTAAGCTACGAAGATTAGTTAAAGTGAAAAAGGTTCGGACTTAACCCATGTCTAATCCAAGATTTAAATTGCTTTATCTCAGCTAGCTGACAACTATTTTCACAGGTGGGTCATGCTGGAACACTTGATCCCATGGCTACTGGTCTATTAATCGTCTGCATTGGTAAAGCCACCAAGGTGGTTGACAGGTTTGTGATTCCTTAATCCAAAGTTTATGCTTATGTTTCTCTCTATGATGATTTACAGAAAGAAAACCTTATAAGCCCTCTGTATCTGCAGATACCAAGGTATGATCAAAGGTTATAGCGGAGTTTTTCGTCTTGGTGAAGCCACTTCAACTTTAGACGCAGACTCTCCTGTAACTTCAGCGGCCCTTTTCCTTGCTTTCATAGTTCATCTCTTCATTAGTTCTTGATGACTCATTATAGTTTGCTCAACCGTAATATTGCTGCAGGTGATTCAGCGAGAGCCTTGGGAACATATTAAAGATGATGATATTAAGAAAGCTTTCACATCATTTCTTGGAGAGATATGGCAGGTTCCTCCAATGTTCTCTGCGATAAAAGTGAGCATTGTTCAATCTTTAAACCGTGCCTTAACTTGGATTACATTCTTTCCTATCTCTTTAACTGTAATCTCTGTTTAGGTTGGAGGTGAGAAGATGTACGATAAGGCAAGAAGAGGAGAAACTGTAGAGCTTTCTCCCAGACGAATCTCGATTTTCCAGTTTGACATCGAACGCAGTTTAGATGACAGGTTTAATCCATTTTCTGTACAGTGCATAAGCAATTTCAAAACAGTCTTCTTAATAGGTCTCACTAAAGATCTGATTTTTGCAGACAAAATCTGGTTTTTCGGGTTGTATGCTCCAAGGGTACATACATAAGATCCCTCTGTGCAGATCTTGCTAAAGCTCTTGGAAGGTGAAATATTTCACCTTTGATTACTAACAGATCCAGTAAAAGTAGAGTTTCTACTAAATATCATTCCTTTTTGATGCAGTTGTGCTCACCTCACAGCTCTCCGGCGAGATTCAATCGGTAAGCTCGTTCATAATTCCACTTTACAATTTGAGTGTCTATATACGCTTGATTCACTCTTACCATTTTATCCTCGGGATTCAGGTGAATATTCTGCTAACGATGCTTGGGAATTCAACGAGTTAGAAGCAGCAATTTCTAAAAACTACTTCTAGAAGAATATGCATCCGCTTTGCTAGACGCTTCCATAGATGAGCATAGAAGATCAGTCAATGGTGGATTCTTGGCAACAAACAACTCCTAAATTTACATATTCTTTTTTTTGATCTAGATGTTGCATTTTAGATTTAGCATCTAGATATAATCTCTAGATATTGCTCGTTTTAAAAAGTAGATTGCATTTTGAATTCTATGTCTAGATGCAAAATTGTAAACGCGTATATTATTGCCTAAGAGTCTAGAAGACACGAAACTTTATTCTGGTTCATAATACATTTCGATTTATCAAGCTCTTCTATCAAATCTCACTGTCTATAACAAGCTCGAGTGATTGGAACTGGAGGGTCTGTGAGCAATCCGCCAAGAGTACGGTCAGCCACATGCTTGTTTGCAGCTTCGGTGTAGTGAACTCCATCCCAGCTCACAGCCATTGCCGGGTTGGAACATGAGCCACCGTAGATTTCGGTATTGTTCACTTTCCCTTTGTTTCCGCACCAGATATGATCATACTTCTCATGGTAGCCGCAGCATACCTTCAGTGGGGTTGCAAATCCTGCAAAAACAAGAACAAAAGAGTTTACAACTGTGGACAAACTTTTTACGTTACAACAAATTGGAATTGCCTTGAACCTAGTTTCTTGGGGTTGCTCATCATTTCGTATTTCGCAGCATAGACATCAACATAAGTGATGGCTGCTTTGGCGAGTTCTTTTCTGAGATTGATGACTGTTTCCTTGAGCTTTCTGTTGAACTCCATCGCCATTTCGTTCTGTGCCTTCACGCAGCCAGATTTGTCCAAGTAGCCCGGCGCAGGATTGCCCATGTAAAACATGTTTACGGGTAAACAACCGAAAGGGCCTGTGTTGTGTACCCAAAATGTTCTTCCTCCTTGCTGATATATGTTCTGTGAACAATTATGAAACCGCGTTATTGAAAAGGAATTCAAATGTTGGAGAACATTGCACATCTCTTTCAAGGACCTGAATCATCAAATCTCACCCGGATAGCAGAAGCTAAATGGCTGAGAATGTCCGGTATAGTCGCCTTAAGTTGATCGAAGCTCATTGTCCTAAACCCGACAGAGAGATCATTCTGTCCAATATCAAAAGTATACAGAGCCTTTGCAAACTCTTCCTGTCTTGGAAGCTTCTCTCTTTCAAATCTAATCTTAGCTGTTCTTGCAAAGCAGAAAAACCAACATACCATGTGCCACAAGTCAAGATCATCATATGAGAAGAGGAATACTGAAAGATTAACAGAACAAAAAGGGGCTGACTTTGTTTGAAAAGCTGTGCAGATCTTGCTTTGAATTGATCAAATTGAGCAATCTGCATATCCAGAGAGAACGGGCTAATGCCATATTGAAAGATGGTTTCGTTCTGTCTTCTTATGGTTGAGCCACCTGTCGCAAAGTTTGCTCCATGTCTGAAGTTTGATCCTAAGGAGTTTAGGTATGCGCTCAAATACGGTAATTCCACACGCTCAGCTACAAATCCATGAATCATATAATCAAAAGCCAAATCAAAAGTGTTCTGAGATCAGTGAATAGAAAGTTTAGTTTTTGAAGCTATGTTTTCTTTGCAAACTCTTACCTATGAAATCAATGGTGAGACGACCATCGGAGTCTCGTCCGGCGGGTTGGTGGAAGAAACCTTGACCGTAAGGAGCCCTGATAGGTTCAAAAGCAGCGGAGATTCCTCCGGTGTCGGAATTAGAATCTCCGAAGTTGTAAATCGCCGGAAAAGTACACTTTGGCTGAACTGAAGCAGCTTTTGTTGCTGTCAGGAGGCACATAAGAAGCCATGAAAACACAGCATAAGGTACCAGAAGTCTTGCCCTTTTGAGATCATTCTTCATTGTGAGCAAGTAAATACCAGAGTGAATCAGTGAGAGAGAGAATGATGGTAATGGCGCTTCACACTCCTTTCTCTCTCTCTCTCTCTCTCTCTCTATCTCTCTCTCCACTGTCTTTATAAATAGAAGGCTTTTCACTTTTAGATAATTCTGAAAATGGTTTCGTTGAAAAATAGGTTTTTTCTTCTTCTGAAAATGACAGATTTTCCTTTTTTTGAAAAACGGAAGAAAAAGGATGTGTCTTGAGAGTTGGACCGGACCACAGTTCAACAGTCATGAGGTGGGTTCTTGTTGGAACCCAGAAAAGGCGCTAATCATTGTCGTTACCTTTCAGTCATAGTCAGTATTCACCTAGAAAGCATAAATATCTCTACCTCTAGATAATTTAGAAATCAACCAACTATTAGAAAATAAAAAATAGCCAACGTTTCTAAAATTTTAATGTTTTTTCCTCCTGCACATTTTCCTTCTTATTGTTCTTTAATTTCTTATGTGTTCAAGTGAAAAAAAAACTTGGTTTTCCTTGAGACGGAACAAACGAAAAACCATGAATAGCCAATGTTTCTAAAATAGGTTTTTCAGTAGCCAATTGTACTAGAAGATAAGAAGCGTGTTTATATTGCTGTTATGTTTTCGTCTTTTGTCTTGTTTGGGCTGATATTATGACCAACAGGCCCATCTATTGTCTGAACTTTGATAAGCCCATAATAAATATTAAACGACGGGTAACTGAACTTACTAATAGCAAAACGGCAAGTCGTTTCATCTGTGAAACAATATAGAGTAACACCTCGTCGTCTAATTGAAAACTACTTGCAGTCTCGTTTCAGTGAACTCAAATTGCTAAGAAATTGCTCATCAATGGCGGCTACAGGGGAAGAGATGACGACGCCGACGAAGGAAGGCACAAACTTATTGGGGAAGCCAAAGTATAAGAATCTCGAGAACGGGAGATTCAGATGCGTGCAGACGGGTCACGAGCTACTCGAGAAAGACAAGAAGGTCTATTCACAGAGTAAACGGTGCCGTTTAGGTCTTATCGATCATGCCTTATCCCACAACAAGCCTCCTCTCAACTTGTTCGAACAAGATCCTAAGTCTCGGTAATCTAGTGTTTTACTTACTCCTTTTTATCTCTCCCCGAAAACTTTTCGATTTAGTTAATTGGGAGAGACCATAATAGTAGATGTTGCAGGTCTCATTGATTAGGTATCGAATTAAAGTTCTAGATACTGGAGAAATTCTGAAATGTTAGATGTTTCAGGTCTCATTGATTATGTATCGAATTAGAGTTGTAGATACTGGAGAAATTCTGAAATGTTTTTCTCTTAAGGTTACTTTCCCCCTTTCTGTATGGTAGGGTTTAGGGTTCTTTAGGCTTGTGGTTTAAGTTGGAACGTGAATGTTCGAATGTAATGCCGGAGAGAGTTTATGCTGCCAGATTTTGAGTTCATCTGTTGAGGAGATTGTGTTTCAGAACTTTGCTGAATTGGGTTCTTGGCTTGTCTTTTTCAGTTCGAAACTGATATGTAAGCTTACGGGTGATACGGTAAACAAGACTGAGGAACATATTTGGAAGCATATCAATGGACGGCGCTTCCTCAACAAATTAGGTTTGTAATTCGAAGCTTGATGAGACTTCCTTAGGTTGCTTGCAAAACTTGTTTTGCGCAAGATATTCAGTTTTGTTTTTCTTTTTAAGTTTAATGGTTGTACTGCTGATTGTATAACAGAGGAGAAGGAACGAGAGAAAGAGTCTGGATCTATTCCAGAGGAGGGTGGAGAAACGCCGGCGAAGGAGAATGGCATAAAGCAAGAAAAGAAGAAGAATAAAAAGAAGAAGAAGAATAAGAAGAAGAAAAACAAGAAGTCAGATGAAACGGAACAGAATGGAGAGGATGTTAGTGATGAAATCGAACATGAAAATGATGAAGATGCTGAGGAGCTTGACTTTTGGATGCCCCCAGATGGAGAGAGGTGGGACTTTGATGATGGAGGAGACCGGTGGGGATCAGATTCAGACTCGGAAGAGGAAAAGAATGGGGAAGAAGATCCAATGGGTTTGTTCACTTGTGTATCCCTTTTAATACTGCTTTCGGTATGATGGATTCATAAATCTCAAGTTGGATTTTTTTTTTTTGGTTAAATAACCTGCAAAAATAGGTGAAATCGATGAAGATGAAAAGAATAGTTTGGATGACTGCATAATAGGGGAAGTTGATGAAGATGGCGAGAATAGTTTGGATGGGACTCCTGCAAGGTACCATGGATTTTCATCTGTTTTTTTTTTTTTGGTACTACATATATTCAAGCAATCCTCAAGTTTGTGTGGTATCTAAGTTTTGTTTAAATAAGAAAAATAGTTTACTTTCGGATTTTTACTTATAGATTGATACATACTGATATATAACGAATGAATTGTAGAACTGTGTTGAAGTAAAGTCGGTGTAGGCAGAATTAATAACTTGTTTGAGGAGTTTAATGGAGACTAACTTTTGTGCTCTTAGCAGGAAAAAGAGGAAACCTGAAGAATTGAGTTCCAATGGCCTTTCGAAGAAGAAGAAAAACAAGAAGAATAAGGTCAAAACAACGTCATAAGTCTGATCTGATTTCTCTCTCTCTTTTGTTCTTCATGTTTTGTGTATTTCACTTTGTACTCTGTATTTCAATTCATGGGCTCAGTTTTGATATTATTTAACGATGATAAGAAAAAAAAAATTGAGGTTAATGATTATCCTGATGAGTCAATGATTTGGCCGGTGCATTCACAAAGCAACTTGTTTACGCGAGAACAGATTTAAATTTTATAATTGGAGAAGAAAATGCAAATAAGAAGCATTTGCAGTTTTCCTACAACAAATGCATCATAACTATCTATGAATCCCGTGTAATTTACAGTTATCCCATTTCTTACCGGTAAACCTAAAGAAGCCGAGAATTTTCCTCTCGGCAATAACTCTGTTGCTGAAAATCTCATTCCCCAATCGCCTTGGCCTCTCAGATCCAAGATCACGTAGATAGGTGTCTTGTAAGAGAAGTAACCTTTCACAACTCTGAAATGGCCGCGACGCTCCAAAGTTTCTTCCTGGCGATCAAAACTCTCTCTCCTTTGGTCGACAGAGAATCACCTTTTGGAGTTGTCTCTGTGAACCATTTGTCCCATTTCAACAATGTTAGATACTTCTTGATGTAGCTAATATTGTCTGCTGTGTCACGAATTATGACAAATCCTTCTGGGCGTAGTATCCGATCCATCTCGATAAGCAGATCTTCGATGCTACATCCACGTGTCTCGGTTTCTGTGAACGTGTTCCATGCGTGGATAAGATCAAATGTTCTTGGGTATGTGGAGAAGGCTTCACACCTGCAAAGATCATCAAGCAAAAGAAAGCTCAAGAAAACATGATCTGATTTTCCACAACTTTTCGGGGTTCTAAACATTTACGTACCAATCATGAGTGGCTCCGATAAGACCACGGTCGTAAATGATCTTCATTCTTGGAGAGGATTGGACGGGTATGACGTTCATTACCCATACATCTTTATCGTTTAGAGCAGCTGCGAAACCGCCGAGGTTTGAGCTCATGTCCATCACGTTTCTTATGGAGTTCCTTTGCACCATTGGTTTCAGCAGTTTCCAGTATTCCACTACTCTAAGCCGCCATGTTTCCTACACTCACACCCATACTTAGTGAACAATAAAGAAATGTTTGGACGTAGACAGGAATTGCAATTTTCTTGGAAATTGTAGTTCTCAGAGATTGGATTACTGAAACAGAGCTTTCGATGTAGGGAGAGAAAAGTTACCGTATCTTTACGAAATTGTTCGGGAGTGACACCGACTTCTTCAAGACGTGGTGGAGGAGCTGTAAGCCTCCGTGGCCAGGGAACAAGCCCACTCCATCTTTCTTTATGCATCCCTGGGTAAATATAACAAAACAAACATCGAATGAATAAGAAACTTCATGAAACTTGCTATTATACAAGTAGTAATAAGATATATACACACTTACTCGCTGAGTAAGGTGATATGCAAGCCTTCATTGAGACGTTCCACGTTGCATCTGGGTCATCTCCAGAAGGGCAGAGTGGAGGCTTGACACCCGGATCCCTTTTCAGGTAACAGCTGTTGGATATTGGTTTTCCCCATATAACAGATTGGTCTCGTTTGGCCACAACCTTCCAACACATTCTCCTGAATAGATCATGCATCGCATTTCCAATCCTTCTATTTTCCGGGTCGTGTGCGTAAGCTTCAGGGGACGAGTATACAAAGTACCCGCCAGGTCTGAGCAACCTATCAAGTTCTAGCAGCAAGATCCCATCTCTTTGAAGCCAATCTATCCGACATCTAGAGCAGTGAGCAAGTTCAAATGATCTACTTGGGTAAGGAAGCCGCTTAGTCCCAAGGACACCAAGTGTTGATGGAATCCCTCGTTCTAGAGCAAACTGGATCTGGTTCTGGTGGACATCATTAGGAGCAAGGGACATGGCTATAATGTCATGTGAGAGAAGATAAGCTCCAAAGCTAGCTACCCCGCAACCAACATCAAGAACATTTCGAATGCTTCCTCCATTGTTGAGTTTGTCGCCAGGGAATTTCAGCATCTAAAGCAATAAGCAGTTTTTTTGGTCATCTGAAAGCAGAACTTGGAAAGAAAAAAAAAACAGAGCCAAAACCTCCTGTTAATTATAGAACTATGCTCCCTGGTATAGGAGCAACAGAATACCCCACATAAGTAAAGGTAAATTAAGAGAAACTTAAGATCAAAGCCTTAACATCATTCCTTTGCACTAATAAACAACCCAATACTCTTTTTGGTCTATGCGGCATAGCGCTATAAACTTTCACTCGCTCAAGCAACTTCGGTTTGGTAACAAAGATCAAGCGAAAAGGGTGCAGTGATTCTAAAGGATCGGCTCTGCCCTAGAGATTCAATAAAGCAAAGAAGTACTGAATGATGATAAAATAGTACCTGTGCAAGAGAAACTATGTATTTGTCAGCTCCGTTGTGGAAATGTGTTCCTCCCCCGGGAAAATTGATCTTATCACCATTTACAACCATCCAATTTTGATCAGATTTCTCTTGTGCAAGGTGCGTATGCGGGATATTCGCCTTCCACACCTCATCTCTACTCACAGGCCACTTTAGCGGGATCTGATAACTCCATAAACAACACCATCATCATCAACTACTAACACCAGAGCCATAAAATATGCAAGAATGCTCAAAGTTTTTTAGTACAAGAGAAAGAGACAGAGGTACGACCTTATAACCAGCTGGAGGAGGAACAAGGCAATTGAAACGCCGTTCTGGTGGAGGGCAATGGCGCTCATAGTGCTCCATTAAGGTTAAATTGAGCTTAAGTTTCAGCTGGTAATGTAGATTTCTATCCAAACACGGTATAAGCTCCGAGTGTTTCGAATCACATATCTGCGGAAGATTTAGTTAAGCAAACATCAATTAGGATCAATATGAAAGAGCGACGAGCACGAATACTGCAAGATAAACCTAAAATCCATCGAAAATCACTAAATCGATAAAGATCACTCAACCACTACGTAGATTAACAATTTCAGTAGATTATATTAGTAGTAGGACTAAATCTGCACAAAATTTCACTTAAACACTGAGAAATCTGGAACTATATACTCAAATTTCTCAAACAACACGAACCGGAATGCTTTTGGGAACTTCGAAACGGCTCACTCCAAGCACACCATCTCGATTCCTCACGAATCCGGTGCGAGCGCGAATAGATCCATCGAAGTCATCGGACTTTCTAGATCCGGGAGCGAACGACGAGCTATAGTAGAGGCAAGTTAAGCCGAGTAGAGCGATGAAACCGACGAGGACGTAGGTGAAGAGCTTCGGTGTCGCACGGACTCGCTCGCTTCTGAAGTGCTTCATACTCAGTGTCTCCGGATCCGGATCTGGATCTGACCCGATAATGAGGACCCGGGAATCAGCTGCCGGTGAAGAAAAGGATAGTGTGGACTGTGTGAGCGACAGTAGATTCCCGCGGGGTCGAAGAAGACGAAAATGACCAGTGTCGTATTTTATTTGCGCAAGAGAATATTTGGTAGATATGATCCTCTGTGACAAGGACTAGGAATGTTTCTACTCTCCTTAACTAAAAGACGCGGTAAAAAATTCATGGGCCTTTATTAACACTATATATGCTAGAAAAGCATAAATACTGGGCTTCTCACTTTAGTTTTCTGTCGTCTGGCTTTTATTGCCATTTTGATCTTTATTGCGCAAATCTTGTGACATTTATATCTTTTCTTATGAAATGGTCAAAAACTTTAATTTGAAGAGGATGTTATCATCACTAGGTTGGCTTTTTTTCTTTCAGTTCAATTATGCTCCAATTCTATGTTTAATAGAGTATACTGCTACTTTACTTGCTAGATTTAGTGCTTAAAATTACTTCTTTTTCTGTATCTAAATTTTTTTGGACATTTGATTCATAATCTTTTTTTATTCAAAATTTTTAGATTAGATCTTATTAATAAAAAAGGAAATAACCGTATTGAAAACTTTTTTGTCATTAACATGCAATATGTCAGATTTGAATACAATGATAATAAAACAAACTAATACATACATGTTTTAGTTAATCGTTTTGGTCCCGTGCCTCATTTTTTTCAAGGTTATATATATTCAGCCAATAGAAGCCTATGGTTTCGGGCTTGAATAGTTAAATTTTATCCCCTAATTAATAGTGCAGTCCACGTCCATCTTGTTTGATCCTTGAAAGAACGGCCCAGGACCAAAAAAAGAGTCGCATAAATCACGGGTACGAAGTTTCATAAATTGAAATTCATTTAATTTTCACGTGTCGTGTCTGCTCTCCAAAGGAAACAACATATGTTATATATTAAAATGAAATAGACAGGGTAATTGATAAAAGTATAAACATTTCCAAGTTCTCACGACCATAAAAGGGACGAACGGAGACTGATTCGAAAGTCAAGTTTTCAATTTTTCTACAAGGTGAATATTCAAACAGTTCGTATCATATGGAGCATAACGAGAAGGAAAGAGCAATAAACAGCGACTATCCTTTAAAAGAAAAAGACAGAAAAAGAAAACAGCGACAATTTTTAACCGCAAAGACGAAATAAAAATGTTGAAGATAGATAGGATTGGCACGTGGACGGAAACTTCTGATAACCATCCATTTTTTTCCCCAAAGCGCTAAAGGAATTTATTGCAGACTTGCAGTTATTAATTATTTTAATTTCCCCAACTCGTACAAAACGAAGAAAAAAACTTCAGCAGTGCTCTTTCATAAATATTTTTTATTTTCTGATTGTGATTACAATTCTGAGGTTTTGCAAAATTATCGGTAACGAGATCAACTGCATATTTTTTATATTTATTTCTCACTAAAAACAATACTTAATGTAATTTTGTTTTAAGTTTAATCTATTTGTAAAATCTAAAGTACTCGAAGAAATTGTCAAACAATTTTTTTTTTTGATTTCTAGGCTTGTGTTTGGACTTTGTAAACTCATATAATATTTTATAGGGCCAATTGTGGGAAGAGCATATAATATATGGGGTAAAAATTAAAAGTTCCTCCACCATTAGCGTCCTTCACACTTATTCAAAGAAAGTGATTATTCTCTTAATGATTTGATAGAAACAAACCAAAAACAACAGAAGAAAGTGAAATTGCTTTCGAACAAAAGGGGGAACTTTTAAGGCGAACTCTGCAGGATTCGATCCGCCATTGAAGTTTTTCACTCTCTTAAGCACTTCTGTGATTCGTTATCCTTGTTGCTTCTTCATCTTCTTCCTCAAGTTAAAAGGTAAACAATTTATTTTTCTATCACACTGCTCCTCGATCGAAATGGGTCATTGTAATGTCGGCAGATTCAGCCTCGAATCTATGTATTTTCGTTTTTGGGTCAATTCGGGGAAAATCTAATTGGAATGCTCGTAGATTTGTCAGAAACTGGTTTTAACTAGTTCTGGGGTTGGAGTATTGCAGCAAGTTTTCGTAATTGGACTTTATCTTAATCTAGAAGTCACTAAGTCGCGTTTTTTTTTGTTTGCCCAGTCTCTGAGGGAAATTACGTGACGTGATTGAATCTCCTTTCTTTATAAAAGACCACCAACCTTCGGATTTAAAAGATATTTCGTAAGCAGTGAGAAAATTCAACATCTGTCCAAGATAAGCTTTCGCCTTTTTTACGAATTAGGTAACTTCATCTTCTAGCGGTTCATGTCAAAATCTTAACAAAGCTTCTGCATTTTTTCCTAAAAGCTAAATCTTTCTGTATCTTTTGTTTGCAGGTACTGAATTGACCTGAGAGGGTTTGCTTTGAATCAAAAAGGGTTTAGGTTTTAAGTTTGATGGGGACAGGGAACTCAAAAGAAAACTGGAGACAGGAGTCTTCGTCATCGTTTGGGTCAGCTCCAGCTTCATCAGCATCACCATCTTCATCTGCGTGGGCTTCTCATCAAAGCTATCCTCAATATGGTCCAGAAAGCTATAACTATCCTCCTCCACCTTCATATGCTCCACCTCCCGAGTACGCGCAACCTCCTACACCTTCATATAGTACTCAACCTTACTCTCAGCCGCCTTCTCAAAGTTATGGCAGTGATAAGAAGAGGTTGGAACGGAAGTATTCAAGAATTTCTGATAATTACTCTTCTTTGGAACAGGTGAGCTGAATCTCTAGTTGAGCAGAATCTAGTTTGCTTCTTGAATATTACCATGCTTAAAAGCCGTAGATTCTTATGGGTTTGACAGAAATAGAAAAAATCACATTGTGTTCTATTTCATTCAGGTGACGGAGGCTCTTGCACGTGCGGGTCTAGAATCTTCAAATCTCATCGTTGGTATAGATTTCACCAAGAGCAACGAATGGACAGGTTAGTGAGATTCATGATTCTGTCTTTGGTGTAATACATCGAATGGTTTCACACTCAAAACAACCTCTTTCTTATTGTTGTTGGTAACAGGGGCCAAATCCTTCAATAGGAAAAGCTTACACTTCATAGGAAGTAGTCCCAATCCTTACGAACAAGCGATAACTATCATAGGAAGAAGCTTAGCCGCCTTTGACGAGGATAACTTGATTCCGTGTTATGGTTTTGGAGATGCATCAACACATGATCAAGATGTGTTTAGTTTCAATCCAGAGGATAGATTCTGTAATGGATTTGAGGAAGTACTTGCCCGGTATAAAGAGATCGTGCCTCAGCTTAAGCTTGCAGGTTTATTTATTTCCCTTATTTAGTCGCAGTTTCATTAAATGCTAGATAAGTTCTTAAATGTGAAATGTTGAAATATCTTTCAGGGCCAACCTCGTTTGCCCCGATAATCGATATGGCCATGACCATTGTTGAGCAGAGTGGTGGCCAATATCACGTCCTAGTGATTATAGCAGATGGGCAGGTACTAATACAATACCTGTACGATCCTTTGTTTTTGTATCAAGAGAAGAAGCCTCAACTGACCGTTTCAGGTTACAAGAAGTGTTGACACGGAAAATGGACGGTTAAGTCCGCAAGAACAGAAGACCGTGGATGCAATTGTGCAAGCGAGGTTGGAACATTGGCTAATCTTTTTCATGTTCTTTTCTCCATTGAAGTTGTCTCTCTCTCTCTCTCTGCGGCTAGTTTTATGATTTAGTTTCTTTGCTATGACCAGTAAGCTTCCTCTATCAATCGTCTTAGTCGGGGTCGGGGATGGACCATGGGACATGATGAGGGAATTTGACGATAACATTCCCGCCCGAGCTTTCGATAACTTCCAAGTAAGTTTCTATTGAGCTAAAAACATCAAAGGAAGGTTATTTTCTTATTTTTTTTATATGAATTTTCTTCCTCTAGTTCGTGAACTTCACAGAGATCATGGCAAAGAACAAAGCTCAGTCCTTGAAGGAAACAGAGTTTGCCCTTTCTGCCCTCATGGAGATTCCTCAACAGTACAAGGCCACGATAGAGCTTAACCTTTTAGGGTAAAGAACCAACCATAATGTTTATCAATTTGGCTTCTATTTCTACCCCCAAATGTTTAAACTTTTTCTTGCCTCTTCAACTTTTTATTTTTTGTTGCAGAAGAAGAAATGGGAATATCCCGGAACGATTCCCTCTACCACCTCCAATGCATGGTGGATCATCGTCTTACCACACGCCAAAGGCTTCCCGTCTTCCAAGTTTCAAACCGAGTGTACCTCCTTATCCAAGTGAAAGCTATCCCGTGAGGTCTAGCCCCATGCCGCCCGCTACAACCTCTGCTTCTGATAACCAGGTACTTCCAAAATCTGAAAGATATGTCAAAATCTGTTTATATAAAGAGTTTGAAACTAACTTCATGTTCTTGGTTCCCTGTAACAGCTGTGTCCGATTTGTCTGAGCAACCCGAAAGACATGGCCTTTGGTTGTGGCCATCAGGTAAATCCAACAAACACAATTTCCATCTTCTTCTTCTTCTTCTACTTGATCGTTTGAAACATCGAACTAACTTGGTTTCTGGTTTGATACAAGACTTGTTGCGAGTGTGGACCGGATCTTCAAATGTGTCCGATTTGCCGTGCACCGATCCAGACAAGAATAAAACTCTACTAACAAGTAGACCAGAACAACCCTTGCTTGTTCAACTTCTCACAACTTCTTTTGGGAATCTAGTTTGATCTAATTACTGAGGTTTCTCCGAGAAAGATCGGTTCTTTGTATAAAAAGCAAAAAAAAAAAAAAACAACAACAACTTCGTTTGTTCATTGATTCAGTTTCCTAACTTGATCCTGTTCCAAAATTCGTTGACTTCCTTTTTTCTTATTTGAATGGAGTAAACTGTTATCGATGTTTGATTTTGAGTTCGTCATTAATGTTTTTTGTTTGTAATAAATTGGTGATTTGAAAATTCAGAAAATCGAAAGAGATGCATGCACAGACACCAACTTTTTCTTTCACATGATGAGCCTCCGTGTTAGCTATATATATAGTGAAAGAATCACATGATGTGATTATATATCAAATCAAACTAACTAACGTTGTACTCCTTCCTAACTTGAGTTACAAAGACAGTTTTGGAATCTCCATGTGAATCCAACTTACACTAAATAAAATACCGAAATTATATATCTTTTAATGTAATTGAATTTTTAGAATGATTGCTGTTCAAAAAAAAAAAAAAGAGTTTTTAGAATGATTAGAATAAATTTCATATTAGTTTTAGTTTTAGAATTTAGTGGAATTAGATTCTAACTGTAGATTTTAATCTATAGACCGATGGTACCATTTCATCTAGAGCAAATATATATCACATATGAAAGCTATATACTGTATGATATATTCATTTTCACATATATATGTTGCTTATATGATGCTTATTTTTTCATTTTTTCCTCTCATGCATTCTCTCGATGTTTTTTAACAGTAGTTCGAAAGAGATATAGAGAAAAATAGTACAAAATCATTTTTAATGAAGTTTAGAAATTGTCTTATTCCTTCCGTTTCATAATAAGTATTGTTTTAGATTTCATTTTTTGTTTCGAAAAGAGTGTCATTCTGCATTTTCAATGTAACTTTTTACTTTTATTTTCTGTTTTATCTTTCATTTAAAGATAATAATCTTTGTAATTAAATATTATAAAAGTATATTAATTAGGAGTATATTTGTATATTTTATTAATTTTTTAATCTGTGTGAAATGTGTCAGAATGAGGGAGTAAAATCCAATGACATTCTCTGTAAATAATACGTGAATGATTCCTGATTAATGGTATAGATTGAATAACCAATTATTGCATGGAATAAATTGAAAACAAAATGGAGTATTAAAATATTTGCAAAATTAGATTGAGGTCTCGCAATAAATTCACGTACACACATCTAACTACTTCAGATAAATCGACCCACCAACCATACACATTTAAACATCAACAATAATGACAACTCATATAATTAATGGATGGAAATACATTTCATTTCTCTTGGAAACTACTCAAATCACCATTTTTATCCAATGCCCATGGCTTCCTCTCCCAAAATCATCAATCTCCCTTACAAGAAGCTTTCTTTAGAAGATGATGTCTTCGGAGAAACAACAAGGAGATCGTCATCATATCCTTACAGGTTCTTACCCCTTCATAAACAAATTCAGGACCGTTTATAAATTGAGGAATACTAATGGTGTACTCAGACAACACAAGCTCCGGATTTTTTAAAACACAATCATCTTCATAACAATTCTATGATATTATCGAAGTGTTTCATGAAGATTTTTTTTGTTGTTATTGATATAGGTTCAAGAGAGTGGTGTCGTTGGGAGGAAGAAGGAGGATTAGGGTTAGAGTTAAGATCCGGAGACTTGCGAGATTTGTGAGGAAGAAAGCGACTAGGGTTAAAATTGGAATATTAAAAATATTGAAGAGGTTGAAGGAGAGTCAATCACACTTTGGTGATCTCTTTGCCGGTAATTACCTTTTCATGCAAGTTAATCCTTCTTCTCTTAACAATAAGTACGTCTTCGACAGATCTTTTCAAGGTCAAAATGGTAACTGCCCTTATAAATTATCTCTTCCTAGATCTTTTATGTAAAGACGGATGAAAATATTAAACACAATTATATAATTCGATTTCGTGTAAAGAGACTATAGTTATGATTCTGTATTTTCTCTAGTTACATTTTGATTTTGCGTCTTGTTTGTAACTTTTTCGCGAAAATTTATAAAATAAATAATATATTGGAATGAATAGTAGTTGAAATCCATATATGTCTAACTTACAGTCTCAACAGGGGTTTAAGATTCGAACTCTTTACTTGTAAATATTATTATACGTACAAAGATCATACGTACTCGATATATTTGTTAACTTAAATAATATATTTTGGATTTACTAATCAAACATTTGAACACACTTTTGTAAGTAGTTTAAAATCTTAACATTTTAACTTTGAATATTTCTAGGGAAAAACCTATATAACGTGACAACTTAATAGAAAATTTACCATATCCAAAGACATACTCATTTTATTTCAAAATCCCAACACAAAACTAAGAACAGTACACAGAATTCTATGACTAAATATAGTGATTGGAAATACGGAAGCAATTTATTAAAATACGATATTAATAGTAAATCAATATTGTTGAACATTGGATTTTTTTAAAGTTAAATAATATCTCCATCTAAGAATATGGATTCCTTACTAAAGCAGCTAATTGTTCATGGAGTTAACTGGTTGGGACGATCTCCAAAAGCATGCCTCTCTTAAACTCCACGTACGGATGCGCTATTGGCATTTCATCTGACTTTATCTTCCACCTGCCGATATATAAATTTGGGAGTTTACAAAGGCATATCTGTTTAAACCAATAGGTATTGAACATCAATATCTCCAAATATACGATAAAATTACATGTTTATAAACAAATTTATCCATCAGTAAAAGAAAAAATAAAATCATGAAAAAAAATTGAAATCATGAGCGATACTTTAAAAAAACAAACCAAAAGAATAACGAATTCAATTTTTATTTAATTTTTAAAACAAACAAACGAATTATTTCCTTATGAGCTAATGTTATCTTCGAAACTAACCGGTACGTATGGTACGTTTAGCAAACTATAATTAAAAAGATTATGTATACGCAAAAACTAATAGATGAATGTGTCGGATAAGGTAGACTAATTAGTCAACTGAAAAGAGTAATTTAAACAGAGCCAAACCTATAAGAGAGGACTAGATGATGAAGGAAGAAAGCGATTTGGAGTTTTCCAAGTTCACCACCAGGGCATACCCTTACTCCTCCTCCAAACGCCGTCGTTTTCTTGTTCATCTTCCCCTTGTCCTATTTATTTAATTTTATAAAACAAAATTAGTTTCATATTTCTTGTTTTCTTGTTTTCTGCTTACCATTTGAATGTATCTGTTTTAAAAATATTTTACTTACGGTCCATCTCATGGGATTAAATTCATATGGATTCTCATGAAGAGATGGATCAAGATGTACTGCTGTGAATATAGGAAACACCTTCCATCCCTTTGGAATCACATATTCTGATCACGCATATTATAAAAAACAGTCCAGTTTAATATTTAAAATGAGATAGTAAAAAGTTCCAAATATGATGATCAAAATTAACTAACCTTTGAATTTAATATCGTGGGTAGCTTTTCTATGTACCGTCTTGACGATATTTCCACATCGCAGTGCCTCAGACATCACCTGTATAAATTCGATCCAATGGATTTCATATGTAATGTAAATATATGTCAAGAAAAAAAAAACAACGAAGGTCAAAAGTCAAAACTTAAAGATAAAATCTAAAAATAATCATATGATTTTGCCAAAAAAATAGCAAAGTATTGATTGGGTCGATCGGCTTATGAAACATACACATTGAGTGAATTCCATCTTCTGATAGCCTTCCCAATTCAAGAGTTCCCCATCACCTTTGTTGGCTCTAATGGCTTCATGTTCTTCCTGTACACATTCACATATACACGCAGATATATGAATGTACTTATAAATATAATATCTATATATATAAGGAGAAAGGAGAGAATTAAACCTTGAGTTTTTGAAGAAAATTTGGAGAATTTGCTAGAAAATAGACAACTAAGGAAAGTAGAGTGGCACTTGTTTCAAAGCCTCCAAGCAAAATGTCCAGTACAATGCTAACTTTCTCTTCATAATTTAGATCTTCATTTGACATTATCACATCTAGAAAATCTTCTTCTCTTAGTGACTTCTTCATCTCTTCTTCGTCATGCTCTCTTTGTTTTATCATCCCCATAACCCTCGCGGACAGTCTCTTCCTAGCCTGGCAAACAATATCGAAAATGATTTACAACTAAGTATGTAGTATTTACATGCACAAAAATATATAATATACACAGATATGTTGTGTATTTGCATAATTGCATATAAACGTAATGATAAAAGCCTGACCCAAGTGGATATAGCAGACGTGCAAAACCCTAGAATCCAAGTGTTTGCTTTTCTTGTAAATGGCTCAAATTTTACATATAAAGCCCAAAAGAAATTTGAAAACCTTAGTCTCTAAAATAGATGTATTAGGACTTGGTTCTAACCTTAATTGCGTTTGTATAGGCCGTTCCTGGAAGTGGTATTGGTAACGATATAAACCCTTTCATATAAGATAAAAAATCTTTCAATACATAACGTCTTGCTGGGTCTTCTGGTTTGATGCTCAAGAGTTGGTTTACCATAACACTCAGAGTAAACTGTATGATTCAACCACAAGAAAGGTATCGAAATTAGAAAAGAACGATTAAATCAAGTTCTTAAAGGACTCGATGATAAATTAACTACCATTTTAACTTCTTTATGGAATTCGATTTCTCGGCAATTTTTCCATGACTTTAGCATCGAGATAGAGAGGTTTTCTGCGCAGAGAAGAAACTCGGGTTTCGACTTTGTGAGATTGATGAAGCTAATGATTACATTTTTTAGTTTCCTGTGGATCTCTCCGGTGGCTAATAGGAGGGAATATTCGCCGAGAATGTCATGCATCGCTTTTGGATAATCCGATGTAAATAACTTCCCTTCGTTTTGAAGAATGAACATATTGAGTTCTTGGTCACATGAGACAATGGCTTTGCCACCACATAGATTTGACTTGAACACTTTTCCATAACTGAAAAAAACCATTCAAATTTTCAAAAGTATCTTCAATTTAATTAGGTAAAGTATGTTATATATAATCATTCAGTTGTATGCTATATATATAAACTGACAAAAGAAAAACGTTTCTAGTTTTCTCTTCTCTTGAATGATTTTCTCTAGAAAATGTTGAATAATTCTAAGAGATTTACATATATCAACAAGACAACAACAACAATAACAACAACAACGACAAAAAACAAAAAAACAGTCGAAAATTTAACGAGATTGTCATATATGCAAAACTTGAGATATTTTCTCTTAATTAATATAGTTATATATAAAGAAGATGATCAAGTAAAGAAAACAAGTCATTCTTACCGTGAAATACGTTGCTGCAAGAATGTGCCAATGGAGTCTGATCTATGAGGCTTGAAGAAAGAAAGGGTTTCTCCAATGAAAGGCCATCCCATGCTACCATCTAACGAGGAGTGATGATCTGTTGCTTCATTATTTTGCTTAGATTTTGAAATATAAAGAATCAAAGTAGAGAGAAAGACAAATCCTAAGGACAAAATTATGGATAAGACCAGCATTGTCTTTCTAGTTAGACTGATCCTATGGTAATAACTGTGTATATCTCTTACAGTGTCTTTTCTTTGTCTGCATATACCTCTATATATTACGCACGCACAAGCAAAATATAGAAATCTAGTGTAGGTCCACTGAATAAAAATTAAATGATTAATTAATTTTCTTATTAAAGACAAAGATAGTCATTTTTGTTATCATCTTTTTTGCAACTTTTGTTGTTGATTTTGGTGTGTTGACCAAAAAGAAGTACATTGTATTCCAGGAAATCTATAGATTCATATAACCTTCAGAGATTTCTCAGACCACACAATTGGAATCGAGTTAGAGATAAATTGATAAAATATTAAAAATGGAAATAATTTTTTTTTGTAAAGATTTATAAAATGAAAATGTACTATTCTCTCCATAGAATGGTAGCACAGTTGTCAATGTGTCATTACTTAATATATATTTACTACTTAAAATATGTACTTGCATTTAGTAAAAAATCATATATTACTATATAAGATATTAAAATGATTAGTAACCTATATAAACTATTTTCAGTTATATTATATTTCCAACTATTGTAAATTGCAATTTTCCTAATAAACCAAAAACACCTGGACGAAGCCCAATAGTACTACTTCAAAGGCCCAGTTGTTCATCAAGTAACTATCTAATTTAATATATTTAGAAAATTCATTCTCGTTTTCTAGAGGTTTGCTTTCGTTGGATACAGTACTTGTATTTGTAACTTTGTATGAGACTTGGTCATGCATGTGGCTGTGGGTGGCCTTTGTGGACATGTTCCGTCGTCCTTTTTTGCCAAATAAATGTTCAGTCATTTTTCGATTGTAACAAGTTTGTTGTGATAACTGTTTTGGTTTAATTGTTGTGATAACTTATTTTTCCTAAAAACAGTTTGTAATAATTTAATTAATATAGACTTCATGAGAAAAATAAAATCACATAAATTACAAAACAAGTATAACAAATTCTTATTAGCAAACATAATTTAAATTACCAAAATTAAATAAAATGTAATAATTTCAAGCTGTCACACAAGGCGTAAGTGAAGACCCACCACTCCAACATTTGCTTTCCGCTTCTTGTATTTCATGGACCCCCATGAAGCTAACCAACATACCTTTATTCTTTTCATTTTAAAAATAAAATTATATATAAATTATTTTATTTTATTTTATCTTTTGTGTTAAAAATGGCATTAATTTTCATCCACCTGCTCTTCCAATGCTCTTTTGCTCGTTTGGTGTGGGCTGTCTCTCCACGCCTCTCCAAGTGGAAAATAGACAAATTCTCTGTACACTGATATCCATATAGTCCTAAAAATCTGTTACACTCATCCTCAGCAGGCAGGCACCGTAAAGCTAGTGCGTTGGATTGATTGAAAACTATGGAAGAAAGAGTATAAATGACTTTATCTTTAACAATGTGGATTGTGCCGCACATGATCCGGTAAGCAAAGCAATGGAAGATGCAGAGAAATGGCTAATAGACAAGATGCTGAAGTTCAAGAAATGACAACAACTTTTGCAGACCTAGAAGAAAGGAAATGGCAACCTCCACCACAAAAGTAGTTAATTGTGGAATTGGTTGGGTGCTCAGATATGGAGAAAGCAAAGCGTTGTGGATTGGAACCAAAACATTGCTGAAACCAAGACAAAAGCATTACTGATATTATTTTTGGGATTGTTGGGATATTATTTTTGAGTCCGATCCCTAACAATTTTTACAATGATCATAGGTGAGGAAGATGGTAGTAGATTATATCAAAAACATGTTTCCCCATGTCTAAGGTGTCAAGTTGGTGTTCTATTCGAAAAAGAGTAAATGGAATGATTGATAGAATGGCGAAAGGGATAGATTCTTTCATTTATGAACTATGTACCTATAAACTGTGTATGGTGTTAAATTAGATAAATCATGTTGAAGTTGAGAAAAAAAAAAAGAATTATAATATTCATTGTGCCCTTCATGTTCACTCGATGGCTCCAAGATACAATATACCCATGTTTAATCATAACTTATGATTTATCACTCCACCAACGCTAAATTATTAGACTAAAACCCTTTTATCTGCAAAATTAACCTTTTTTTAAATACTTGTCTTCATCTGTTTGACTTTAGAGATATAACTCCATTGACACAAGCTGCACCTTGTCTGTTAATATCTATAATTTTAGTATTTTGTTTCCTCTTTTAATTTCGGAATGCAGAAGAAGATTTTACAGTAGAAGTATAATCCGAATTCCTGTAATTTAAATATCGAGATTTTAAAAATAATAAGCTAAAGTTCCTAACTTTTATAACAAATTCTTTCATTCTCTTCCTTTACCCTTTCAAGTGCCACTTTTTCTTCCTAAATCCTCTCTCTCTCTCATTTCCCGATAACAAAAAGAGCTCCAATCTCAATCTTTCAGCAGCTAAAACAAATGTTATTCGTCTAAGAGACTGTGAAAGAGAGAGAGAGATGGGAGGGGTGACGTCATCAGTTGCGGCGAGGTTTGCTTTCTTCCCGCCGAGTCCGTCGTCTTACAGGCTGGTCTGCGACGAGCTGACCGGACTTCTTCTGATGAACCCATTTCCTCACCGCGAAAACGTCGAAATCTCAAAGCTCCCGACACGTAGAGGAACAGAGATCGTGGCTATGTACGTCAGACATCCGATGGCTACCTCTACGCTGCTTTATTCCCATGGCAACGCCGCCGATCTGGGCCAGATGTATGAGCTCTTCATCGAATTGAGCATCCATCTTAAGGTTAATCTTATGGGGTATGTTAAATTTTCAGTCTTTAACTCTGTTTCCTTTTTTTTTTCCTTTTGCTCTCTCATATTACAGCTCTGATGATGGATTAGCTCTTCTGGTCTGTAATTGTGTTCTGTTTGGTGTCTTGATATGATCAAATTCGTAGACTTTTTTCTATGGCTATTAGGAATTTCTAGTCTGTTTCCATGTTGGTTTTGGTGTTAATGGTGTTTGCTAATTGAAAACGGATGGAGTTGGAGATTTTCTTTCTTTTTTTGGTTAAATATTTAATTTTGGAGATTTTTCTCCTTCCTGGTTTCTTCTGATTCACTGTTTGATTGGTTCTTTTAGGTTATGAGACAATTCAATTCTATGATATTTTTTCTCCGTATATAACTTATTCTGATCAGAACTTTTTGCTGAAAGTTGAAACATATATCTGGTTAAGTTGTTGCGGAATAATTTTTCATGAAAGACTGAATTTTGTTCTTGTATCGAGTCTTTATGCTCAAGATGTTTTTGGGTTTAATCTGTATGACATTTTTCATTGGTTTTTCCCAAATTCTGATATAGTATTGGTAATCTTAACTTGGTTGTACTTCTAATGCTAAACTGTTGTGTGTATTAGCTCTTGTATGTTTCAGATTCTGTTTTTGAAATTTTTAGTTCAGAATGATCTTTATGAACAAGACATCTCTCAACTTCAGATCCTTAATAGCTTGATTTAGTTCCATAAATGTTTGCTTTTCTACATTCTTCTTGCAGGTACGATTACTCCGGGTATGGACAATCTACTGGAAAGGTTTGTCTTTTAGAATCAACAAGGAGAGATATTGATAATGGCTATAGAACTAAATCCAAGAATCTTTTTTTTCGTGCGACTGCAGCCGAGTGAGCACCACACATATGCTGATATCGAAGCTGCTTACAAATGTCTTGAAGAGACGTATGGAGCAAAACAGGAAGACATAATCCTCTATGGCCAATCCGTAGGAAGTGGACCTACATTAGATCTCGCTGCTCGATTGCCTCAGTTAAGAGCTGTTGTTCTCCATAGCCCTATTCTTTCGGGTCTAAGAGTAATGTATCCAGTGAAGAAGACATACTGGTTCGACATCTTCAAGGTAATAAACTCATCATCTGTTGATGGATCATTTTTTTCCGGTTTTCCTGCATCCTTCTATCTGCTTCACAGTTGCAGGTTTATGCATTTTCTCTTGCAGAATATCGACAAAATCCCACTTGTGAATTGCCCTGTTCTCGTCATCCACGTGAGTTACATATCCATTTCTCTCTGTGTATCCGTAATCAAGTGTCTTAAAACTCTCTCTAATTATTCTTCATCTTGTTGCAGGGAACTTGTGATGAAGTTGTTGACTGTTCCCATGGAAAACAATTATGGGAACTATCTAAAGAGAAGTATGAACCGCTTTGGCTCGAAGGCGGTAACCATTGCGATCTAGAACACTACCCTGAATACATCAAACACCTTAAGAAATTCATCACAACGGTAGAGAGATCTGTCTCCTCGAGGGCGAGCACTGGCCAATCACAAAACCAGAGCAGCGATGTGGAAATGCCGAGGCAGAGCGTAGATAGAAGAGAGAAGCCAAGGCAAAGCCTTGATAGAAGGGAGAAAGAGAAACCTCCAAAGGGTACTTCGAAGAAGAGTAAGCTGAGAATCACTTTCGAGCAGCATTTAGATCGGTCGAGGAGGAGCGTTGACTTCCACGACAAGGCAAGGAAGAGCGTTGATCATCATCATCAGACTCATCATCAGATTGAGAGAGGAAGAAAGAGTGTTGATAGATTGGATAGAGTACGGTCCGAGTAAACCGGAGAATTCTACAGTACGTACATAAATTGTTGTTACAGAACACACATTTGATCTTGGTTGCGATTCTAATGTTTATGTTTTTCTTTCTTTGTTTTGTTTGTGAGTTATATTCTGTAGTTTATTGGGGTGTAATATTTCCGGAACGTTGAAGCTTCAATCTTATGAAAACAATTGAGAGAAACTAAATTAGGGCTTTGTATTACCCGCATATATTTATTTACATATAAGCAATATAGATTTGCAAACTGACAACAACAAAAAAATCGAACTAAACAAAAAACAAAAGGTTCGAATTACAATTCTCGCTTGAATGATTCTTCTTCTCTCTACAATTTGAAGTTTTAAACTGGCCACTGAAAATTCATTAAATGAAAGTTACCGGGACTAGTAAAAGCTTCGTTAAAGAAACAAGAAGAATCGAACATCTACGGAAAAACAGCAAAAAACAAATATCAAAAAAAAGGTAGCGAACAATACAGACAAAAAGATTGAATTAAAGAGATGTTGTCTGTTTCTTAACTCTGTCAGACCATAAACCAATGTCTTCGAAACCCTAAAGCCCCATAAAACTTCACCATGCGGGACTTTCTATGTTTTGGTAATGACTAGTGTGTATATGTAATGTGTATACTACTCAGTACTAACTATATCATCTATACTAAATCATCTGTGCAGGCAAATATTGGGGTCTTAATTTGGGCCTAGTTCAACTCTTTAAGACTAAAGCCCAAATTGTTTTTGTTTTGGTAAATCCCAAAATGTATTTTGAGCCTCTTATTCTAATTTCTGAATACAATTAACCAATGTTCAAAAAATTCCTAGGCGGTGGCTAGGCGGGTGATAGGAGACTAGCGCCTAGGCGGATTAGTCGGAGACTAGGCGGAGCCTAGGCGTTAGCAAAATTTTTGTTAATTTTTATAAATTTTCTCTATATATCATATTTTTAAAAAAGCTTTAATTGTTTTCTTAAAAATTATTTTATCAAAATTTATGTTTGAATAAAAAAGTAAGAAAATTTAATAAATAAAATTATATAATAAAGTTCAACAAAGAAATCAAACTAAAAATCATCAAATTCTTCAAACTAAAATAAGTTTTAATCTAAAAACTTTAAAAATATAAAGCAAAGAGAAATATATCTAACTTATTCTTCAAACACATCCATATATATCCACCATCTGCTTATTTTCAGACTCAAATTCAAAATCAATAGCTATATCATTTTCATCGTCGGAATCAATATCTCCTCTAGGCTCATCGTTAAAATTGAAAGTTAAAACTTAAAACAAAGCACAAACAAAGTAAACAAAGATGAAAAGATAAATTAAGAGAATACAATATAGTTATATAATATGTACAGATAGATAAAGAGAAGATTAAACAAACTTGTAGAGTTCAGCAATAGAGAATAATGATCGCCTCTTGTAGTTTATGAAAGTGAAGTAGCGGGGAGGAATGAGGATGATTATATTAAGTTATTAACCCTAATCCATGTTTCAAATCTTGTTTTTTTCTCTCTTTTCTGTAAACCGATATTGGTTTACTATCCAAAACCGTAAAATTTGACTGAAAAAAGGATAAAGTTAATTAGTATGATTTGGCCGATTTTACTGATTTGGTCTGATTTTTCCGTTTTTCTCCGACTTGATCTGATTTTTTGCTAAACCGAATTTGCTTCACTGATTTTATGAAAATCGGGTCGGCTAACCCTGACTTGCCGCCTAGACGGCCGCCTAATCGCCGACTAGGCCGAGTTTTTGAACACTGCAATTAACCAATTGTCCTATTTGTTGAATCACTGACAAAAACTATTATTTCAAATTCTAAAAATAGTTTCTGTCAATGATTTAACAAATAGAAAATTGGTTGATTGTTTTCATATAATCCATTTTTGGGGTCTAATTTTGTCCTATTATTTTAAAATACTTCCTAAAAATAGATTTCAAGATTCATTTCTTCTCTCATATCCATCTATTTTCCTAGTTTTTCTCATCTGCATAAACATATAAATTCAGTTCTCCTTGTCTTATTCTCACATCCTAAAGCTTTTGCAGTATTTCTCCATAGAGTAAGAAAAAACAAAAAAAATAAAATAAATAATACTGCTTTAGCTTTTGGAATATCTTCCTTTTAATCTCAATAAAAAAAAAAAAAAATGGCACGCCAATTTGTCGTATTTGCCTTATTGGCTTTAACCATCGCCACCGCATTCGCCGCCGACGCTCCCTCAGCCTCCCCCAAGAAATCTCCATCACCCACCGCCGCACCAACCAAGGCTCCCGCCGCCCCGTCCAAGGCTCCGGCCGCCGCACCAAAGACCTCTTCCGTCGCCGCACCTAAATCATCAGCCTCTTCTCCCAAAACATCTTCCCCTGCTGCCGGAGGACCCGCCGCCGAAGACGATTACTCCGCCGGCAGTCCAAGTGACGACTCTGAGGCACCCACTGTCTCCTCCCCGCCGGCTCCCACACCCGACAGCACCTCCGTTTCTGACGGACCAAGCGATGGACCCACTGCAGAATCACCAAAGAGTGGTGCCGTGACCACCGCCAAGCTCTCCGTTGCCGGTACAGTCGCCGCCGTCAGCCTATTCTTCTTTTCTTTCTAAGTTGAATCAGTCCACGTTTTTGCTTGGAAGGATCAGAGATTTGTATAATCTTTTGAGATGAGGCAGTACATTTATTTTTATATATATACATCTATTAATCGAGATTAATTGGAGTTAATATACCTAAAAGTCATTATGAAATTTTGTTAGAAGCAATTTTTTCATATTTTGTTTAATAATATATATTTAAATTTTGTGGAAAGGCATATGATTTTTGTGGTCTAATGATCTTTCGTCGCTTGATTATATATATATACACTGATAACAAAAAGTGTTAAAAAGACAACTAGTCAATGAAGGTAGGACCTACATTATTGCTCTTTTTCCACGGATATTTCTCTCTGATTGGTTCCCTTTCTCATGCTTTATTGTTTCCTCTTCAGCTTTTTTTAAATGGCTCATTTGTAACTCCAAAATTTGTCTACGTTTTTGACACACACACACACCCAACAAAAAAAGTACTCCAGGTTTTACTTTTACCTGTAGTTCTAGTCAAATATAGTAATTATTAGCCATAACTTTCGGAGGTAATAACCCAAAATAACGAAAAAGAGAAAATTGTCTTCTAAAAATAGCATCTTTTAGAAAGTCTTTAAATTTCAGGAAATCTAAACAACATGGTACTTTGAGAATATCCTATTTTCATAAGCTAATCTTTATTCGATAATATTTTCCTCCTTTTTAAGTGATTTTTTTTTTTACACACGATTACTAATACTACATACAGTTTTTGTTTTTCTTCCTAGATGAAAAGCATATATGATAGTTAATGATCGCTGTGGAGTAGAACTTATATGCAACATCCTTAATATATATATTCCACATTTTAATTCTATTTTATAAAGGAGGAATCAATCAAAATGAAATCCATGAAATTTATGAAAATATATTGAGGTTGATCAAATATATAACTTCATTGCCAATAAATTTGTATAAATGAACTTCTGTTTCTGTAACCGTGCATAATTGCAGCCTAAAGAAAATGTTTAAGATCATTAACAAAAAAAGACAAAAAAATGAATAGAACTTTTTTATTATTTCACGTGAATGTTATCATAAAAGAAAATCTATGTATACGAAAGGTGTCATCAAATAAGACTGTAATTGTTCAGGATGGTACTGTACCATATAGCACTTCATTTGTCACTGCTGTCGGTGTTAGCAAATTTACGATAATACGCCTTACGAGACTATTGAATGTATATGTCATTTCTTTTATTTTAATATGAATGATGTGGGTTCTTATGTTTGCCTTGTCAATTTATGAACTAGATTCGGGTTTTGACAACAAAAAAAAAATATTTCAGTTATCACGATTTCCTTGCGTTTGATGACACCGTGGAATTAAAAAAAATGCAAAATGCTATCCTCTCACGGAGGAAAGTGGAAAGAAATTACTTTTTCTATATTTCCTACCAATATGGGCTCGAAAAATCTCATGTTTTCTTGATTAAAAGAATAATCCCATCCTAATTTGCTGCCTTAAGAAGAACTCATGTTAATAACTTTTTTTTTTATCTTTGTCAACCTCATGTTTAATTTTAGTCAGTATATAATATGTAAATGTGAACTCTGCAAATGTTGGTGCCCAAACAAGATGCTTGAAGGCCCTTTAACAAAAAAAAAAATGCTCATACAAGAAAACATCCCAAACCTTTTAATTAATAGAAACGTGAACTATATAGTAAATGCCGGTATCTAAAAAGTCAAAAACAAAGCGCTTTATGAAAAGTTTGTAATAAAAATGGAGTTACCCATAATTAATCAAAAGTTTAAGACACAATGTAATCTATCCAACCTTACACAATGTAATCTATCCAACCTTACTCCCTGCACATCCAAACAGAATCCAAGATTACAATAGTTTTGTCCACTGACTGATCGACACGCGTCAAAAGGTACCATCACTGTCAGCTTTCCTTTTCCCTCCACCTACATACTTCTCTCTTCTTGAGAGAGAGAGAGAGAATTGGAAAACAGAGAATAGTTATTAGAGTGAGAGACACAGTGAGAGAGAGAGGGATCGGATCATCGGAGATGTGTAGCAAAACCAGTCCGGTCGGAGAAGAAAAACAGAGTACGACGAGAACATCGAAGAGGATCAAGAAGAGGAAAGACAGAGAATCAACCACCATGGACAAATCTCCTTCGAATCTTGAAAAGTCTCGTAAGGTCAGAACAAAGACGAAGAAACCCAAATTTCTCAGTCTCAAGCTCGAACTCAACACATCTCACGAGATCAGCGAGGATCCCGCAACCACGAAGAGCAAGAAGAAGAAGAAGAAGAAGAAGAAGAAAAATCTATCGAAACAGAGCAAGACGAAAGGAGCTGATAGTGATACGACGCCGTATAAGGAGAAGAAGAGAGCGGAGACTCTGGTCGGAGAGAAAGAAGAAGAGCAATACGACACCGTTGCAGCTTACCTCTTCAATTCCGCCACCGACAGCACAATTTCTTCGATCCACGATCTCCTCCCTTCCTCCGCCACCGATGTCGATTGCGGCGGAGGAAGGAATCTGTCTGCGTACGATCGTCAGGAGCACGGTTCTTCGTCTTCTTCGCTTCTACGGACTGCGATGAGGAAAGGAGCGAGCGAGGAGGAGGAGACGACGGAGGAGCGGTGGGTGAGTTACTCGGAGGTTGTGGAGGAGGTTATGAGTCGGAGCGGAACTCCACGTTGTTGCGGTGGCGACGGAAACGATGGACGGCCTTCTCTGGCTTTGAAGCTTGATTATGAGCAGATCATGGAGGCTTGGTCGGATAAAGGTACGCTTTATGTCGACGGAGAACCGCCACAGACGGTGCCGGACTTGCATGCTTCTGCTGATGTAAGTAAAAGTCTCTTCATTTTTTTGTCATTTTATATAATCAAAATATGAAAAAAAAAAGGTGAAATTTTTTAATGAGATCAGGGTTTCTTTTTGAAACCTGAGTGTAATGATGATACCCTAATTAAATTAAGACTTTTGACTATAATATTAAAGCTTTGACTAGAGATCGAAAATGTAACGGCAGAATGTATTTTCTTTTTTAATTTGACTGTAAAATGTCTAATGTATGTTAATTTTCTACTTACCTGTTTGATTGATGAAAACATTTGTGAAATAAATGAAACCGAGGTGATCATTTCATAACTGTTGGCAAAAGTACCAAGAAATTATTTTACATTTTGTTATTGATTAAGCCGGTTAACAAGATTTGATACTAGGCAAGTGTGTTTTGATGGTGGTTCAGGCGTTTACCGGCGGCGGAGAGGCGGGGAGTCTATGGGCGGTGCCGGAGATGGAGACGACAGAGAGGTTATGGAGAGGGCATAGAGAAGCGAGCTTGCTCCGGTATAAAGAGAAACGGCAAAACCGCCTTTTCTCTAAGCGGATTCGATACCAAGTTCGTAAACTCAACGCTGAGAAACGCCCTCGTATTAAAGTAAGCTTCCTTCTTCTCTTTTCAACATTTCACATGCGACATTTACTGCATCTAAAATGGATTATAACACGTACATTACATGTAATTTGATTGAACTCACCGAGAACTATAATTGGCTGATTCTAAGTAATCATTGGTTCTTGTTAATCTCTTTTCAGGGCCGCTTTGTGAAGAGAGACGATTCGTAAACCACTAAAACCTGGTGGTTTGTGGACAGAATAGTCTTCGGAAAATAACCAAGTGGCGGATGTTTGGTATATTATATTTTGTAACTTTTTGAGAAGGTAAGGCCTAACCGGAGTATACCGAGATATGAAAGTGGGGTTGGTCTGTATAGGGGTCTTGACCAGCTCGGTTATGCCAAAGTTTCGGTTTTGTTTGCCCATTTTAGTTCTAGTTGACTAATTTGTACGAAATCATCTGAACAATAATAATAATAAAAGTGGATATCAACGATGAGTTATTTGATTGCATCATACTTCTTGTTTTTTACTTGTATTAGCGTGTAACTAACTCTCCTGAAAACTTTGACAGATATGTATATTACAACATGTAAACATATTACAACTTCGAAATAGAATGACTGCGTGGGATCTATAGAGTTAATAATGACAATTATGCATAGTTATTACTCTTGTCTGATTTTATGTTTCACCAAGAAGAAGTTAACAAACAACTAATTTGACAAATTGGTTTAGCTGTTTATACTATTATAGTGGGACAAGAAGTGGAAATGTTGTTAAGATCAAGAAGTTTTTTCTCTTTGAAGGCAGGATCTTCTAACAACAACACTTTGTCTTTATCTCCAACACCAACCATGTGTAGATATTCATCATCCTCTCTTTCTTTCCCTTTGAATAATAGCCTTTGTTGTTTCGGCTCTAAACCGGTAACCAATGACAATACCATCTTAAGTTCTCCTGTAAACCCATAAATAGGATTTTATATTACAAATCCGAGGTACGTAATATCAACAGATATGTATTACTCATTAAAACAAATTTTACATTGTATTTCTGATTTCACCCTTATTTATATGATTCTCTAGTTTCATAAATACTAAAATATATTTCATATTTTTGAATGACTTTGTGATTTTTAAAATGACAGTTTCCATAAACTCGCATATAATCTTTCACATTCTTTCACATCAGCTAAAAGTTCACAATTGAAATGAATATAGTTCAGTTGTTGAGTAAGTCTCCACAAATACGAAACATGATTAATAAGTGATTTAGGATGCGAGATATTTACCAAAAGTGGAGGTGGCTTCAACGGAGAGATCATGAAAATGAGCAAAAGTAGAGACTCTAATGGAGATCAAGTCTTCACCAACGCTCTCTTGTCTCTTTTGAACAAGCATACCTCCTGGCCTAAGTTCCCATTTGATCTCATAGTTGCTGCAGCAACTATTGTTGTTGTTATTACCAAATCCCTTTTGTTGTTGATCTTGTTGTGTGCCTTTGTTGTTGATTCTTTTACCAAATCCAAATCTAATCCCAAACCTCTTGGACTTGAACTTCATCATTTTTACTTTGATTTCTCTACGAAGATTTTTCTGTTGTCTCTCAAGCTTTGGGATACATATAGAACATGGAAACACTTGGATGGTTTATATAAGAGACAAGAGGTTGGATAATGACAAAATCACATACATACTTGCATGTGCAAGTTGCTTTTTGCAATTTACAAAGTCCGCCTCCTTTTATTTGTTTATGTTATGTAAATTATTTATGTGGAGTTTATTGATATAGAATAAGAAATTAGCCAATAGCCATGAATATGTGCCGACAAAGGATAACAAGATTTAAATAGGATTGATCGAGACTATTAAGAGAAGAGTTTTCAGCACATGGGCGATGGTTCGACTACTGATAAACAATGTTTCCTTGATTGAAGGACCGAACACGAAAAAAATGTAAATAAAAAACAATCTTAGTTATTTGTTAGTTAAATAAAAGTTATTATGGGTAGGCTTTGTTTTGTCTAGGAATTTCGGCGGGCCGACCTTGTTGTATTATAAAGTTTATCTTAGTTTGACAAATTTAATTCATACTTGTTTAGTTGTTCACTTAACGTGTAGAAAATATACGAGGCCTTTAAGGTTGTGTAACAGGCGGGACGAATTTCACTTGTAAATTAGACCGTTTTGTTTCTAAATCACATAGCATTGCGTTGCACATCAATTTTTTTTATATGTAAACACAGTTCAATATCACATCGTGTCTTGTTGAATTTTCTCAAATAATTCACAAAGAGAGAACTATGATTACCGAAGAAAAACTTACAACACAAATTGCCACCATATTTGTGTTATGTAATTCTTTAGAGCCAAATTGCCAGTAAAAAATTAGCATATGATATATTACAATCTTTAGATTGTTAAATAAAATCTCCCCTTCAAACAACGACAAATTAATAAATTATAAACGATCGCTTATTAATTAGCTTATCAATGTGTGTGTTTGTATATCATAAATCTAAATAAATATTCGACAAGGATCAAACAACTCAGCTTATAATTACGTAAGATTTGCCAAATCTGATTGTGTAAAAGTTAGTAGGGGAATATCAGTCTGTCTACTGCAAGGCCAAATGTTAATAAGTTTACAACATTCTTATTAATTTTAACAAAACGCCAGGACTTTAGTTCACTTAAAATCTAATTTATCGTAAACTGAGATCCACGACCGATTTGCATCCAGTTATTATTTGCATGAATGTAGAATCAAAATCTTTAAAACTCTAATGATTAAGTATATATGTATGTAATTATTAACGGACAAGATGATATGACATCGCAACATGTTATAGTAGCTAGAAGACGGTATTTGAGATATGGTGAATCCACATTAATATTTCTTCTTTAACAAATTGATCAACCAAACATGGTTGCCCATCATAATTATACATATATACCTACAAAAGATATTTTATCTATGCACACAATAATGTGTTTGTGGAACATAGCATACATGTACTATATGTCTATGTGCATGGGCCAGACATGTTTATGGGATTTTTACAAAGGAACATATATCCTTTGTACCCAACCTAAAGTATGGTCTTCAATGCATTTCTGTCACATGGAATTTCTATCTATTTCCACTTGAATGAAAAGAAATGCCGTAAAAAAGGAACATAGAAATGTTTGTATAATATTGTTCTTACTGAAATAAAATTAGAATTATCACTTTCAAAAATCGACTCATCAATAAGACAATAACTCATCATAAATACTTTGAACTATGTATAATTTAGTTTAAATTTTAGAATTTTTAATGAAAAAATCATTTAAGTAAATAAATTATGAAAATTAGTTTTTATGATAATTTTTGTCTGTATCTTTTATAAAATAAAAATTTATATAAGACTATAGTAAAGATGTGCAAAAAAAGTTTAAATTGGGCCTTAAAAAGCGTATTGGAAGATATTGGGCTTAATAGTTGGGCGATTTCTTAGATGATATAACAAATGGGTGAAACGACACCGTTTACATGGTTTTCTCTTGTAGCAATTGAAGCTTACCCGCTCATAGGAAATTGGATGGCCACAAGCGCACCACACCATCACTTAACCAGAAATAAGCTAAACCATTTCTGGTGTGGCTGTGTCCGAGTTTTCGAATTCGAGATTCTGCTTGAGAATCAGTGGCATGAATATATTGAGCGGTTGGATCATCATAGTTCATATTTGATATTCACATATAGTTTCTCGTGAAACACGCAAAGGTTGAAGCAAGCTTAAAGGGTTATCGTTTTACTGATTTGTATATAGCGTACTGCCGGTGTAAGCATCTGCGTTCGGGGTTTTGTTGTGTTTAGTGATGAATTGTCATGAAAGGTTGCGAACTTGAGGCGTTTGAGTTTGTGGGTTATTGTTTTCCCCGGTGAAACATGCGAAATTTGATGATTTGGTTTCTCTTTGATTGTTCTCGCTGGTGAAATTTCGTTGGAAAAGATGCAAGCTTTAAGCATTTGGCCATTAAAGTTTGGTCTTTTAGTTGGATCAAGATTGGAATTTGAGTTGGATTGTTCATGTTATGTAGTTAGCCCTAAGACTAGAAAGAGGCAATATTTTGTTGAACAGGCTTGCTTTGGTAGTATATCAAGCTTTCTCTTGGTTTCGAGTAATAGGAAATTTGAAGGTTTGGCCATAAATCCTAGCACAAAGGTTCTTTTTCTCTGTGAGCCAAAGAAAAGTTTGTCAGGATCATCGGTTGGGGTAGGATGGGCCACGGAGCAACGTGAACTCGGGGAGGAAGTCTCCAGAGAAGATTCAAGTTCAGTTACTGCATCGGACTCTGATCATTCTAAATCACAGGCTGTAACTGGAGGAGAAAAAACCAATGCAAGAGTTGATGTCAGAGAATTGGCGTATAGTTTACGAGCTGCTAAGACAGCGGATGATGTGGATGTTGTTCTCAAGGAAAAGGGAGAATTGCCTCTTCAAGTCTATTGTGCTATGATAAGGGGTTTTGGCAAGGACAAGAGACTGAAGCCTGCAATGGCAGTAGTAGATTGGCTTAAGAGGAAGAAGATTGAGTCAGGCGGTTTGATCGGTCCAAACCTTTTCATATATAACAGCCTTTTGGGTGCGATGAAAGAGTCGAGAGGTTTTGGAGAAACAGAGAAGATACTGAGTGATATGGAGGAAGAAGGGATTGTTCCAAACATCGTCACTTACAATACTTTGATGGTTATTTACATGGAGGAAGGAGAGTTTCACAAGGCCCTTGGGATTCTTGATTTAGTCAAGGAAAAAGGTTTTGAGCCTTCCCCGGTAACATACTCAACGGCTTTGTTGGTCTACAGAAGATTAGAAGACGGCATGGGAGCTCTCGAGTTCTTTGCTGAGCTCAGAGAGAAGTACTCAAAGAGGGAAATAGGGAACGATGCTGATTACGATTGGGAGTTTGAGTTTGTTAAGCTCGAAAACTTCATTGGTAGAATATGCTACCAAGTGATGAGGCGGTGGCTTGTGAAAGATGAAAACTTGACCACCAAAATGTTGAAGCTTTTGAATGCAATGGATAATGCGGGGCTTAAACCCAGTAGGGAAGAGCACGAGAGGCTTATATGGGCGTGTACGCGTGAAGAACATTACGTTGTTGGTAAAGAATTGTATAAAAGAATCAGAGAGAGGTTTCCTGAGATAAGTCTATCTGTCTGCAACCATTTGATTTGGCTGATGGGTAAGGCTAAGAAATGGTGGGCGGCGTTGGAGATCTACGAGGATCTTCTTGACCAAGGACCTGAACCGAACAATTTGTCTTACGAGCTAGTGGTTTCTCATTTCAATATCTTGCTGAGTGCAGCTAGCAGGAGAGGGATATGGAGATGGGGAGTTAGGTTGCTTAACAAAATGGAAGATAAAGGATTGAAACCGCAGAGCAGACATTGGAATGCGGTTCTTGTAGCGTGCTCAAAAGCCTCTGAGACCGCTGCTGCAATCCAAATCTTTAAAGCAATGGTTGAAAACGGCGAAAAGCCAACGGTAATCTCATACGGTGCGTTGCTCAGTGCGCTTGAGAAAGGGAAGTTATATGATGAGGCGTTTCGGGTTTGGAACCATATGATTAAGGTAGGGATTGAGCCGAATGTTCACGCGTACACGATCATGGCTTCGGTTTTGACAGGGCAGCAAAAATTCAATCTTTTGGATACCCTTCTCAAGGAAATGAGTTCAAAGGGTATTGAGCCGAGCGTTGTGACTTACAACGCGATTATAAGCGGTTGCGCGAGAAACGAGCTAAGCGGTGTGGCCTACGAGTGGTTTCACCGTATGAGAGGTGAGAACGTTGAGCCTAATGAGATAACTTACGAGATGCTGATCGAGGCTCTTGCGAACGATGCGAAGCCAAGGCTTGCTTATGAGTTGCATTTGAAGGCTCAAAACGAAGGACTTAAGCTCTCGTCTAAGCCGTACGATGCGGTTGTTAAATCTGCTGAGAGTTATGGAGCCACCATTGATCTTAATCTTTTGGGTCCTCGTCCAGTGACGCCCAAGAAAGAGAAGAGGGCTTAGTGTATTATTTATGTTTTTGATGTAACGAACATTGTACAAGAGTGTTTACGTAAGTAACTGAATTGGTTGCCGATATTGAACAAGACTTAAACCCAAGAGCGCAGAGCAAGCAGTTGGATCTTGCTTGAAACAATGAAACATAACATGAAGTGATTTTGATTTTAGTGAGATGAGGAGTATAAAATCAACCGAGTTATCCAATAATTCACTCCGTCCATTATCATTGTTTCATCGAATTTTTAGGTTTTGCAAGTAAATTAGAGATTTAGTACACGTCCTCTCTAGTCGTATACTGTATACACATGCCAACGTGGCAACGACACCAGTCCAAGCAAGACTGAGTTAAGTCATAAACCAAAAAATACGTTATACAAATAGCTTCTTGAAATTTACAGCTTTTATTACTATGATACGAATTTATTTATTCGTTTAGACACGGAGGTTAATTTAATCTATCGCACTGACAATTTTTGTAAAAGAAAACTAACAATATAATTATATAATTAGTTCGATGATTGCAAAAATCCAAACACTTGACGGAAGCAACATCGTCGTCATTGTCTTTTACACCAACAACTACGATCACCATGATCTACAAATGTACATAAATATGTTATTTTGGTCCGATCAAATCAATTCTTAAGAGAAATATTTTAGTTATCGATATTTTAGTAGAAGTGGTTACTTAATGGTTTTTTTTATATATAAAAAACATCAAATGCATGCTTTCGAATGAAGTAGGTACAGTCAATATTTTATTCTTCTAAAAGTAGGTAGGTACAATTTATTTTGGAGCTCATTGTTAATTTAGAAACGGCTCAGTTTTCATACAAAAAAAAAAATATTTGATAAAAGGTTTTGTCAATTCAACAGGTTCTGTTTATTATATGTTTCCTTTAATATTGTTTAAAGAATGTTTCTTTTAATAGATGAAAGGCCGCACTGACCTAATTCACCTAACTATAAAGAACACATTGAAAACATATAAGTTTATATCGAGCATATAATATAAATTATAAATACAAAATTTATTGTGTCGCACATATGAGGGATATATGATTGGTTTTGCTATATATGTTTCCCGTTTTTATTACGTGTTACAAGAACTTCAAATGTAACAATGAAAATTTACTTAAACAACAATGATGATGGTGATCCTAGGAACAAAAATAATATAGGTTTATTAAAAAAATTGAGTAAAATATAGTCACTAATTACTATAGCTATTTGGGGGTAAATTAGTCATTATATATATGCATACAAATTGTACGAGCAAATTATAATACATCCGTGCACGCCATGCATAATCCACATCGATATTACATACATGAAATTAAGTTACTAATTACTTACGATAATTATATACTTGTTGATATATTACAATGTTGTATCACATTTTGTCATAAAAGGAAAGGAGTATCATCGAGATTGGCAAAGAGGTCCCATGGTAACAAAGGATCCGTCATATCCAAATCCCATTGCTCTAAAGAGATGGAATCTTCAGCAAGATATGATGAAGATTCACTTCCTGAAATATTACTATACAAAGATGAGAAAGAAGAAGACGAGATAGATATCTCGTTGCCTTGCATTTCAAATAGAGATCCGATGTCTACTTCTTCTGCACATAGAGTTTTGCAGTTTTTCGCCATAAGTTCTGCGTCATTATCGGACATTATTAATGTTTTCGTTGTGTCTGTTATAACACCATCTTTTGGAATTTGATCCTTAGTTTTCTCTCCTTCCTTGATGGTAGGTTTGATTTTCTGGTTTGGATCGGTTTGGTCCATAATATTATTCATCGGTTCATGCGTAGCCGGATCTAAACCAAGATGTTTCATCTTCTTCTTGATCTTCGTATTCCAGTGGTTTTTTATTTCGTTATCAGTTCGACCAGAGAAATGAGAGGCAATTTTAGACCACCTACGACGTCAAAGCATTCATAACACATGTCAGAAGCGAAAATATCAATAGCACTTTATACTACAAGTCTCATGAACTATAAACAAACCAAAAACGTTTACCGCATGAAGGATATGTGTATATAAATCTATACTACATGTATAAATCACATTACATATTTTTCCACAACCTATTCTTCACTCAAAAGTAACCCACTGCCATGCACAGATACGTATACTTCAAACTTAATTTTTGCTTTATAAAACATTTTTTCATAATTTTTAGAAAGAAATAAATGAACTCATGAAAAAATTTGAATGAAACATCTCGGACCTAAATCCATGCCACGTACGGTTACATTTGGAGATTTCATAATATAAAAAAAAACTAGTTTGAATACCGACTAAAAAAAATTATATGATAAAAATTAAATGAATTATCGTACCGATTTCCAAGTTGAGAGTGAAGTTCCATAATCCGATCTTCTTCAGCATCAGTAAAACCACCTCTCTTGAGATCGGGTCTCAAATAGTTTATCCATCTCAATCTACAGCTCTTCCCACATCTCAACAAACCTTCAAAAAGATCAGAAAAGCAAGAGATTAAAACCCTAATTAATTATGCATGCAGGTATAAATATAAATTTTTATATAAACAAAATAAGCACCTGCGAGTTTGGGGACAATTCTCCAGCAGTGGATGCCATTGTTAAGAATGAAGTTCATGAGTCTATGATCTTCTTCTATAGTCCATGGACCTCTCTTCAATCCAATTTTGTCACAACAAGGTTTTCTCCCCATTGATTTTTTTTTTAAAAAAGGAAACTCTACATATAGCTATAATAATGCTAATGTAAAGCAAAGCGAGAGAGGTTGATGAGTTAGCCAGAAATATAACGAAGAGAGCTTTGTATCAAGTAATGGGCATCACTTATAAATAATAAGAGGTGAGTTGGGAAGGGCAAAGATTCTCTCTTTTGACAGGTCACTTACAGGCTAAAAGACAAATAAATCCAAATTTAAAAAGCTAAACACTAATAAGTGAAGCAGTAAATAATGATTGCGGAGACGCTTAAACAAAGATTTAGTGAGAAGTGTGTGAGGTTGTTTTACAATAATATGAACTTGTCGACAAACTTCTTTTAGCTTATGATTCATTAGTTATCAAAGTTTGCACTAAAGCAATACTTAAACTAATTAAATGCGTATAAATAAACTACTTGCAATCAACTATTAGCCATTACACAGTGATCTTGTTTCTATAAGGAGAGACTAACTAATTATTATTCATACGTGTGGTGGCGGCAGAAGAATAATCCTCGTTCATTAATTACTTCACTAGCCATTAATTCTTCATTGTAAACAGTTTAAATAACAATAAATTCCAATTTTTACCGACCCAAAAGTTTAATTGGGATTTCGATTTGAGATTTCCTGAGTTTTTTTTTTAAAAAGAACTACAACATTATTAATCAAGTTTCCACAATATATTACAAGTTATTTGTTTGCTTTATTTCTTATGTTGAGTTTATGATTATTAATATGCTTTATTTCTTATGTTGAGTTTATGATTATTAATAGTATATGCTTACTTTAATTGATAACTAAAGGAATTTCATTAGTTGAATAATAATGTTTTGTTAAAAGTGTGGTTAAAAGAAAACGATTGGAGATTTGTTTGGATTCATTGGTCTCCTCCTTCAAACTTCAGCCTTGTGCCTATTCGGTCATCAAAGCATCTTTTATTTTTCCATTATTCTGTTTGTAAATATATTTGTAGTTGCTATGAATACTTTTTACGTCATCATATGTTAGTTTGCACTTTGCACTTCATGATTAGGCAACTTGCTTAGTAAAGAAAGTCGATTTTATATTTCGTGAGCTATAATATGTACACTATGTAACAAAATGATTTAGCATAATATTTTCATAAATGACCAGTTTGATGCCAACAAACTACAATTGGCATTAAAATACTCCAAAACCAAAACGGAGGGGATACTCGCGTTCATGCATGAAGGAATATTCTCCAAGTACGTGAAGGTATATGCATATGTCAAATATGGATCAATTAGAAATCTATCTTATTATAGATCAATGCTGAAATTTATTAGGCTATGTGTCATAGTCTATTATAATCTTTAATTATCAACCTAACTCGATATATGTTTTATAAAAGAAAAAACCATTTTGTACATCTAAATTGTGTTAGTTAGTTTTGTATATATTGAATATATTTAATTCGTCGTGAAAAACAATGATGAATCTCATCATGCCATCCAAGAGCTGAATGCAAAAATGGATAAGATATTGAGCTCTAGCGGACTAAGAATCAAAATTAAGAAAAGGAAGTTTGTTTTAAAAAAGAGAGTATTTGATTCGTCATGCCTCATAATGTGATGTGAAACATTCAACTTTCATTAAGCTACTATATAGAAAACTATTCGAACGAGTTATATATTAGACGTCAAATATTTATATATATATATAGGACCGCGAAAATCCGATTGAAATCACGAATAAAAAATAGCAATATTATAAACGATATGTTAAGGTAAGAGATTAAAACGAGAGTTAGAAAACCGATTGAAAATAGACGAAAACACGGAGTCGAGATATAATCTCTTTCCTTAACTCAATAAATCGTCTGTAATGTGTGACGGTTTGTTGCGATTTTTGAATCACAGGATACAACCGTGATGAGATTATTACGCAACACCCGTAATAGAATCTGCGAACTGAAATTATACTACGTTATAGCTCTCGAGACACTTACGATATTAAGACGAGAGGGATTTGCTGGAAAGAATTATTTGCTGTGTGTTTAGAGTATTCGAGAATTCGATTATAATTCGATGATTTAGAATGAGAGAAGAGGGCGTCTATTTATACTGGAAGGTTCAGCTTGATCCGCAAGGAATAAGCTTTGGCGAAAAGGAATATTCACGGAATATTCACCTTTTTCTGCAAGTAAAAGGATTCAGAAATCTTCTGTTATTATCTGAACGCAATCTTTTATTTCTTAAGATTTATCCTTTCAATATGCAAAAATATTTCGTAAGAACTAAGAAGCCTATGATCCACACCCAGCTATATAGAGCCCAAGAGCCCAATAGCTCAAGAGCCCAAGAGCCCTAAGAGCCAACTAAAAAATGAGCACGAGCACGAGCCCGAGCCCAGCACCAACACCGGCACCGGCGACGACGGCAGCGCGTGTAGGTGTTTTTGCATAATGCCGTTTTACTTCCACAATGCTGCTGACCCTTATTTGTGAGATTTTTCTCTTTTGTGAACAATGTAGGACAAATACACTTCCACTAAACTTTCACTTTTAGTTATAGCCAATAGGAACATTTCATTTCTATAGGCTCAAATCCAAATCTCAAATAAATTTATAAGGTCTATTTGCTTATTAAACTTCATTTCTTATTTACACACAAACTCAATCTTACAAGTCTAAATGCTTATTAATATTAGATTTCAACAATATATAAAACAAAAAAGTTATAGATTTTATTTATTATTATTGACGTATATATATAAGAGATCGATGTTTTCATTTCGTAAATTGTACATTACTGTTTGTAGTATACAAGCTTTTTTGTCGAGTATTATACGACCTTATTCAGCAAAATAACTATATTTCAATTCTTTATCATTGCGTGGCGCATCATAGTCTTGACGAAAATAAGATTGTAGCTAACCAAATATTCGATTTTGTTTTGGTTCACTGAACTGAAGTAAGTTTTAGACTAGTACAATAAAGTATAGAATATGTGGGGACCTTGACGGAAGAATAGTTACACGAGGGACCGTTGGCCAAAGGAGTATACACGGGAGCCTATGTAAGAAAATTATTAATACACGGGGGACCAATATTAAACATCTTACCATTTACAAGCCCACTAAAATATAATCTTAGCTTTTTAGCCCATTAGGTCGAACTTATTTCCACATCTTCATTAAGTGGGATAGGCCTAAAGATCGAACTGCCATTTTAGTTTCTCAGTTCTCACTGACAAAGAGATTCTCCCTTTCCCCCTGTTAACCGGTTAATTTGTAGTACACATTTCGTTTTCGTTTCTTCGTATATTTTTTTCTGTAATTATTACTTATTTGTTTGCAACAATATTATTTTTAAGAATAGATATATCATTTTGTTTTTTTATAGCTGCGAAATTTGTTTGCTTTCAGGAATGCTATTATTTAGTTACTATTTTTTTCGGATGTTTTAGCTTAAACTTTTTAAAAAAAAGATTTTAGCTTAAACTCGTTGCTAAAACTTGGAATACTCTATTGGTAAATTCAAAGTCACGTACCTAAGTAAACCAGTACTAAAATTACATTATTTTATACCACATCAAGAGCAAAAAAAAACATATCAGCCTCATAGGAAGTACATATATACACCAATTTCTATTTGGTCGCAGTCTAACAAAACCGGATTGAGCTATAATCGATCCCTAATCAAACCGGAACAATTTGGTTTGGTCACTAAACGTCTCTCTCTCTCAAAGTAACAGCTGTTCCAGGACATTAACGAACATATAAATGGGTGCCCACTAACAAGTTCAGACACATCACCATGTTACATATCTGTCCTTTTTTCCGATTTTTTTTTGTGGTTTTTTTTTTTAAATGTCTAAGCGAACAACATGTAATGACAACGACTAATGATCGTCTCAACACGAATACTAATTCTTAAGCGTTGACTTTTAAATCCACTAACCAATTTTATAAAACCTTTCCCTCTCTATAAATTCAGACCCCTTGGTTGATACATCCTACAGAGAACAACAAAGAAAGACACCAAAGTAGGAAGACGAAGAAGGAGAAGAATAATTGAAATGGCAGCAAGAAGTCCTTTGATCCGCTTCGCCTTCGTCTGCATTGTCTTGGCCGTGTTGGTCATGACTGCCGAGTCGCACAACGGACACCACCATGGTCCGACTAAGGCTCCGTCCCCGGCTCCAATGCCACATGGACCAGAGGCTCATGCTCCGGCTCCAAGTGCTGCCACTTTCTCCGCCTACCCTCAGCTCATCGCCACCGCTTTGGTCGGTGCCTTGTCTTTCGTCTTCTGAGATGTGTTTCTATTCTAATTAATATCGTTTCTCTCTCGATCGAGTAATATTATTTATTTTTATCTCATGTCTTCCTTCTTTCCTTTCGTTTTCTGAGAGATTGTCATGATCTGTTTCTGTTGCCCTAATAAGTCCTATCTATAACTCCTTTTATGTTTTTATCGTATTTTCTACATTTAGACATCAACAAATGCATATCCAAACTAACAAATAAAAAATAAACACCCGAATATTGTAGTAACTTTTTTTTTTTTTGAACAAATATTGTAGTAACTTGCAACCAAAACCATGAGTACACCAGAATGTTGTAGTAGTTTGCAACCCACTGAATCATCAGATGTGCAAACTCAAAGCCGAATAATTTAAAATTCATTAGAACAACATGTAACGATACCAAAGTCAACGACCGTTCTCAAGAGTTACAAGACTCATTCACCAATCCTCCTTTGACTTTGCATCTATCCACTTACCATTTTAATACAATCTCTCTATCTCTGAGTCTCTGACTCTCGCCATATATTCAATAACACAATAATGTTCCCTCAATGGCTTTTTTTAAACAAAAAAAAATATATCATCTAGGACACTAGTCACTCGTTTACGTCAACAAAAAAAGGTCACTCGTTTATGCATTTTAATTTGACGTTAAGAATCTTCAAATATGAATTAACTGCGCAAAGTTGGTATTATAAACTCAATTACAAAAAAAAATCCAAAACCTTTAGAATTATAGTTAAAGAGGCATAACATTTTAATTGTTTTAACCCAATTTTATGCAGTCATTTCATACTTGAATATGTAATCTGCAACCATAATATTTAGAGAATAAATTTGGCAACTGCAAATCTTTGAAAATTAAATGGACATTCTTTTCGAATATTTTACAGAATAAGAAATAATTAATGAAAAACGAACTAAAATAAATAAATGGTGTAAATTAATAATGAGCCTGCCTCAACAAAGAATAAAGCCCAACAAGTATTTATTTTCTTGAATAAACGGAGCCCAACAGAGGCGCGTTTTGGTTCGACGTTTGCCTTATCCTTTCGTCTCATCTTCATCGTCGCCTCTGAATTTAGTTTTCCAGAATCTCTTAAATTTCAAAATCCGTAGGAAGAGGATTGAAGAAAAATGGCGCAGATGGTTGCGATGCCTGTAGCGCACTCGCTATCACTCATTTGCAATTGGACAAAATCCAATTCTCTCTCTCGCAACACTCTTGCTCTGCCAGCTTCAAACGCTCCCAAGGTAATGTTCTCTCTTGCGTATGATTGTTGTAATTGAATTTGTCTTGGTGTCATTTGTGCTAGTTTTCTATTAGGGGCTGAAGAAATCTTGTGTATAAGTGTGTGACTCACAGTTTAAACCCTACTAAGACCGAATCAATATAGGTACTTGTCTCTGGTTTTAGGGTGTTTTTGGTTTTTGTATTGAAATGCAGAAGCAAAGTCTAAGCATCCGAAGTGCTCGTGTTGGAGGTGTGGAGATTCCGAGCAATAAGAGAATTGAGTACTCTCTTCAGTACATTCATGGGATTGGCCGAACAAGGGCTCGCCAGATTCTCGTTGATCTCCAGATGGAGAACAAAATCACCAAAGACATGGCCGAGGAAGAACTCATCATTCTTCGTGATGAAGTCTCCAAGTATATGATCGAGGGTGATCTGGTATACACTTTTCTCCTACATCTAGCACAAAAGCAATGTGCATATAGCAGTCTATGTTTTTCTCCAGTCTCAACTAGTGATATGAGATAGCAACAAAAAATTTTGCTGCTGAATTGCTTTAGTTTGTGGTTTCATGATGGTTTTGGTTTGTGTTCTTTGGCCTTAGCGAATGAATTTGTGATTTGTGTTGTTGTGGGTGTGTGTGCAGAGGAGATTCAATGCTCTTGCGATCAAGAGATTGAAAGAGATCCAATGTTACCGTGGGGTAAGGCACATTCAAGGGCTGCCATGTCGTGGACAGAGAACCAAGAACAACTGCAGGACTCTTAAAGGCAAGAAAGTCGCTATTGCAGGGAAGAAGAAAGTTTCCAAGTAAACATGATCTTGATTTCCTTCTTGTTTTGTAATACTCTTTTTAGTTTGTCTAGTTTCTCTGTTTAAATTGTGATTTGTAATCCTTGAAACTTGGTTCGAATTGAGCCCTCTCCAGATTATCTTCGTTTTTCTGGCTATTGTTATTCCATATCTTCATCACTCATTATAAAGCTACAGAAAAAGTTGAAGGTTTTAGCATTCAAGAATCGTCTCATTGGACTTAGGGGTGGAGATGATTATATAAAACATTTAACAAAGAGGTGCTCCACAACATGTTGATTTCAAACCAAGAACAAACCTGAGAATTTGATCGAACCAATATGGTTTATTCAGAATATGTACACATGAATACATCATCATGCTTCAAAAAACCAAAAATAAAAATAAAACAATTGATAACTTTTGAGAAAAAAAACTCAAATTTTGAATTGTCTCTAATCCTACTCACAAAATCTTGCTATCATACAAAAATGAAAAATTTATTATATAATAGAAGAGTTTTCTATCTAAATTGTCCAAATCAACAAACCCTTAAATAAATATGCATTTAATACATATATATTTATATTTATTATTAGTATATTAAATATAATTACATATAATAAAAAGAATTTTAACGTTAAAAAAAAGAAATAAATGACAATTAAATATCAATAATTAAATAATTTTGTAATACTAACTAAATTTATAATATCTATATTTTATTAAAATGATATAGTGTTAAATTGAAAAACAAAATTAAAAAACAGTAATAATTAAAAAAAAGTCAAAAGACAATTAAAAAAATAAAAAATAGAAGAAATAGGATAAATTAAAATATAAAAAAAAAAGATGAAGACAAACAATATCAAAAAAAAAGATAAAAAAAAACAAACAAAAAAATAAGACGAAATCTATGAAAAAGAATTTGAAAAAAAAAGAGGAAAAAGAACTAGAGAAATTTTTGAGAATATGAAAATAAAATCGTTAAAGGTAATAAATGAAAACAAAAGATAAAGATAACAAACTATATGAAAATATGAAAATGAAAAAAGAGAAAAAAATATAAAAAAATATAAAAATACACAAATAAGGATAACTAATAGAACAGATGCATTGTTAACACAAAACAAATATAAAAAATTAATTATTATACTAAAAAAAATATCAAACGAATTGTTATTTAGAAATGCATATAAAATATATAAAATACAAACACAAATCAAAATCCGTGCGAACTCATTGACTCAACCCTAGTATGAATAATAACAGGGTATAATTTCAGTAAGAGAACTCGTGGCCGCGGATCGAAATGTATTTCTTGACCCAAATGGCAATATCTTCGGCGCAGGCCTGTGCCTGAGGAGTCTTGAGAAGCATATCAAGCGTTGCAAACTCATGAACTGCGTCTTTGTATTCTAAAACTGGAGAATCTACGTTTACCTTCCGAAGCTCCTCTGCATAAGCAATGGCCCGATCTCTCATCCAGTCATGCTCAGCCACTACTGTAAGCGTTGGAGGCATTAGCTTCAGAGGTGGTCCAGTGCGGTTATGGGCAAGTGGGTTTGCTGCCGGGTGGTCAAAGTTGAACTCTTTCTCTGGTAAGAAGAGTTTCCAGGCGAGAACAGAGACGGGCTTATCGTAGAAGTAAGAGTTTGCTAGTTTTATCTCGGACTGTGTTGGGTTGTTTCCGATGAAAAATGGGTACATAAGAACCTGTGCAACAACTTTAACCGGCTCTAGAAGTTTCCCAGCTTCCACTGCTTTCCGAGCTACGTAGTCTGCTATGTTCCCACCACAGCTCACCCCGAGAAGAACACATCTGTTTAAAGTCATGATGTGCAACAATTTGAGAAATTGAATTTGATGTGAGACTGCAACCAACGGAAGAGAAGCTATCTAAGTGAATTTAACTAGTTCTAAATAGAACCCTGACTTTGTTCTCAGTTCTTCAATAGATCAACCTGAAACTATCCTAAACATGTAATCTGCCGAAACGGGTCTACATTCCAAAAAGCATTCTCTGCAAGCTAACATCAAGAATGCTGAAACAAACTAAATCAGAGCGTGTTCTAACTTCAGTAAACATAAAGGGCTCTTGATCACATCAAAATCCACTCTATGGTCGTTTACATCTAACGCTTTGCTGTCTCTAGCTCATCATTCTTTAACTTTCATACTTTGTCTGTCTTAAGCAACAACCAGGCAAGGTTACAAATTCAAACCTGGAAGGATCGGCGTGAGCTGCCAGCCAAGGCTCAACCATGGAAGCTCCAAAAGCATCCACTATCTGTCCTTGAACGCTAAGTTTCTTCAACTCAACGCCATTGACGCGTCGATTACCCACACACTTGCAACAATCAGCTAGATTAGCCTGTTTCCCGAGCCAATGCAGCACCTTGACTCCGTCCTCGAACGCCGCAGGGTACCGATTATCAGGCGCAAGCCTATAACCTACGGCCAATACAATTACGTCGCAAACTTTAGCGATTCGCCGGCAAAAGAAGTCATTAGCCGCCGAATCGGAACTTCCGCTGACCCAACCTCCTCCATGGAACTGCAACATCACTGGAAGTTTCCGGGAATTCCTCTTCGGAGACGGCGCATATCCACCGTATGGTTCTAGATTCTCGATGTTGCATCCGTAGCTGTTCCTTCGAGATTCGTTCGGCGGAGAGTTCTGATTAAGAGAGCCGTGGCTGTGTCTCCGATCGGATCTGGGTTGGTGTTGATAATTATCTCTGTGGTGTAGCTTCAGCGAATCGGGTTCGGATGGAGAAAGAGCAGATTCGGGGAGGAAGATCCTTACCGTGAGTGACGTCATTGGATCAATGTGAATATCTTTGGTTGCAACCCCGTCGGTGAAGGAAGGATTCGCGGCGGCGACGGATTCATCAGATCGGGTCGAGACGCCGAACGAATCAGATAACCCATCAGCTGAAATCGAAATTAGATTCTGGAGCCGATGTTTCAATAGTAACTTGAAAAAGACGCTATAGAGTTTCACAGCTACGCTTGGCATTTCCCAGAACTTTACCGCGATTTCCCAAATTATTAACCCTAAAATTCCAAAAGCGTTGATCCAAGGTGTGAGAGATATCACATTTGGGGCTTCCCAACTTGAAATTGACCGAGTCTGAAGCTTTCCAGAACAATTGGGGAGACTGGAATCGAAATTGAATGAAGAATCGGGTGCAAAGAGTCAGAATTGATCAAGCCCACTTTCGGTTTCTATAATTTTCGACTAAATTACAGAGAATAATAAAATGATGACGACGACGAAGAGAGAGACACGATTGTGGACAAAGTGTCATTGGGGCTATTGCGAAGAGAGGAGAAAGTTATTCTCTGAAACGCGTTTACCGTAAATCGAAACTCCTGTCTCGCTTTTGAGATTTTGTACGTTCTAGAGGCGTACAAATGCTAAAAGATTCTTCTTTGCGTATTTCAAATACGGTATTTGTTTATGTTTATGTTTTTTTTTTCTCTTCGCAGATTATTATTTTAGGATTATCAATTGAGATTCCAAAACTAGTAATCATAGAGATTGACACTTCATTGTGTTTCAATCATATACTTATATGGCATAAAGACAGCACAAATAATGATTTATCTTATCAAAAAGTCCATAATTTCTATACCATCTTGGTTATTAAACAGAAACATTCATTCAAACTTTAAAGTTGATTTTTATTTCTTTTTGTAACCAAAAACTAGCTTAAATTTGGTAATGTAACAGATAATGCTACCTTGAATTAGTCATCCTATGGTTGTTTGACCATCCTACCTTTGGAAATGTTTAATAATCTTATTCAATGTTCAAATGACAATATGTAGAAGTTGCCATAAACGAGAAAGGAAGAAGAAGAAAAAAACTTGAAAATTCAATTTGGTCTGTGTTGGTAAACTTGATTCTATATTAAAATCAGACTCTCGAGACACATCATATATAAGACATTCGTCTAACTTAGAATATTAAAAATTGACACTAATGGCCGTTGAAAAAAAAATACTACTAATTTGCAATATATTAGACTCGGTCAATAAGGCCCATGGGACAATCGATAGGCAAATATAATTTAATGGGAATAGTTTAGATATTTAACGACATAATTAATCTGTCTAGTCTCTATATGGCATGTTGCTGTACAATAGATTCTTTTTTGCTATGACTGGAGAAACAGATTCTTTTGCAAGTTAACCTAATCAGGACGTATGTGCCACTGACCCAGGTTCGATTATACATCCATTGAACTTGAACTACTTGTCTAGAGGATTTTCAGACAAGTTCGATGTACTTAATAAATGCCTGAATCTAAATGTCGAATTAACAGGTAGATGTGTGTGAAACCGATTATCATTATCTTAAGTTTAATTTTGATTACTCAACAAGAAAAACAATGAAAATCTTAAGAACAAATCGAAACCTAAGATTATTGCTTGAAAAGTCAACCAAAGCAAGTCAACGACTCGGCCCATTCATTCCAAACAATAGATTCCCACCACCAGGCAAATAGGCAACGTTGGGAGATTTAGAAAGCGTAGCCGCGACTTCCCTAGCCGCCTCGATCCTTCTGAGCTCGATCAAACCCATCCCAGCATCTGCAGTCGCTTTAGTTATAACCCGAGCCGACTCGCTCTCTCCTTGGGCTCTGATCACAGCTGCTCGTCGCTCCTGATCAGCCTTTGCCACTATAAACTTGGACCGTTCAGCTTCTTGCTGAGCCACCTGCTTCCGCTCCACCGCACGTGAGAACTCTGGACCGTATTTGAGTTCCGTGATCGCCACGTCATCGAGTACAATGTTGAAAGCCTTAGCTCGCTTGATTAGCGTCTCACGCACAAGAGCCGAGACCTGTGGACGATCTGTTAGAAGCTGGTCCGCGTTGAACTGAGCCACCACTGCTTTCAACACCTCGTTCCCGATCGCTGGTAAAACCTTTTCACGGTACTCGAGACCCAAGTGGTTGAATATGTACGGAAGACGCGAAACCTAACTCAATAAATCCACATAAGAAAACTGTCTTGAACTGATATCTTTTTAGACATGATTAGTACTTTCCAATTTTTTTTTTAAAAAAAAAATCAAATGAGAACAAGTGATAATTTAGTTCATGTCAAATTTCTATTTATATATATATATATATATATATATATATATTAAGTTAGATCCATCTTCAACTTTCTAACCATATTAATGCAATTACCTCAGGGCGACACATAACACGGAGTGTGAGATTGACCATTTGAAGATCTTTAGTTCCAGAGTCGGAGTTGAATTCGTAAGGTTTGGTTCGAATGTCGAAGATATACGGCTTTTGCAACCATGGAACCTTGAAATGTGTCCCTTCTCCGATTGTTTCTTCGAGAACCCCTTTGAATCGATCGAACAGAACAGCTCTCTCGCCGCCATCAACTGTGTATATCAACGAGTTCAAGGCAGTCAATGTGGCACCTAGACCCAGAGCCGCCTTTGCGATCTCCTTCCAAGGGATGGTCGGATTCATATTTCTCCTAACTATGTTTTAGGTTTTCTGTAGTTTTATGGTTTTTTGTTTTCAGGTAGGAAGACGTAGTTAGAGAACGCAGGAGATGAGATTTTACAAGGACGTTTTTTTGCGTGAGGGAGAAGGAACGGATTAATAAGCTTGTTCAGGTTCTCATTTACCGGGTCGGGTCAATTCAATGTTGTGGTCCATATTGGTGGGCTTTGTGGCCATATTTTTTAGCCCGTTAAACCAAATGTTTTTTTTTCTAAGGTTTTCAGTTCCCGCGATGCACTCGCGCCATCTCAGTCCTGCGCGATAAAAACTCTCCCAAAATCTTTCTAGTGAGGAAGAGAGAAGAAGTAATTAGGAGAAGTAATACCGAAAGCAGTTAAGCAGGTAATACTACGAAAAATTGGAATCTGGATTATGTACTCATTGTTGGTGGTTTTCGATCTATCTTCTCGACTCTCGATGCTTTCTTATGAAATGGACTCTCCGATGAGAGTTAAAATTGTTACAACTGCTTCGATTATTTTTTGTTTAACAGGATTAGGTTGCTTTAAGATTTATTTTCTGTGTAATTACTTTGTGCGATTTCTGGTTTAAGCGTCTGTCGTTTGGGTATAAGAACCGGTTAAACTGTTTTTGTGGGAGTATATATGGTAATCATCCGATTTGATTAGGTTTTACCCGAAAGAGAAACACATTAGCTGATTATAGAGAGTGGTTATACTTATAGGATTGTATAGGTTCGTTTGTTACTATCTAATTTTCTTTTGGAAATTTTGCAGGTATAAGGTTGTTTGATATGAACCTTATTCGACTGTTTGGGGATTCCATTTATGGATCAAAAGATGGAGTGCGAGTAGTGTGCCGGAGAACATATGCTGCTGCAGCTAGTAAAGTGAAGAGAGGTGGAAAGGGAGGTGGAGCCAATGACGCACCAAAAGCATCGACTCTCAGCAAAGAGATCAAATCCAGTGTGGTCGTTGGTGCTAATGTTCTGAAAGATGATTCAGACCCTAAGATCTTGCTTGATTCAGATTACCCAGATTGTCTTTGGCATCTGCTTGATAAGCGACCAGCGCTTAGTGAACTTAGAAGGAAGAACATTGAGACTCTGCCTTTTGAAGATCTTAAACGTTGTGTGAAGCTGGACACCCGAGCTAGAATCAAGGAGAACAATTCTATCAAGGCCAAGAACTGAGATTCAATAACGACTTATAGGAACCCTTGCTCGAGCAAACTCTTCCTTTTCCTTGTAGGAACTGAGATTCTCGTAACCTTTTTTCTCTATTTGTTGGATGTATTGCATAAAAACAGTTTCGTTTTCATTGCACAAACAAAACATTACTTCATAAGCAGAGAGAGTTATAATAAGCCAAGATATCACTCCAAAAGAATGACACATACTTAGACAATGGGTAGCAATAACCTCTGAATAACAGAGAGAGACGAAACAAACTTGTATTAAAAGTGCATTTGCACATACTTCTAATCCAGAAGCAATTCTATAATCATTCCAAAACGTACATATAGCTTTAGAAGACTCTAAGAAGGTGATATAATAATGGTAAGTAAGTTGGTGGTCATATAGTACAAGAAAGGAAGAGCAAACAATGGTGTTGAGGAAAACTATCTAACTTTCTTGGCTTGTCCTAGTTTAGCCTTCCTTTCTCTAAACAATTCTATCCAGAGGTTCCAAATCCAGAGTATACTAACAGTAATGGCAGTTCCAACAACAATGGCCCAAGAAATCCACAACCAGTTAGGAATCACGCCGTTGGCTTCGCCTCGGGCGTAAGAAGCAACCATCTTCCCGAAAAACAAAGGTCCCAAAACTCCCCTAACGATACTGTAGAAGGCGTAGAAAGGAGGAGACAAGAGATCGTACACTTTTACGGCTAACCGAGACTCCGGATCGTTCTTCCTTGCGCCGGCGAGCGTCCACGCGTTCTGGCACGCGCTGGTGACTTCGGCGAGGATCAGGAGGCCTAAGATGGCGCAGGCGCCGTGGAAGACGAGGAATCGGCAGGTGACGAAGACGAACAGAGTGGCTAGGTGATGGCCGATGAAGAGGACGTCGCTAGGGTAGAAGACGATGTAGTGGAGGAGATCGGTGAGGAAGTAGGCGACGCTGAAATCGAGGACGGTGTTCTGAGAGGCGGTGTTGGCGGAGGAGAAGGATCGCGACGGGGATGAGAAGACGGCGCCCGAGGCGAGGAAAACCGCCGGAGTTCCGTGGAAGATTGAAATCAGACAGCTTGAGGCTTCGGGACGGATTTGAGGTTTCCAATTGCGGAAGACGATGGAGTAAGCTATCAAATAGATGATTAAGAACATGGAGAAGAAGATAGGGAGGTCTGGAACGGAGATTTCTCCGACTTCGATCGACATTGAGATCGGAATCCCAAACCTAGCTGAATCTAAAGAACGAAGAAAAGAAGAATCTACACGGATGAAATAAATCCGATTAGGAATGTCGCGGGTTAGCCAAAATCAATAGATCCCAATAATACTTTTAGACATTTAATAATAATATTTTAAACCAGAAAAAAAAATAGCATTCGCATTTTTTTTTTTTTTTTTGTAAGCTCTCTCAAAAGAACCAATTTTAATTCAGTTGACAAACACAAAATTGTTTTAATTCTTTAGTTAGGTTCACGACGACGTCACACAGAACTAATAGTAAAAGTTAAGGTGAAATCTCGAAATTTTTCTGGAAGAGCCGTATCTGGTCCAGCTCTTGTCATAGCATACGAATCAACTCCTTCCTTTCTGACGATGACATGCCATAATATTTTTTCCTTCTTCTTCTCTTTAGGAAAAGATAAAATTTAATCTAATTTCTAAAAACACAGACAGAAACATTTGATAACCAACAAAAAAAGCATTAACAACGTCATTCATGTCTGTAATTACATTAGCAGGATTTCAATAACGCTACCAATCATACATTTGCCTGTCAAGCAAGAGATACGCTCCAAGTAACAAACCTGAAATTGCAATGCATTGCAATAAAAGAAATCAGCAAACAACATCATTGAACGCGGGTACAGACGCACAAATTTATTTCCACTACACTTAAAAGAAGTTGTATTTCATCCTCTTAAGCGAATAAGGATCAGAAACTAATTGTGTAACCTCATATTCATGTTTTCGAGCAGGATGGGCTAGGATAAAAACTGGATGTGTACACACATAACCGACCTCATAAAACCAACCTCAGATAGTAATGATCAAGGACAGGACCAAAAAGTACTCTCGCCATGTCCAACAAATTGCAGCTACAACATCAACCTGCAACAACATTGTTTTACAGGTTCAGGAAATACTAGTTGTTATCTGAGAGAGAGAGAGAGAGGGGACAGAGATGAGTGCCTTTTTATTTCAATGACGGAGCATATGGTGCTGGGCATGGAGAGATGGTTGTATCGGGCAAATCATTTAACAAGTCGACGGTTGCCACAAGGCATGCAGCTAGCATTTTCTTCTCCAATCGGACAAGCCGTGTGGCAACTCGCTTCCTAGGATTCAAACTAGGATCCTCCAGCTATTGAGCAGGAATTCTGTTAATATCATGCAGGAAAACCAAAAAACAATGTGTTTGATTACAAAAGTCTGAAGAACATACCAATGCATCATCTTCTTTGAGGGTAGTAGGGTAGCCAGACAAGCGTCTCATGAAGTAATCAGCAAGCTGATCTAGTACTGCTCTTTCCATGCAAGGGCTCATCTGAAAAAGGAGACTGAGAGTTAAACCTTTACAAGTAGCTTCATGTATACTAGTAACATTGGAGGCCTCACATATTGGGACTGAGCATTTGATACAATCAAGGAAATATCAAAAGATTACTTAGAAAAAAATGTCTGTCAGGTCACTCATCCTCTACTTACTGGACAAACTGGACCTTGGGACGAAATAACTGATTGCATTTCATCGGGATCAGACATGTAACCCAATCGCAGGTAAGGAAGCATGTCTTGAACAGCTTCTCTTTCTTTTCCCACACGAACCTGAGGTGGATGCGGAAAACAAATATCAGGCAAAATATCTCAAAGTAGCCTTGTTGACATGGAAAAGTCACACGATCATACCTGAAAAACTTGTTGGGATAATTTTCCGTTCCTTTGGGCAACCATTCTCTTGTCCTGATATTGAGGATCCTGGGTGCTCAGCGCTGCCTGGAATGCAAATATGACACATAAAGCATGTAAACCTTGACAAAGCTACACTGAAGTTTACAGTAAGGCACCAAAGTTTCATAATTACCTCAACTGTTATTCTATCGTAAGGGTTATCTTCATCAACAAATCCATAGTTCAGAAGCAATTTTGCATTAGGTTGTGGCCCACACCTTGAAATAAAGGATTAAACACAAAAGTAGAAAAGATAAATCAGATAGAGAAAGCTAGCGGAAAAGAAGCAATTTGGCACACAGACGCACCAGGCAACTATAGGATCCCCAGCCTTATATGGCCTATCTACCACGAGTTCAACAGCACCATCAACAGCGGTAAGCATTGCCTTGCAGTTGGAACAGTAGGCCAACAAGGGAGGACCAAGAGGAACCAAAGCAAACCGACGAGCCAAACTGACATTCTGAGTACAGGAAGAAGCATAACAAATCTAAATTAGCAGGAGCAACAATCCACGCCTGATTAGTTATTTAGGTTATGAGCTGCAAGCTAAAAACTGTTGATTTAGCTGTAAACAGAGGTAAGACCATATTATTAAAATTAACTCTGGTATACTTTCAAACATGGGCTGAACATATGAATTGTGAAGGACAAGTCCAAAAAGAGAAAATTTACTTGTAAATGCACCACACAGGACTGAATGGCAACAAATGCCTGTTTGAAAATCTCAAATGTAAAAGCTTCAGTTGGTATGTCATATGGGTATTGCTGCAAAACACAAATCATGTGATTTAAGTCCCAAAAACAACAAAAAAAACGAAATAGGAAGAAATCTTAGGTAGCAAATATAGTAGTCAAAAACCTGAAACAAAGATCCAGCCATAAACCAGACAGTGTCAAGCTCCTTGTATTCTCTTCTGATCCCCTCGGCCCTCTCGAGAACTTCAGCCTGAACCATGTCAAAGAAGATCAACACAGAGAACCCACAAGTTCATCACAGTCATGCATATACTAATGCAATACCTTCGTCGGGCTGCCCGTTAAGTATTCTAACTCAGCCTCTGACCACAGCAACGGGGATTCCACGTCTAGCTGACCTCGCCCTCTTTGACGATCGAGTTCTCTTATATATGGATACCATACTGATTTCTTCCCTTGTTTCTTCTCATACATCAGATACAAAGCTAGGCAAGCCAGTTCAGACAATTTGTTCGTCGTCAACAGTTCGGCTGTATGAATAGAAAAGAGAGGTTTATGGCTTCAGATCAGCTTCGAAACTACGTAAGTTAAATCACAAATTCTAATCCAAATACGATTGCGCATGATGGTAAAGTAGCTACGTGGAATGGGAAACGTATTAAAGGATGGTTCATATCATACCAATAGTCTCGTTTCCCAACACTCTTTCCAGTGTGACCACCAAAGAGTTCGGAACTGAAAACGCCACATCGCCTTTCTGAAAAAAGGGAATTAGGATTCAAAGCCCAGAATTTGAAACTTGGAAAAGTTTGGAAAAGCCGATAGAACTGTATAAACCGACAGTAAAACTGCTGAAATGCTAAGTCAAACACCTGAAGATCCTCACTAGCAGCAACATAATGTATGGGTTTATGCTTCTGATCATGAGCCGGTCTCTCCTTGAGAAAAACCTTGCAAGGTGGCAAACCATTCTTATCCATCCAAAACTTCAAATCCTCGGAGTCATCTCCATCCTTCCTGCTCGATACTTTGATCTGCCTCTCGTCTTCCTTTGGTGAACCGCCCGCGACTAAAGTATCTGAGCCAGAAGACGAAACGCACAAGGTCCTATGATGAACCGATCGCGCTGAAGAGACTAAATTAGTGTCTCTCCACCGAGAAAGTGAAGAAACCCTAGAAAGTGGGAAAGAACGAATTGGAAGAGAGACGCATTTGGTATGTAAACATGTGATAACCCCTTCCATCGGAATTAGCGATTCCCAAAACTGAATCTTTCAAAGCGTAAAGATTCTCCGGCGGCGTTTCTGAGGATTTTGCTCTGTTCTTGCTTCGCGTTTTCTCAGATATTTTTTTTTATTGAGGATAAGAGAGGGAAATCAGGTTGAAAACGAAATGGAGAAGATGCGACGAAACAAAATTAATTTAAAAAATAAAAATCTACGTGGCGTTTAGCGAGACAGAAAGGAACGACACCGTTCTATAGGTTTCCCATTCCACGAAGGCCCATAGCCCCGCCCTAAACCACTACGGGATAACAGCATATCAGGTTCACCAAAAACGACACGCAGTTTAAAGTTTACAGAGCAATAAGGGAACGGACTAATCGCAATTTTTCAAGTAATAAAGATTGGAAGAATTGCTTTCATGAGCAATTCAATCAAAAATTGACCAAAAACTAAAAAACAATCAAGAGATAAATTTGATTTGAATTAGCATATTATAAAAGCAATTCTCTCATAAAGATTTGCGGATCCAAAATGATCTTCTCTAAATGTTGGCCATTGTGTGAAAAAAACAAAATCTGAAACTTCATAACCAACAAAAATGAACAAATGAAAAGGTTGTCCAGATTCACAAGTACGGTTGTCTTAGAGCCAAGTTTTGTTCCTTCAGGTCTTTTGCTGTTTACATGGAGAACTTCTGTGGGACAGTATCAAAATCGTCTCCGAAGTCATACCTTTGTCTTTCCCTTCCAACCTGACCAAAAAGTTGTCAAACCGTTTAGTCTGAGAAACTCAAGTTCCGAGGACAGAACAGTATATGCAACATGAAATTAAGTTACCTTTCCCAAGTATAAAGGATCACATGACAAGCTCTTATCCATGGTTAAGATATTCTTCGACAGCCCAATAGTCCTAAAAATCACAAAAACGCAGGAAGCTCGTTTGATGCTACTACTCTACTATAGCTAAACGTCACAGCAAAGTATTTGGTTTTTAGACATACCTTTGGATAACAGAATCCATGATCTCTATCATCTCACTGGTTTTGTATTGCTCAGGGTCCTCCAAGAATCTGACCATTCCATCTTTCTGGTTGATAAGGGCATGTATCTGACCATCCTGGATCTGCAAGTTTGGAAAGAGAACATGATATTGCCATATAACAGTTATAAGTTATAAAGCTAGCTTACAAAAATCAAGGGTGGGACACAAAGAATACAGTACCATCTGAAGCACATGCATTTCCGCCTCCTTAGCACTAGCAAGTTGGACCATGTTGGCTATATCTTGAAGCGACAAGGTCAAGTACTTCTGAGTCAATCTCAGAATGTTCCGCTTGTAAAGGGATGACACCGCTTGCTTAACTAATCCAAGGTTCGTGTCCTGACAAATAGCATTCCATGCAAGTTGTAGGGTGAATGAAGATTCATATCAGAGCAGAAACTACAGTGAGTGTTTAAGGAAGATTTACCTTTTCAAAATCTGAGCTATTGGCAACAACCAATGCCTCTAGTTCACTGATCTTTCCTTCGTTGTAACAATTACCCACTTCAAGGTAACGCTGAAAAAAAGTGAATGATAATATCAAAAGCCTATATAGATATAGATAGTATGGGGGTACAAGGCAGCTGAATTTATTGGATTGAACTGAGAAAACAGGACTAGCAACCACAATTTGGAGAAAAAAACGTTTGATATGCGCAAAAAAAAATGAAGATCATAACATAGAAAAATCGATATATGTACAGCGGATACGGTTCAAACTTACTAAGCACCAGTTCTTAAAGTTTCTCTGAGCTGCTGTAGAAGCGCACTTGGGGAGACTGTTACTAAACTGCACAAGTAAAATAATACAATATTATAAGAATAACATCATAAGATAAACCAATGCTTGAAGATCAAATCAGACACAGGATATAACTAGTGAAATCAACATTACTCAAAACATCTAATGGATCAGGCTCGAGCAATATGATCGCTCCCATGACAGAAAACAAGACAAAAAACAAAAAATAAAGAACACAGCCTAACCTGCCCATTGTGAATGAGAGACACCAATATGTACTTTTTGTACGCCTCAACAGCTATGGCGTTGACAAGATGCATAGGAGCAGTGACAACCTGAAACAAGTAGTTCGGTCGAGTTAAAACTAAAGCAAAAGTCATTGATGGCTAAAAAGCATGTGACAAAAGTAAATAGAATGCCTTACATTGAATAGAAGCTCCAATGCTTTCTGGAATCTCTTCCGTCCAATGCATATCATTCCCCTGTCAAAAGTGCAGAATATATATAAGAAGATAATTTTGATATATTAGCACAAGGATCAAGGATGAGAATCTAATATAATATTAAGAAAACTCAAATGGATGGATTAATGCGTTGATATAAACATTGACTAAAACAAAAACAAAAAACTGATAGCAATCAGGGAAACTGGCTTACCCATAATAACAATAGAGAAAAAAATCTCTTGGCTGGTCAACCTCCAAGATATCATCACTAAGAATGGAGAAACCAGCTTTATAGCACTTAGCCAGCAGACATAGTTGAAGAATATCTGGATGCAATGCAGTCAAACGTTTGGTGGAGACCTGAAGCTTATGAACAGCTGTCAGCAGTGGCGCCACCCCTCGTATGGGATCTTTGAGCTCCAAAACTTTGTCTTTCAATCTCTTGCAAAGAGATACAACTGCAAGATCAAAATAATAACATCACTATCTCCCTAAAGATAAGAACACAGAGAGACGAGAAAAGATCCTTTCAAGTGACAACGATTACATTTCTCGCTCGCTAAACGAATCTGCCCAGCATCGCAAGAGTTGATGAACCGTGCAATCAACACAACCACATCAGAAGCTCTATCCTTGGACACTGGACCACACGTAACAGCGTCACTGGAACAATCAAAACCAGACGAAATTTTAACATCAGGTATCAAATAAATAGAAGAATAAAAAATAATCATCCTTGTAACACTATCAAGTTCATCACACACCTCAAGTTTCAATGTACATAACCATAAACACACAAAAGAAAAACAGCTACCGTGGATTATCCCAAACGAAAAGAAACTAGTAATTTCAGTATCCGGATTCATCAACCAGACTCAGGATATGCGCAAACAGCAGCAAGAACACAATCTATAAAGTGATATGAGAAATCCAAACATATCAAAGTACAATAAACTCACAGGATATACAGGTAACCGAGAGAATGCTTCGAGGGTTCGAGCTGGTCGAGAGTAGAGAGTTGAACCTCCGTATCGGTTCGAAGCGACTCCTCAGCTCCTTTCAAAGTATCGTGAAGTGCAGATAAGTCCCCGGGACTCGCCGATAGACCCTGGATTGACGTTATCACAGCTTCGACCGAGCTCATAACTCTGCTCATATATCAAATTCAGACGAACACAAAAACCCTAATCGATCGCCTTTTTCTCTCCCTCTCAAAAAATTTCCCAACTGGTAATTTCCGAACTCTGAATCTTCTCCATAAACTATTAAATACATGCCCCCGAAAAAGTGCGGACACTCGGAATCTTCCAGAGGCTTTTGGCATAAGATGAAACGCTCTAACCGAGTGATAACCGTCTTATAAACCAGATATTATCGGATCGGTATAATCAGATAAGCAATAGTCTCGGTATTATTCGGTTTAACTAAACCAGTTTCCGGTCTAACCCTTTTAGAGAAAAAAGCCTTTTCTTCCACAATCGACGAGATTGCGATCAGAGAGAGCAATCGGCTTCTTTTCCCTTTTCTCCTCTCAGATTCAAACTTTGCTTCGTAGGTGGTAAAGGCGATGGCAGATTATCATTTCGTGTACAAGGACGTCGAAGGAACATCGACGCAATGGGACGATATCCAGCGGAAGTTGGGGAATCTCCCGGCGAAGGCTCCGGCATTCAAACCGCCGGCTTATACTCCGGCACAAGAGGAGTCTTCAGCTCCTAAGGACCAGGCATGGTTAAATGAAAAGACGGAGGAGGAGCTTGAGGATCTTGAGGACGACAGAGATCTCGACGATGATCGCTTCCTCGAAGAATACAGGTTTGCAGAACGAATCGAACATTCTGATTTTTGTATTTACCAGCTTAAGTGACCCTATTGGATCCTTTCTGTGATGATATTCTTAATTGTAAATTCAATTTTCTCGGATCTGTTATTATGTTGTCATGTAGCTCCTCGCTAGCTCTTTTTATCTCTTTTTCTTCTGGATCGGGAATGCAATTATCAAGCTCTGGTTTTTATCGATTCGTTTGTGTTTTGGATATGAAAACGCCTTTCGTTTCGTAGTGCCTGAAGAAAAGAGTAGTGCTTTATTTTGACGTGGCTGCTGTTTCTTCTCGAATGTTTTGATGCTTTGATAGGAAGAAGAGGTTGACAGAGCTGAGAGAAGCTGCTAAAGTTAGGAGGTATGGATCAGTGACTCCCATCTCGGGCTCTGATTTCGTGCGGGAGGTTACGCAAGCTTCTGCTGAAGATTGGGTTGTTGTATGCCTCTACAAAGATGGGTATGCTTTTGAAGTATTCGTGAATTATGATAGCTCTTGAAGAACCAAATCTTATTTCATGCTTGAAACACTGAAGTGCTTTTGTTGATTTCTTGTTTAATCTGATAGTTTTGCAGTGTGTGGCTTGCTTTTGGGCTGTCTAGATGAACTGGCTAGCAGATACCCGGCAACAAAGTTTGTCAAGATTATTTCCACTGATTGTATCCCGAACTACCCTGATTGCAATCTTCCTACCTTGCTGGTATACCACCATGGTGCCGTTAAAGGAACACATGTAGGCATGAAGAGCTTTGGTCGTAGGTGTACCCCAGAGAGTAAGCTTTAGCCTTTTTTACCTTTTGTATTCACTGTGCCTAATTGTATTTGATAACGATGGCGTGTCTCGTCTTTAACCTCTGTCTGATCTGAAGATAACTGATGCGACCACATTTGCATCTTATCATGCTTTCAGCAGAATAGAGGGAATGATGTCTAAACATGCTTGCTGCTTTTACAGGTGTAGCCTTAGTTCTGTGTCAGTCAGAGCCAGTTCTTAACGATGGCAAAAGTGGAGACGATGACTCCTCAAGGGAAGCTGTGATGGCTGGAGTTCGAAGACAGTTCATAGAACGAGTGGTGAAAGACCACGAAGATAAGGATAATGATGATGATGGTTACAATAGCGATTAGAACTTCAAAGGTTCTCTACTTGTCTCTGCTGGTTATTGCTTGTTTGCGTAACTTTGCGTTTGTAACTGGTAAAACAAAAGTGTCGGCTTCATCTGTGATGTAATGCTTTTTAAAAATCCTCATGTTTTTTTAAAAGAGACTGGAAATTCATGCTGTTTTTAATATCCAGGTCCTTATCACATGTCGACTTTCATTGCTGGATCTAAGACTATAAATCCATGTAAGGACCAAACTTTTAAATAGTCTATGTTGTGGCCAAAAAAATTATTTTCATTCATATGCAAGTATGCAACCCTCAAATCTCGATTCCATCGAGCTACTTCACAATTTTACAGCAGATATCAAACCTAGAATTTGAACCAAGCTTCTTAAGCAAACCCAACAACTATAAACACCCCCAACACAACAGAAGCACACTATTTTCAAACTGAAGCTCCCTTCTCAAAACTTCTTTATATACAAAACAACACTCTAATTCTGAGTTCTCCCACAAATAATCTCTCTGGTCACAAGTCTTATCCCTCTCACCCACATCTCTGCACCCACTAACCCACCTTCACAAACAAAATGAACTTCTTTGTTCTCCGTAGTCACTACCCGGAAAATCCCTTCTTCCTCTTCCGCTGCATCGCCTTTCCCCTTCCGGTTCTTCCTGAATCGCTGGCTCATCCCAATCTCTACTTCCTTGCACACCACGTTTCTCTTCCGTGACTTTCCCCAACATAGTACTCCACTCGATTCCAACATTCTCAAACCCTTGCCATGCTTCTTCCCTTTCCCTCCCTTGGTGTGTTTCATCACACAGCTTCCCTTTATCACAAACCTCCGAGACAACTCGTTACGGATCACTTTCTCTGCGTCACCAACCGCAAGATCCAGCAGCGTTTTCCCTCTTCCGTTCTTAGCATTGCAGTTTGCGCCATGCGCAATTAGGAACTCACACATCTTTCCATGGCCTTCTATGGCCGAAAGCATCAAAGGAGTGTAGCCGTCTCCGTCCGGGACGTCCAGACCGTATCCTTTCCCACTTAAAAGCTTCACTGCTTTGACGTCTCCACGCCTTGCAGCACAGTGTAGAGCGTAGAACCCACCCGCCATGTTCCTGTTGTCCTTCTCGAGAGCAAACTCGAGCATCACCTTCTCGATCACATCGCGGTTACCATTCTTTTCTGACAGAGAGACCACTGCGTCCCCCGATTTGTTGAAAAGCTTCACGTCTGCGCCTGCGTAGACTAAGACTCTGAATGCTTCAACGTTCGCGTTCATGGCTGCTAGCATTGCAGCCGAGAAGCCTTCTTCATCTTGATAGTCTAGGAAGATTTCTTGAGCTTTTACAAGAGATTTAAGCGCCTCGGCGTCTCCTGCTTTAGCCACGTATAACAAAGGCGAGAAAACTGAAGCTTTGCTCGAATGTGGAACCACACCGAACCGGATCAGTTCAAGAAGTACTCGTTCTAATCCGAGTGACCACTTGTTTGATTCAGCGATGGAAATAACAGAGTGGCCATACTTGTTCACTAAGCCGAAATCAGCACCAGCGAGGGCTAGAACCTTTACGCACTCTGAATGTTTCTGTCTTGTTGAGATCAGCAGAGCTGTGTCCCCAGCATCAGTCTTTGAGTTTATATCACAGCCAAAGCCAACCAGTTGTTGTATAATCTCCACTGATCCATAACGTGCAGCAATATGAATCGGCCGGAGTTCAATGCCTCGTGAAGTTCTGATAGGAGTTTCTGGATTGGCACCACAGTTGAGGAGGACTCTGACGGCTGCCTGGTTACCGCAGAGGACAGCATGGTGGAGCAGAGTCCTACCATTGTGAGGAGCGTTTGGAGATTGGACTTTTAGCAGCAAACGCAAGATGTCGCCACTGGTTTCAAAGAATTCTACAGCACACCAGGTCAAAGGGTAGGGCTCAGCAACTCCAGCTCCCACCCGAAACTCTTCCGCAGTGTTAGTGTCCCATGACCATGCTCCTAGCCTCACCATTATATCTGTCTTGACACCAGCCTGTGCAAATCATTCAAAGAAAAGCTTGGATGTCTTAGATACCTACTCTCCTTGCAAGGACCAAGTTTTCAATTGTGTTAAAGGCTTTAGTGTTGGGAAATGAGAAAGATACCTGAAGTAGCAAGCGGACAGCCGAGACCTGCCTATTGACAATGGCAGCGACAAGAGCTGTACAGTCTACATTTGTGTATAGAGAAGGTTTTGAAGATTGAAGCAGAAGCCTATCGGTTGAATTAGCATCAACTCCACACTGTAATGAAGCAAGAACATGAAAATGATCGTTATTGAACAAGTCTTAAAGGGTCACTTTTTAAAACCACAAGATGAAGAACTTACTTTGAGCAAAGTCCCTACAACGTCCACAAAACCTCTGCAACAAGCACTGGCTAGAGCGTGCACAGCAACCTGAGGCCGAATAAGATCAGTTCCCATGAGAAGCTCAGCGAACCTAGGGCGTCCGTGACAGCTAGCCCCTACTAGAGCCTCCTCACAAGCGGGCTGAGAAGCACCGGCTTTGAGTAGAATCTCAAGTACCTCGTAATGACCTTCCCTTACAGCTACAGTTGTTGCATATCCCCTGAAGAGCTTCTGGTTCACATCAGCTCCAATGTTCTATGATATGATATTGCAGGAAAGGTCAGATGACTGTAACGATTGTCAAGTATTTCTTTTTTTAATCAATACATTGCTAAGTACTAAGGACCCCACGTGGGGTGAAACCCAGAGCCAGAAGAAGACAAAAAAAAACTGTGTATATAATAGTAAGTTGTACAATAATGCAAAGTATATAATTGAAATGGATCTACAAGAGCAGGAGGGAACAACCCTGACGCAGAGGAGCATGGCTTGGATTGATCACAGACATTTGATGATGATCCAAACAGAAAGAGAGGAAGTATGCAAATATAATATTCATGTACTGCAGATGCAGCCAATGACAAGTGACAGGACCATATGGAGGGGGCCTCAGGTTCTGTTTAACAAACAGGCTACATGGTGCAATATCACCACTTCTTGTCGTACTAAATATTATTCAGTTCCTTTCAGGCAACCAGATAATCAAATCAACTCAATCAATTATAACTGCAAACCAATAGTGAGCTTTGGAACTCTTGTGTTTTTAAAAATAAAAACCATAACGAAGAGCAATTCATATCCAAGATTTTAATCCCACTTTTCAGCCTAGTTAACTCCGGGGATTATGGCGAATATGGTCTAGCAAAGGTCATGAAGTCTGAGGAGATAATACAAATAGAATTAATAAAAAGCAAATCTGTAACGATGCAGCAAAAGAAAAAGTTGAGAGACTTCAAGCTTAGAAAATGATGCCCGTCTAATATGCAAATCTGACTCGGTTGAAGATGCAATTCTAATTCTTTTTTTTTTTACTATTTTCGCATCTTGGAAGATTCCTAACACCCGCACCACTGAGAGTGAAGTTAGTCAACAGATTATGAATTTTTTATAAAAACAAAAAACTCGCACGAAATCCGATCCACATTTTAAAAATTAAAATAAAAATGGTTAGAGTTAGTTAAAAATGGACAATCAGAAATACTATATGCAAATGAATTAGCTCATGCTATTTAGCTATCGTGGAATCGGAATGAGAATTTCATGGAAGCAGTTTTACCAAAACTTACAGGAATAATAATTTGTTTGGTTGGTAAAAAAAAAAGCAGAGAGAATGGAATAATGGAATATCATAATCCGAATATGGATATTTGTGGTTAGAAAAATAAAAAAAGCTGAGTCCGAAATTTGAATTTCGAAAATAAGGAAAAGTAAAGTAAGCTTGAGGCAGACATAATAGATTTTGGGTCTTTAATTCAAGAGACAAAAAGGTACACGAATCACCACTTAGCAGAAAATGCGCAAAAACAGAGAAACCACGAGGAAACCGATTTTCCATTGATTGCGTTTGGAACGTAAGTAACAATAGTTTCAACTCAGGGATTAAACAAAGATTATTCAAATTAACAAAAAAAATGAAAAAATTAAGGTTGTGTATCTATCGTGAAAGTAACGGCGAATTGTTGTGAATTAATGGCAGATAAAGCCGCGTGAAGATCAACGCAGATTTGTTGATCGGTTTCAAAATCTGAGCTAAAGAGTAAAGACAATGAGAAACGGCTAAACCGAAGCAAAAAAATTATGAGGACAGAAAAAATAAAATTGTTAGCCGATTTTACTGCTACGATCTCGCTCATAGGACAAAAAATCGGATTAAAAAAAAATTAAAATAAAAATTTACCAGGAGTTTCTTCACGAGAGCTACGTTTCCGAAATTAACGGCGAGTAACAGCGCCGTAACATCAGTTTTGAACTCCTCGTACTCCACTCGGATTTGGCTGGAAGCTTCCTCACGGAGCACGACCTCGCTCCTCCTCGTCTTTAAGCTAACGGCGCCGACGAAATTCACGTCGACGAGCGGATCGGAGACGCAATCCGATGTCGTTTTAAGATCGCCGTCGAGGATAGCATCAAGGAGCCTCTGTGATACCTCGGTCTCGTAATCCATCGGAACGACTTGTTTGCCGGAGAAAACCGTCATTGTCGGAATTATTATGATCCTTGCGCCGTCTTAAGTCGTTGACCAGAATGTCCAAGCTACGAAAGCTCCCTAAACGTCGCCGCTTTATAGAATCGTTTTTTGTCTCTTTACAAGACGCGAGGCTCGAGAGAGAGAGAGAAGAGAGGAACTTGAAAAGAAGTGAGCGCCAGGGATGGAAGAAGAGAGAGTGACAATTTATTGAAACGGAAGTTTACAGCATTAACCACGGTTAACGATGAATGGTTAAAAATAAGTAATTACTGAGAATCCGTGGGTCCCATTTTTTAACCCTGGCTAATACATAGTGCGTTATGTTCACTGTCTTGGCAACAACGTAGCTTTGGCAGAAAATAATAATTACGACAGTGTTATTACACGTACTATAATATTAATACTGTATCTTTGACATAAAAAAAAAATTATTGAACATCTAAAAACATTTTAGAATGCCCTAAAACGTCATAAAATAATAAGACTAGTAATTTATTGTATAGTAAAAATGAAACTAGTATCTTTTATTGTATAGGTTAACTCTTACTTATTTACTTTCTTAAGATATCATTTTTATGAACAGTAAATCTTGTCTAAATTTTCTACTTATACAAGAAAAACAAC